TTAATCAGATTAAAGAGAAATATATATACTCTTTTTTTTATATGAGCTTATTTTTTTTCAATATACCTCAAAATTAATATTTTAAAAGTATAATATATATTCTACTCGTACACAAAAAGTCATCATTTTTAATTAAAAACAAAAATACAAAATTATAATATATATTAAAATATTTTTTTGAATTATATCTCAATTTATATATAATGTACTCAATCTATGCATAAATCAATTTCATACCTACTAAATAAATTTTATAAGGAAATTTATTTATTTTTTTAATGTACATATATATATATATATATTTAAGAGAGCTAGAAATAAAATTGTAAATGAACCACCATATAAAATAATTTAGAAATATTTAAGATAATAAAATTTGAAATTATAATAGTATGACATATTAATAGAAAATTTTTGGAAAAAAAAATGGAATAAAAAATAAATATTAAATATGATATCTAACAAATATATTAATAAATAATACTAAAATTGGCAAAACATCCTTAATAATTAAAAGATGGATTACATATTGAAGTTATTAATTCAGCAAGTTAAATTTTATTTCTAACTCTTAATTTTAATCATAATATTTGATTTTAAGATCATTAATATAAAATTAAAAGTTAGATTTACATCATCAGCAGATATGCTGACTTGTAACAGATCCAAAGCCTTCTGATACCATTATGTTTCATGTATTAAAATATAGGAATATATGTACTTAAAATATTCCTGCAAACTTGGGGTTAGTTTCTAAGTGAAATAGTTTGAAAATATATAAATATATATATATATATTTTATGTAAAATATAAATAATTGTGTAAATAATATATAAATAATAAATATATAATACATTAATTTTTTTAAAAAAAAAATATGATTTTTGAAAAAAGACAAATTAAAGAGTATGTATCCTGTTTATAAACTATAGGCTATGTTATATACTGAAGTTTGGTTTTATATTTAAATTATGTAACTATTATAACTTATTTATAAAAATATATTAGTTTATATATAAAATCTTATAGTATTTAAATTTACTATTACAACAAGAAATAGAAACAGAAAATTAAATTAAAATTCAAAAGAATACACAAGTTTGTTCTTCTTCCGTTTGATTTTGATTTTGATTTTTGATTTTTTTTTGTTTCTTTAATCACTTTTTTTTAAAAAAATTATTATTTGAATTATGTGTTTCTCAAAAAAAAAATATATATACATTTTTATAAAATTTCCAATAAAATATTATTTTAATTTCAAAACCAAACTAATTTTTTTTCAAACACAACCAAAAGAAACATATATTTATTTTATATAGTGCCAACTCATTCTTACAAAAGTGTATTTATTTATTTATTTTTTTTGTCAAACATAAAGAAAATAGGTAAACTTTTATAAGGCCGAGGTAGTGGTTAATCAAATGTGTCTGATTTATATTTCAAAGTTATAACTTTGAAGTGTATTTTATACGTTAGGTATGTAAATATGTTAATAATATAAACATACACAAGGATCAGTTGCTCAGCTGCTGATTCGGTCAAATTAGTATGATTAATAATATATGATATATTATAAATATGTTGAAATATGTATAAAACATACTATTTTCGTCCTAAAATTATAGTCTGAGTTGGGTTTGACACGAGATTTAAGGAATATTGATATTATATTGGTAGTGGGTAAAAAGTACAAATAAAAACTTTTTTCTGCCCTTGTGAGTGTATTAGTGTAAAAAGTAGTGGCAATTGTGTAATAATAATGAAAAAGTAAGAGTAATTTTATAGTGATATGGTTATTTATAGAAATGAAACTATTGTTTTGGGACGGACAAAAATGATAAACAGAACTATTGTATTGAGACGGATGGAGTATAATATTCATTCCTATAGCATATAATCTGATCAAATCAGCATATCACAGTAACTGAAGCCTATACAAATATAGATTTAGTTGAATTGCTGGTTTTTTAGTAGATAGAGTATAATACTATAACATACTATACTTTATTTGAATATATGTATATATATATATTATATATTTATAATATTAATTGAAAAAATATGTCATAATTGGAAAAACACACCCTTGATAATTTATAGGAAAAATAATACTCTCTTTGTTGAATTACAAAGTAAACATTTATTTTTGGCACGAAGTTAAAGAAATAATAGTATTGTAATTGTAGTGGATAGTTAAAAGTAGTGTAATTTTTTTCCTTTTTTATGTAAAATTAATGATATGTAAAATAGAGTTATTTGTGAAAAAAAATAGAGAATTTAATAAAATTATTACTTTGTAATTAGATAATTCAAAATATAAATATTTATACTTATGACTAGATGAAGGGAGTATATTTTTAATAATATGTGATTACACAATAAAGTAATAACTAAAAAAAATTTAAAAAAAAAAAACAAAAATAGAAAGCTTTTGTAGTAAAAATTTAACTAATATTAATACTTATATTGGTGGTTGGTAAAAAAATATAAGTAAAATACTTTTTTATCTTTTTAAATGTATTAATGTAAAAAATATTGAAATTTATGTAATAATAATGCAAAAATATAAATAATTTTATAATGATATGATTATTTATGAAAATAAAATTATTATTTTAAGACAGACAAAAATGATAAAACAAAACTATTATATTCGAACCAGATGGAGTATTTTTTCATTTTATCAACACCCTTGTCATATTAAGATGAAAAATCCAATAAAATGTTTAGTTTGCATATATCTAGACTCATTTATTTTATTATAAAGATTATTTTTATTAATGTCATTTTGAGCTAATTTAGTTTTTTTTTTTTTTTTTTTTTGTGTGTCTGTCAATCTTTTATTCTATTTGATTATCAACATACTATTTTGAAACAAACACAAATTGATGTAAATTTTAACGAAAAAAATTCATATTATATTCATGTATTCGTTTTTAAATTCGTATATATATATATATATATATCTATTTTTTTTTTATAATTTTTATTTCAACTTACCCCAACACAAACACGACAAACTTAATTAAACCCCATGCAAAATAGCTCTCCTTTATGTCTATACTCACTAGCACGAAAATGTAAATGTTTAAATAACCACACAAGATGCACAAACTGTTTTATTAATCTTTATACACTATATTCTAAAAACAAAATTGCATCAAAAAAATAAATTATAGTAACACTTAATATGGAAAACACAAATGTATTTAAATAAATCGATAAATATTGAAATTCAATAATAGCTGTTTTTATTTGTGTCAAGTTTAATTACTTGACCAAGAATCGGACGTTATAATTTATTAATTAATTGGATGAAATACTGACCATGAATGTAATTAATTTTTCGATCATTATTATTATTATTATTATTGGTAGAAATGAATTACAATGGGTCGAATAATTCAAGTTAGGCAGACTATATTATATAAAGTCGATAAACACTACTCATTTATTTAATTTTAACACATCATCAAGCTATTTAAATATGATGCAAATTGTAAGTAATCTGCAAACGTTGTGTATTATAGTTACAAAATCACAATCGTTAGAGTGCCCCTCAATCTTGACTAATTATAAAATTTTCCACTTTTGTTAGGGTAATTAGTAAATATTATTTCTTCGGCCATCTAAAAATATGCTCATATTTTGGACAAAAGATAGATATATAATAGATATGCCTTTTTTTTTTTTTTTTTTACCGATTTAAGAGAATATGAACATTTTTTATGATAATTATAAATAAAAAGAAAAAGAAAAAGAAAAAAGAAAAGCTTCGAATAGTATAGTATCACAAATTTGGTGGTTGTTATTGTGCTGAAGTTCATAGAATTTAGTGTGGTGCTAATATATATTTTCTTACGTATTTTTTTTACTATTTTTTTAGTATAATAAATATATTAATATACTAATACCATAATCTCTTATATAAAGGTTGATATCACACGATATAAGAGCATTAATACACTATACAAGTTAACATAATACAAGTATAGCACATGAACGGATAGCAAATAAAAGAATTTCATCGGTATAGATCGGTTGATGATCGGATCAAATTTACTGATTTGACTGGATCAACATATGTTATAGAGGTGATCCACATATATTTATATATATTTCAGTATATTTATAATATATCATATAATATAGCATATATTATCTTATAGGGGATTGTTACAGTGTTGATTTTAAAAAATCAGTAAATCAGCATAATATTGATTTTTCACATCAGCACACCTCATATTTGCAGACAGCACACATTAGTATTACACACACAGAACATGCTATGTACAATAAAGATATGTGTTGTTTTTTAATAGTAACAAGTGTGTTGTATACAAGTATGTCATGTGCTAAAATCAACTGTAGTGTGTGTTGTATAAGACTATAGCAGTTCATGTTGTATATGTATTATATTAACATATACAATATGCTATCTGTGGTAATATTGTGTGTTGTTTGTAGTTATATTGTGTGATGTTGGGACTATAACATGTTTGTTTTGTTTATATGTTGTATTTGTATTATATTAACATATACAGTATTTTGTTTGTAGTAATATTATATGATGTCTAATAGCACACAACATGCTATTCAACACAATACTGAATTTTAAATTCAGCGCTGTAGCCGCCGCCTTTATATTTTTTATTTTATTTTATTTTTTTCTTATGACGTGGGAACCCGCAGCCGTTATTCGAAAGTGTCCACTGGATATATATATATATATATATTTGATCATATGTAATATGTTGATTCGCAGCCCTCATACATCATATAATATGTGCATATTTTAGTAACCATCCCCAAGTATCATGGTCCTCGTCAAATACCCAACTTTCCATAATTTAATAGTAGTTCGTAATTTTCTAAATATTTTATTTTTTTTCAAGATTTCCACTCCCGCCATTCTTAATTAAGACAACATAACATATCTGTTGATCCTTCCACTATAAATACAGCCAAAAATGGCAGACATTCAATCACAGACCAAAATTTCAAATCCAACGGTAACTTATCGATCAAAATGGCCGTTACTCATAACCTCCTTCCAGTAATTATCAACCAATTCACTGCTCTTCTTCTTCTCGGATCCTTCATTTTCTTACTGCTAAAAATTCGAAGAGGATCAGGATCAGGATCCGCCAAACCCTCCGATAAAAATGTGAAATTACCTCCGTGCCCCCCGAGGCTGCCGGTGATCGGACACCTCCACCACCTCTCCGGCGGCCTGGCGCACCAAATGATGGCGAAAATGGCGAAGAAGTACGGACCCGTCATGCGCCTCCAGCTGGGCCAAGTATCGGCGGTGGTGATCTCATCCCGGGAGGCGGCGAAGGAGGTCCTGAAGGTCCAGGACCCCGCCTGCGCAGACAGGCCGGAGAGCATCGGGACCAACATCGTGTGGAAGGCAGACATGGTGTTCAGTCCGTACAACGATTTCTGGCGCCAAATGCGGAAGATTTGCATCATGGAGCTGCTGAGCGCTAAGAACGTCAAATCCTTCGAGTCTGTGCGGCGGGACGAAGTCTCCCGTCTGTTGCAGTCGATTCGGGCGGCGGCGCTCGCCGGAGAAGCCGTGAACGTGACGGAGAAGGCCGTCGGGTACGCCTCGTCGATGACGTGTCGGGCGGCGTTCGGAACCGTCGGAGCAGATAAACGCGACGTGCTTATAGATATGATGAAGAGGGCGAGCACCATGGCCGGAGGGTTCGAATTGGCCGACCTGTTTCCTTCGTCGAAGCTGCTGAATATCCTGTGCTGGAACAAGTACAGACTGAATGGGATGCGGCGGAAGGTCGACGCCATTCTCGACGTCATCGTCGACGAGCACAGGTTGAAGAGGAAAGGCGAGTTCGGCGGGGAAGACACCGTCGACGTTTTGCTTAGGGTTCAGAGCTCCGGCGAATTTGAGTTCCCGATTTCTAATGACAACATCAAAGGCGTCATTTACGTAAGTAACACTAAAAGAAAATATATTGAAATTTAGCTATAAAAAAATTCATAACAAAGGTAATGATTTGTAGCAAAATATTTTTGCAGTGAAATGATTTAGTTACGTGTTAGTAGAAGTCTTTAGTGACAATTACGACTTTCATAAAAAAAATATATATAAAAATATAATTGTTTAGCTAAATTTTTTTGCTATAAAATTAAAATTTAAAAACAGTTTTAACAGTAAAATATATATGATTTTTTAAGCCGATTTTAGCTATGAAAATAGAATTTTTTTAGCAAAAAATTTTAGCGACAAAAGTAATTTTGTAGTACATAATTTATTATTAGCGATCGAATTAATTTTTATTTCTAAACGATGCATTTTAATTACAAAAATATTTTGTAGTTAAAAATATTATGGCTAATTAGATATTATTTTTTTTTTAGTGTAATTAGGGTTTAGGGCAACATTTAATTTATATAATCTTATTAATAATGCTTGACTGATTGATATCTATATATATATAGGATTTGTTCTCGGCGGGAACTGAAACCTCATCGACGGCGATGGACTGGGCGATGGTGGAGCTGATGAGGTGTCCGCGCGCCATGGCGAGGCTACAGGCGGAAGTAAGAGAAGCCCTAAAGGGGAAGGAGACAGTTGAAGAAGGCGACCTTCAGAAACTGACATATCTAAAATGGGTGATCAAAGAAACCCTAAGAATGCATCCTCCAGTTTCATTGATACCAAGAGCTTGCAGATCAGACAATTGTACAGTCGATGGATACACAATTCCCAAGAATTCGAAAGTGATCATCAACGCTTGGTCTTTAGGGAGGGATCCTAAGTATTGGGACCAGCCCGACACCTTCATGCCAGAAAGGTTCGAAAACAGCACTGTAGATTTTCTTGGGAATAGCTTGGAGTTCATTCCATTTGGGGCTGGAAGAAGAATATGTCCTGGGCTTAACTTTGGATTGGCCAATTTGGTGGTTCCTTTGTCTCAATTGATGTATCATTTCGACTGGCACATGCCTGAAGGAGTGAGTGCTGATGACATTGATCTCACTGAGGAAGATGGACTTTCGATCTCGAGGAAGAACCCTCTTTTCTTGGTTCCTACACTCTACAATGATGGTGTTTAAGAAGTAAGAAATAAGTTGTCGTAAGATAATAAGTTTTTATAGGCTCAAGTTATTTCATGTGTTTTTTGCTTTTGCCTTAATAACAAGGGATGATCGATTCGATCTTTCCCGAAATAGAGTAGATATTATAAGTTTTGTGAAATATATATATATATATATATATGTTCACTTTGTATTCCATGGTCTTAATTTATGCATTCCAATGTTTGCTTAGTTGTTTAAAGATAAAGGATATATGTTTTTCTTTGGTGTTATGTTTTAGTTTTTTAATATTCCATTTCTGCGTTTGTCAATAAATAATATATATAAATATATATATATATAATATAATATCAAATTATTATTAATTTAAATCAAAGTCAAACCTCCAAAAAAAAAAAATTCTAAAGAAACACACCCAAAATGTTGGTAGTTAGTTCATTCTCTTGAAAACCCTAAATTTAACCCTTACTCCCTCATTACATATTTAATTCAACATATATATATATATATTGTATATCGTTGACAATGCTAATTTTCTGACTAATTTAAGACCTTCATCAACCAACCAGCAATGGCTTAAATCCAGACAAGAATAAACTATATATATAATAGAATATTTAATATAGACATTGATTCAAACTCTCATTGTAACAACTACTATAATAAAATATAAAATCAACTGGAATATCTAAATTAAAATATTTTATTATTTTATAACCTCTTTCTATTGTATATTAGGGTTCCTATTATTTTTAACTATTTATTCATGCTATGATTATATATTAAGTTTTGTTGGATATAAGTTTACTTTTTAACATATTTGAACACATGCCTAAATGGTTACAATTATTAATTTATCAAAATCCTAGGAACAATTATTAGGTGGATATTGTAATATCTCCAGAACTTCCTTGATGTTGTACAATTTCACTTCTCTTTTCTTTGAATCTTTGACTTTGATCTGCCAATATTTATGAGAAATATGGAGTACAAAATTAAATTAAATTTTGTAGCACTAATTTTCAACATTTGAATAATATTATTCCCAAAGGTAGAGTCTAATTTGATTCCACCTTATAAATTATATGACTCTGCAATCAAACAAAGGCCATTCTTTCTGGACACAACCAACCCATCAACTTCAGACATGTCGACATCTTCAGGCAGGATGCCGTCGGGGAGTTTCCAGTCGAAGTGATAGAGGAGCTGAGCCAAAACATACTCAACATTGGCTACACCAAACGCCATTCCGGGACATATGCGTCGACCCGACCCGAACGGGAGATACTCGAAATGATTCCCAAGAAAATCGATACCATTCGACTCGAACCTCTCCGGCTCAAAGCTCTCCGGATTCTTCCAATGCCGCGGATCTCTCCCTATCGCCCAAACGTTGACGACCACGTTGGTGTTCGTAGGAATTTTATATCCGTCGATCTCGAATTCTTCCCGGGATAATCGTGGGATGATCGAGGCCGGAGGGTGTAGCCTCAGCGTTTCGAATATAACCAATTTGAGGTACTTCAACGTGCGAATTTCTGACCCGTCGATTGTCTGTTTCCGTCGAAGGCGCGCCTTATTTCAGCCTGCACTTTCGCCATTACTCGAGGGTTTTTCATCAGCTCGGACATGACCCAGTCCACAGTTGTCGACGCAGTTTCTGTGCCACCGGCAAACATATCCTGAAAAGTTAATTCAAATTAGAACCCGAAACGAAATACGAAATTGTTTTTACAAAGAACTTACAAAAATAACCGATTTTATGTTTTCGTTGGTTATTGGGATGTCGAGCTCGCCATTCTCCTTCAATCTCAGTAGAACGTCGACTAAATCCTCGGCACCCGACTCACTATTGCTGTCTCTCGCCTGAGAACGCTTCTGTTGGTGTTTATCGAGTATGTCATTGAGTATCCCGTCTAGCTTCTTCCGTAGCCTCAACATCGCAAACTTATTCCAACTAATATAACCGAATATTTTCATCGAGGGGAACAGATCAGCCAAATCGAAGTGCCCGGCTTTACCGATCGCTTTCTTCATCAATTTAATTGCTGCGTCTTTGTCGACCAAAACATTGCCAAACGCAGCTCTGCACGTCATAGAATTCATGAACCAGGAGATTCTGTCGGTAAGGTTGAATGATTCTCCACGAGTCGACTTAATGACGTCGATAAGAACCGAAGCCTCGTCCCTCCTGATGTCCTCAAATGATCGAACACTTTTACCACTCAGGAGTTCCAATATGCAGACTCTCCGCATCTGCCTCCAATAATCACCGTACGAACTAAACACGATGTCAGAGGAGCTATACCACAGTATATCTGTAGCAATGGTCGTAGGCCTGTCAGCGCAAGACAGATCGTGAGTTTTCAGGACCTCTTTTGCGAGATCTGCCGAAGATACAATGATTGCATTAACCTCACCAAATTTGAGATGCATCAATGGCCCATACTTCTCGGCTAAATCTCGTAGAGGATAGTGATGCGGGAGTGAGCTTATGATGTGGTGCAAATGCCCAATTATCGGTAATTTGGGCGGCCCTGGAGGCAACTTTGTCTGCCTACCTGGACTGCTCAGTTCCTTCCATCCTTTGCTCATCAAGGAGAAGAAGGAAAGGGAGAGAAGTATACTGACGAAGTCGAAAGGAAATGAAAATTCCATCTGGGGCAAGCAAGGGGGCAGGGAAAATATCAGCTTGTTGCCAAACCTGTTTCTGTTTCCTCTATAACCTTTCTCGCTATCAAAACCTGAAGTTTCTTCCAACAAAGGATTCTCACACCTCCGGTTTCGGGCTACCCCCTCTATCTGTACATTCTTATTCGGCTCAGGACTGGACCAGGGGCAGCAACAGATGATGTTTCTTCTCTGTTTACGGTAAATTCCAGTAAAGTTTGATGTTGAAAACAAGGATGGTGCCTGGATCAATATGGAGGAATGAGACATGGCAAGACAAAGCAGGAAGGTTGCATCAAAATAATTAAAATTAGCTGAATCTGACTGGTATCGAATAGAAATGCTGTAGTATTAATGAAATAATTAGGTAGAACCATCAGTAGTGAAATGAGCATCATAATTACCTCCAAATAATTATGATAGCGTGCATCGGTTGACCTGATCACAAAACCACAATCGTCATGACAAAGCCTATCTTTGAGAACTAATTCGACATAATTGATAATAATAATAACAGAATTAAACCCAGAGACTTTTGTAATCCTTTGACTAATAAGGTCAGATATAGGCGTAGGAATTTTGCAAGCTATATCTTTTGGAAAAAGGGTGTTGAAGGCACACAATATATCATAAAAAATATTTTTTCCGAAGCATCAAGTAAATCTGAAAACAAAAAAGTATGTGGGAAAGGCAACAACTTTTTACCTAGAAATCAATTGGGAAACAATCAATCCAGAAACATTCGGTGTAAGGATCATGCCAAAATCAATCAAGAAAATTCATGTAAAAAAAGCAAGCAAGCCATCTTCTCCCAAAACTACCATCTGAGAAAGTGCAGCTGAAAGAATACTTACCCAGGGGAAGAATAAAACACCTGAAGATGCATTCTTCCTCATCCTTGGGGTTTGACTTTTTTCTCATTTAAAGGCTTTATTTGGGCTTTCATGGGCCATGGCATGGACCAAATCCAAGCTTAATAAGTATTAAGCCTCTAATTGCTACCAATGGGTGCTGATAATTGACATCCAAGAAGTATTAGGCAAAAAGTCCACAACAGAGAAGCAAATAAATTTGTTGGATTACCCTTGGTTCTGATTCTTGATAACTTGGAATTTTCCCTACAGCAAAAATTATTGAAAGTCTAGGTGAGGACATGTAATATATATTCTAAAAAAGAAGGTAAATGTAGATATGAATCACATGGTTAGTTCAAGCTAGAACACGAAGATGATAAATTTACCTTCGGAGGATATAATCTACAAAGGAAATTTCGCCCTTGGGACAGTAAGAATGGGTATGACAACACCGTGGACCGTATGATTAAGCTCCCGGTGGAGAATTGCTCTATTTCAAGCCCCCACTTACTAGAACATCATATGTTGAATCATCGGGTACAAGACCTCTATCAAGCATTTCATCATGCAACCGAAAAGCCTCTTGCAAATTACCTACCTTGAAATATCCAGCGATAAGTGTATTATAAATAACTTCATTTGGAGAAACACTTCTTTTGTGCATCTCCTCGAGGATACTGCAGGCACTGTCCATTAGTCCTTTGTCGCACATACCACGTATTAAAACAGAGTATGTAACAATATCTGGCAATATATCCTTGGAAAGCATCTCCTGGTACAAATCTGATGCAAGCTGTGAATACCCCATCTTTAGAAGCCCATCAATCAAAGTTGTGTAAGTAGCTAAATCACACTGAATCCCCTCCTTTTTCATTCTTTTAAATACGCCAAGTGCAGCTTCTATGTTATACAGGTCTCTGAAACCACTAATCATGGTGTTGTATACAGCTGTAGTTGGTGTTAGACCAACTTCTAGCATTTCGTCAAAGAATTCACATGCACTCCTCATATCCCTTCTTTTGCAAAAGGCATCAATAAGAGCATTATACATAGCCAAATCCATTTCAATACCTTTAGAATGCATCCCACGATGCACCTTCAAAGCAAGCTCGATATTTTCGCTTTTACAAAGCCCATCAACCAAGATGGTGCAAGTAACAGTGTTGGGGGTGTGTCCAGCTTTACACATCTCCTTATAAATAGCCAAAGCAGAGTCAATTTTTCCTTCCTTAATAAAGCCACCAATAATGCTATTGTAAGTCATACATGCAGGACTGAAACCCATTGCTACAAACTTATCCATTTTATCTCTTGCTATGATGGTTTGCCCGACTTTGCACAACCCACTGATGACTGTATTGAAAGCGTAATCATTGGGGACGACTCCTATTCCCAACATATGGTCAAATAAACCCATGGCTTTTTCAGTTTCACCTTTCTTGAAATGTCCATCAATTAAAATGCTATATGTGACAACATTTGCAGCCAAACTCTTTGATTGCATTTCAGAAAGTAAGTCCAGTGCAGCATCCATATTCCCTATTCTGCAGTTTCCCAGAATAAAAATATTATAGGAAACCTTAGATGGCTCGACTCCCTTATAAAACATTTTATCCCAAATCCTGTAAGCACCCTCCAATTTACCTCTGTCACAGAAATAGGATATCAGATTATTGTAGGTGAAAACATTGGCAATTCCATCATTAACAGCTTCATCAAATAACTCCATTGCCTGATCCATCGAATGAAACTTTAAATACCCTCTAATTAAAGAATTTACAATGAACACGGTTGGTTGGATACCCGCAGATTTCATCTGTAGGTGCAATGTCCTCGCCTTCTCCATATACCCATTTTCACAGCACCCTTCTATGAGGACTGCATAAGTTACCTTGTTTGGGACAAGCCCATCCTCTACAACCTTATCAAATAAAGCCAAAGAGCTTTGCAGATTACCCTGCTGATAATAACCCTTCATCAAGCTAGTTGCAACAATCAAATTCATTCGGTGCCCGCTGTTAATCATCTCATCCTTCAACACTAAAGCCTTCATCATATTCCTCTGCTTCACACAATGACAAATTACAACTGTATATATTCCCTCAGAAGGAACCCAACCCCTCCCCTTCATTTCACTTAACAATCCTGAAGCCACATCGGTTTCCAGCTTCAAACAAGCTCCCCGAATTGCAGTGCAATAAACACGGGGCCCAAGCTCGACTCCACCTTGCTTTGCCTCCTTAAAGTACTTGTCAGCTTCTTGCAGCTTTCCTTCTCTGAGACTCGCCCGCATCATCATTTCGACAGTAGAACCATCATAACTAATTTTCTTTGCGACAACATCTGTAAATATTCTATGCGCAACATCTATCATATTTGCCATAACCAATGAACTCAAGAAATTATTGACAATCCGGACTGAATTCATGATGCCACGAGAAACCAATGCATAGAAACAATCTTCTGCATCTTTATAACGCCTAGATATAACATATTCACTCAATAGATAACTAAGAGTCCGTGGCCTAAGCCCAAAACCATACCTCTCCGAACAATCAATCAAACGATCGTGCAGCGCAACACCTGATAAGGCAAAATCACCGGACAAGAAATTATTAATCAAATTCCTAAATGCAGCATAATGAGTTGACGAACTCCCAAGAATGTTAAGCAGAACGAAGAACGAGTCCCCAATTTCCAGCACGAAACCACGCTGTTTCTCTAGCCATTTGAAGTACTCAAGAGCTGCCTGAGGATCGTTTCTGTGGGACAACAGGTTATTCACAATAAAAACATGACTCAATTGCGTCGTTTCTGAAGCCAGGGGCCGAAAATTTGGGAATTTGTTTCCACTTGGACACTCTGAACTCGGACTTGCGTCAACAAATTCAGAGGTTGGACTGGATGCGCTTGTAGCTCTATCGATCAGAGAAAGAGATGAATAATGATATACCATTGAAGATTTGGCATGGACGAATGAAAAGAGCAACCTTGAAGAAGAAGAAGGAGACTGCAGTGACGATCTCATCGTCACGGGATTTACCTCCGAAGAAGATGGAGATTCCTGTAAACCCTAACTAAACCCTTTCTGCATTTGACGATTATAATTTCTGTTCATATATATATTTTGTTTCATAATTTAGATTAGGTTTTATTAAATTTCTATTAAATTTTAAATGATATCAGAGTCAAAGTTCTAAAATGTAAAATTGACAACAACGGCTACCATTGTATATCCTTTTTCCGATTACTTGAAAGATCCTGGACTTGCAGCACCAAACGAGCCAAACAATTAATTGGGCGTTGTGGTCCAAGGCGCTCCCAAGGATAGACGAAGTGCTGTTGCCCTACTCTGTACAGTTGTTCTGGACTCCAGTTCCAAATAGATTAGCACCGTCGAAATAATCAATTTAAGGGTGAGGTTCGATCTGGTGTCCAAGTCCTGGGAGTCCAAACAAACGTCGCCGGTCTGATAATCCAATGCTCCAAACTTCGTCTTCTTCCTGAAACCTCGACGCTATCGCCATGGCCGTCTGCTCCCCACCCTCTCTGCATATTATATCGTTAGAACAAACAACAAGTCTTCGTCTTCGATCACCACAACGATTAAGGGAGATCGACAATCATGGCTAGTCGGGTTCACGAAACGATCCTGGAATGCATCAACGAAGCCCAATCGTCAGTCTCCATTGAAGACAAGAAGCAAGCGCTGCAAACTCTGGTAACCGTCACCAAAGTCAGCCCCCAAAACCGCAACCTGGTGGCGCAGACCGACGCCGCCGTGGCTACCCTCCTTGACCTCTCCAAATCTCCCGATTCGCTGCCGCAGATTCAGACCCTCTCGCTTTCAGTGCTCTTCAATCTCTCGTTAAACCCTAATTTGAAGCTCTCCCTCGCCCGATTGGACACCATCCTCCTCCTCAATGATCTCGTTCTTCTCTCCAGCTCCGACGAGCCTCGCCGCCTCGCCGCCTCCTTGCTTTGTAGCCTCGCCATGCTTGACAAGAATAAAGCCAAATTCGGCGTCGCCGGCACCGTTCAGGTCCGTTCTAACAACATTCTAATGCACATAGACCTGTTAAAGCGAATCAAGATCTCGTTTCTTTTAACGTAAACGAGTTCGAATATCAACTAACTAATATAAATATTTAAAATTAGAGAAAATTGTAAAAAATATTATATACTCTATTATCATTTTTACGCTCAAGTAGCTATTTATGTCATTTTGCAAAAAAATATCATCCTATATTTATTTTACTGACAATATATATTTGTCTCGTTTATGTCGTTTGGCTGCGAGACCGACTGTTCACACCACCCACACGCACACGCGGCTAAATAATAGAAATAATAATTTTTGTAAATATATAGGATATATAAAAAGTAATAATAGAATATACATATAGTATATCTTTTACAATTTTATCTGTAAAATTACGTTCAGCTTGTTAGCATCTCTAAATGCACTTAGGTATGTATTTTCCTTCAATCTTCTTCAGGTTCTGTTGAAGGCAATTTCGGGGCCCCGGAGCACAGCGGCGCACCATCTTCTCAGCTCGCTGGCGGAGCTAGTGCAGTTCCATGGAAACTGCACGGTGGCAGTCCGGGCAGGGGCTGTGCCGGTGCTAATAGCTGTGGCAGAGAGCACGAACGGGGAGGATCTTTCGGGAACTGCCTTGTCGATTCTCGGGCTTCTAGCAAGATTCGAGGAAGGGCTGAACGAGCTGCGAGAAGCCGAGAGCGTGGTGGCGCGATTGGTCGGAATATTGAAGAGAGGCTGCATGTTAAGCAAGGAGGGCGCCTGCGAGATTCTTCTCCGCTTGTTCGAGGAGAGCCAAGACTGCCTGAGAGAGGCTGTGGAGCTGCCGGAGTTCTCGACAGTTCTCGCAGATGTCTCTGTCAGGGGTTCCGGCCGGGTCCGGGAGAAGGCCGCAATGCTGATGAAGAAAATCATGGATGCTGATCTGTTCTAAGATTCTTGAATTTATATGTAGAATCGCAAGCTATTAGGTTTGATCGAAAATTATCAGTTGTATAGGCTGCAGGTTCTGATGTTACTAAAAAATGAGATGAATTTAACCAAAAAAATATAAAGATTAAGAAAATAAAAAATACTGCTGTTCAGATCCAAAGTAATGTAGAATAGCAAGTAATGATGATCCATAAATGATGAAAATTTGTATCTATAGAAAGCAATCTAATGGGGTCTCCTTCCTGAATGGATGTTCTTCTCCAAATGAAATTAGAAAGAATAATTGACCAAGAATTCCCTATACCATGTAGTCTTGTAGTAATAAATTGGACAGGTTCTCTATCTTGTATTGTGTCTCTCTCATGAAAATCGAATCATCATCCCTTTTCCCCATATTCTCTATCTACAAGCAAAGAACCAATAAAAGATAAATTGTAAGATTGAAAAGGGATTAGGACTAGAAGAAGTTTTAGAGGCCAATGATGTCATTTCATTAGTCTAGAAACATGATACAGACCAACTCCAATCCCCCATCATTGTGCTCTTGCAAATGTATATACATATGTACATATGAATACATACATATATATATATATATATATTATACGACCCTCGAAGTGAAAAGCATCTTTGTACCTGGCACGTGAGATCTCATGGTTGATCAGCAGCAATTTTGGGGAAGGAAGCATCTAGCATGTTCTGGAATCTGACAAATAATATTTGCATTTGAGAATACAATTGATAATATCGCAAGATATATATATATATATATATATATAGCAACTCCACACTGAATTACCTCATTTGTTTTGGTGCTGAGTGTTCTGAGGATCGTTGATCTTCAAAGGCACAATGCTTTTAGAATCAGTGCACGGGGAAAGAGGTGGGAAGGATGGAACAGACTTCAAGATAAACCTTCTGACACCAATCGATGAACTCGAGCCAAACTCTTGCTGGCGATGAGGAGGAGAAACACGCTTCTTGTTAGGAGAGGTGACTTTGACAGCACTGATAGGGGTCGGATTGTCCTTCAATATATCCGGTGTATCATCCTCGGAGACGTTTGATAATTCACCATTGCGCTCAATCATTTTCCGATATTTAGAGCCACTTATCTGAACCACGGAAACAGGGGTGTTAGGAGAACCCCGGCATTTAAGGGGCCTAATTCTTGAATAATTTGATGACTCCAAAGGATTTGGCAGGGCAGAAAGATTCTGCATTTTCTGAGGCTTGTGCCTAATTGTTGAGACTTCATGCATAGGCTCTGGTTTATCAGAAAATATGTGGTGACGGGAAGGTACCAGATCCATCATTCCCGGTGCAACTTCTGAGGTCATGTCATCATTATAAGGAATTCTGGGAGACCCTGGAGACATCATATCCTGAGGTAGAAGGGCGAGACTTGATTCCGGCGACTGGAAGTAATTTCTGGAATGGGACCACAACTCGGATCCTTCCTTGATGTGCCTAATGAGTTGAGATGCACAATTAATTTGAAACAACACGAGATATTAGATTCATTAGCATCATGCTTAAAGCTATTTAGGATTCTGGTAGAAACTAATCTTACTTGGACTGAGGTGCTGGTGTAAGAGGAGTCAAATTGTGAGGATCGGATGCTAAATTAACAGATAAAGCCTTTCCAGATGCCACAGCCTTCTCGACAGGTGATTGTTCCATTGTATCACGAGCACCTTCTTCACATACAGTGTTCCTGACTGTGATATATGCTGCGAGAAACAGGAGAATCTATATCAGACATGTCAATAGACATCCAAAATGTGCAGAACTTCAACGAGTTGGTGACAAAGGAAATTTCATTCATGTTCATGCTAATTGTTAGTTTCCAAAGAAACGTGCAAAAAGCTAAAGCAGCTAAACTTGATACAAAGATAATTCACTAAATTAGTTAGCATAAGCCACAGTATAAATATATACCATCAATCATCAACAAGATGAGGCTGTTGTAATCAGAAACAAATCCACTAACTCCAAGAATACTTGGAGAAACACATCACTCTGTAGTTTGGAAGATTTTGACTACTTGTACAAATAGTCTCTTATCGCAATAAAAAGAGCACAAACAGAATCAACATATAGTCGACGTTACTCAAACAGTAATGCCTTCTCTATGTTTTCCATATTGTGCATATTACTACACTCTGGCAGTTGATTGTTGTTATTCAACCATAGTAATTTTAAAGTCTAAAAGTTTAGAATCCAATTTTAGTAATTCAAAGTTAATCCAATAGTAATGCTTCCTCTATGTTTTCCAAAGCACGACATGTCGAAGAATAACACAAAAGGATGTGAATCTCCAAAGGGAGCTTTAGTGGGCTTTATGGCTTTAATTTCACATGGTATTCATGGGAAGCAGACATAAATAATACATTTAAGACATGCCTGCCTGGAATTTGGTAAGTTTGAATGATACTGTAAATATAGTGAAAATAAAACTCTCAACAAACCAATCTAGATGGAATTCTAAGCATCCACACTCTTGATATGAATAACACAGGTTCTTAATAAATACTATAAAGACAAGCCAAACCGGCATTTATCCATTGGTAATGAAGTAGAACATAAAAAAATATGATTAAACCTCTGGGAAGCGAAATGAAGCAATTATTGCTGCATTAGGTTTCTTAACTGAAGTAAAACTTAAAGATTGTGGTAGTCATGGTGCCAAGAGAAAGCCTTTACTCACTACTCAGATATATAACCTAATGCTGGGTCAAATAAACGATATCTCACTAAGAAAGCTAACCATGACATTTTGATGCATGACCAAAAGAGAAGAATAAAAACAATCAACTGATCAGAGTGTATTAATATGCATATTTGTAAAATCTTGAGTGGTTATTACAAAGCTTAATACTAGAACATAGTTCCAACATTAATCATCAAAATGATTCATTAGAAAGTTTTGACAGAAAACATGCTAGTAATGACATGAAGCAGCCACTCATAATAGCGTTGTAGTTGACTCATACCTTCCTTCTGGCCGAAAACATTTTGGCATCCTTCACAACGACAGCCACTTGAACAACCAACATTTGCCTTTCCCACACAGAAGATACCCATTCAAAATGAATCATTTAAATAAACAAAAGTATGATTTAGGAAAGAGAAAGAAAAAAAATACATATATACATATATTACAATTTGGAGACCAGCCAACGCTTACCTGGAAGCACTCACAGTACTTTTTGAGACACAAGGATTTTTTGCAATTGCACCCTCTTTTGTGCCTTGATGATGATGGTGTAAAATGGTTTCCTTTGTCCTGCAAAAATAGAAAGTCAATATCATCTCACAAGCACATTTCAGGTATAATTTCTTTAGGCATGATACACCATAAGCGCTTGCAACACCTCATTGATCACAACTTTAGGAGCAAATGCAAGAGGATTCCGAGATTCAATTTGCTTCCGTGTCTCAAGAACTGTAAACTCTTGTTCAGGTCGATTACAGCAACCTTGGCAAGCACAAGGACCTGCACAATATATCCCCGCTGCAAAGCAATCGCAATAACTGCAACAAAACAGGTAATTTATAGGTGAAATGGTTTGCCGCAAAACATAACTGATAACACTCTGCAGAACTTACAGCTTCAAGCAGCGACTCTTTTTACAATTGCACCGTTTGCAACCATCACCGTCACCGGAATCTGACAATTTCTTCCTAAGAAATCACAAAAAGATTAACCTTTGCACAACAAAGCAAACATAAATCTGAAGAAAACAGAATATGATTCATATGCCTGCCTTTTTTGGGGGGAACTAGACATAAACTCGTCAGAACCACCATCTATGTCGCTGTAGTTTCTCTTACTACCTAAAGTTGAGTGATCCTCCATTGGATTCAAAATATCAGAAGGTCTGACAATCAAAGCAGTACCAGAACTAGCTGCCATTGAGGAATGGATTTCATGCTGATTGTTATCAGTGCTTGCTGGAGCATGCTGTGCTTGATGAGATACTGAAGAGCTATTCGAATTATCAGATAAACTAGGGTTGGTTGAAGATATGAACTTCTTTCCCCTTACACAAAGGTTAACCTGCTGAGCTGATCGCACCCGTACAACTGCATCAGATCCAGCATTCACAATACTGTTTAGGTGCAACCCAATACCTGATGGTTTGGGAGGATTTTTGCCAGATCTAATATTTTTGGGATACAGTTCAGCACGCCTCTCATTGTGGGTACTCAATGGAACTTCCAGGAATAATGATTCCGGGACTCCAATGTCTGAAGGATTTTGAGCAAGCTGATTTGACAGTGCTTTTTGCTGGGTGTCTTCAAACTGAAGACAACGCCTACGGCGGTATAGAAAAGCCTGAATATTTGCAAAACATTAAAGGTAGAAAATAGTAAAAAAAGAAGAAAGAATTTGAAGATTTCACTAATTTAAATAGAATGTAATACAGCAAAAGTGGAAAGAAAAAACATTAATTTTTGTACATTTCCTTTCTTGCTCATTTTTAAACAGAGCTCGGAGAAAAATTTACAATTTGTAGCAGTTAAGACAATCAACAAAGTCGATTAGAAAATCTATTTCTCTTTCCAGTTAATCAAATAAATCATGAAACAGAATTTGCATCCAAAAAATGCCAAAGAAATATACAGTCCAATGTAAAATAGCTACTTGAGGAAGTAATACAATCATTATGCCTAGCAGGGTCTAGGAAAATGTTTTATTTACTCAAAATCCCATTTCAGACCTTAACCCTAAATCAAACAATCCCAGATCTTAAATAAAATAAAAATAAAAGCCTCATTTAAGAAAAGTAGCAGCAACTTCCCATGGAACATGAAATAGATGCCACAAAGGCAACATATTCCACAGGAGCCATTGTTACTCATCAGGTCTTCATAAAGAAAAGAGAATTTGCATTTAGCACATGCAAATAAATGACAAGACTATGATGCACACACGAAGAAGTTGAAGTTGCAGCAGCACTATGGAAATATATATGAGATTCAGTGATGAATAATAAAATATACATATATAATATAATAATAATAAGATGATCTATTCATTTGATCGGAACTCTCAAGCATACATACAGGTTTAAACTCATTCAAGTATCAATACTCAACACAAAGGAAGGGAGTATGGAAGTGTAAGTTGAATATGATGTTATGCACAATTCTTCTAGTAGAGCTTTATTTCATCTCTACTCAAATAAAGATTTATATAAGGCATTCACTTGATTAACACTTGGCATCCCATCATGAATATCTAAAATATTTATTCAAGAGTGTTACCTTTTGACTTTGTTGCGATAGATTGGTAACGCATTTAATGCATTATAGAAGTAGTAAAAATTATCTACTATCAATATAAGGATGTGTAAAAAGCCCTTAGCATTGAACATGAAACAATTTTTTTACACACAGAAAGTAGAGAAGGTTAAATGAGAAACTCATAAATCTACACACATAATATGAGATATATATGCATCAGTCAGGAAAAAAATAAAGACAGAAATTTGAAAAACTAAGGACAGTAATGAACAAGACACTGGAAGAAGAAAGCAAAGAATGGCTAATTAATATAAGGTTTGGGATAGTTTCTTTGGGTTCTTAAAATTCTGATTCGCAATCAGATATGATTAATGGGCTTGCATGTATAATAGGCATAGCCAAATAGAATTTATTATAATATGTTTGGTTTTGGATATATTATTGATGCTTCAGAAAAGGCAAGAAAGACCAACGATCCAAATGGACAGAAAACTTATTTTTCCTCCCTCACACTTCTCATGTACATTAACAAATATTCTAAAGCTAATTATTACTTCTCTGCAATTCTAAATATACCTTTCTACAAATATATACTCATCGCCATATGTTTATGGCTTCAAAACTAGCAATTAACCTTGTAAACTATCTCATCCTCCACTGTCACATAACTAAAGTAAACAAATTAAACAAGTGATTGCACCATTCATATACTGTTCAGATCAAGAATTCAAATTCAACCCTCAGAAAATCAACCCAAAATAGGAAACTACCTATGATAACATATAAATCATTCCACAAAAAATAATTGTTAAAACCTCATTATGTGGCCCCGATTCAGTGTATTCAACATAGTTTACATTATCTTTCTTAGTTTCCACTGATCCTGAGAGCAAATTTGAGGATTGATCCAAGGCACCAATCTGCATCACTTCTAAGCACTGAAATATCAAATAAAACAGGTTGAACGATTACTTGACGATAAAAAAGTATATATATATATATATATCAAATAAAGCGGGCCGATAAATGAATATGCAGTTTTGATATCGTACTAAATGCAATTGCTTTAGGGTATCACTGACCCGAGTTTTGGCTTTATAGTCATGATTTATCCGAACATGATCAACAGGTAACTTAGAGTTCATCTTGAGATGCGGGGCAAGTGAAGTCTCATCATCTTCCTGCTTTATATCACTCTCTATCATACTCGTATCTGTTGCTGTATTGATTATAGATAGCTCCTTTATTTCCTTAACTGTGCCCGAAGGCCCAACAGCTGTCTCACTAATTCTTTTATTGTTTTGGTTCCTGCATTTTACATCAGATTCATTCAATGCTGTTACAGCAAGTGGTGGTAGGTCAGCATTCCCGGGTTCTTTAACAGATGAATCCATCATAATGGTTGGATCAGTAGGACACGTGTCCCCATCATCGCACGTGAACAGATCAGTACATGCTTCAGGACTTCCGGTATGATCATCCATGGAGGCATGGCTATGTGAGTATTTTTCATCACAAGTAACTTCCGCAGTGGCCAACGGAACACTTTGATTTTCAGCTGCATTACTAGAAATGACATTATCCTTGCTACGCAAATCATAATCTGGAGGACGTGCCCTGAATTAAATACACCGTCAAGAAAATTTCTTAGAACACAACCCCAATTACTTGCAGGTGAAGAAAATACAGTTCCTTCAAAATGCAAAACAACTTCAACATAGTAAAACCTTTTAATAGATGTTAGCTTGTAGCGGTAACTGAGCCGGGGTGACGTGAACACAAGAGGCGGAGAATTGAGTCCCGGGAAACCTTGTGTAACTGGCGATGCCTTGACTGGCTGTATGGGAGAAAGGTTGCTAATGAAATTGAAAACAGGAGAGTCCTGACAATCAACAGAAGGAAAATGTCAGGAGCAGAAAAACAAAATCATACATCTAAGATTATAAATTACAAAATCCCACAGCCACATCTGTAAAGATTTTTCTCACAACCAACACAGTCAAATTCTCAAATGCCCAATCCATAAATGCACCATAAATTAAAACAATCAAAACGCACAACACTCGAATTGTGTAACTGAAACCCCAGCACGGCGAAAATACATCAAACCTACGCCGAATTCCCACCACAACAAACACAAGAACCGGTTAGGCAGTGTCTGCCCACGACGAAGAAAGCATAACATTTCAACATATTAAAGAATCAATCCAAGATCCGAGCCCTAGTTTACCAGAAATTCCACACAAAAATAGCAGGACCAGAAACGAACAAGCAAAACCAAAAATAAGCTTAATCCTGAGTTTCAACAACACAAATACAGACGCTATACAAACAAGCACATCGACAAGCCTCGAAAGCAAGCGAACAATCAAACAAATAAATGAGAACCGAGTGTACTTGAACAGGGGCAGCTTCAGCAGAGGTTGTCGCGGCAATTTTGCAAGATTTAGGAGTATCCATGTTCTTGAAACCCTAATGGTTCCCTCCCAGCCTGCTCAGCAGCAGCCACTGCATATATGTATGTGTTTGGTTTTTTAATCCCTCCATAAATGCGGTTTTACTTGCTGGAGGCGAGTGGAGTGTGTCTCCAATCAATGTTGTGACTTGTGACGATGATATTCATATCGCATTTCCTTACGTGTAATTTATCAAATAATAATAATAATAATACACTGTGGATTTTATTTTTATTTAATATTTTAATTTAAAATGTTTTTTTAATGTAAATTATAAAAAATTTTATAGTAACGTATACTCCTTCGTAACGGATACTTATACTAAACTTATACATAATATATATATATAATATTTTATTTATTGATAATTTTATTCTCTTATTTTAACAAATAATATAAAATTTATCATTATATTTTATACTCACCTACTACTTTTTTTATTAATTTTTGAATAAATTTTTTATAACGCTCAACCATTCCTTTTACCCACTTTATTTTTACATATTTGACAAATTTAAGGGTATTGTAAAAAAATTTTAAAATTAATTTTAAAAAATGGATAACTAAAAATACAGTTTCAAATCAATTATAATTTATTAAAGTAAAATTAATAAATTATAAATAGATAAAAATTATTTTAAAATATTCCATAAATATATATCTGTATCATGTAAAATAATTGTTTCAATTAAAAATTTGAATATTTAAACCTCAAACTCTAAATTAAAATTTCACGAACATATACAAATAGCATATATGTAAAGAATTTGCAACCCGACCAACCAAAGTCTATGTTTTAATTTTATACTAGTATTTGCAAAATATATATATATATATATATTTGGTCTATTTGGTTTGAGATTTTAAATTTTGATTAGTTTTTTATTTGTAAAAATTGAAATTGGAATCAAATAAAATTAAAAAATTTTCAAAACAAAATTAGTTTGATTACGTCAAACAAATGCTCAAAATTATAATATTATTTATTAATATATAATTTTTATTTTTTTTAATTTGATATTTTTTATTAATCAAAATTAAAAAATTAAAAATCATAATCTAACTGAAATTAAAATTTATAAATTCGATTTTAAACTAAATCAAATCAATTAATCTAGCTGTCCGAACTTTTTTTTTTTGATTTATTATTTAAATTTAATATTAAAGGAATGTATAAATGAAAGTGCTTCTTAATTCTCCTTCCAAAATATTATTGTAAAATAAAATTTTAAATAAATGAAATTTAAATATGTTAAAAGTGAATTGAATAAAAAATGAACAATGGGAAAATGGATGCGTAGGGTACTTTGGGTAGGGTTTTACAGAAGAAAAAATACGAAAAAGAAAAAAGATATTCGGTCTTCCACCCGGCGCAGCATCGAAGACGAAGATGAAGCTGAAGGTGTTGGAAAGCCATCTTGGATCACTGCAGCAATTCGGAAATGCAAAGGTCTCTCTTTCCTTTCCTTCGAGCATTTCTTTTGTTGGAATTTCCTTTTTGTTTTCTGCATAGTTATTTATGTGCTGTGGAATCCTCTTCAGATTGAATTGGAACAATATCCAACGGGGCCGCATATCGCATCTCGGATGCTTTACACTGTAAAATTTCTATATTCCGTTGCTTCTTTTTTCAATTGTACCATCTTCTCGTCTGTTGCTGCTGCTGTGTGAGTTGTGTGTGTGTGTGTGTCTGCACTTTTTGAATGACGCGAATGCTTCTCTATACGGGTGCTAAAAGGCTGTTATTATCAGGCGGAAAATTCTTTTGGGGATGTGAGCGGTAAGGTAGTGGCTGATTTTGGGTGTGGTTGTGGAACTCTTGGGTTGGCTGCTGGACTTTTGGATGGAGGGTGAGTAGGTGTGGTTCTCTCCGGTCTGATTCTTGTTTGGGTTATGGAATTTTGTTCTATCAAATGTGGCGTTGTTGATGATGCTAGTATTGTTTGATCAGCCATGTTATTGGATTTGATATCGATGCAGAGTCGATCGAAATTGCATCCTCTAATGCAGATGAACTAGAGGTACTTTTTGTTTGCATTTGCATTGAAAGGGTTTATGTGAAAATGTTCTGAGAATTTTACATTTAAAGCTGGAAACTGGAGAAAAGAACATTTTGTGCTTAAATTTCTCAGTTTAATTGATTTTTTTTTTTTTTTGGATTTGGTCGTGGATATCATGATGTGACTTGATTCCATTTGGTGTTCGAGATTATGAAATGTTGTTTGATTATTGTCTACTATGTGATGAATTCCTGTTTGCAGATAGACATGGATTTTGTTCAATGTGATATCCGGAATTTAAAATTATCAGGTAATATGTCTTCTTTGTCACGCTAGATGTATCTTCAGAATGCAAGGTGATATGATGGACTCCTACAGAATATTATGAGATTTCATAAAGTCAACAAGCTCCTAAAATGTCTAATCATAAATATGTCCTTATTTCCTGTTATATGTGCACATTTCGGTTTCGTGGCAAAGTTAAATGTTGACTGCTTCTTTCACTTTTGAAGATCAAACTATTGACACCGTTGTAATGAATCCTCCATTTGGAACAAGAAAGAAAGGGGCTGACATGGAGTTTCTCTCTATGGCTTTGAAGGTACTGCAAGAGCTACAGTGTAGTTTGTGCTGTTTTAATGAATGTATAACGTGTTATTTCCCTTGTTGAATTGTTTTTTATTCATCTTGTAATTAATTGATGTGGCAGGTTGCTTCTCAAGCTGTTTATTCACTGCACAAGACTACAACAAGAGAGGTAACTTGGGATCTTATACAGCGTTTATTACTTTTGGCTTTGAATGTCCCTTATGTATTCTATTAATTGAAAATATCATTTTAATTGATAAGTTGTCTAATTGGTGTGATGTTTTGGTTTGTGTTTTGATGTTTTTGAGGTAAAATATATGTTTGATATGATGTTTTGTATGAAAAAATGAGTGTTGGATATGATATTCTTTTTAGGGAACTTGAAACCTTAGATAGTGAAAAAAAAAGACACCAAATGGAAAATGAGTGTTGTATGTTATACAGCGCGTATTACTTTTTGTTTTTAGCATCCCTTTATAGATTCTATTAACTGTAAATATGGTTTTAATTGATAGGTTGCCTAATTGGTGTGATGTTTTAGTTGTGTTCTTAATGTTTTTGAGGTAAAAATATAATTGTTGAACATGATGTTTTGTATGAAAAATGAGTGTTGGGCGTGAATGTGATATTTGTTTAGGGAATTGGAAGATTGAATAGTGAAAAAAATAAGAAATAAAAAGAAACACCAAAAATGAATCCTTCCAGTATCTTTCCTCCACTTATGTTGACATATTTTAAATATGTTTTTATCATCATAAATGATAGTCTTTCTTTCTCTAAATCAAATCAAAATTACCTTTTCCCATTTTATAATTTTTGTGGATATTACCTTATGTCGGTCTCTTGTGATTCTCTTTTTGAGGCTAATGGTAGTTTTCTTCTCACGAAAATATTTAATATTTCCCTCAACATCATCTAAGTTACCGATTGAGGGATTGGGAGGAGGAATAATTCACATTGTTCTTTATGCTTACATGAAATGACACTTATTTTTTTCCTTTTAAATATTTAATTGATCTTTATTTTCTACTCATCCAGATCAAGCATTATCGAACGATATAACTGTGGAGGAATATTTTTATTTTTTCCCTATTCTTATCTCATTCCTTTCCATGGAATAAGGCATAAAACTTTTTACCTAAACCAAAATCTTCCAAGGGATCTTTAGCAACTACATTCCTTGAAAGAAAAACAAACATAACTATATGAAGTTATTTGTTATAGAATTCGATCTTTTTTAGGACTTTTCAACTGCTAAAAGTGAAAATTACAGTGGAACTACCGAAGATATGCATAAAGATTACACATTGCATATTGTGATCTTCTATGGCAATCAGTGCAAGATGTCAATGCTATTTTCATACTGTAAATTTATTACTGCAGCACATCAAAAGAACTGCCCTGAGAGACTATAATGCTAGCAGCGCCGATGTTCTCTGTGAGGTACGCGAACTTGGTTTTATATTTCAATGGGCATTTCAAAGCATCAATATTTTATTTTAATTTATTCATGACTGTAGCTTCGGTTCGATGTACCCCAACTCTACAAATTTCACAAGAAAAAGGAGGTTGATATCGCTGTGGACCTTTGGAGATTTGTCCCGAAAAGCCGTCCAGGTATGCATTCATAGCATTACAGTTTGAGATAGAGACTGGAAATCCTATGACCTACATTTGTGTTTGATTTGTATTTGCTTTTATGGTTTTGGAAAAATATTGGTTCATGAAGGGAGAAAACATGGAAATCAATTTGACATATTAAAAAAAATAAATAAATAAAAGAACAAAGAATGAGTAATTAATTGATAGATAGATGCAAGGACAAAAAATGTTTTTAAGTTAGATGTATATATGAGTATTATGTTTCAGTTAGATGTATTATTAGTTTATATTTGTATTATATTAAAATATTACATTTTTATAAGATAATGGAAGGTATATTATGGACAGACCTATGTATCAGACAAACACGGCCGTGTTTTTCGCCGGTATATGGCCATGTTTGTAATGGGTTAAGTTTTTTTAAAACTCAAATCGGTCGAACATTAAAGCGGCTGCGGACGACAACGGAAAATGTTTGAGAGAGAGAAGAATAATGGGAAAGAAAAAGTAGTTATTCCAATACCCGTCGATACAAAAGCCTGAATACTTAGGGTGTGTTTGTTCGGGGGTTTGGAGTTGGAATTAGGATTTGAACAGTAAATAAAAAATAGAGATGAATATTGTATTTAAAATTCAATCTCCAAACAAACACACTATAGTCAATTTTTTTCAAAACAAAATAAAAAGCCCTTCGAGTCCATCCATAAGGCCATCGAAAAATGAGCCAGTATGTGCTCTAAACACATCCAATATTGGTGAGTGAGTAACTCACTATTTGGCCCATTAAGAGTTGTTTGTTTTGAAATTTGATTGTAAATTAAAATTTTAAATTAAATGATTGACGAAACATAAATATATATTAATATAAAATTAATTTTTAATATAATATAAAGTTATAAAAAAATATTAATTTTGATAAATTTTTTTAATTTTTTTATAAATAGTAAAAATCTTATAAAAAATAAAAAATAAAAAAAAACAAGCAAACTTTAGTCTTTATTTTTTTCATCGGCCAAAGAGGTACGCAAAAAATATATCTTGTTTTACTTTTTTTTTACATATATTGTGTTTTAATTTGAAGTCGATATCTTGATCTACATTATTTCATTTAAACTTGTTTTCTTAAGAATAATCTTTAAATGTAGATAAATAGTACTTAGCTATTCTCTTGTGGATGTGATTTCTTTTAATTTATATATTAAATATATATATTAAAGAATAATTTTTAATAATACAAATTATGTTTTTAGTTTAATTAATTAATTAATTAATTATTTTATTATAATATTTTTAATAAAATATATAAATTTTAATATATGCCGAATCCAGTTTCGAGTCCAATTTTAAGTTAAATTTTAAAAATTGTAAAATATTTTTCGGATCTGTGGGACCCATCGAGCCTTCGTGGGTATTGGCCGGATCGAGTTGGGTCCGTGTATAATCGGGTCCGATTCGGATCTATTCGGGTCGGGTCCAGCGGAATCCGACCCATACACGACCCATTGAAAAATGATTCCGGGTCATTCGACCCGGTTCATACTAAGAGTTCCACCCTATGTCCTAAACTTGTCGGGTTTTGCCCGACCCAATTCCTACCTTATTTAATATTTGTACAGTTGCGTCGGGGAATTACTTGTAAGATGCAACACTTTAATGATATATATAATTACTATGTAACAAATAAAAATTTAAAAATAAAAACACGAAAAAATTAACGTATGTATCGATCTCTTAGCTTGTTCTTCCTTATCCTTTTGCTTTTTTCACACTGATATATGACAGATGCCCTCTCTTTACCCCTCCCCAAGACAACATATTTGATAGTATGTCTTAAAAATTTATTTGTAAGTAATGGATTATATATATATATATATATTTGCCTTTTTCCATTTTTTTTTTTTTGTTTTTTTTTTAAGTTTTTATGAATGTGTGTGTTTCTAGAGGAATGGATTGAGATGGATTCATTGAATGATGGGTTTATGAGGAAATTAATTAGAAACGAGATATGTAGATTAATCATACATGAAAATAAAAAAATTAAAAAAAATGACAGCAAAAAAGGGGCATAGGAGAAAAAGAAAAGAAAAGAAAATTTAAAATAAATAAAAATGAAAATAAAAAGAGGTATGGTCAAAATAGGCCTCGAAGACTACTACTCATTGTCTTCGATCCTTACTTCATCTTCTTCATCGAAACCTCCTGTCGTTGTCACTTTTGAACACCTAATTCTTGAATATATATATATATATATATATATGTTCGAATATCCAAAACCCTATTTAATTAATCTTACCCCAAAAGAAGAATCTTTCTGATAATGTTTTAATTAATTAATTCTGTGTACTTAGATTTTGATATAGAGGACAAAACGTCGTTGTACTTAAGTCTTGGAAATAATACTACAAATATTTAATTATTATTATAGATATTGTCGAAATCTGACACACACGAGTGGTCACCTGCACTAATCATTGCAAGAAATACGTACATATTTTATGTATATATATATATATATCTTAGGATTGATTATTAATTTATTAATTATTTAATAATAGCTTAATTAGAATTAATTGTTAGCAATTAGTAGTGTTGGAAAAACGACAAATTAGTCGACAATGGTTTAAAGTGGTTTGAGCACTTTTGTCTTGTTCTTCATTTGCCCTTTTTATTTATTATTATTATTATTATTATTATTAATTAGCTCAATCCTATTCCTCTGCTAAGTACAAATTAAAGCAAGGAATATTCAAAAGTGAAAAATAAAAAAATAAAATTGATTTTGGATTAGTTTGAATAGTAGTTCTTGAGAATAATTAAATTAAACCCCAGAATTTCTTGGGAAGTGTAGCCATGAAACTGACTGACTGACTGACTGAGTGACTGACATCAAAAGAGCAGCTGCTGCAGATTTACATATTTGATGACTTAACTTTATCAAATTTCACAAATTTATTCCTTCTTTTACTGATTCGTAGTTCGAAGTAAACAATAAGACAAAATAAATTTTATTTTTGGAAAAAGAACCCTCCTCGAAGACTGCCTCGATTTTTGCATTCTTGATTTTCATATATATATATATTGAAACCCCAGTTCTTGCAATGTGCCATCAGCTCTACTCTACCTTAATTAAACGTAAATGTAAGAACTTATTTGTGCAATTGTTGTGTATACATATATATATATATATTGATTTGATTTTGATTTTGATTTTGATTGATTGATTTTGATTTTGATTTTGTAGAAAATATATAAATATTTGGATCGAGAAAAGATGAACAGGCCAGGAGATTGGAACTGCAGGGCTTGCCACCACCTGAATTTCCAGCGGAGGGAGTCGTGCCAGCGCTGCGGGGACCCACGGCCGCCGGCCGGCGACTTCTACGGCGGCAGGGGGATCGCCGGCGCATCGGCGTTCCCGTTCACCGGACCCGACGTCCGCCCCGGAGACTGGTACTGCGCACTGCCCAACTGCGGCGCCCATAACTTCGCCAGCCGCTCCAGCTGCTTCAAATGCGGCGTCGCCAAGGATGAACTCGCCGCCGCCGGCGACGCCGAGGCGTCGCGCCACCGTGGACTCAGATTCGGAGGCGGAGGCAGCCGCTCTGGTTGGAAATCCGGCGACTGGATTTGCTCGAGGTAAACTTTTTTTTTTTAAGAAAAATATTATATTTTATTAAAAAATCTATGCTAAATTCCACAAATTCTACACAAGATTCGACGAAATTGGCCACAAATTTCTCGTGTTTAAAATTGCGTCAAACGACTTCACAAACTCCGCTTTTAACCCATCCGCTGTTTTTATTTAAAAATATTTGACCTAAATGCTAATTTCAATTTCTAAATCTCTAAAATTATAAATATACTTATTTTTCTTATATTTAGCCTTAAAAAAATAGTAAAAATAAACTGTTGTAATAAAAGTAACTAATTTTTTTAGTATATTTACTACTCCCTCCGTCCCACTTACCATATCTGCTATACTGTAGACATTGTATTTTAGGAGGGATGTAATTAGTAGATAATTAAGAATATATTAGTGAAAATAATTATCTTATAATATAAATAATTATAAATTAAGATAAAAATTACTAATTAGTTTAATTAAAATTTAAAAAAATAAATTAAAAAATTTAAAATGAGATAAAAATGTGTAATAATTTTTCAAAAAGGAAAGTGATATGGTATGTGAGACGGACAGAAACGGCAACGGGGACATGGTATGTGGGACGGAGGGAGTATTTTTTAGAAGTATAGAAAATTTGGCGCAATTTTATAAAATTACGTGTAAATTTTGTGCAATTTAACCCAAAATCTATTCTTTATATGAATTTTAAATTTTTATTAATAAAAATTTAAAATTTTGAATGTGAAATTTATTCACGAAAAGCGAACTAAAAGTACAACAAATGTACCTCACATTATATTAAGAAGAAATTTTGATATATATAAAATTTTATTTCAATTAATTAGATTAGATTATTGAATTATGTATATAGGACTTAATTTAATTAAATGTAATGTTACAGGAAGGAGTGTAACGAGCACAATTTCGCGAGCCGGACTGAGTGCTTTAAGTGCAGTGCACCGAAGGAGCCCACCAACCAATCGCCATTTTAATGGAAATTTCTATATTTTTTGGTAACCAAATTAATTTATTAAATTTTATTTAAATGATCTATTATTATTATTTATTTATTTTTTTTTTCTCTAATTGTTAATTAATTAATTAGTTAATTAATTTGTTCAGGTCTGGGCGATGGGGAAGGTGAAGGCTGAGGAAGAGGGAATGGGAATTGGGAGAACGATGGATGTGTTCTTCTTTTAATTTCATCTGCAACTTTAATTTCTCAATTTTATTTTTATTTTATTGAATGTTTTTGTGACATGGAACTGAAATCTTTGGGCTTTATTTTGGTGGTATGAATTATTATGAGGAGCTACTATTATATTCATTTGTGTCCATTTAATTTTTATTTCATCTTCCTGGGATTTAAATTAACTTTTATATAGTATATATTATTTGCATTTTTGTGATTTTAAATATATATGTATGAATACATTATGTCACATAAATATTGAACAATTATAGCACAATAATCGTACGCTGTCCACATTTTATCAAATTCATTATTAAATAAATGTTATGAAACATAAGTTTTTGAAAAATAAAAAATTAATATATTTTCTAAACAGAAGTAAGGATTTTAAATTAAACAGTAGAAAAGTTACTGTGAAGTACTGTGATAGGCACTTGTTATCAATTCCTTTGATAGCTTTTTTTAAAATAGAAAACATCGATTAGTGGGCCAGTCTGTCTGCTTGGGCCCAATTCTGTAAATTGGAAGCCCAATTTTACAAGTAAGCCCACGGGCCCATTTAATATATAATCAAGGAAAAGTTTGACAGCAGCAATAATTAATTAACTAAGCTAGTAGAGTGTAGTGCAGTAATGGTGATTGATTAAATTAGGGTTTTCAATTTGGGGATTTTGATTAAATCAAGTACGCAGTAGTGGGTATTGGTGATGGTGGGGAGAAGATCAAATCAGAACCTTTCCTGCAGATTAGGCTGCATTGGCTGGACACGGAAGGCGAAAGGCATCTGAGCTTCATAGTCTGCAACTCCGGCGGCAGCCACGGCGGCGTTGTGATCATGATGATGATGATGATGATCGTACACTCCTTGCCCAGTTTCCAAAACGTTCTCATCCATCCCGTCCAGATGCAGCTGACGCTGTTCATAATTTCATTTTCACCTCAATCAACAATCAATGTAATGATATGAAATTCTAAATGTGATGAATTAGTGAAGTGTGATTACCAGCTTGAATTGGAGGTTCTGATTCTCCTCTACAATCATTTCATTCTGAAAATAAAATTCATTTGCAAGAATTGTTATTTTACATTTTTCAAGTGTATAAAATATATATATATATAAATGTATTTACATGTTTTCTGATCATTCGGACAAACTCCATCTGTCAAAGTTCAAAACAAGAAAACAATTACCAATTATCAGTTATGTTCTTCATTATCCCATTATATCAGGAAAAATAAAATAAGATCGAATGTATCGGGACCTGCTTCGACTTGAGAACCGACATGCCATTTTCGAGAGCTTCCTCTAATACCATAAGCTCTTTGTGATTAAGAGTTGAGATGTCTTCACCTTTCAGATGCCTAAAATCAAAAAAGATGATTTAAACTAAGACTAACTAATAGCAGTCAATAATAAGAAGATCAAAAGAAATATTACTAGTGTTTTGAAATAAAAGACCATAACCTGAGCTCAATCTGCATGCTGTCATTCTCTTTCTTGATTCTGTGAATTTCATTGTCCAGATGCTGTAACATCATCAGACAAATCAAAAGTACATAAAATTAAAGGTAATAATTCCAAGTATAGCTAGTAGTATTTTAAATGATATTTTTATATTATTATTGTTATTGTTACTATTATTAACCAATAGGTTAAGAAGCTCAACAAGTCATTTCTGTACAAAGGGATGACTCCAAGTCTCCAACAAATTCTTTTTTTTTCTTTTTTTTTTTTGGGAAGATGAAACTTCTTTCATTAATTTTTGCAACCAAAGGAAAGTGAGAGAAGACAATTTTTTACCAGATCTATAAAATCCCTTGACACTTTGTGTGAGTGTTATCATGAGAAAAGACTTGAGGTTATTTATTTACTTAAAAAAAAAAAAAAAAAACTTAGGAACAGGGAAAAAGGGAAGAGTGAAGCCTCATAGATCTAGAGAGAGAAGCACACATACTATATAGAGATCTCCATAGAATTCACTCTTTCAGCCATTTTAGCATACTTTAAGCAAAACCATGTTGACCTTAAGAGGTTGTGTCTTCAGACCGGTTAACACAGTAAAAGGAAATTCTTGAATATGCTAGGGCTAAATATTCAGAGATCTAGAGAGAGAGAGAGAGAGAGAGAGAGAGAGAGAAAGAACCTCATGCTTTGCATCCCAAAGTCTCTTCCCAGACAGCTTGTGGTACTGATCCAACATATCTACCAATCTTTATCCATGAAAACCCAAAACAAAAAATTAAATAATTAAAAATACAAGAACCATGGAAACCCTAGTTCTTGTACAAGGTTGAAATAAAGGTAGATCTAATCATCATCATCATCATCATCATCATCATATATATATATACATACGTGGTAGAAGGAGTGCAGAATTCATGCATCTTGCCAGAACTAGCAAAGATGATGACAGAAACTTGGGCATCGCAGAGAACACTAATCTCCTTGGCCTTCTTCATGATCCCATTTCTTCTTTTTGAGTATGTTACCTGTCTATTGCTTGAGTTCTCTATTCTCTTGATCTCTATCTTCCCTCTCCCCATCTTCTTCTTCTTCTTCTTCTTCTTCTTCTTCTCTCTCTCTCTACTTTTCCCCCAAAGAGATGTATCTAAAAACTGGGATAAGAACGAGTGGTTGAGTGTTTGAAATGATATTTTCTATTGTGGGAATGAGGACCAAGAAACTTTCGGAAGCCCCAACCAAAGATGTACATATACAGATGGAATACTATACACACATATACATACACACATATACATACATATATATACATATGTATTTATATGATAGTAATTAATAATATGAATTACTGATGTTTAATTTGGAGTTCCCATTTTGTGACCTTTTGGTTTCTCTACAATCTTTAGGCATAGCTTAATTATTCACTTCTGCAGATTTTTTTTTATGCATGGTAGGTTTGGGGTGAAATCTTTAAATTAGGGTTTGCAGATTTTGGGGGAAAGTTAGGCATTTTTGGGTTCTAAAGATTTTGTCATTCTTGTTTGTTTCTTGTGTTCGAATCTAAACCATCAAATCAAGAATCCTTCCTGCATTAAGGGTATCGATGGATTGATGGAAATGAAAGACGAGATGGGACAGAAAATTGAATAAAGTCCGATGCTTTCAATTGTTAGTTTACTCAGAAATGTCAACTCCTGATCTGATCCGTATGTTGTTATAACCAAATAATCATCCCAAAGTCAAGTTGTCGTTTTTGCTGGACCCGGTCAGGTCGGTCGGTCGGTCGGGTCGAACGTAACCAAGGGAATGCTTATTTGTGATTATTGAAAGGAAAAAAAAAAAATCATTTTTATTTTCTGGAAACTACAATAATAAATTTTTTTGATTAATAATTCAAAATGAAATTAATCGATTTTAAACAAACAATCATTTTCTCTCTTATAATATTAATTTATAGAATCATTCTTTTTAGTTCTATTAATTATTTCAAATGAGAATCATATATTTCACTAGTAATTCTTCTTCCAAACTCCACAACCTAAAATATTCAATTACTTCTTAGGCAATCCATCCAATTCAAGTAAAATCTCAAAAAGTGTAGAACACTCTGTCAAGTTCAACAAACAACATGAGTTCTAAAATAACAGCTTCAATAGGTAACAAAATCCACACATGAAAATATACATCAAACTATATCTAATTAGCTGGATCAAACTATGTCATAACACATCCGGCTTCGAAAAGGGAGACCAAGTAGAGTAGCAGTTGATGATCAAGCATGGAAACACTGTCTGATCTTGCTACTGAAAATGAATAGAAGAATTCAACACCATGCTAAAGGAATGGCACTCCAAGAAATACGGCACGAAGAGAAAGGAAGATGATGTTGAGCCAATTTACCGGCTATTGGAGCTTTTTTGAGTTGGAAACCTTTTTGGCAGCATCAGACTTCAATTTGCAGCACGCTGTGATAACTTTTCGCACAAGATTATCGATCTCTTTCTCTTTTTTATCATACACAACAAAAGAAACGAATGCGAATGGTACTCCTGCATGTCCAGATAAAAATTCGAAAGGGTAACTGAGATGAGAGATAGACAAGTAGGGTGATATGGTCACTAGTACTTTTAGCGACTCTCATAGCACAACGGCATGCCTAATATATAAATGAGTACGCCAACCATACCTATCACAAAGGCATTATTTAGTGAAACCAATCCGAGTAGGCTGAGAAACAATAGCGAGAGAGCAACCTGTTTCATAGTAGATAAAATTAGACCTGTTAGAAGATATGCCAAGGCAGAAATGTCGAATAAAACTAGACCTATTAAATTTATGAGAAAGCCAACAATGTTTTCACCTTGAGAAAGAGGATAGAGTCGTTCCCTCTACAAATCGATTTCAAATTACGAGCAGCAGTGTTCCATGTGGATGCCACTGCAAGGGCAGCCTGGCGAGATGTAGCCTCTGAGATATGGAATTTTGACTCGGGAATTTTTTGAATTTTAAATCCCAATCTGCACCAACATATAGCCAGCAGTGAGATTACTGATTATATTTGATTAGTATCATTACTAGTTTTTATTATTCCTGTATTCCAGGCAGAAATTTTCATTGAAGGCAACAATCAGGTATATAATGAAATGATAAGCAACAAAAGGTCAGGATGCATACATTTTCTGGGGTAGTCTTCCATGAATGAAAAGGAAGATGACTGAAGCTAACAAAAGCTTGGAAATTGCAGTAATGATTGTGCACCCAGTAGCTATAAAACTGAAGTAAATTGTAGCCAAGACCAACATTACTGTAAGTGTATGCTTTTTATCCCTCCAGAGTAGTGTCTCGGCCACTGCAAGTATGTAAATCCTCATAGCTTAGAAATAATGAAATTATACAAGGTGCAAGTCATATTGGATATATCGTCCATTGACTAGGTTAAAGTAGTAAAATCGATTTCAACAGGCTCATCTGCATATATGTGATTCCAGGAATCACTACACAGAAAAGGATAAATTCACAGCCCATAAGAACAACGAAAACACTGAATCAGCAAGATTATGATAACCATAAAAAAATGATATTCTAATGATACTCTATTTTTCCCTTCTTTTTGTAGTAAACAAAAAATCTATGGCATTGTGAATTGCAGACAGATCATGATCTCAATTCAACAACTAGGAATAGTTGATACAGTCGTCATCCCTATTATGACAACTATTTATCCGAACCAAATCACTAACTGCACGCTCATCCATTTATACTTTCTTATGCTCATAAATGACATCTGCAATATTGATAATAGAACTTGATTCTGCAGACACATTTTTGAGTAACTACAATCCGCATTCCTACAGTTAGACTATATGAATCTAGTAAAGAAAGATGTTTTGAATAAACGAACACATAAAACAAGTGCAATGTTCCACTGAGGAAGAAACAGATTTATAGTAGATAGAAAGATTCAGACCTCTTCCACCACCGAGAAGTATTTCTGTTTTGGATGGATCTCGTTTAATTTTGACATCAGACCTTAAGTGAGGATATGATTCGATTGTTCGTCTAAGGCCCTCCTGCACACAACCCATGAGAGAAATACTCAAAAGATATAACTACAATTACAATCTCAAACATTGTGTGAAACCGCAGATCAAGTCTCAAGCATTTGAATAGAGGAAATAAGAACAAGTTTATTTTTACAATTGATAAAAAAAATATATAAATAAAAACAAAAAAATCAAAGTTCTATAATGAGCACAACATTTGATGACAGCCTATGTGGAGTAGGAAAAACAAAAAACAAAAAAACAGAGCATTAGCATAACTTTCAAACAGGGGTATGAAGTAAATAACACATGAATGTAGCCAAACATAGAATTATCAAAGTTATTTTCTTGTTTCCAATTTCATTTCTTATTTAATAAAATTGGATACAATTAACTCAAGTGGAGTATATGTGGACCTGGAGAGGCACGATAGGAGTGTAGCCAATGAGATCGTTTGCTTTGGAACAATCAAAGGTTCTGCTGCGTGATAGAAGCCGAATTCTTGAAGGTGTCAACTGTGGCACCTTCATACCATAAGGGGCCAAAAGCTTATATATAAACTCGACAATATGGGCAATAGGCATCATGACAATGGCAGGAATCTTAATTTTTGGCCTGCAAACTATGTAAGATCAGGAATAAAGATAATTATATTGTTTGGCATATATGTGACAACAAAATCACTTGTAAAGAAAGATAATGCATTTAGGAAACACACTAAAATAATAAACAGCACAATAACAGTCTTGAATCTTTACATCCAGCCTATTCTCTCAAAACCATTGCTTTTAAATAAGTTGATTGCTGAAGAGCAATATAAAGCAACAAGAAACACAATGAGAAAATTAATTACAAAGTCATTAATAAGCCAGTAGTGATACTGTGAAATTCTAGCTCTGGATTCAACATCAGCTAATACCTTCAATTCAAGTTTGAAAAAAAAATATGAAAGAGTGCCAAAAAGAATCCCAAGTTTGATAGGTCATAATAAAAATACTGATAAATATGTATCCTCTTTATGCATGATGAGTTCCGGGTTGCAACAAAATGAAATACCTTTCATAGCCAAGACCTTCAAGAATGAGAGACATAAACTCCCAAAATTTAATTGGTTCCATATTGGTAATGAAGTATGCCTGCATATGCAATTTGTGAGTGAAATGTTAATGTGCCTTTCATTTAAAGCAGGGTTAAAAATCAATGTAAGACAAATGCGACCGTATGTTAAAATCTAATAAGAGATTCCATATAAAATACAGAAGAAACAGATAAAAGCATGTCAATGTAGATTTGTCCCAATCTCAATCCAATGCATAAACAGCTAGATACAATTTTGATATCACTGAACACACTGGTAAAAAACATAGAGTGACAAGAATTATATACCAAGATCAAGGGGGCAGTGGCAACAAGGAATATAAGGAAACTTGCTCTGAAGAGATGACAATTTTTTTTTTTAATTTTTTATGAACTGAAATTGGCTGATTCCAAGACTTACCTATAAGCCAGCTTTTTAAGTAGTGTTTTCATATCCAAACAAATCAATTAATAGTGCAGCACAAAATTCCTATTTCCAAACAGTAGTAGAAGCCAGAAGATGATATACAACACAGGAAGAACACATTGAAACCCAATTAATGAGCAAATCCGACTACTGTGTTTTTTAAGATCACCCGAAAGATCGACACATTTGAGAGCCAAAAGCTTCACTTGGTACAGAATCAGGTCTTGCATATTGCATAAACTTTAAGACTATAGCCATTTAATCTAGATTAAATCTGAAATTGTATATGGACACCACATTGCAGTAAGAGGATGACAAAACCTGTCCAGAAGCTTTTTCTGATACTTTCCCTCCAGATGCTAAAGCTCGCTCAGCACATACATGAGCATGTGCAACATTCTCAACATAAGTGAAATCGTACATGTTGTTGCCTTTTCCAATGATGAACTATACATTTGCAAAGTGACATGTCAGAATACAAGTCCACAAATCTTAGAATCTAAAGCAATTGGAGATGTATAGAGAATAATCCATTTGAAGACAAACATTCCAATTCATTACTACCTTTGATTTCCCTGCCCTTGCTGCATCAACTAATGATGGAACGAGCAACTTATCACCAGGGCCAAATATGCTGCTAGGTCTAATGCAGCATGTAAGAAGACCATTTGCACCATTTGATTGCATAACTAGGGCTTCTCCTTTGGCTTTTGTGGCTGAATATGAATCATTGTGCTGTAAAAGAAAAAAAAAAGGATCTAAGTATTTAATTGAAGTGGTTGGACACAGTTAAAGAAAGATGCATTTGAGACTTTGAATTTCATTCAAGCAGAATTTCTACACAAACACTAGGTCTTGCTTATGAACCACAGAAATATCTAAAATAAAGTGGAATATAATCAAATTACTATAATGAGACATACAGAGAATTTCAAATGAGAAACGTTACTAAACAAGCTGCACAACTACAGTAACAGCTACCTAACATTCAATACCTTAGCAGGATAAGGCAATGATTCATTTCCATTTAATATTTCATGAACTCCATCAAATACCACACTTGGTGAGCTGGTATATACTAGTCGTTTCACTTTCAACTCAGTGCATGCATCGATGATGTTCTGGGTGCCTGTACGCCATAGACATGGCATCATCAACAAAATGAAGGATATTACCGTTGCTAAGGCAAAGAAAGATAGGTAAAAAGTTCAGGAACACAAAAACAAGATCACATGTGTTTTACTCAGTCTCAGAATGCCCAAACCTAACCTTGTACATTGACAGAATGGTGCAGATGATAGTTATTTATGGAGGAATCAGGGGCAGCCATATGAAACACAACCTCAGCCCCTTGGCATGCTGCAACAATAAAAGATAAAACCTTACATGTTAACAACGTACTGATCAATCAACATCCATTAATAAGTCAATCAACTCTCTAAACCCAGTGAGCTTCTATTCTAGAATTAAAATGAAGTAGTGGAAGAGATAAACATGTTCAGCAGATAATAAAGCAGTATCCTAAAGTGCACTAAAGGGCTTCTCTAAGGCACAAAGATAGCTTTATTGATTTAAGTATAAACCAGTTAGGTTAAGTTCTTAGAATCAACAACGGATATGAAGAAACAAAAATATACAAATCATCCATGAACAAAATCACAATCAACTTTCAACAGGAAGCAATCCAAACTAGATTCTACAGCGCCATTGGCTATGCACTACTGATTTGCTCCCCCAACAAACAATTGATGTACGAAAATGAAAAGGAAGCAATTTCAACTACTGTTGCAGTGTTCTACACCTCAAGCCATTAAATATAACAAAGACAAGACCTTTCAGCACTTGCGATTTGTCACGAAGATCTGTAGACACGTATTCTGCTCGGCCAGATATTAGAGCTTCTCCAAGAACTCCATTCTCCTCTCCAGCTTCAAGCTTAATCGTGGAGCCCAAATCAGCGATACGCACCGAATACATGCCGTATTTGATTAGCATTACCACCAGATGCCGCGCCGCGAAACCTCTGCCGCCGGTCACCACGCACCACCGCTCCTCCCCGCCCATTCCTCAAATGTATTAAACACTTCCGGCAATGTGCCACAATATCAGCGGAAAAAGCGCACGAACTGTATCTGTGAATGAAAATTAAAACCCGCGAATCAACGGATGAGCGCCCACTCGAATCACGATTGCTGATTAGCGAGCTAATAAAATAGCATTGCAGAAATTGTTGGAAATGTTTATCGCAGATCTTGGACTGGATGGGGAAGAAAGATGAATTAGATTGGTGTGATTATGGAACAGAGTAAAGTCATAAAAATGAAATACACATGCTACTGATCACTCTACTTCTTAGAACCCTAGTATTACTATTGAAAATTAATTTCATGTTTGTTTAGGAATTTGGTGTGTTTTTCTCAAACAAAAATTTTCAATTTTTACTATCTAGATTTTTGTTTTTTGAAATTTTTTTTTTTTTAAATAAAAATATTTAATCAAATATTATTTTAATATTAAATTTATATGATAAACAAATGACACTTAGAAAGTATAATTTGAAAAAATAGAAATAATTTTATTATAAAGTAAAAACTATATTATATGACAATTGTTACAGAGTGAGGACTAAGAGTGTGTTTGTTTGGGATTTTCTCTAAAATTTACTGTTAATCTCATTTTATTATAAAATATTAAATTAAATACTTATTTTATAATTTTTATATTATATAAAAAAAATAAATTTATATTCAAAATATAACATTTTATACAACTATTTCAATTCAAAACTTTGATTAATCAAATTTCAATTCAAAATTCAAATATTTGAACAAACACACCCTAAATTGAAATTATTTAAAATTAATTTAAATTTTTATTTAAATAATATTTTAAAATAACAAAAAAAAATCTTATATTTTTATTAAAATTATATACTAATAATATATTTTATTTGAAATAAGTATGAATTAAACGATAACTGATGCTCCCTCCCTGAGTCCGCCTTAAAGTATTGTACTTAACATTAATACTATGTGTAAATTTATACACAAATGTGTATTATAAAACAAAGTATTTTTTTAATTTTTTTTTAATTTAAAATCAATAATATTTTTTATTTGAAATTAATAATTATAAAACACTGATGAATTGAACAATAATGTTATTTTATTTGAAATCAAAAGTAACACACCCTTTAGTGTCGACCATAGTAATGCAACAATTAATAAATTTCGGCCAACAATTAATGACTAATAATTCTATTTTGCTGACATTAATGCCTGAATTATTTTGGTTTTACCATCGTATATGAATTATTTAAAAAATTGTAATTGGGCCCAAATTTTTGTGAGACTTTTTCCCTCCATTATTTATTCAAAAAAAGAAAAGTTGCTGAGAGTCGTACCTTCGGATCGAAGCTCCTTGCAATGGCGTCTAATCGCCTGTCAAAATCCAAGATCAACCCCTGCTCTTCGTCTTCTTCACTGAATATCGGCGCAACCTTTGCCGGAATCGATGATGCTGATGATTTTCAAGATTTTCCTTCGTCCTGCTTCTCCTCTTCTTGCAGAACCATCCCGCTTCCAACGCCGCTCAAGCCGCATAAATCAAGCACTGTTCGTCCATCCAAGAAGCTGAAAAAGGGAAAGCCTGTTAATCCGGGGAAGGAAAACTGCTACTTTGATGTGGCAGAGGCAGATTCGAGGGTTTGTGGGTTGGATTCAATCGAGCCAACGCTCGTTTTGTTGTATACGGAGAGGCTTAGTGATGATTTACTCAGTGATAATTCCGAAGGTTTGAAATTATTGAATTCCTCCCGAGAGGCGGAGGAGAACGTCTGTGATGAAGAATTTTATGAGGAGGGAAGCACGGAGCTTGACGAGCTGCTCAAGCTGTGTGCTGAAGTGGATGAGCCGAGCAATGGTAATTCCAAACCTGATACCGAAGGGAAATTTGCGGTTATGGTTTCTTGTCCTCTTTGTGGAGCTGATATTTCGGGGCTGAGTGATGATATGCGGCAAATTCACACTAATGAGTGCCTTGACAAAGGGGAGGACCGGAAGGATGTAAGAACTTAGAACTTTTCTTATCTATTAATTTAGGGTATTTGATTTACAGTGTGCTGATATATATACATATATATATATATTGTTAAATTTGATGAAACTTATGTGTGCCATTGCATATTTGCTTTGTGGATTCATTGCTTACCTTTGGGAACTACCTGTAATAAATTGACTGTCTAGCCTTTGCCGGAAGCATATTTCCATCTGGACTCTTAATGGTCTCTATTCTCAATCCATTAAATTATGTAGCTTAAGATCACTCACAATTTATTTTCAGGGTAATGCTGGTGATGATAGAACAGCTCCATATCAATGCCCTGGGCAGGTGGTTGATGGTTCTCCTGTTAAATCTAATCTTGAAGTTGCTACTGTATCTCCTTTGGTAGAATGGCTCAAGAAATTGGGCCTTGCAAAATATGAAGAGATCTTTGTAAGGGAAGAGATTGATTGGGAAGCACTCCAGTGTCTGACAGAAGAGGTATGGATCATCTATTTTGTGATGCCTACTTCCGGTTTTTGAGTTTGTGGTCCATTTATATATAAGCTCTTATATGGTTCTTTCTCTGCAATTTATAAGTGATTTTATTGTTTTTATAAAATGTTCAATTCGATTTTCAATTCTGCATGTTGATATTGTTATACTAAATATAGATATGACTCCCCACTCCTCAATATAAACCTATGAACTTATTCGATAGGGATTTTATTAAGTCAAAAGAATGTGTGTTTAGCTCCTCAGCCTCACATATTTTGGTCTGAAAGAGTTCACTGCAGATTGGAACTTGTACAATCCTAGTAGGTGATGCTATATATTGAGGAATTTATTCATTCTTTGCTCCGAGTTGATTCCAAATATAGTGACAAATTTTTTTACAGAATGTTTGTGTAGCTGATTGCAATCTGCAAATCTACTGAAGTTCACTTATTTGGTAAGATTATGGTTAATTTCTTACAGGATCTATATAACATTGGCATTACAGCACTTGGTCCACGAAAAAAGATTCTTCATGCTCTCAAGGAGCTAGAAAACAGCACCACCATGATTGTTGAACCTAAGACAGAAGGCTCCAAAGGCTCAGCTGATAACTCTAGAGTAGGAGCAAACAAGTTGATAACTGATTACTTCTCAGATCCCACTTCTCGAAGAAAACGAGATGGCAATACTACCAGCATACAAAATAATGTGACGAATAAACCAATTTCTACAGCTAAGAAAGTTGAAAGGAAAGATGTCAGGAAGGGGAAACAGAAAAATGTTCCTGTGTGGTGTTGCATACCAGGAACTCCTTTTCGTGTGGTAATTTTGTTTAACCGAGTTCAACACTACAGCAATATTATTTTCTAAGTTGCTAACTCCTATCATGTGATCTTATAATAGTTCGAGTCATTATATAAATTGCAGTGGAAGTGAAGTCTAATTCCTTTTTAACCATATATCATATATTTTCTGATAAGATATTTGATTAAACAGCATAAATATTCTGTGTAATAGATGTTCTCATCATCTAGTATGACACCATTTCTGTTTTTTTTTTTTTTTTTTTTTTATGCAAAGTGATTTTTCAACTGTACTAATTCTTTTCCTTGTTACAAGAACAATGCATTGTTGTTGTGTTATCTCTTATGCTCAAATGCTTTCCTCTGTTTAAATTTGTTGAATAAGAGATATTTCAAGCTTGACTCTATTTTATTTAGTATGCTAGGAATGTTATTGCATCTCATGGAGTATACAAAATTCTGATATTTTTTGTTCAACACTTTTATTTAAGCCAATATTAGTTCTTTATGCTCAAATATAGAAAAGTTGTTCTAATATCCAACTTTTCTTTCTGCAGGATGCATTTAAATATCTAAGAAGAGATTGCTCTCATTGGTTTCTTACTCACTTCCATTTAGATCGTAAGTCATTTGCACGATGCTTGAGTAATGTATAACAATTTAGTATAGAAAGGGCATGGTTTCTCTACATTTTCCACTATATATAACAATGTGCTATTCTGGCATTTTCTGAAACAAATCACCATAGCTTTTCTCTTGTATAGAACAAGTCCTTTTGTTATTCAAAAATCAACATTATGCAATTGTCTTTGTAATACAGGCATACAATGGAAACATGTCATTTTTAAATTTCATAAGCCTGCAAAGATGTTTGGGATAATATGGTGCATTGCTGAGTGTGTACTAAAAACATGGATTATTCACCTGTATTGCATCTTGATATCACTTGGAAGCATAACATGAGTGGCTAAACATTTACAATTCTCTGCAGATTATCAAGGACTTACCAGGTCCTTTTGTCATGGGATGATTTATTGTTCCGCAATTACTGCAAAGTTAGTTAATCTGAAGATAGGAATTCCAAGGGACAAAATTCAAGTTTTGCCTCTCAACCAGAAGATAAATATTGCAGGAATAGATGTGACATGCTTCGATGCAAATCATTGTCCCGGCGCAATCATTATCCTGTTTGAACTACCCAGTGGTAAGGTGCGTACTAAATTCAATTCACCATAACACTCTTTACTGGTTATGTGTTATAGTTGTTAATTTTGAAGATTAAATTTTCTTACATGCTCAGCATGTTTTGCACACTGGAGACTTTCGGTTTTGCAAGGAAATGAAGAATCTGTCTATGCTGCAAACTCATCCAATCCACACTCTAATTCTCGACACAACCTACTGTAATCCACAGGTAATAGATAATAAAAGAAAGGTTAATAACCAAAATCCAAAACCTTGCATGGTTTTGAGCTGACATTTCGCATCTACATATTTCTTGATTTGGGGCTTTTCTGATTGTTTGCCATTTCATTGCAGTTATCTTTTTGAGTTTTTCTTTTTTCAAACATCAAGATCATTTAGCTTGATCAAACATCTAGAGACATGTGTATTGATTAAGATTTGGCACTTAATTCAAAACATGTATATCTTTAAAAAAAACATGTCTCAGGAAATGATCTTACTTTGCTCTGCAGGACTATAACTTGTACTTTTGGTTGTTCAATGGTTTTCACGGGTCAATTTTGAAACGAAAACATACATGCAGATATTCGTTAGTTCATTTTCTTATTTCGAGTGCTGTTAATGATTATTTATTATCCTCTCTTAATCTTGCAGTATGATTTCCCTGAACAAGATTCAGTTATCCAATTTGTGATCGATGCAATCCAAGCTGAAGCATTTAATCCGAAAACTTTGTTTCTAATTGGCAGCTACACCATTGGTAAACTCTGTTCTATCTATCCATTAACTTGATGCATGCGCCTGATACGAACAACCTTACACGCCCTCGAAAACTTCTTGCATTATCTTTTCTTCAATGGCAGGAAAAGAAAGGCTGTTTGTAGAGGTTGCTACAGCTCTCCGCAAGAAAATCTATGTAACGGCAGCAAAGCTGCGCATTCTTGAATGTCTAGGCTTGCCTCAAGAACACATGCAGTGGTTTACATTAAACGAACAGGAAAGCCACATTCATGTTGTTCCCATGTGGAGCATTGCTAATTTCAAACGACTGAAGCACATGTCGAACCATTACATGGTAATTTTACTTGATTAATACATGAATTGTATTGCACTTTCCACTCACCTGACCAATCAATCTCCTCAATATTGTCATCCAGGGACGATTCAATCTGATAGTTGCTTTCTCACCCACCGGCTGGTCGATGGGAAAGGGAAAGAAGTCCACTGGAAGAGGAAGACGGTGGCAACAGGGCACCATTATAAGGTATGATCATCTTTTTACACCCTCTCACAATATATTCTCCTATGTAGTTAGTAAATAAATCTACCAGTTTGTCGAAATGCACTTGATTGAAATTTCCAGCTTTTAACTCAAGAGTTCTTTCCAAGTGGGCTTTCGAAAATAAATATGTTCATTATTAACATAAATAGTCTACTCAATAAATCTACCAGTTTGTCACAATACACTTGACTGATATATTCTTGTTTTTCAGTTCGAATTCTTGCTACTCTACATTCATTCACTGAATCTATATTGAGCAGTAATGGCTTTCACTTGGTTCAGATACGAAGTGCCGTATAGCGAGCACAGCAGTTTCACGGAGCTGAAGGAGTTCGTTAAATTCATTTCTCCGGTTAACATCATACCGAGCGTAAATAATCACGGCCCGGATGCTCACCAGTCAATGGTTTCCCAACTCTTGGCTTAGCTGAGGTTATAGGTACATATAAAGATTTAAAAACATCTGAAGTTTTGGCCTTGTGCTAAATCTATTGTATGTGACATTATATTATCTCCATTTTTGCAATGTCGGTTTTCTGAGCTATTGAATTAAGAAGTTTATTGCTGGATATGAATAAAGTTAGAATTAAAATTTTGATACAGCTGTGGCAACAATGAATACTCAAAGAATGCAAGCTTAAAGTTTTGTTCTATTATGTGTATATACAGAAAACAACCACTAATAATAATAATAATAATAATAATAATAAGTTAGGGATGGTCTGATGGTGCAGTGTGTACTTGTGATCATTATCCAAGAAATATTTGTATAATATTTTATATAAATATATTTGTATTATATAACAAATTATTTTTTTTTTCTTGCAAAAAAACATATGACTATTCAGTTGTGAGGGGGAGATCCTATAAATTTTGTTAATTTATGTTAAAAATAAAATAAAATCCGTTGAACATGTATACATTCATTTTATTTTTACTTTCTCGCAAAATTACATCTACAATTTTACTTTTCAATGGTCCAATTAAATTATATATATATATATATATATGCGCGTATGTATTTACTAATATAGTGCAATTCTTGGAGTTGATCAGTGCATTGACTCGGAAATTAATGGAGAGTGAAGTAAAAAAAAAAACACAATTATTACCATGTGTTATATAAATATCATATATTGTATTAACTTAATTAATGCGCCTATATGTAATGTTGGATTAGCATTAATCATGGCAGTGCACATTCATTAATCCTAACCAGTCCCAAAATGGAAATAATGTGTGACCCGTCAACGCTGACTAGTCACTGTAGGACAATACTAGAATACGCGGCGGCGGCGGCGCACGTTAACTATTATTAATAATGTTATACTAATTTACGTCAAAATGTGAGATCCATGACTCATCACACACCCCCTTTGATTCATAACTAACAAACTAACTAATTTATTAATTGCTTAATTAATGCAATCACACTAATCAGAACAAAATCTGTCGGGATTTATCCAGCATTTTTAAGAACTTACGTACCCTAAATATAAATTTAAATAAAAAATTATAATAATTAATTTCCAACTCAAAACATCCATAGTGATTGACCATCACCGCCGTCATCGTCGTCGTCGTCGCCGGCGACGTCATTACCAATGTAATGCGGCAAAATGCAGAGGTCATCATCGAATGGTTCGTGGAAATAATGATCGATTCCGGCGAACATGTCGGAATTAATTTCCCCGCCGGAATCCAGCGCGTCGAGAAACGACCAATCGTTCAGGTCGACCGCCGCCGACGGCGATTCCGACCGATCTTCCTCCTCCTCCTCCGGCGGCTGATTATCACTCCCCGCCTCCGGGAACCCTTCCGCGTACGCCTGCGCCGCCGCCCGAATCTCGGGCGGCGCGAGCCCCTGCCCGCCGGCGATGTTGGGCGGGTCGCCGGGGAAATTGAACTTGGCCTCGGCGCCGCGGAGGCAGTACAATGCGGCGTCGAACGCACGCGCCGCCTGCTCAGCCGTGGCGTAGGAGCCGAGCCATATACGGTCGCGGCTGTTGGGGAGCCGAATCTCCGACACGTATTTCCCCCATTTCCGCAACCTGACACCCTTGTACTTGATGACGTCACTCACAGTCCCCGCCGGCGCTGTCTTAACCATTCTTATGGCGACACGTGTCGTGCTTTTTGTGGATAAACTGTTTTTTTTTTTTTTTTTTCGTTTGCAGAAAAACGCCTGTGTCTGATCCGAGGAATGAACGTGTCAGATATATATATATATATGTATGTACGTATAGGTAGATAGTGTATTAAATTAAATTAAATTAATTCTGAGAGAGGATCTATCTGGAATCTGATGATGGAACGCGTTGAATCAATGGAAAGGAGAATATTGTTCAAATAAGCGTAAGTTTTGTGTACAAAATTCCGTGGGAACGTATAGCTGGAAATATATATATATATATGTAACGATTTTGGTGGAAAATACCAACTTCTTCATTTTGTATTTTATTATTTTATTTTATTTGTTTTCATGGACGGTAGCCATGGAAATCACAATAATTTATTTTTTTTTACTTGATTTGATTTAGGATTTGTAAAATCTTCAGACAATATATCTATGAACCCTAATTTGTAACACTTGGGGTGTCCAATTGGCAATGATTATAGGTTTATTACTATTGTTCAATTATTCGCCACTGCTATTTTTCGAGTATGTATTAACTAAATTTTCAGATCAAGTGGAAAAGTCACATTAGGTAAGCCATTCGAGAAATGCTCGGTCGATCGACAAAGGCAGAACAAGCCACAAATTAATGACCTAAAATCTTTTGGTGCAAGGGTTTGTTTACTTGATTAATTATTATTATTATTTTTTTAAGTTTAGATTTATGTTTTTAAAAAAATAATAAATTGAATGTAATATATATGAGATCATGTAATTTTTTGTTTGGGGTTTGGATTTTGAGTTGAGATTTGAATAGTAAAAATTTTGAATTTGAATAGTTGTACGATGTGATATAAATAGGTGTTGATCTGATGTTTTGTTTTGAATGTAAAATTGATTTTTAGTATAATATAAAAAATGAAAAATAGATATTTGATTTAATATTTTTGAAAGAAAAAAATTGAATAAACAATGTAAATCCAATCCGATCTCCCAAACAAACACACCCTAAAAAATAGTAACAACTCCATAGTGAAGGGTTTTTAAAAAATAATAATAATTTGATAAACCCAACTACCTAGTACATATCATGATCTGGCCCATGGAGCCCATTAGCCTATTGCATTGAATTTAAATGTACAATTGTGTCCATTTGTTGCTTGTCTGAAAATCCCTTTAGCCTCATCCTTTCCATTATTGGGCCCTTTTTAGTGTAAGTTTGATTTTATTTTATTTTTATTATATAATTTTTTAAATTAATTTTTTTCAAAAGACATATTAGTTTATTTTATAAAATATTATATATCTTGAAAATAGTTAAATCAAACCGGCAATCATTTTGAGGCTAAAATTTATTGTCTGGGCCATTAATTTTTGGACCTAACATTAATATCTGCTAGTGGTTAAGGTGTGCTTATCAATTTTCATTCAGCCTCTCAGAGGAATTGATTTTTTCTGTGTGATACAAAAAATTGTATTAGTAATATAAAAAATAATATTTTGTATTAAATAATTTACTTTTTATAAATAAATGATAATCTCTCCGTCCCATAAGTAAATATCCATTTGCTTTTTGCACGTAGTTTTAGAAATATCAGTGTTATATTGAAATATAATAAGAATAAAGTAGAAATAAATAAAATAATCTTATTAGTACAGTGTGATATAAAAGTAATAATATTGTAAATTGTAAGAGTATTTATAATATTAGGTAGATAGTACAATTACTAAATATATATATATATATTAATTACGGAATATCAAATAGTTTACTATTTTTAATTAAAATTTCAAAACATAGAAAATTTATATTGAAATAGAGCCTTATAACTTTTAGAGACAAGAAGGTAGCTGAGGATGATTTATTATGCCAGCTTATATATTAATGTTTTCTGGTATTTCTTCTGTCACTTCACATGATCCCATCCCATGTGTTATTGTTTCATTCTAACTGTATTATATATATATATATATTTATTTATATTTTGTTTGTTTTAAATAATATATATTGATCTGTTATTTAAATATACTAATTGTTTCTTTTAATTAATTCCAATTGCTACAATCGCTTTGTAGAATTAGAATTTCGAGATATGGAGTTGAGGGCAATTATCATTAAAGAATATATATACAATCTAATACTCCAATCCGTCCCAGATATCGTGGCTACTACACTGTAGACATGGTATTTTAGGAGGGGTATAATTAGCAATAATTAAGAATGTATTAGTGAAAATAATTATCCTATAATATAAATAATTATAAATTAAGATTAAATAACTAATTAGTTTAATTAAAATTAAAAAAAAAATTAAATTAAAAAATTTTAAATAAGATTAAAGTGTGTAATCATTTTCAAAAAATAAAAGTGATATAATATGTGGAACGAATAGAACCGGCAATGTGGACATAGTATTTGGGACGGGGAGAGAGTATATTATGAGCTGTGCTGTGTGGAGCATTTAATTGGGAAAGTGCCACGTGTCCATCTCTTTGGCTCATATCCGCGTAGTATTTATGTCTACGTGGCTATTTATTTCCTAACTACAATGCATGCATGTTACAGAATTATGAGATTTATTTTAAATTTATAATATTTGAATTTTTAGTATCTAATTATTAAATTGTTTAGAAATTATTATGTTTGGATTGCGTGATTAAATTCTTTGACTAATTTTGTGACAATGATCAATGTACGAAGACATCACTTACAAGGCTAAATTTTGTAAGCACGGTGTTAAACAATATGTAATATACTGTTAAACAGTCAAGTAATATTATTATTGATAATATATTATTTATATTAATATAATATAAATAAAATACATAAATTAGCAGCATATAATATAATCTCACATAACATATACAATAGTTAATTTTCACACATGATATACTTTTATATAATACGCTATAATAATTATAAATAAACATCACATGTCTTTATTACATACAATATGTATTATTTATAATAAAAAAATATATGCCATTTTTATATTTTACATGGAACATGTAACATGCATGTATAAATCTACTTGTTTAGCATTCACCTTAATACTCTTTCCGTCCCACATAATTTGTCTCTATTTTCTATTTTCGTCCGTCCCACATAATTTGTTCTTTTTATTTTTGGAACTATAATTATGCACTTTAATCGCATTTTAAATTTTAAATTTTATAATTTTCTTAATTTTAATTAAACTATTTACTTATCTTAATATTAATCTATAATTATTTTTACTAATACATTTCTTAATTACTTACTAATTATACTTTACCTAAATTTCCGTGTCTAGTAATACACCCATATTACATGAGACGAAGGGAGTATTACAGTGCAGTTGATCAAATTTTACTTTTTTTTTTCTTTTTTTTTTTTGTTTCTTTTTTGTGATTGGACAGTTGATCAATTATTTAATTCTATAAACCAGTGTGCATTCATTCTACAAGTTGGCTATGTAATACAATAATTTCATAAAATTAATAAGTAGAATATTTAGAAATTTTAAAATGAATCAGTAAAAATATATACTTTGTCCATCTAACCTTATATGTCTGAGTTTCTTATAAATAAGAAAATTTATATTTATTAAATAATTAAGAAATGTATCAGTAAAATTAATTATTATATAATATAAATAATTATTTTTAAATCAGATTGTGATATTGTGTTTTTTAATGAATCTATTCTTCCCTTATATATGAAAAATTATATGGTAATAAAAATATTTTGTATTGAATTGTTGACTTTTTTGAATGAATAAAGTATATATATTATATATATTGTGTTAATATTTATTTATATTGTATTTTTTTTAAAAATAATATATTTAGAAAATCGTGACATCTATTTTGAATAGTAAAAATTTTAAATTTAAATAATTATGTATATAATGTAATATAAATAAGTATTGATATAATAATTTGAATATAAAATTAATTTTTAATATAATATAAAAAACAAAATAAAAATTTTATTTAATATTATTTAAATTTTTTTTTTTTATGAATCGTAAAAATCCTTAAAACACCCTATATATTTTACTGAAATAAATAAAACTAAAGGGTGAATATATACACCGTCTGAAGAAGCCTTAGGGAAAACGACCAATTACTGAAAAAAAAAAAAAAGAAAAAAAAGTGATTGAGAAATTATTTATATAATAATAATAATTAATATTATTATTATTTGAGAAGTTTAAAAATGTTTCCCATGATTGAGACGTTATCATATATAATAAAAATATAATATATTTTTATATAACACAATATATATTATATTATAATAAAAATATATATATTTTGCTATAAAATATGCTATAGCATGTGTAATATATGTTGAGTCAGCCGAGGATCTACTGTCATTTTTAAATTATTATGAGAGCATAAAAAATAAAAATAAAAATAAAATGATAAGTACTATATGAAATTATACACAATTTATTGTTGTATAATACTCCATCCGTTTCAAAAAGAAGTATTCATTTATTTTTTGTACGTAGTTTTAAAAATATTAGTATTATATTGGGATATAGTAGGAATAAAGTGGAAATGATTAAAATAATCTTATTAGTATCGTGTGATATAAAGGTAATGGTATTTGTGTAATATATTGTAAGTTGTAAGGTTATTTGTAATGTTAGGTAGATAGTAAAGTTACTTAAAAAAAAGAAATTGATACTTTGTTATGGGACGGACTAAAATAGAAAAATGAATATTTTGTTATGGGACGAAGGGATTATTATAATTTGTTGTTTTGTAATTTAAAATTAAAATTAATATTACATTATTTTTAATAAAAATATATTATTATTTTTTATATAAATATTACATCAAAATAGTATTTAAACAAACAAAACCTATGTGCAAAATAATTTGGATTGAGGTCCGGCAAGGGATGACTTGGTGGTGTAGGGGTTGGACTTGTAATCGTGAGGTCATGAGTTTAAACTCCCGACGATGCCTCAGATCACCCAGTGCAGATTTTCGGATAGCAGCGGCTAGTTCCTCGTCATCGAGAAAAAATAATAATAATAATAATTAAAACTTAATTATTTGCTATTCTTATTACGTGTACCAATTATCTCTAAACTCGTATATATTATATTTAAATATAAAGTGAGCAAAACATTTTAATTTAATTTAATTTAATTTAATTAATTGAAGTAGTATAGACATCAATCTCATTTTCAAAACATCGAATTCATATTTCCCCAACAATTTTAAAAAGAAAGGATTTGAAATATCTTAATCGAAATATACAGTTAGAACGAACTTATTTTGTAGCATTAAATAAACATGTGAACATGAGGCGGCTAGCTATGATAAATTTAATTTAATTTAATTTAATGAATTAGGAAAAAAAAAAAAAAGAACAATAGATATAACATCAGTCAACAAAGTCACACATAGTTACAAAAATTTAAAAAATATATAAATTGTTTTTTTTTTTTTTTTTTTAAAAAAAATACATTTAGAACTGTCGATAAAATAGAATTGCAAATGATAATAGAAAGAGAGAAGTACATTTCATGGTACGGTTTATAACGCTAATCGGGTCGGATCCAAATCTAGATCAAGTAAAATTAATTGAAATTTAATTTGAATACCCGACCCTATCCATATCGATCGCCGTCCCTAATTCTGAAATTCAGAAACCCTAATTTTGGAAATTAACCTCAACACAAATCATAAAGATATATACAGAAGTGTCCCTGCAAGCAAGTTGATGAAGGTCGAACTACTTGCCATTAATGCCGGAATTTATGAGAGTGTGGAGGCCACCCAACTGCACAGCACAGCTGCACCTTCTCCATTAATTCTTCCTCACCACAATCCTCCCAACCCTAGCTAGCAGCTAATCCCATTTCCCCCAATAAATTCTCCTCGATCCCATCCGTTTCCATCTCCAATCGAGATTGATTCATTTCTACAGCCATGGCGGCCGAGCAAGATCTGCTCTCCACCGAAATCGTTAACCGTGGCCCCATGACTTTCTCCGTCAGGGTGCGCCGGAGGCTGCCGGACTTCGTGCAGTCGGTCAATTTGAAGTACGTTAAGTTGGGGTACCATTACCTGATCAACCATGGCGTCTATCTCGCCACAATCCCCGTCATTCTTCTCGTTTTTGGGGCGGAGGTCGGCAGCTTCAGCCGGGAGGAGGTCTGGCGGAGGATCTGGGAGAGCACCGCCGCCTACGATCTCGCCACCGTCGTCGCCTTCCTTGCGCTGCTTGTTTTCACCGTTGCCGTTTACTTGATGTCCCGCCCGCCGTCGATCTATCTTCTTGACTTCGCTTGCTACAAACCGGGTGACGATCTGAAAGTATATATATATATATATATACAAATATATACATATCTATCTTCAATTTTAATTTGTTAGCTCGATTTGATCATTTTATGCGGCGGCCGGCCGGCTGATCTGATGTATGCAGGTAACGAAAGAGCAGTTCATTGAGCTTGCCCGGAATTCCGGCAAGTTCGACGAAGAAAGCCTGGAATTCCAGCGCCGGATTCTGCAAACCTCCGGCATCGGAGACGAAGCCTACGTCCCCAAATCAATTGCGTCGCCGGAGAACACGGCGACGATGAAAGAAGGTCGGGCGGAAGCTTCGACGGTGATCTTCGGCGCGCTGGACGAGCTCTTCGAGGTGTCTCGAGTCCGGCCGAAGGACATCGGAGTGCTCGTCGTGAATTGCAGCCTGTTCAATCCGACGCCGTCGTTGTCGGCGATGGTGATCAACCGGTACAAGATGAGGGGGAACATTCTGAGCTTCAATTTGGGGGGGATGGGGTGCAGCGCCGGTGTAATCGCCCTCGATTTAGCGCGGGACATGTTGCAGGGAAACCCTAACAGCTACGCCGTCGTGGTGAGCACGGAGATGGTCGGCTACAATTGGTACCCGGGGAAGGACCGTTCGATGCTCATCACCAATTGCTACTTCCGGATGGGCTGCTCCGCCGTGCTGCTCTCCAACCGCCGCCGCGACTACCGCCGTGCAAAGTACAGGCTCGAGCATATCGTCCGGACCCACAAAGGCGCTGACGACCGGAGTTTCAGGTATTCTTCATCACAATTCACATCTCGTCTTCTTTAAATAAGCAAGCATGATAGAAATTGAGATTAACTTAAATAATAATGAATTAATCTAATAATTTAATAGATATATATCCCAATATAATATAAATTAATCAAACCTAATCTAAACTAATTAGGAAGTTACCATTCTAAATTTAAAATTTAGGCACAGTGAAATAACAAATGATGCTACTATAAGAAATACACCATTTATTAGGTTAATATAATTCAAATTTTTGTGGTTAATGTACTGATCGGATCTAATCAATAACAACAACAAATCAACACATAAAGTTGAGCTGCTATTGTATTATTATATATTATTTCGGATTCTATGCTGATCTGGTCACATCAGCACCGTACTTATTTAATTGGATCAGGTGTCACAAAGATAAATAGTAATACAATATATGATGTGTGATAAGATATAATATACTCAATTATATTATAACATATGTTGTATTATAAATATGATATGATATATTACCTTCTTACAGCTCTAAGAGCCTCGAAAAAAATTGCAAAAATAGGGTGTCTTATAATACTAATAGAAGAAAATTTGTACAAAACAATTATATAAATATTTTTAATATTAAATATAATAACGCAAAAAGTAAATATGATCTTTAAAAACAGACGAACGAAATATACAATATACGATGTTTACATATATCATATATATGCTTATTTGGTCATAGTGGTGTGACCGTACCAACGTAGCATAGACATGTGAATATGTGATATACTCCTATACAATAAATATCATATTTCTACCTTACAGACATTTTAAATATAAATAGATAGTACATGCTCTATTTGCACTTTGGACAATTGGTATTTGGACTTTTGATCATTGTTATTTTAAAAAAAATCAGTATCAATTTCTCCAAATCAATATCATATATATAACCAATACACATAACTAAATTTAATCTCAATATCTTAAATACATCAACAATCCCTTCAATATGTTTAAAATTTCTTGAACAGGAGCATATATCAGGAAGAAGACAACGAGAAGTTAAAGGGAATCAAAATCAGCAAAGATCTGTTCGAAATCGGTGGGGATGCGATCAAGACCAACATCATCACACTAGGCCCCCTCGTCCTCCCCTTTTCCGAGCAGCTCATCTTCTTCGCCGCCCTGGTCTGGAAGATCCTCCGCCGCGGCGGCAGCAAATCATCGCAGCCGGAGAAGCCATACATTCCGGACTACAAGCTCGCCTTCGAGCATTTCTGCGTTCACGCGGCGAGCAAGACGGTCCTGGACGAGCTGCAGAGGAACCTGAAGCTGAGCGACGAGAACCTGGAAGCCTCACGCGCCGCCCTCCACCGGTTCGGCAACACCTCCAGCAGCAGCATCTGGTACGAGCTGGCGTATCTGGAAGCCAAGGAGAAGATCCACCGCGGAGACCGGGTCTGGCAGCTGGCATTCGGGTCGGGTTTCAAGTGCAACAGTGTCGTCTGGAAGTCCACGGGCAAGATCCGGAAACCCGCCCGGAACCCGTGGCTTGACTGCATCGATAGGTACCCTGTTGCTGATCATCGTTTTCAGGCTTAATTGAGGTTTTGGGGATCATCGTATTTATGTTACTGGCTGTTTGGATTTCAATTAATTTCTATCCCCATTTGATTAAGTATCCAGATTATATACTGTTGTTACTTACAGGACCATTAAAATTAAATTGCACTGTTCGCCATTGATGAATCCACAAAGCTCTCACAAAACAAACAATCAAAATCTTCAAGAAAATACAAACAGAGAGAGGGCTCTGATCTAATGGATCAAATCTTTGATTTCTTCAACCTAATTAATTCTTACTATTATCGTTATTGCCCCAAACAGAGGCTTCAATTCTGGGCTCAAACGGAACCCCACAAACAAAATCCCTAATTTTACCATCACAAGAAAATTCTTCCAATTCTGTCCAATCATTTGTCTCCAAATTGCACATTACATAGCTGCAAACCTCGCCGGAATTCAAGCAAACAAGCATCTCCCCGGCGGCGGCGCCGCCGCAATTTATGTCGGCTTTCTTGCCGTGCAGCTTGTGGGACATCCATGGCGGCATCGCCGCCACCTGACGCCAGAACCCGACGCCGTCGTCCCAACGCCACACCCGAAGGCTGGAGCTCTCCAGAAACTCCGACAGCAAGACGACGTACATTTCGCCGCCGGACTCGACCAGGTCGATCGAATATTCCGAGAAGACCGGGAGCAGCCGCGGGTGCTCGGAGAAGGATTTGTGGTTCAGATTGCAGGAGATGATCGTGCCGGAGGAGCTGATGAAGGAGAGAATCTCGTCGCCGTCTTTGACGGTGAGGACCGACGAGTACTGCTTGGCGGCGCTTCTCTGGATATCGGCGGAGACGACGTTGCCGGATTTTGTCAGGAAGTACTGTGTCTGTGTGCACTCGTCGCTTGCTTCGCCGGCGGCGGAGCTCTTCTGTGTGAGGGCGGTTTCCGGCGCCCATTCATCCCTCTCCGAATTGTACCGCCGGAATTTCAGATTCGGAAGCTCGCCGGAGACTGTGACGAGCTCGAAGCCCTCGGATTGCGTAACCATGGCGATGGCCCGAACCGGAGATTCGGGAAAAGGATAACCGATTCGCCGCGAGGCGGCGGCGGCGTCGACGGGATTGGCGACGAGGAAATCGCCGTCGGCGGCGCGGAAGCAAATCAGGCCGCCGGAAGCTGCGACGGGGATGAAATCTCCGGCGTCGGGTTTCCGATTCTCGCACCCCTGCCGGAGCAGGGGCGCGAGATCGATCGTCTTCCATCCATTCTCCGACGAGTCAAACACCGCCGATCGCCGGAAATCCATATCCGACCGAGCATCCACCATCAGAAACCACGGATCCCGGCGGGGCACCTGCGAGCAGGCCCGGCGGAAAGCGGCGGAATCCGCAGCCGATTTCCATCTCTTGCAGACAGATTTGAGGCGCGAAAACGCCGCCGTGGGCAGCCAGGCAAGAACCCTTTCAAGAAGGTCCTGATTCAGGTCGTCGAGCGGGAATCGACACGTCTCCATCATTTGACAAGCTCTCCTCTTGCGGCCATTGTTACCTGCAACCTGAACCTCCATTGGTAAGAAATCAAGAATCAAGAAAGTAATGAAATCGAAAATCCCCAAGAGGCAATTAAGAAAATATTAAAGACCGATGAGAAGCTAGGTAAGAATTTAAGGATTATTTATAGAGATAGAATGGAAGACATGAATTAGCAGGTAGCTAGGGTTGACGAAGATTGAGTAAAGCAAAAGGTTGGGCATTGACAAAGAAAATGATTAAGAATGTGTCACGGGTGGACGACGAGAAAAAAGCAAAAGCCGAAAAGGCAACCGTAGTAGGAGCTGAGCTGAGCTGAAGAGAGAGAGAGAGGGTCTTCTCTCTTTCTCTCTTTCTCTCTCTATATCTATATATGTGTATATATAGATCACGGCGCAATGCTGACTTTTACGACAAAAAGGGTTAGAGTAGAGGGACCCTATGTTTACTTTTCTCGGTTTCCCATTACAACTTTTGATTTAATTAATGTGCCAAGAAATTACTACAACGATAGGATTATTTACATGACATTAGATTATAGTATTACAGATTACATTAGATCAGCACAGTTGAGATCGATTTCTTAACGAAGAAAAACTCAGGCAGGAAGGAATATATAGAGGGATCAAAGTGAAAGGCAAGAATTCCCCAATTGAGATTGAGGAATAAAATCTAATCTATAAGCTAATAGTATAACTTAGGCTGAGAAAGTCAATGTTGAGAATCCAATGCAAGCTGGCTATATATATATATATATGTATGTATAGGCTGACTTTTGTTGACACAAAAATGGGCTTTGGATGCTGTTTAGTGGGTGGTGATAAAAATTAGTAAAAAAGAGGAAAAGCCACCAATTACGGTCTTTTCTTGTACTATCATTATTATTTATCGATCAAATCATCCTCCTTGTACCCATACAAAAGTGGGTTTTGGCTCTTCATGCAGTTACAAATGAAGTTGATTTTTATCTATAATTTATTATTTAATTAACTAATTTAATACATCCATCACGTCACGTGTGGCTCTGCTCTTTTCCTTTATTGGGTTTTTTCTTTCTTTTTTTTATTAGTATTATATACTACTACAATTCTTTTTATATAATTTAATCGATATGAGCTTAGTTTATTCAAAAAATATAAATTGGGTCTGGACTGGACTGGGCTAAATTTTGAAGATAAATCTATGGGCCTTGATTTTGTGATGTCCACTTAACAAGACAATTGGGACAAAATCCATATGCATAGTTTACAAATTTAGGCCTATCTATACTAGGAGTATTTTGAGCTATCTTCTTTACTAAATACATACATATTTAATGTAATATTTTTTAAACAATTATTATTAATTGATGAATAGTACAAATAACTTCCAAAAGTGCTTTGAACTCAAAAAAATTAACAAAAGAAAAAGGAAAATTCAAATGAGTATTCGAATTTGGAACTTCTGACTTGATGGATGATTTTCAAGGATCAAATGACATTACAAAAATGAAATATATTAAGGCATAAATTAAAGTAGTGATTTATAATTTTGATGTTGTTAGATGATATAAATAGTCTTACTCAAACTTAAGACCTAAAGCTCTAATATACTCGAAATTATTCTTTTAGCACTAATTTATACCGATTTTTTTATTCAGGGCAAAATATTATAATTTATCAGTATATATGTAAATAGGAGGGGATCCCGTCCAGCCCGACCCTGCCCCTCCCGCATAAATACATATATACACATATATATATATGTATATATATACTATACATACATTATACACTATATGCATAGTATACATTCACTTTGTCTTAATTCAAAATATTTTTTATCATTTTCGTACGTCTCATTTTAAAGTATTTTTTTTTTTACTTTAGAAAAAAAATAATCATAAACTAATACCAAAAATATCATTAATTTTTACTTAAATTACAAATATACAATTACTTTATACATAAATCAAAGGGCAAAAATATCAAAAAAAAAAATTCAAATACTATTATTTTTTAATCTATTATAAAATTTTAGAGGCTCCTTTGATTAAGGAATGAGGGAGTACATACTATATATGTATATATATACTATATCCGAGGGGGCCGGTGATCCCCTTCCGTAAATAGAGTATATTCCGATAAGGTCATGTTTTTGAATTTTTGGTTTGTATTTTTAAATACAATATATATAATATATATATATGTATTTATTTATTTAACCGATCAAATCTGGTGTCAGCATCTGGATTACCTCATAACCCACGGGTCCATCACATATGTAAAAGATTTATAATGTACTAATGTTGTTGGTGTAACAAATAAAAGACACTTGTAATGAAGTGCATGCATATTCCATGAAATACAAATAGTATTTCTATTCAATTTAATATACTTTACATGACTCGGATTTATGTCAGCTTCGTGTAATTCCACGTTTGCATTTTCAGGGTGACAAAGTCCATATTTATTTATACAGTTACATATATTTACTAGACCATTTAATTAATTAATTAATTTGTGTTAGTGGTGACCCACGTACTGCCTTACGTGTCATCCCTTCTATTTTAATACACAAATGTATATGCAGATAATATAATTTATTAATTTACACCAACATTGCGTTAGAATGTTGCAATATTGCTGACAAGATCAAATTCCAATTCAGATTATTTTATGTATTTACGAATCCAATAGCTTAAAATTAATTTGTTATAAATAATGGCATATTGGTAAGAACTGATTCAGACGAACTCAAAGATCAGCCATGGCGGAGAAGAAGAAGATCGTGTTCGGGAAATACGAAATGGGGAGGCTTCTGGGTAAAGGAACCTTCGCGAAGGTTTTCCATGGCCGACACCTGGTAACCAACGAATTCGTGGCGATTAAGGTTATCAAGAAGGCCGAGGTTATCCAGAGCGAGAGGATGATGGAGCAGATCAAGCGCGAGATCTCTGTAATGCGCCTCGTCCGCCATCCCAACGTCGTCGAGCTCAAGGAAGTCATGGCCACAAAATTCAAGATCTTCTTCGTCATGGAATACGTCCGCGGCGGCGAGCTCTTCGCCGCCGTCGAGCGCGGCCGCCTGAAAGAGGACGCCGCCCGCCGCTACTTCCAGCAGCTGATCAGCGCCGTCGATTTCTGCCATAGCCGCGGCGTCTTCCACCGCGACCTCAAGCCGGAGAATCTCCTCCTCGACGAAGACGGGAATCTCAAAGTCTCCGATTTCGGACTCTCCGCCCTCCGCGACGGCGCCGGCGGCGCCGGAGCAGAACGACTTCTCCATACACAGTGCGGTACGCCGGCTTACATCCCGCCGGAGGTTCTGAAAATGAGAGGCGGCTACGATGGAGCCAAGGCGGACATCTGGTCGTGCGGCGTCGTTTTGTACGTCCTCCTCGCCGGATTCCTCCCCTTCCAGGACGGAAACCTCCTCGCCATGTATAAAAAGATCTACAAAGCCGACTATCGGTTTCCGCCGTGGTTTTCCGGCGAGGCCCGCCGCCTGATCTCGAAGCTTCTGGTACCGGATCCAGGCAAACGGATCTCCATACCCGGTATAATGCGGGTCGGGTGGTTCCGGAAAGGGTTCAAAAGCCCGAACGCGTTTTCGTTACAGGAATCCCTTTTTGATAAGTTCGACGAGGACGATAAACTCGCCGGCGCCGGCGAAACCAACTTCCGGAAGTCGCCGTCGTCGCCGGCGTTTCTGAACGCTTTCCAGTTCATCTCCTCCGTGTCGACGGGGTTCGACCTTTCCAGCATGTTCGAGGACTCCGGCGACCGCCGCGTCAAGGCGGCGGCGTCGACCTTCACGTCGAGGTGCTCGGCGAGGGTGATCATGGCGAAGATGGAAATGGCGGGAAGGAAATTAGGGTTTAGGGTTGCGAAGGTGAAGGATTTCAAGCTGCGGATGTTGGGCTCGTCGGAGGGGCGGAAGGGGCGGCTGTCGGTGACGGCGGAGGTTTTCAAGGTGGCGCCGGAGGTGACGGTGGTGGAGTTCTCGAAATTTTCCGGCGACACGCTGGAGTACGTCAAGTTTCGGGAGGAGGAGATGAGACCTTCTTTGAGGGATGTGGTGTGGACTTGGCAAGGGGAAAGTCCACTTCGACAAAGTCAAAGTCAAATGAGTTGACTTTTGTGTGTAATCGTTATGTACTACACTTACTATTTTTTTACTGTAAATTTTTTACTAGTAATTTTTATTGGGTTTATACTCATTTGTTTGTGGGTATTTTTATTTTTATTATTATTATCATTATTATTATGTATACTTAATATTTTGTGGTGAAATGTGAATTTGATTGAATATGAGAATGGATATGGTCAGGGCTGGCCCTAGACTAGGCTAAGAGGGCACCCCGACCCAATACTATAATAGGGTCACTATATATTTTTGAAATATATTTATGTATGGTTTCTAAAAATATAATCTATTTGATATCTATATAAATAAATAAATAAATATATATATATATATATTTATATAATTGTATAGATTGACTAACGGTGATTTTGATTTAAAATGTAAACCAAATGAACCATAATGTTTTAATCTTGTATGAGTATCTTGTTCTAAATTGAATTGTATTCTTATCTTTTAGAATTTTATCATTTCGTTTTATTGTAATAAATTATATATATTTTTTAGTTATTTTCAACTTTCATTATTTGTGTTAAGTTTATATATATCATTATTTTATAGTCATTAATTAGAAATATTGTTATTTTAATTTGAATAAATTATTTATGGTTATTTTATCTACTGTGTATGCTGTATATTGTATATTGCACTGTTATTTCAGTAAAAAAAAAAAAATGTTATATTAATAAAAATATTAGTTAAGAGAGTTGGTTGAGAAGATTCTGGAAGCAAGACAAGAGATGTGAAATGTATATTTGCAATTTTGTAAGCACGATCTTAAATTAAAATGCGACCCGAACTCGACACGAAAAAATTGTATTTGAACCTCTAAAAATAGGTCCAAATTTTTTCGAGGTGTGTCTTGCCCGGCCCGCCAAAACATTGGACCGTGTCCAGACCTATGAAGATCGGACCGTGCCTAGCCCGGTTCGATTATTTAAAATTAATATTTAATATGTTTATATATATTAACTAATGAAATATTATAAAAAAAAAAAAAATAGATATAGTTTAATGGTGAAGTCTTTTAAATTGTTTATCTGATCGGTTCGAAATCGGGCCAACCCTGTATGATCCACTTCGAAATCGGGTCGGACCGATCCAAATTGCTACCCCTAATTTATGTGTGTTGATGGTCTTATCTTTATGTTTGAATGATCTGTCTGGATAAATTTTTTGTATTGTTATTTGTTTGTTGTTCGATTAAATGAGTCTTAAACCAACAATATTATTTAATAAATGAGCTTTTATATGATTCAAAATGTTCTTCATATAAGTAGTTTTTTTTTTTTTTTGTATTACATGTAACAATACTGTTGGAATCAATATCATATAACCATCATTAAATTGAAATTTTAGTTTTTTAATAATTGAATTTGAGTTTAGCAAATAGCAATGTGTTAAACCTTTCTTTGTATCAAATTTTATTCTCAAACTCCTTGATTTGAAATTAAGGCATTATAATTGTATTTTTATCGAAAATCATACAAATTAAATAATAATAATTTTTATTAGATAAATATTTAATGAATTGTGAGTTTTGTATTGAACAATTCTATTCAAATATTACATATATATTAACCCATCATCACAAAATTTGCTAAAATAAAATTGTGTGTACCTACGAATATTTTAAGCTTTATTTAGGTAAGAATGTGAAGTTTTAGGTGATTTAAAACTTTAAAAATTAAAATAGATATTGATGTAATATAAATAATAGTTGGATATAAGATTTTGTATTAAAATTATTTTTTTAATATAATATTTTAAATGAATAGTAAATACATAGAGCCTTAAACACGCAAAATTAAATACTTATTCGCTCTTTTATAAATAAACTATCAATTTTTTTATTTTATTCCGTTTTTTGAAGCATTCAGGTGTGTTTGTTTTGTGTTTATATTTTTAATATAAAATTTATTTATTATATTAAAATTAGAATATATTATTTTTAAAGTTTCGTAATCCTCATCTCATAATATTCAAATTATGTCTCGCATATAACAACCACGATCATACTACAGATTCATCGTTTATTCATTATTTTTCATCTATTTTTTGCATAAAAATTTTAGTACATTAATATTTCATTGAAGTGTAGTATAAAAAGAATATATAAAGACAATTTTGTCTTTATTTTTCTTTTCTTTTTTTTTTATATAAAAGTAATAATGTAATTATAAAGTAAAAATACTCTTATATTTATGTGAAATATAATTTTATTTAAAAATAATAAGATAATTTGAGTGAACAGATTAAAATAGAAAAATAATCTAAAATAGATATCTAAAAAATATGTGGGTAAGAAAAAGTAAAATTTGAGCATATATTAAAAGTCATGGAAGAAAACACAAAAATATAAATACAAAAAATTATATAAATATATGATATTCTAAATTAAAAATAAACAAATTTTATGATAGAAACAATACTATTCCTTCGTCATTCAAATCTATTCTTACTTTTCTTTTTTGTTGTTATCCAAATTTATTTCCGTTTCCTTTTTTAGTAAAAAAAATACCACATTTTTTTACCAAAAAAAAAATAAATTCTATTCTTACATATTTTTCTTAGACAATTGGATGACGGAGGGAGTATATATATTTAAACTTATTGCGGGTTAATTCAAAATTCAAAGCATCTTTTGTATTTATCGATTTTCATTCAACTTTCCCCACACGCACACTTCATTCTATTTAAGCATTGTGATATTAAATTTGTTTACTTTTTATTATGTTTGTTCCCATATTTTTAGGAATTTTTACTACTCAATTAAACCAAAAAAATATATATATATATTTAAAAATAACAAATTAAATTTTTATTTTTTATATAGTATTCAAAATATTACATTAATATTTATTAATATGTTATCAAATAATAATCTAAAAATTCAAAATTTTACTACTAAAAAATTCAAAACCTGAAAAAAACACCCTTTAATTTTTTGAATAATCTTGTATAAATTATACATCAGTGTTGTTATGGTACTGAATTATTTTATTCAATATTGTATTAATTGAAATCAAGTAAGGTCATTTTATATATATTTGTGTGCTTTGTTAGTCCAAATGTATGCAATTATTTTTCCACGGTCGACATATATTCCAAGATTATTTATTGGACTTTTGGACACAAATATATTGTTTAAAAACAATTACAAAAATGACTTGTGAGAGAAAAGGACAATTGTTTTTGTGTTTCTAACAAAATAGCTCATCTGTTCACATTGAAAATTACAATTTTTTATTTTCGTTCGTCCTAAAATAAAGTTACAATTTTCTAATTTATTAATTATACAATCCATCTAATATAATAAATATTCTTTCAACTTACAATATTACACAAATTTAATATAATACTAATATTAAAAAATATTTATGTAAAAAAAATAAATTGAATGGGACGGAGAGAGTATATATCCTAAACCTAAGACAGGTGGGAGTGTGAACTTATTGACACACAAATTGATTAATGGTGACAGGAGAGGAGATTAATTTCCACAAAGTGTACATCATGTCGTGACGTCACACACTACTACGTCATGTAGTGACGTCACTTTACCAAAAGATCAATCATCTCCGACCTTATCTAATTTGGAATGATTCCCTCAAATAATGATTCTTACTTATTCTTTTGTATTTCTGGAATAAATAACAAGGACAATATTGTTTTTTTTTTTTTTTTTTTTTTTTTGTGATATTGTAATTAATTTTAAAAATATTTTTATATTTTGTATAATTTATTTAACAAATACTCTCTTTGTTCGATAGTAATTTTTTTATTTGATTTTTGCATGCAGATTAAAAAAAATATATATTTTATAGAATATGTAATATTAAAAGTAATGTAATATCTATTATATTTTTAAAAAATAATGTGAAAAATAAAAAGTAAATAGAATTATTTTGGTATTTAGCTAAAAATTATTTTTTCTAAAAAAAAGAATTGATAAGTTTTTATTTGGACATACTAAAATAGAAAATGAGAAGTTTAGTAGTAGACGGAAAAAGTATTATTGTATTTGTATTTTAAGAGACTAATAAATGTATTTTTTTGTTATTTTCTTTTGAATTATACTACGTATTAATATAATAATTAATATTTAAAGATTTAAAAAAATAAAATCCAATAATACTTCTCTTTTGGGATGTAAGTAGTAATATTTTCTTAATAAATAAAAATATGTAAAATAATTTTGATATTTTAGTATCTTATATTTTATGTAAAAATTATTGATTTATTGTATATGTATTGATATTTTGTATTTTATGTAAAAATTAAAAGTATTTTGTATTAGTATGTAATTACTTTTATTATAATATATTATTTTCGTCAACTCACAAATTATAGTACTTATTTTTATTTTGAATTTTTTAATTATAAAATAATCATTTAAAAATATCTAAATATTTTTCTACAAAATCGATACTTTTGAAAATAAACATCACACTTTTTGCATGCCTATTAACAAATATTAGTATTTAATAATAGTCTAGATATAATAGGGTAAATATCAATTTCTTTTTTTACTTTTAAATATAATTATATAATAAAGTGGATATAAGATGATAAATAAGTATAAAAAAATATTAATAATTAGTTGTTGTAATTTAAATATAAAATTATTGAAGTAAATGAAAGTGGCTTGACTAAAAGTCAAGCAGCCACGATTATCATTCTGTCATTCCTTGTTCACTAATTTTTCGATCCATTATAATATATTTTGGCCCACCATAGATATTTGAAGTTTAGAAAATGATAAAAATATTGATTATTTGATATGATATATTTTTTTTGAATGTTATTTTTGTTGTTTTCTATATAGAAATTTATATTTAATAAAAACAATGAAAATATATAAGTAAATAAAAATTGAAAAATATAATGAGAACAATCATTAAAATATATGACTATACTCAGATTTAGTCCACTTAAAAAATAAAAAGAATAAATACTTGGTAATTAAAATTATATACTCTTGGCACAACAAAAAATGTGCAAAATAACATAGGGTGTGTTTCTTAGTTGGATCTGATTTTCGATTTTATTATTTTTAATTATTTTTTTCTATAAAAAAATTAAATTAAATATCTATTTTTATTTATTATATTGCACTAAAATTAATTTTTACATTCAAAGCATCACATCAATATATATATATTTATATGAAATCAAACAACTATTTCAATTCAAAATTTTACTGTTCAAAATCAAAATTCAAAATCAAAATCTTACAAATAAACCTACCCATATTAATTATATATAAACATATTATATATTTCTATGTATTATGTATTTGGACGCATTTGAAGGTGTAAATGAGAGAAGACTTTGTTGAAAGACATTCAATCGTCTCTGTGAAACTTTCTTACATAATTTAATTATTGTATTGTATTCATTGGCAATTGGTTATCAAATTCAATCCCATATTTTCTTTCTTTTTCGTCCACTCTCTATAAAAATATCCCTAAATTATAAACCCTTTCTCCATCTCCTTTAAAAAGAAAAAAAAAAAAAGAAAAAAAAAAAAAGAATATAATCAATCAATCTGAAGCCAAGATTGATGAATGGAGAAAACATTAGACATCGATCTCAACTCTAAGCCCACATCAAACACAACCCAAACTCCAGTAAGTATATACAACAGTGTCCTAATTATTAATTTTATATAATTGTTCATCACTGGTTGCTTTGATTCTTCTTGATTATCGAAATTGGGATCTGATCTGATCTGGTTCGGACAGGGATATGATGAGCTGATTGAGGAAGTGAAGAGGATGAAATCCGAGAATCAGAACCTCACTGATCTCCTCGAAATTCTCTGCAAGAAATACGACGACCTGATAAAACAGAGACACTACTCCGGCCATCGGAAAATGAAACACACTGCAGCCGGCGATACGGACAATTCCGGGCACAGTTCGATCCTCCATTGTTGTAGCTGTAGTGACGAATGCTCACCAGGCAGGCCCAGGGAGATCAAATCCAACGTTTCCAGAGTTCATGTCCGAATCGACCCATCCGAGACCACCTTGGTAAATCAAAATTTCTGTTGTGTGATTGGTAGTTATTAATTATATATCCGCAAATGAGACTCAATATTTATCATCTATGATAATAATAATAATGATAATAAATATTTTGTATAGGTGGTAAGAGATGGGTACACCTGGAGAAAGTATGGACAGAAGGTAACGAGGGATAACCCGTCGCCAAGGGCTTATTACAAATGCTCCCTCGCTCCGACATGCCCTGTTAAGAAGAAGGTTATTTAATAAGTTTCTACTAATTAATTAAATTAGTTATATATCTAAATATTTATTTATTTGATTATTTATTTATTTATTGTTTGTGTAGGTTCAGAGAAGTGCGGATGATCCGTCGCTTTTGGTGGCGACGTACGAAGGGCAGCACAACCACAACCACACCCACCGGAATTGCGGCGGGCAGTCGTCTCCGGCGGCGGCGGGTGAAGAAGATGATCGGGTAGGGAAAACACAGAAGGTGTTTGTGGAGCAGATGGCTTCTTCACTGACCAGAAACCACAGCTTCACCAACGCTCTCGCGGCGGCCATTACAGGGAGGATATTATCGGAAACTGCTGACAACGTCAATCACGACCAATTATTCCAAATCGAAGACGACGATAATTATGCTCTCTAATCAATTCAATACTTATTTGGCTATTTACATATATACATACACATACATACATATCAATTTAGAACTTGATTGGGAATGCTGTGGCATTGTTGGTGGGTTACAAAATAGACAACAGGGATGACAAAAAATAATACTCCCTCCGTCCACACACAAAGTATACATGTTTTAGAAATAATAGTATTTTAATTATAATGATTAGTTAAAAATAATGTAACGATATTTTTGTCCTTGCCTTTTTGGTATAAAAATAATAATGTGATGTAAAGTATATTTGTCAAAAAAGTGAAATATTTAATAAAATATTTACTTTCTAATTTAACGTCCCAAAATAGAAAAACGGAGGGCCTAATAAATAGGCTAAATTAGACAAAATTAACGTGTGGTTTAAACTGTCGGGTGGTTTTATAAACTCTCATTCTAATCATTCGTCAATTTTTATTTAACAGTATTGACTTAAATGCCCCAACTGTCAATAAATTTTAAAATCTTAATTCTAAATCCCTAAAATTACAAATATACTTAATTTTTTTTATATTTAGCCTATAAAAATATAAGAAAAATAAATATATTTGTAATTTTAGAAATTTAGAAATTAAGATTCTAAATTTTATTTGCAATTTGGAGGCAATTTCATAAAATCATAAATAGATTTTTGTTTTGCTCAATTTAGACTAATAAATAAAAATATTTTTGGGGAAGTTTTTGGACATGAGATTTGAAATAGTAAATATATATTTATTAACATTTGAAAATAATTGTAAATAAAATAAAGTTGGAATCCAAAAGTAATAAACAAACAGAGCCTCAATTAAACAACGCCCTGGTTTTGCATGATCAACCGCAATAAATTCCGACAAGCTAAATAAAGCTCTTCTCTTCCCCCTGTCCGAATTGAATTGAAGTAACTTCTCTTCCATGGCGATTATGACTACCGCCTTCATCCCGTGACCCTTTCCTAATTCTCCCCTCCATTAATGGATCCTGCTGTGCTCTCTGTCTCCTCACTATTTCTATTTCACCAACCCAACTCATATAAAGAAAAGGCTTCCGCTTCGCTTCCATCTCCACACCAAATTAGCTCAAAGCTATGAATTACGACGATGGCTACTGCAGCGACACCGCCGTCGGAGCTATCGGCCGGAGAAGACGAGGAGATGCCTGCCAGAATTTCACGTGTATGTCGCCGTGGCACATCGTCCGCCGTTGGATCACCGGACCGAAATCCAACGGATCCTCCTCGGGAAGAAATTGGGGAAAAAGGAACTCGAATCCGAAGACGAAATTAGGGTTTCTGAACAGACTGGACGTCGACAACGATGAGCCTCCATCGTCTTCTACCGTGGATCGTGTTTCAGGTGAGCAATTACAGATTTCCATGACTTTCATAAACCCTAATTAATTTCATGAAATTTTTTAACAGATATCGGCAGAGAAGCTTCGTTTAATTTAGGAGTTGGATTCGGTTTGATCTATCTCATCGCTGCAAGCAGAAATGAGCTCAGCAAAATGGTTGAGTTGCAGAGACAGATCGAAGCTCTGCTTCGGAATCTCAATCAGGACAACCCTAAACCGCCATTGTCCCTACCTCCAAAATCCCCAAATTCATCTTCTTCCTCAATTATCACCGAAATCCAAGCAGAGAAAACTCCTATAACGAATCAACCTGATACCCAATCCGAAGTTCAGATGAGATCAGAAGAATGCGCGCCGGAGCCGGCGCCGGCGCCGGAGTATTACAGCGTGCCGGCGAGAGAGCTGGAGAGGAAACTCCACGAGCTTCTAGAAGCAAGACAGCAGGAGAGAATAACAGAACTGGAGACAACATTGGATCGTGCAATGCTGAAGCTTGGGGAGAAGGAAAGAGAGGTCGCGTGGTGGAAAGACACGGCCCGCCTCATCGCCGGCAACCTTCCGCCGATTCCAAACCCGCCGGCGAGCAAGGTCAAGCTTCAGAGCATCAATGGCGGACGCGAGATCACAGTCCGGGAAATAACCACAAGTATGGTTATGAATTCTCTGTTCGAAACTAAGTACGAAACTGTATAAAAATTGTCTTTCACATAACAAACCGAGGTTAATTTGTACTAAAACACACATTACCAAATTTCATCGACCCTAATCAAAATCCAAAGCTTCCTTGCAACGCTCTAACCGCCACCGCATACGGCGACTCCCAATCGGCATCGAAGATCGCCCGAAGCTGCGCCACAATGCTCGGATTCGACGTCCCGAAGCTCACTCCATTCGTCGTGTAAAAGTAATCCCACACGAGATTGCTCGTCCCGATGTGCGCCCTCACGTCGCTCACCGCATATTTCCCGTGGTTCACCCTCGTGTAGCCGGGATAAGAATTTCCGTCCCCGGCCGGTCCCGTCGAGTTGAACCCCGGCACCCGGTAATACTTGATCTCCACATTTCCGCGACAATTGTTGTACTTAGACGACGAGCAAAGGTTGTTCGTGTAGAGTAGCGACTTCAGGTACTCATCCGTGTTTGTAATAAAATGTGCCCAATACGCGACGAGCAGCTTCACCTTGGCTTGCTTGGCGAAGACAACCTCGGATATGGCCGAAGACAGCGACGACCAGTACACAGTCTCAGACATGTACTGCGATTGCCCGAGCCAGTCCATCGTACTAATTCTAACCGTCGCGCCGTGGCTAACCGATTTGATCGTATCCACCCAACCCTGCTCGTCCGTCTGATGTTTTCCGAACAGCAGCTGGTCGAAAAAATCGCAGAGAACCTGTCATCATACTATGTTGTCCAATGTAATAACATTGCGACATAATCGAAAAAATGTAATAAAACCTCCGGCGGAGCAAACGATAGGTAGCTTGAATCGCTTCGTGACGTTGAAATGTTTCCTCCTGGAGTTTTAATCCGGACATGAAATTTAGAAGGGCTCGAGAGGGCTGGATAGCCATTGACGCGCTCGACCTCAACGTATTTAGACAACAGCGATCTTCGCAACATGTAAGAACCGAGCAGCAGGAGTTAAGGTAGCAGCGATCCGATAAAATAGCAACAATACGGTAGCTAATCCTTGTACCTGCATCGATTCTTCGGTGCAAGAAAATGCGACCAACAGGGGACCTTACGATCGATCTGCCATTGCGCGTCGTGCACTGTTTTAGTATACGCCGAAGCGTTGAGGCGTGCGAGTGTCCACAAATTGTTGTAGTAAATCTCAACCTCGTTCGCGATCTTAGGACATCCAACGAGGTAAATCCCGAGTTCCTTAACCTGAGTTAAGGATTTCCAGTCATTGTTCGCGGATCCAATGTACAAATCTCGGCCATCGGATATCCAAACCTTGGCGTGGATGATCCCCGAGCCCCACCAGTCTTTCAGCAGCAACGTGATGCTTCTTACATTCGATTTCCCCGCTGCGAGCGCGGATGGCTCGTCCGTGTAATCGGGATACACTCCCGAGTGCTGTAAGAACCTGTGGTAGAACAACTTATTACATGCTGTAACAACAATGTAAGGCTAAAACATAGAATGTTCGAGTGAAATCGCACGCACCGGACACTAATATTGCGATCGATGGCTTTCGCTAGAGCATTGTGAACCTTATATCCTTCTCCCGCGCCGAATCTTCGCATGTCAGCTTTCGAGTATCTGTAGTCCCCCGAACGGGGATCCTCCGGATGCGCGATCAACTGCCAGTACTGCGCCATTACGTCGAGGCTTTTCGACGAATTTCCAGCCAGCCATTGGAAGACATCAGCTGGTAGAGTAAATGTGTCTCATACATAGTAATGTGGCAGTGAAAAATTGCTTCTAACAGATACTGTGTTAAACAGTGCATTGTAAATGTTAATATAATCTTCTAACACATACGTGCACTTTTTTTCACCCTAACCATCCCCGATAGTAAAATATTAAATCAAAAGGTGAAAATTTGATTTGACCTATCTTCCAAGAATCATCCGCAGTAAAGCTAAAACATAATAATCTATCAATTCCAAATCTTTTTCTCGTCCCAAAACTTTTACAACTTTTCTTAACAAAATCAAAATTATATATATATATATGACGATAGTAATAATTTTTTTACCGGTGGAAAGAACGCCGGGAACGAGGGAGAGTTGAGGCATGTCTGTGGGGATCGACTGAACCACCCATGCTTTGCAATCTCCATTATTGTTATTACTGCTCTTAGTCGGTTCTGCAAAAGGATAGAAACAGGTTAAGAGAAGAAGAAGAAGAAGATTGGGGTTCAGGCGAGAAGGAAGTCTGAAAGAAATCATATTTTTCGAAAATCTTCAGCAGTTTTCGGAGATTCCAATGGGCCGGAAATATATATAATCGGATAGGGCAGCAGAGTTTGAATAGAGACAACGCTAATTTCGTTCCCATACGATATATAGTTGACTATTTTGGAGATATGCCGACTTGCCAATTATAACTACAATAATAATATATTTCTATATAATAATCTAACCGTCTTTGATGGCATATAATCCTCAAGATCCTTCAAATTCCATTTTTTAAATCACTTCCTCCAATAAATTTAAAAATATTATTATATTCCCTCCGTCCGTTCCATTTTTTGCACCGAATTTTATAAATATTAATATTATATTAAGATATAATTTAAATAAAGTAAATAAGATTTTTATTAGTATTATGTGATATAAAGATAACGACATTTATGTAATATTATATTGTAAGTTAGAAATTGGAATGATATTTGTAACGATGTTATAGGACGGACCAAATTATAAAAATTAATAGATTATTAAGGACAAAGAGAGTATAATAATAGGGTAAACTGATGATTTTGTAGTTTTGTAATCAAATTTCTTTTATATTTTAGTTTTGTAATTGAAATATACTGCAAATTAGTTTTATAAAAGAAATTTTTTTGTAATTTTAATCTTTCAATGCCGAAAATGCTTACGTGACACCCATATGATTTGCTAAAAAAACACGTGTTTGTCAAATCAGCAATATATAGCGGACACAAGTCCTCAGACAAGTCATGCAGATGTCATATTGGAATCTCCGCCTATAAAACTAAAAGTGCAAAAATTTTCCACTAATTTACGACGGACTCTAATTAGATTAAAAAATCAATTTACCCTTAAATATATATTGAGAGTAACATAATAACGATATTTAACCATGAAATCATGAGTTCAAACCTAAACCCAATTCTCCAAATCCGAAATCCTAAGCTACACTAAGAAATGGAATGCCTCCTATTTCTTGAAGATGAAGCAGCCATCATCTTCCCTTCCCCTCGTATCGTCGACACAGGGCTCTGCGAGCTCCCGCTACCCGACGTCTCCGAGCTCTTGCTCTTGTTCTCGGCGCTCCCGAACCCTTTCCACAGCTTGTCGAAGATCCTCTTCGACCGCGATGGCAGAAGCTGCGCGCTCGATCCTCTTTTCGCAACTTTTCCATTCTTCACCGCCTCTTCTTTCACCTTCAGCTCATCCATTTGCTTTCTCAGCGATTTTCCGGCGCTGTCCGCAGCCATTCTCCTCCGGTTCTCGTCGGGGCTGACGTTCGACGCTCGACCCGATACCACCGCCTTCACCTGCTCGAAAAACAGGACTTGCACGACGGTTCGGAGCGGGAGTTGCTCGTTTTGGGCCGCATGCATCGACATTTCGGTAGTTAGTTTTTTAACGTCGATCAGAACGCAGAGCGTTTTCTTCTCCGATTTCGTTATGTTCTTGTGTTCCTGCAGAGTATGGAGTATCAGTTTTGTCGAACATTCGGGTTAATGAGAATGTAATGAAATTAAACGGGGGTTAACCTTTAAATACGCGTCGATTGCGCCGTACAATCCGTCGTGGATTGGCCTAGCCGCGTCGGGGATCGAATCAGACAATGCGACGAAATCGGAGACGGTAAGGTTCGGATCATGCGCCACCGACGCAAGATACACGTCGATGAGTTTCCCGACCTTTAGCCATGAGCCGTGTCCTAAAACGAAATCATTAGCCGCAACGATTTTCGAATCGCGGCTGCTCGTTTCGCTCTCGACGAATTGGCGCACGAGGCGTCGAACGAGTTCGATGTCGTAGAGAGTCGCTTGAGTCGGCTGCGACGGGATCAAAAGATCGTTTACGGAAGCCTCGTCCAATTTCGAACCAATGCTCCTTGTTAAATCTTCCCTCGACGAATCCTCGGCTCCGATAAGAATCGCGACCTTGAGCAACTTGAGCAAGAAGCTACACGAACAGCCGGCGCCCTTGTCCGAAGGCAGCAAGCGAATTATAGTTTCGACCAAACATTTGTGTCGAACAACGTTCGCATCCGAAACCAACGCATCGACCGAATTCGGGATCCATCGAATAGCGTAAGTCCTCAACGCCTCCCCGATCGCGCCTCCATTCATTCGACCTTTCGATTTGATCGCAATCATAACTCTCTTGAACAAATCGACGTCAAGTTCACATATGTCGTCGATCCACCAATCGTCGGGGACGTGTTCAATTTTCTCCGATGATCGTATCTCCGACGATGACGACGATGCTTTTCGATTGTACGTATATGACCAATTGACCATCGAAGGATCCACTGACGTTTTCGATGCGATCGAATCAATGCACCTCCCGACTATCCTTAAATCCTCGGACCATGGAAGAAGCGACCTCGTCGATTGTAGTACTATGATCGAATCTTTCCAACTTCTTAGGATGCTCGAATTGAGAAAAATCTCGACTTTTAGGACCAAATTTCCTCTATCGACATCCTCTATCATTTCGAGATACTCTGCGGCGCAACGCGCAGCCGCTACATTGTATGCATTGAGCGTCACGGCAATGCCGTAGCAGAATTTCGCGCAGATTTCGAATGCTTTCGCTCCGCCGGGGAATTCAGACAGCTGAATTTCGACATCAGAAGCTTCGTCGGACACGAGCTTCTTCAACCTTAAGCTCTTCGACAACAGAGGAAACTGCAAATTAAACACAATCCAATGTAAGCCCAGTTCAATTCAATCCGATGAACTATTGAAATGTTTGGATATATCTGTCAGACCTTATGCAGATGAAACCTGACGCCGGCGACGTTTACAACAACATCGGTGGCCAATTCCGACAGGGCATATCTACAAAGTAACACAAACATGTAAGAATGTCTGAATCTTGCTAAATTGCAGTGTAAAGATCAAATATTATCTTAAGATTCAAAGAGTTATGAAAAGGGGCTTTTTTCTTTTCTTTTTTTTTTAATGGAAGAACACAAAGGGACCACAAGAATAGGAATGATCTAGTATATAAACAAATCCACCATGAAAGTGGGATACATAAAACCCTAAACTTTACAGCGGTCCATCAATCATGTAAAGTGTGCACAAATGGCAGATGGAATAATTAATACTAAGGTGTCGTTCGTTGTAATCAAGAATGATAGAAGAGATTATTACCTCACGGAGCTTCCTTCGGATTGAAAAGAATCACGCTTTGAACCTAACTTCATGAACTTCATCTTTTTCTGTGTATGTGTTCTTGAAAAGGAAAAGAAAAGAAAAGAACAGAAATGAAATCTCAGTGGTGAACGAAGAAGAAGGTGAGAAGAAGAAGAAGAAGAAGAATGGGGAAAGTGGAACACATTCTCTGGTCTGTAAAGAGACAAACGCATCAATCTTCTTTATCGATCCATTCCCGTCGCGTCACTGTGTTTTCCTCAGCAGAAATCGAAGCGGGAAGACAGGAATATATTGGCCCCAAAACAGTAAATCCAAGCACAACCAAACAAACAAGAAAAGGGGGGTTCGAAGAAAAATGAAAATGCCTCCTCCTCCTTCTCCTCGAATCCTGAGCCGAGAGAATTAAAGAAACGAAAATGGAGAATCTCTTTCTCTCTCTCTCTCTCCCTATGTGTCACAGTTTCTCTCTCTTTCTCTATCTCAGTGCTCGGCCTCATCCGCCATGCCTTGTGGTTACTTGCTGTCGTTGCTTTTTCCCTACATTATATCAATGTGATGTAATGCCAATTAATATTAGCAGAGAGAGAGAGAGAGAGAAGTGAGAGAGAGTACCGGACAGCGGTAGCCAGCTGGTCAGGTCCTTAAATTGCCAGCCGCCATTGCCATTACTGCTTCTGATCTTCTTCTCCTTATTTCTTCTTTCTTTCTTTATTCTTCTTCTTCTCCAACCCACCTCGCCTGCAAATCTTCAAGATTTCAATTCCTAATAATAAATAAACGCGGATAAATGGAGGATGGGGTTGTGGTGTGGATATGTATCGTCTTTATGGGGGGTGGGGGGGGGGGTTAGGGAAGATGGACAGTACTGTAGTGAATGAGCTGATGCAGTTGTCGTGCTGCTTTTCCAGGATTCTTGCAGAGGGAGACAAGAATACGTGTAGTGCGTTCGTGTGTGGGTTGTTTTGGGCGAAGTGGAGAGGACTGTGCTCTGCACTGCAACAATGGAGGGACAGAGAGGATCAGAGATCTCTCTCTCTCTCTTTCTTCTCTCTTCTTTCTTCTCTCTTCTCTCTCTCTCTTCTGCTACTGGTTCTGCTCTGCTTGGAAGCTTTATGCCATTAATGCACGCCTATTTTATCTATTGACGTTTTTGCCCCTGCTCTTTTCTCCTTATTCTAATATGTTTTTTCCTAATTAAATAATTTGACCAATAATGGTATCTATCTTAGTTCGATGTATGAATTATTGAAATACTAACAAATAGTCAGTTCCAATTTTTGAGTGATGATTTTGTCTACATATGTAATGTAAGTTTTATGATGACGTTGTTAATTTTGAAACTCGTAACAAGATTCATGTATATTATTAATAAATAAATTTATTTCTCTTTCTTTTTTTAAAAAGATAATAATAAAGAATTTATTTTTATTTGATCTTGATTCGTATTTTATAGCTCTTCCTCTTCTTTTAATTTGTGAGGATTTTATTCCACCACGTGAATCCCAATAATACGTCCATAGTACTAAAGTTCATTTAAATACTAAAATTTAATTGGACATTTCCAATTAAGCTAGACAATTCTAAGTGGTAGCAATCGGATCTTGTTTCTTCGTGTTACATTTTTATCAATTCAAAATATTACAGAAACTATTATAGCTAAATAAAAATAAATAAATAAATCTATGGCTTTGTTTGCATACATGGGTTTTCCAATCGATCCTTTTTTGCACTGTTTATGAATTCATTATTTAAAAAAAAAAAAAAAAATTCGTATCAAATATTTATTTTATAAAAATATATATATTATATCAAATATTTAAAACAAAACCCAAATAGAGATGAATTTTTCCTTTAATGTATATCAAATATATAGACATGAATTTTAGTAACATTTTTTGTTTAATTCATTCCAAGTACCAAAGCAATTCCCATTAGTCAAACATACGTACTGATACATATAACTGCTCCGGTTGAACTTGTATGCATCATGTTATTATTATTATTATTATATGTATTAAAAAAATTAAGGCAATGTGGTTTGTAGAATGCTTATATTAAACAAAAATAAATAAATAATTGGTAAATCTACTATTCAGTGTTATAATTATAAATTATATTTTTGCAAATTAATGTTGAAAGAAAAAACTAGAGCATTTTCCTAAACTGTGTTCGTTCCTAGGATTTTGTCAAAATTCTACTATTCATCCAAAAAATTTTCCCAAAAAATATCAAATCAAACACTTATTTTTCATTTTTTATATTATACTAAAAATCAATTTTACATTCAAAACATCACATCATATAACTATTCAAATTCAAAATTTTTACTATTCAAATCTCAATCCAAAATCCAAAATCCAAACCCCCAAACAATAATACTCCCTCCGTCCATATTAAAAATCTTTTGTAAAAAATAATACTCTCTCCGTCCCATATATTATGGGCGTATCACTATAGATACGATAATTTAGGTCAAGTGTGATTAGTAAGTAATTAAGAAGTGTATTAGTAAAAATAATTATTGTATAATAAAAATAATTGTGGATTAAAATTAAGATAACTAAATAGTTTAATTAAGATTAAAAAAATTATAAAATTTAAAATGATATTAAAATGTATAATTATATTTCTAAAAAAGGAATAGACAAATTACGTAGGACGGACGAAAATAGAAAATAAGAACAAATTATGTAGAATGGATGGAGTACTTCTTTGTCCTTTAATAATATTTTTTCATTAATTTTTACATCATTAATATTAATAGAGATATTTTTTTAATTTATACATATAATATTAATATTCAAGTTGAACATATAAAAAATGATTAAATAAATACATAGTTAAATGACTAAAGGAATGTAATTTTATTAAAGAGTATTTAGATTAAATAGTGTCTTGAATAGTTTGCCAGAGCTGAAAAAGGACAGAGATATATTTATAATAAAATAAATAATTATTTTAATATTTCAAGTAAAAATATATAAACTATTAGTGAGTATCATTTTTTTTAAACCTTTTTCATTTCATATAATTTTTTTTTTAATTTGTCTCGTATAATTTTTTTGCGTATTAATTTTTTAATATTAATTATTATATAAAAATATAATACAATGATACAAAAGATAAATGTAAATTTATTAACTGAACGGAGATATATAAATTATATACTTTAACCATTTTTTAAATTTTTAATTTGAATTTTTTTTATTTTAATTAAATTATTTAATTATTTTAATTTTAATAAAATTATTTTTATTATACAATAATTATTTTTACTAATATATTTTTAATTATTCTGCAACTCAAGGAGTAATATTAAGAAGTGATTGATCAATATGTTATAATAGTGAAATAATTAAATAGTAGAGGTGATATATATATATATATGATGGTGACAGTGATACCTTTCCATATGTAAATAATTGGGGAATTGTGACTGCTAATAATATTTTATTTGACTTAGCCATGTAAGTAATAAATATACATGTGCATTACACTGTCCATACATTTTAGCTTGTTTATACCAGAATTTTAATATTATTCAATTTTTTAAAAATATTATATAATTTCTACGTCCCATAATTATGTATTCGTTTGTTTTTTCTATGTAATTTTAAAAATATTAATATTATATTAGAATATAGTATGAATAAAATAGAAAAATAAATAAAATAATTTTATTAGTATAGTGTGATACAAAGGTAACAACATTTGTGTAATATATTGTAAATTATAAGAGAATTTTTGTAATGTTAGGTAGATAGTACACTTACTAAGAAAGAAAATGAATACTTTGTTATGAGACGGATTAAAATAAAAAATAAATACTTTGTTATAGGATGAATAGAGTAATATATATTATAAAATATCATAAACTTTATTATTCTCAAGATTTCTGAATTTTCAAATATCTCTTATTTAATAAAATTATTTTACCCTTTTCCATCTAAATAAATTATTACATTTTTAGATAAAAATACAACATAAAAATATCAAAATTATCTTATATATTTCTACAAATCAATATATTATTGTTATTTTTTAATTTATTATAAAAATCTAAATGCATAATTCCGTCCCGGACATAGGAATATTATTTATTTAACTATCAATTATATATATGGCTGGAGTCTCTATTCTTTTAAGTTTTGTTTTAAACTTTTAGTTAGGAAAATTTTTTATAAATTAATTTTTAATATAATATAAAAAATAAAAAATAAATATTTAATTTAATATTTTTTTAATGAATAATAAAATTTAGGAAGAATTTAAAAGATGGTCCTCAAAAGTGGGCATTGGCTGTGGCTATGGCCTATGGCTACCCATGTGTGTGGTCACATTTGGTGTACCTGTAGGGGACCAATTAATTAATTATTTAATTCAATTTCTGGCTACACATTCCAATTTATTTTGACTTTTACGACCTAATTAATTACCTAAGTATTACTAATTCATAAAATAATAATAATAATAATAATAATAATAATTAGGCAATTGCACTCATGATCAATAAAGAGATGAAAATAAACAAGAGATCCATCCCTCATGTGATGTGAGGTTTATATAATCCCCCGTTCCACATAATTTGTCCCTATTTTTTATTTTTGTTCATTTCATCACCACGTAACTTATCCTTTCTATTTTTGGAAATATAATTATGCATTTTAATCGCATTTTAAATTTTAAATTTTCTTAATTTTAATTAAACTATTTATTTATCTTAATCTTAATCTATAATTATTTTTACTAATACACTTTTTAATTACTTACTAATTATATTTTACCTAAATTCTTGTATCTCCAGTAATACACTCATATTACATGGGACAGAGGGAGTATATTTATATATATATATATATATAACATATATATGTGACATTTAATTTAATTACTATTAGTAGAGTTAGGGTGCAAGTGCAACGTGTTGAGTGGGAATGTCCTTGTCAAAAATCCATGCACAATTAAATGATTCCCCATATAAATTTAATAGTCCCTCCGGTCCTTCCTACATAATATGAGCTATTACTGGATATACGAAAATTTATGTAAAATATAATAAACAAGTAATTAAAAAATATATTAGTAATAATAATTATTATATAATAAAATAATTATATATTAAAATTAAGATAATAAATAGTTTAATTAAGATTAAAAAATTAAAATTTTAAAATATAATTAAAGTGTATAATTAATTTTTCAAAAAATAAAAGAATAAATTACGTGAAAAAGACGAAAATAAAGAATAAGAAAAATTATGTGGGAGGGAGTAATAATCTCAATATCCTTTGAGACTACAATGCATAATAAGATGAGATGAGATGAGATGGATGGGCTATTTATTTCTTTATTAAATACTCCCTCCGTCCTATATACTGTGTATGCTACACTGTAGACACGGTATTTTAAAAAATATGTAATTAGTAGATAATTAAAAATGTATTAGTAAAAATAATTATTCTATAATATAAATAATTATAAATTAAGATTAAAATAACTAATTAGTTTAATTAAAATTAAAAAAAATAAAAATTTAAATTGAGATTAAAGTGTGTAATTATTTTTTTAAAAAAGAAAGTGATATGGTATGTAGAACGGACAAAAACGATAATGTGGACATGATATCTGGGACGGATGAAGTAATAATAATAATAATTTTTGAAAAGAAAGCCAAAATAAAAGGAAAGAAATTAAAGGGTGGGGTGGGGTAGGAGGTAGGGTTGGTTTGGACTTTGGATGGAATAATTTTGTAAGATAGGCGTGGCCTTAAGTCATCATATTGGCCATAAGCCATCATAGATTAATGATCATCCACACCACTTCAGTGGCCCCCACCCCCACCCCCACCCTCACCCCTTCTATTCAATCTTTATTTTATTTGGTTTAGATATTTTTTAATATAGTCTTTTTTTACTTATTTTATTTTATTTTCTGTGTTATTTAATGTAAAACTATAGGAATACTAAATTGTCCAAGTTAGTAGAGATATGATAAAGTTATGTAAAGTTTAATTACTAAGTAATTAAAAAATATATTAGAAAAATAATTGTCGTATAATAAAGAAATTATAAATTAAGATTAAAATAATTTAAAAAATTTAATTAAAATTAAAAATATGTATAAATTTTAAATTTTAAAATATGATTAAAGTATATAATCATGTTCCCTTCATTCAAGACTAAACATTCTATTATCTTTTTGTATTTTGATATTTAAATATTAATTATTATATCATAATATAGTACAAGATAAGGGAAAATGACAAAAATACATTTATGGTGTGTTTGTTTGGGGGTTTGGATTTGGAGTTGAGATTTGAATAGTAAAAATTTTGAATTTGAATAATTGTATGATGTGATATAAATGTGTTGATGTGATATAAATAGGTGTTGATGTGATGTTTTGAATGTAAAATTGATTTTTAGTATAATATAAAAATTGAAAAATAAGTGTTTAATTTGATTTTTTTGGGGAAAAAATTGGATGAATAATGTAAATTCAATCCAATTCCCCAAACAAACACACCCTTAGTATCTTATAATACTAATATAATGACATTTATAAAAAAAAAAAAATTATACATAAAAATATTTTTAATGTTAAAAATAATGACGTCAAATATAAATAGGAAGTTTAGTCTTGAACAGTAGTATTTTTTTTTATAAAAAAAAGACAGTATGTGGAATGAAATGAGCATTATTTAATTTTATAAGAACATTCGTGCTTTTTCTATTACTTTTATGATTATATATTTCTTTTTTTTTTTATAACAAGATCTATTACCTCTATTAGGGGTGGGTATTCGGATTTTCGATTTGAATTTTTGCCAAATTCGGATCGATCCAAAAATTCAAATTTTTTGAAAACATAAATCCGAATCGAACTGAAATCCGAAATCCAAACTAAAAAATTCGAACCAAACCGAAAAATTCGAAATTCTAAATATTTTTATTATTATTTTTTTAATTTTATTATTATTTTACAATATTAAATATATATAATATATGAAAATTAAATATATTAAAATATAATTAATAAATTTGAGTTTTTTATATTAAAATATAATATTTTTAATTAAATATTAAATATGTATAATAAAAAATATATTAAAATGTTATATTTTGAATTTCAGATTGGTTCGAATTTGAAGTATACCAATCCGATCCGAAAATCCAAAATTTGTTAAAAATTCAATCCGATCCAATACGAAAATCCGAACCAAATTTTAAATTTCGGTTTGGTTCAGATTGAATTTTCGGATTTCGGATATTTTGCTCACCCCTAACCTCTGTTAGTAATATACAATTATCATTGCAGGCTATTAAGTTTGATCGAAATTTACCCAAAATACACCGAAAGACAGCGGCTACAAGTTCTCGTGTTATCAAAAAAAAAAATAAAAAATATATATATATATATACAGTTATCATTTACATATTTAACTTTTTTAATAATCAATTATTTTTAATAATAATAACAAAAACTTAATGAATTAATTAATACTCAAAATTGAAAGTTACTAGTTATTATAAAAATTTTAAATTGATAAAAGTAATAAGTTGGTGGTAATAAATTACAACTTTGTTAAAAGAAATAATTTGAATGTTAATGTCAATAAAATACTCACTACAAAAAAATACTCCCCCCGGCTCACATACCATGTCAACATTGTCGTTTCTGTCCGTCCCACATGCTATGTCACTTTTTTTTGAAAATTATTACACTTTAATCTCATTTTAAAATTTTAATTAAACTAATTAATTATCTTAATCTTAATTTATAATTATTTTCACTAATACATTCTTAATTGTCTACTAATTACCACCCTTCTAAAATACCGTGTCTACAGTGTAACAGACACAGTATGTGGGACGGAGGTAGTACTATATTTGTAACGGAATTCCGCCCCTTAAGTTCAAGTAGCTAATGTAATTTTATCCTTAATTCCATCTCTAATGTCATTAGTAACGGAAAACGTAAATTTATGAAGAAAAAAAATCTCAAAGTGATATTTTCTTATAATAACTATTATTTCTTAATTATCATGTCCAATGAACTCGACATAAAGGACCCGAACGAACGAAGGAAGTATAATTTTAGATCTTATATTAAATTTGTTTGATTGTAGTTTTAAAATAATATTTTAATTTTAATTTGAATTTAAATTATATTTTAATATAATATTTTATCAAAAAAAAATTATAGTATATTTTTATTAATCTAATTGTATAGTGAAAATAATACTAATTTTAATTTTAAATTGAAATCGAGAGTTGAACCTTATAATTCATTAATTGGCCCATATTATTTATGGGCTAAGCCCAAAACATGGCAATTAGAAGTATTGGAGACTTTTATTTGTATTTTTCATAATGTTTTAGGAAGTAGTATTATTTTATTTTAAATATGTGAATATAACAATTGCTTATTAAATAAAAAAATAATAATATGTTGATTGATTTTGAAAGGATGAAAATAACAAAATTGATAGATTAATTTCCGACTATGAGAATAGTATTGTTTCACCATGTTGAAGTTTAGTTCAATAACCCTAACCCTAAACCTAACCCTAACCCTAACCCTAACCCTAAAAAATTATTGCCATTATATATATCATTTCTCCCTTGATTTAATTTTGTATTATCTAATTTTACCAAAAATTAAATTAAATCAAATCAACAACAACATACAAGAAAATCTTAAGAATCCAATAATGAATCAATACACACAATTTTATATAATACAACAATATCCTATCAAGAAATTGAACAGACAATAATATCTATACACACAAATGACTAGTATATAATCTCACAATCTATCTTCAACATACCAATCAACAAATGAAGATCAATAATTTTCCAATATGATTAATCAATAAACACCCAATATGAATAATCTATTTAATCGATTAATCGAATCCAGTTAGCTTCCCTGCAAATTCGACCTCCGAAGCTTCTGTTCATCCGACAGCAAAACTGCAAATCTGTTCATCGAAAAACAAAATCAGCCAATTCAACATTTTATATCAAAAAGCTTCAAAAATGAAAGTCTTAAAAAGCTTACTTCCTTAAAGCTTCCTGGTTCGTTCCGCCATCGACGATGGGCTCATAATTTCCATTTTGCAGATTAATTCTGCTCACCGGAGCTTTTAGCAGTTCTTCGCCGATCCTCACAAGATCATTAAGATTCTCCTTCGTCGAGACATCCACCGATGAGTTCACTCCCGACAGCGCGTCGTACTGCTTGCAATTTTCATCAAGAAAAATGTTTCGACAATATCAATGGCTGAATGAACAAGGGGGTTTGTTCGAATTGCATATGTTTGGAATTGGATTTGGACCTGAATACGAAGATAGTTGTCCTGAGAATGGAGGGCCTGGAAAACGACAGACAGGAAATAATCGACCATGTCTTTGCTGGCCTGATTGAAGACATCCAATATTGGGGTAGAGTTGCCCTGGATCACCCACCCGAACAGCCCCCACTTCGCCGCCGCCGCCGCCGTGTACTTCTGCTCCTGCTTGTCGGAGCCTGTCCCCAGAGATATCACCAGATACCTCCCGTAGTCCGTCGGCTGAATCGGGAAGAAATCTGGGTCGTTTCTGTACACTTGTTTCACCACTTCTCGTATCGCCACCAATGTCTGTTTCAGGTAATCAATGAATTAATAATAACAATCCACATTTAGGGTTTAGGGTTTAGGGTTAGGGTTTCAGATCGATGGAAAATCGAAATCGGGGGAAAAAGATTAAATTGAAGGGTAATTGGAATGTGAATTGATTAATTAATTGATTACCGGGTTGTTGGCGGCGACGCCGCCGTCGATTAGATTGAAGTCCCAGGACTTGCCGGCGGCGTCGGCGTTGGTGAACTGGTGGGGAGGGAGGAACGTTGGGGCTGCTGACGTGGCAATGCATATGTCCGATAATAGGGCGTCCATGTAACCCATGCTTTTTATCTGCGGGTAATTAATTAACTGGTTTTTATTTTTTTTCCTATAAAGATTTATAATTTTATTTTATAAAATACTAGTACTACTTATTTAAAGCACTATTCAAATTTCAAACAAAACTTTAAAAACTAAAATACTTTTTTTGGGTAATTTAATAAAATGATTGTAACTTTTAAAATTCGGGGGTGAATTGAATTATGCAATAAGAACAGTTAGTGGCTTGCAGGTGGGCTATATTTTATTAAAACTATACATCATAATTTAAACTTGATCAGATCTGCTAAATTATTTTTTGATCAAACAAAATTACACAACTATGTAAAATATCAATTCCAGATCAAGATATATATATATATATATATGTAATCCCTTCAATTTTATTTCAGAGAATTCATCATGTAATTAAAAACCCTAAAATGTCAACCCTATTACACACACATATAAGTGTATATATATATATATATAGAGAGAGAGAGAGAGAGAGAGACCTCGTAGGAGGAGAAAATAGTGGGCTGCATATTCTTGATATCAAAAGTTGGGATGACAAGACTGGTTAAAGCTTGACTGAGCCGAGTTTGTCCTAAGTTATCCCTTAGTATTTTGTGCAAGAATTTTCCATCGTATTTTGGCCCTCGTAGCTGAGTAATCGTATTTTCAGCAGATCCTATCAAGCCCCTGTATGACATATACATACACACATATATATATATATATTCAGACAGGACAAATACTAATATATATATATATATATTTATTGATTTGAGATAATAATAGTAGTTGTTACCCTTTGTATGGAAATATTTGAGGTCCATTCTTGACATAAAACGGTGCAATATCTTTAGCATCATACAAGGGGCGGTTGTCGGCGTCCGGCGCCGTCAGCATGGCCGCCACAAGGCCGCCGGTGCTCGTCCCTGCCACCACATCGAAGTAATCTGCTATTCGAACATCCGGCCCATCCAATTTCTAGACATCCACTCATAATTAAAGTCTACTACTTACATATATATCCATATATATATATATATACAAGATCGAAAAATTTTAGGGTTTAATGTGAGTATGTGTGTTTGCGCGCTTTTACCTGAAGCTCGGATTCAAGGGCTTCGAGGATCTTGGCGGGGATGATACCCCGAATTCCACCTCCGTCGATACTTAGTATTGTGATGAGATTACCATTGACAGAAGGGAGGATTTTATTGAAGGAAGGAGATGATGAAATTGATGCCATTTAATTTAATTGACTTATTAGGGATATTTGTGATCTAAGGATATGTAATAATTTGTAGTGAAATATATATATATATATGTGTGTGTGTGTTTGTGTGTTTGTTTTGAAATATTTTTGTGATAAAATGATGGAATGGGGTTGAAGGTAAGTATTTAGAGGGAATTTATAAGGATGTAAGAAGAAATGTAATTAATAAATTAGGTTAGATTACTATACTTGCTAAGCACACATGATCATGGCCACCACTCCATATTTGAAAATTTCATCTGCCTAATTACTTGGAATTGAATAGGACTAATTAATTAATTAGTCTTAGAAAGTGTTGAAATTTGAATCGAGACCAAAACTTCATTTTTGCCATATTTTCATAGACATTAGTCGATTTTTTTAGTAACATATTATATCTTTAAATTTTTATTAGCCTTATAAATGCATGTTCTTCATGGGTAATTTGGTTTTGGCCCTTTGAACCAACCATATTTTAATTTTTGGTTTCACTATTTTTTTATTTTTATTTTTTCAAATTAACAAGATTCTTGTTCACATTTTTATTCAATTGTCATCTTAGTATAGCATATTAAATTAGTTATTCACTAAATAATAATTAAAATAAATAAATAAATAAAGTGGTTCACTTCTTTCGTTCCATCCCATCCATTACTCATTGGAAGAAAATGAGAGATCAACACTAGTAATTCGACATTGTTTTCAATAAGAATATACCATTTCTTTTAATAAAACATAACATCAAAATACTATTTAAACAAAATCTCAAATTAATATTTTATTTCAAATCAATTTTAACCCATAAAAGAACAAAATCATTAAGATTGAAAATAAAATGAAACCAACAAGAAGACATCTAAAATTGGTTTTTAATTTATATATTTAGTTATATATATATATATATATTATTGTGCAGGTTCAAATTTTGACCAAATATTTTTCAAATATTAGCATCTTAATATGGGGTTTTACAAAAATTAGCATTATCCATTCAAATTCTTTTCCACACGTTACTTCTTCTGATAAATTAGTTAATATATATATATATATATATATTATATAAAATTGATCAAGTCGTTTAAGTTGGACTATAATAATTTGATCTTATTGCCAAATCATTCCACGTATATTGCAAATATAGCAAAAGAATAAATTAAATATATATATATATTTTTTTATTACATCAGTTAATTAATTAAGTTTGTTAAGTAAGATTTATTAATTCGACATTAAATATAGTCATCTCATTATTTTGGTAGTATCAACACCCCATCACGTAATACAATTAATTATTAATTTATATAGAGACTTAGTATAATATCATGACTTTTTTATAAGTAAATAAACTTATAAGTTTTCGATCTTCAATTAATGTATTTTATTCAAATGTATACAATATATATAAATATTAATAATATAAAAAAGAAAGATCAATAGAGACAAATACTGATAGACAGTGACAGGGAATGAAAACTAACAAAAATTAATCAAAACCTTAACCTTTCAACATTATAAATATATTTGTGTATTAATTTTAATTTACTTTAATTAATTATATATGTTTGCACAAATCTGTATAGATTATATTAATATGACTAATGACTTATTCAGAATTTTAATGATATAATATTAATTAATTAATTAATTAATTAGCTTGAAAACTGACTGTATGATGTACACGCCTCCAAGAGTTGACCTAATAATAATAATAATAATAATAATAAAAAATAATATAATTCGTCCAAACACACTTGTGATAAGCATTAATAATTAATTAATTTATTTATTTATTTATATGGCCAAACCATTTTTGCCGCCACTCAACAAAAAGGTCATTATTATGAACTTTGCTAAACTTTGTAGTAATCTTCTCAATTCCAACCCAATAATTCAAAAAATCTCAAATGTCATAGTACCTTGCAACTACACTTAAAAAAAAAAATAATATATTTGTAACAGAATTCCGTTCCTAAAATTCACGCAACTAACGTAATTTTATTCATATTTCTGTCTCTAATGTCATTAGTAACGGAAAAAATAGATTTAGAGACAAAAAAATTTTGTTACAAAAATAATTTTTTCTTGTAGTGCTATATATATATATATATGCGCAACATGCATGTGTGTTGTTCAAAATTAAAATTTTTTTAAGTCAAATGTGGTCCTAAAGCTAGAAGTTACAGGGGTTTGGTACAAAGAATGAAATTGCATAGAAATAAGAGTAAAAAATGGATTGAAGAGAAAAATAATGCAATGAATAGTGAGAATTAATTCTCTTTTTTGGTAAAACAGATTATTTGAGAAATGAAAAAAACAATGCAGCTATTTGGATGAATTGATTAAGAATAAAAATTTTAACCAGTGAGAATTCACTAAGAAATATTTTTGGTGATTTTTTTAAATACTAATAAATTAGATACGATATTTTATAAAATCAAATTTCGTGTAATTCTTTAAAAAATAGTAAAAAATAAATATTCGAATAATAAATTAAATATAATATTTTATAAAATTAAAATAAAATTAAATAATACCAAAAAAAGAAAAGAAAAATAAACTGTATTAATCAACTCAAATTAAATGAAGACTTGGACAATATCTACGTACCATTTAAGAACATGTTGAACTATTCTTAAGGTTCCTTGTGTTTTAATTAATGACATTGTACAAGTAAAATGACATTATTGTACTATTCTTACGCATAATTTTGAAATAAATTTAGAAGATGATTCAAATTCAATATTATACTCCCTCCGTTTCTTCCGTCCCAGAAAAATATCTTGTTCGGAGTTGGCACGAGAATGAAAGAATAATAGTATTTAATTGAAAGTGGGTATAAATTAGGATGTAAAACACTATAATGCTCTTGCTTCTTGAAGGATTTTAAAAAATAGATTAGAGTAATAATTATGGGTAGTTTGGAAAAGTAGGAATAATTTTGTTATAAAGTGGGAACCACAGTTACTAAATAAGAAAACAAGACAGTTGTTTTAGGACAGACGAAAATGAAAAAACAAGATAACTCTTTTGGTACGGAGGGAGTATAAAATTGAGATAGGTTGGTTTAGTACTTTATGAATTATGAAATATTGCTTCATCAAAATCTAATTACTACAAAAAAATAATAATAAATAAAAATTAAACAAACCGAACCCTATCACAATCACATTTGATTAATTTTAGTCTCTTAATAGAACTCAATAAAAAGTAATCTCATTATAATCTAAATTCACCAAAAATGTTAAATTTGGTCCCATCCTTAATATAATACGATTACTTACGAATACAAATTTATGATTGACTCAATTCAATAAAGATGATTATATTGGTAACCCATTTTTTATTTTTATTTTTTCTCTAAATATAGTTATAAATTATTCGGCCCAATTAGGGTTGCTTAAAATGGGCTAACATTAAAAACCACAAAGGCCCAATTTCCATAAAAGGAATTAAATATTTTAATTTATCATAAATTAATTTTATCTATATACAATTATCTTTTAAAGAAAAAATAAAAAACTTAGTTATATAATTATATTATCAATTTTAATTTCTAATTTGAAAATATTTAAAAAATGCCGTTTTCCAACGTTTCTCACGAACGTTAGAAAAAGCAATAAATAACACAGCTAATAGCACACTTCCCGAAAACCCCTCCAACGGCTAGTTTCTGCCCCTATATATATACCGGCGGGCAGAACCCTCTCCGCCATATCCGCCGCCGTCCGCCGTAGCTTAAATCTCTTAAACATCAATTCCTGCTCCAATCAACCGCCGCCGCGCGAAAAATGGCCGCTCTCGCAAGAATCGAAGCTGCTGCAATTCCGATCATCGTTTTACTGACGCTGTTGAGCTCGTCGGAAGGCAGAGACCACCTGGTCGGCGGCAAGTCCGACGCCTGGAATATTCCGGCGGCATCTTCTAACCCGGATGCTCTAAACCGATGGGCCTCCAGGTCCCGCTTCCTCATCGGAGATTCTTTAGGTAATCAACACAAAATCACACAACCAATCTCATTGCCAAAAAGATTCGACTAAATCGTAATGAATCTGAATTTGAATTTGCAGTTTGGAAGTACGACGGCTCGAAAGACTCAGTCTTGCAAGTGAGCAAGAGGGACTACGTCACGTGCAACACCTCGAGTCCGATCGAAAAGCATGTCGACGGCGACACAAAAGTGACATTGCCGCGATCGGGGCCGTACTATTTCATAAGCGGCGCCGAAGGGCATTGCCGGAAGGGGCAGAAGTTGATCGTGGTGGTGTTGTCGGAGAGGCACAGCCGAAGAATCTCTGTCTCACCGGCGCCTTCACCTGCGGAGATTGAAGGTCCGGCGACTGCTCCGGCACCGGCTAGCGGGGCCGGGGCTCTGCGGGTCGGGGCGGTGGTGGCGGCGATGGTGGTGGGAGGAATTTTGGCTGTTGTGTGATGGCTTGCAAAATTGGTTTATTCTTTTTAGCAGATAGGGGATTGAAATATTTTCATGTATTCCTTCCTGTCTTGCTATAGTTATTATGATTAATTTGATTGATTATTTTTCATTTGAATTTGGGAAGTTTATCTATTTATTGAAAAAAAAAAAAAAAACAAGAATGGAATTGGGATGAACAAAAACCCTCTGTTGAAATACAACAAAACAAAATTCATCAGCTAAAAGATCTGTTCTTTTTCTTTTTCTATCTGCAATTCTGAGAAGTTCTTTCTTCTAATGCCAATTTGCCAGAAGGAAAATTCAGTTTGGAAGCTGGCGGGCAGAGAGGGGCAAAACAAAACAACAAAACTCACCTGCAAAACAACAAAAACACTATTACAAAAATCGTCGTAGACATCATAATTTCAGCACCGCGCCAAACAACATACGAATTACCATCATATGAATTAATCCAGAATTATGACATCATCATCCGAATCCTCTTCAGGTGGTTGTAAAGGGCCTTTAACACCATTCTTATTATCGCCAAGAAGTTCGCGGGATGCTTTCTCTAGGAATTCCTGTGCGGCGGAACTAACAGATTGCTTATCAGAGGATTGAAACTTTCTCTTCTTTTGGAGATTTCTATCCAAATATTTGATTCTTGAGCCCTCTCCACGGCTAATTTCCCGCATGCTTTGCTTCTGCTCTGCAGAACAAAGTAATCTCCCATTCAAAATAGAAAAATTAAAACGAAAGTTTAGTCCTGCTACAAACTGAAAGGACTGTACCATGGGAGAGATCAGGCAATGAGTGCCCAATAACACGGGCTGCTGCACGGGGATTAATTGTTGTTGAAGGTCGAAGAGGTGCTACAAAACACAACAACAAAATAAAGATCAGAAGAAACCTTCATTAAATCATCATTCTAAGAAGACAGCTACTTCCCATCTCAGATTAGATATGGCGCCAAAATATAATAAGCTTTCGAGCTACCAAATAATATATTATACTTTATACTTCCGAAACTTTATACTTCAGCAGATAGATTTTTATGGAAAAACTTATCATCACAGCGAACAGATAACTTTTAAGATTCACTCAATCTACTGATTCCTCGTGGAAATGAGAGGAAGATGACATTTACCTTTGCTCAAGTCCATGCACTTTTGCAACTTTTCTTGGTACAAGCTCAACCTTTCCTGCATACATTAACACATAAGAAAAAAGTACATGAGTGGTATGAGATGACAACTTTAAAGTTGCACCAACATTACGAAATTAACATAAACATTACATTAGACTTTTAAGTAAATTCCAAAATATGCAACCAAGAATGGCCACCGAATTGAAATATCAAAGATAGACAGTATATAGATTAAGAAATCATTAATTACCAAAAATTTCTAAAGTCTACATGTTCAAGTTATTATAAGGTCTTCGAAGTTCATAGTTTTTGAAATTTTCTCAACAAGCATTCCATCAAATAATAAAAGTTAATCCACCTTCAAGTTAGAAAAGATTACCAAAAAGAAGAAAAATGATAACCAATTCAATAAATCATAGAGATAGCACACAAAACTATCAAGTAAAAAATAATTAAACATAACAACCAAGACAGCAAAGAAAAACTTAATATAAACCAAATCCGAAGCCAAAACCAAAAACTTGGCTACTACAAAAATCATTAAATCAAACATTAAATCTTCAAGTAATAGATTAAACTGCCAAAAAACTTCACGTGTTTTCAAGATCTCATAAACTTACCGTATTTGCACTATGCAAACTCATGTTTTCTACAGCCTCTACGCACTATGCCATCTAATCCAAAAACATTTTACACACCTAAACTCTATACAAAACATCATCTCATCCACTATCTTCCAATCCAAACTATTCAATCCAAAACACCAGACATTCCAAAACACAGGTACTCTAATCCCACCCTACGTAATGCAGAACCAGCGATGTCAATGGTTTACAGTATCCATATCAGGAAAAGAGAAGATGCAATGCTGTAAGGAGGGAGACACTTACCAGCTCTTTTTTGACAGGATGTTCATCGGGGTCAATACCTTTGCATCTTAACCGCACTGCACAAATTCACCAGAAACCAATCCCTCAAACACAAACGAAAACCATAAATGCACTTCAAATCCAATATCAGCTATAATTAATAGATAGCGAAAATTTCTAGGGCATTTAGTAAAGGATGCATGTGATGTGAACTCTAGAGCAAAACTCGTCTAATAACAGTGGAAATTAACACAAGAACATATACATACGAGCAAAGAGAACGGTTGTGGCTCTGGCAATCAAGAAGAGGGCTTGTGCCCTTTCAAGCGGCTCCATTTTGGAAAGCGTTTCGGTGCTACAGTAAGACAAGAACTCCGCCAAATTGGCATTCACTTCGTCGATGTTTTTAGCTGTTCTATTCACCGCCTCCATCGCTGATTCTGGAATCGCTTTACTGCTACAACCACTTTCGCCGTCGACTTCCATAGCTGCTCACCTTACCTCCTCTTCCAAATTTGATATCAGCTGTCTTGCTCGGAATCTCACGCTGGGGTTTTGTAAATTAGACAATGTAAAAGTTTCTTGATTTAGGGCATTTCATAGGATTGATGAATGGTGATCGTCGAATTAAGAGTTATGAAAAACGACCCCGAAATTTACGAGTAATTATGTCAATGGCCTCAAAGAAATAAATATCTCATTGTGACCCCAATAATATTTTAATTTATTTATATTATATAAAATATAATTTTATACCTATTTTATTGAATTATAATATATAAATATCTATATTAAAATTTTAAATTATATAATACTGACTCTGTTTTCCTCGTTTCATTTTTTTATTTCGTCATTTCATCTTTCCATTTTGATCGATCCATTTTTCTAAAAATAATTACAGTAGTCGGGATTGATGGAGTAATTTTTTTAAAAAACAATAACAATAACACACTTATAAAAAATAATACTATTAATAACATAATAATGCCGTAATCTACTCTTATTAGTTACTAAATTCAATTGCTCGAAGTATATTTTTATAAAAAAAAAAAAAAAAATTAAATGATAAAAAATGTAAAAGAAAAAACAAAAATAAATCTTGAAAACCTCCTTTGGATTAAAATGGTAAAGATCATCATCCAAACAATTTAAACTAGACATTTATACACAATAGTAGTATTAATTTTAGAAGAAAAAAAAATTACAAAAAAAAAAAAAAAAGCTAATGATTTTATAAAAATAAACAAAACCAAATAAATGCAGATATCTATAAATAACTGTCTAGTAGTAAATCGATCAAATTAGCCAACTACTAAAAAGTTCAAACCTGTAGTTAAAATAATCATCTGTACAAACTCTCTTCCAATGATTTGGGCAATGCAATGAAATCCATGGAAGAAGAAAAAGTCGAAGAAGAAGAACCAACATCAAAAGCCAAATGAACACCATCTGTAAGTTAATTCAGCCCCAACAAAATTATGGACATTTACATATTCAAAGCTCAGAAGACTCAGGGGGTTCCGGGGGGGCTAGTCGGAATCGGAGTTGCCGCCGATCACTACAATTCCTTGACATCAGCTGGTTTTGACTCCGCCGGAGGCAGCTCCTCAGAGATCGAGGATTGCTCGCCGGAAGATGTACCCGTCTCCGACAGTTCCTTGAACTGCACCAAGATCATAGTCATGTTGTCGCACCCCTCGCCTCCAGCAGTCGACGGCGCCAAGCATCTGTCGAGCACTTTTTCGCAGACGGCAGAAAGCTTGCTTTCCTGCCGGACATTGAAAATCATGAGAATTATTATTTTTCCGGCAAAGCCGTGGGAAGGTGAAATAACAGCATGAAAAGATACTTAACAGATGTCAGCTGCTCGCGTATGAAATCGACAAGCTGCTGGCTTGACATGCAGTCCCAGATGCCGTCACAGGCGAGCACGATGAACTCGTCGTCATTGCAAAGTTCGACCTGAAGCGAAATTGAACAAATCAGCAATTTGATCGCATAAAAATAGACAAGAATGATCATGAATTGAGGCGTACAATGTTTACATCCGGACTGGCAGTGACAATTTGTCTGTCGGGAGGTAAAAACTTGTTCTGCTTGAACTCCATGTCACCTGCAATAAACTCGCAATCGATCATCATCAAAATTCATCGCCGGCATAATTGCACAGAGACGGTAATTTGGGTGGAACCTATAGCCCTTGCGAGATTCAGACTGCCGTTGACGCGGCCGGCGTGGATAAAGCCACCGGCTTTTAGGATTCGGTCCTTTTCAACTTCAAGATCAGGCTTGTGGTCTCTCGAAAGATTGTACGCCTAAGATTTGGGATCGAAGCGCAGACCAATTATATTAAAGCACTAGAACAATATTCGAAGCTCAGACAAACAGACAGGAAATTCTTATGGTAGAATCAAAAAACACACCTGGCCTTTCCTAGAAATTACGCAGCGCGAATCGCCAGCATTCGCAACAACGAGCTGGTTTTCTCTAACAATAGCAACACAAGCTGTACAACCAGAAGTTGGCCCCGAGAAATCAGAATGAGGTCCCTGTTAGAAAACGTCGTGCAATTAATATCCAGGGTTCAACTCTCGAGTTTCTTATATTTGTTTTGGCTAAAAACACACAGATGAACTAAAAGGTAACATTTATCGTCATCCATAAAGAGAAACCAGAAACTTCAATTTGTAGTTCTCAACCAATTAATAGAATGTTGCTATTGTGTATCAAATATCATGTTTCCCCAAATACATCTTAATTGTGTATTCACATTAGAATCTTCGACTTCTGTCAAAGGTAGAAATGTATAACTACAGTAAAAATAACCCCTACCTCTAAATCATATATATACATACTCCTTACTGGTGAACTATCTTCGATAAAGGAAGCTCTTATTAGACTTTAGTTTCATTTTTAATTTATTGTAATCAAATATATAGATTAGTAAAATTACCTCACTATCACAAAGCATACAATGTTCGACAGAAGCAATTCTAGGGGATGACATTCCGGAAAGGGAAAAGAACACTAAACAACCAATTCATTGTGAACAAATTGTTAAAAGTGTTGCAGTTGAATCCTTAAATATCTATTCTAAGCTTTCTTATTCACATACGAAAATAATTTGAAAAACCTTTCAGAAAACCAATGCCAAGCTTCACAGGAAAATGCAATTGAATGAGAACATCATTATTGGCGTTCCATAAAAGATTCATTAATGTTTCATGCAAAATACCTCCTCAAATGCCCAATCATCAACTTGGTTATTTTTATCTCCACTTCTCGGAGACCAAATCAAACCCTCTATCATACCAGTAAACTTGTTCATTTTATCCCCTAATATAGCCAACTCCCTCCAACCTCTCTGCCCTCGCATCATCTCATCCATCCTGCATAAACCAAAAAGTCATGTATATAACATTTCTGCCTTTAGTGGTAAGAAGTGCCCTTAATCATGTCCGATTATAATAAATAATCGTCTGAAACTCCTTCCAACACACACAAGAATATATAACATCTGGCCTTCGATTAAATACAGTTTGCCATTATTATAGTATATGTACTTAGTGTAAATTGGAATTTGGTGCCAATTAAGTGATAGTTCACATTAGAAAATGTTCAAATGAATCCAGCATGGGAACAAAATGGATAGGGGTTTAAGATCATCAGCAATTTTCATACAAGTCAACATCTTAAGGTTGCAAATGACCTGAAAAAGGCTTTTTGAACTGCAGTCCCAACATCACCAGTCGAATATGCTTCATTCTTTAGAACTTGCTGATGAAGGTACTTGGCACAGAATTTGGCAACCACCTTACCTAAAATTACAAGCCATCATCAATAAACTCGAAGTTAATATCGAGATAAGCTCTGAGTATTGATATCACAAGACATTCTTGGAAAGAAGGACCGTCTAAAATAAGTCTTTTTTAAAAACTTCAAATGGATAAACTACTAAACAATAATGATTAAATTTATAATCACATCAAGTAAAATGCAAAATCAACAATAGATTAAACCATTGGATGACTATAAAGATCAAGAAGATGCTATGAGACAAGTTCACTTTTTCACCCTATTAAATGAACGTAATTAAAGGATAAACCAGTCAATGAAATTCCATGACATAACCCTTTTATTAGTGCAATGAAATGAGAGAAAGATAACATGACCGACACACAATTAGATCAAATATATTTTCTAGAATACATCGTTCAAACATTGCTTTACCGTGTTAACTACAAGCAATGAAATCATATAAGCTTACCTCCATGACCATCATAAACACCAAAGAATGCTGTGGAAGAATCCAAATCGGGAAGTGCTGCATGCTGGAGGGAACAATACAAATCAACAACAAAATGAAGATACATGTCTCGAAAAAATATAATTTCAACAATCCACAAAGTTACAACTTATATCGCCCTCTTTACCAATCCTAAATATCATATACACCAGTTAACAGCTGGACAAGAGCTTTTTACATAATTTGGTGAGGAACTACGAGGGATCCTTGCTCACCAGATTTTTTTTCTTCCGAAATGTTTTTGTTTCCATAGGTAAAGAAATATACCATCTGAAAAAAATAAACTTCTACACCCTCTGAAGTTGATCACCCAATATAATTTTGCAACCCAATCTAAGTTCAGATGCAAGCATCTCAGACTAGGGTATGAGCACCATCGGAGTAACCTAAATACATTCATCAGATATTGTAAGCATGTGTTCATTATCACAGAATTCAACTCAATTTCGTGCGCAGGCTTTCTAATAGGCGATAAAACAAAACTATCAATGGTGAATTTCATTTCCCACATTATCAAAACATCACAAATATCCAATTAACAATCTTATCTCTACTTCCCCACAGTCATCCTTAAAACTATTACTCAGTTGAGCATAAATAACACATCGGCAAACAATTGCATACTCCATAAATGCATTCAATTGTCAAGATAAAGATCTTGATCAACAACTTACAGCATCTTCCATTGTGGCACGCCATCCCTGCATCGAAGACAAGCCAAACCTAAGCCTACTGTTCTCTCCATCTTCGGAAAACTTCTCCGTTTTAGGTGAACTCAGATATATACCCATCGGAAACTGACATCAAACACAGACAGCATCAAAAACATTTAAACAACTAATTCATAAAAACACCTCATAACTTACACAAAGCAATTCCAAATCAATACCCTAACGAAACTTCAAAGCACACAAACAAAACTCAACAATCCAAATACAAGTCAAAGTATAATCAAACTTATCTAAAAGATTTCATTCGTACGACACACAATCAATCGATTCACTGATAAAGATTTTTTTTCCCAATCCTTTTCCGAGGAAACCTAATTAGGCATTCAAATTTACAAATACGTAACAAAATCCAAATCACACAAAACCAAAAAACTAAACAATTACAAGAAATCAAGGAATTAGACTAAGAAATAAGATAGGGCTCCAGAAACTGATAATTCCAAGCAAAAATGGAATAAATCAAAATCAATAACAATGCAAATCGCAAAATCTCCCCATCCAATAGCTAGACAATGGATTAATTAGGAAGAAAGAAAGGAATTTATTGCAAAATTTTAGCTACGCGACTACGAAGATTCTCATTTACATGCCCAACCGATTGCTGAATCCCAACCCGAAATTCGGTGAATAAACTCAAAATCCCGAATCTAAATTAAACCGCAAGAATCAAGTGATGCGAGTCCAGATTAGATGCAGCAGATGCGACGAAGGGATCGCAAACCGAACCCAAGATGAGTGTATTCTCAGAGATAGAGATACAGACAGAGATAGAAAGAGATAGAGAGAGAGAGAGTGGGGCAAAAAGTGGGGAGTTTTTGTAAAGGGCAAGACTTTTCTTGATTACAGTGAAATTTGTGCGCTGTGCTGTTACTTACTGATGGGATCAAAATTCTCTTGAGCATCCTTGGAAGATCTATCTGCTTTCTTTAGCCTCTGTTAAAAACCTCATCTTTTTCGGCACGATGACGCATTTTTGCCTAACGGGCGATTATCTGTTTGGTCTTTAAACCTTATCCACCAATACTATCCATTTGATTATGACCTTAATACCGCCATTAATACCACTTTTCACCCACCCAGTGAATTTTCCACAGCTCGGGTAAATAATATTCACCGTATAATTTCAAAAATATATTCTTATTTATTTCTTACCAGTGACGCACCGTGCACACGCTTATTTATTTCCATCGCAGATGAAACTGGTACTATAAATATATAAGCATGAATTTTAGAAATATAGATGCATAACTATGATTTAAAAAAAAAAAAAAAAAAAAAAACCCTCTAAAAATACATAACTATTATTTTTATATAGATGACAGTTAATGTGTCAAACTACTAATGTGCCAATCCACTGACAATATAGGGTAAGAATATTCATATCACATGTTATGAATAGTGTGACATAAAATTATATGTTATTATAATACCAAAAAAAAAAAAAAACAATACATAATAATCTATTACAATATAAAGTGTATGTATTAATTATTTTTTATTTTAAAAATATTATAAATAAGTGAAACAGATCAAAATATAAAACATTGCAGATGTATGTAGGAATTGATGAAATATTGTTTATTAGTATTTGTCTATCGTTACAAATATCTATTATTATTTTTATATCATACGATACTAATAAAATTAGTTTAATTTTTTTACTTGTATTTCTATTATATCTCAATACACTGATAATCCTAAAAAAGTAAATAGATAAATAAATATGAGACAAAAAAATATTATTTTATAAAAATAAATTTATTTTTAAATTAAAATTAGTACTATTTATTTTATACAAATTTTTAATAAAAATATATTATTTTTTAAGGCAAACAAACTCAATGTAAAGTCATCTATAGATCCAAGGAAAGGTGAAAAGATGGAGGGGTTGAATAAGAATTAGGAGATAAAAGAAGGGGTGGCGTGCAAACAAATTCATATCGGCGAGAACATGTCTGAAATGAATAGAAATCATATCCAAGCGAATCATTATCTCAATAAATATTTAATTAAAAAATAAAGTAGGATCAGAATTCAATCATTTACCATTGACTAGACACGCACACACCTCACACTATTTTATTTATTTATTTATTTTATATACATTGATAGATTGAAAACAAAACAAAAAGTTTGTTTTTACTATTTGAAATTGAGTTTTTTTTTTTTTTTTTATGTAATTTAAATATTATTTTTTTTGTGATTTTTATAAACAAAATAGTGGGTTGCTTGAATATTATTGATTTATATTAAAAATAAAAGAAAATTGATTTGAAATTTAATTTAAATAGTATTTATACGTGATATTATCTCTGTATATTTATAAAATTTATATTTGTTTTTTAGTGTTAATTTTTAAATATTTGTTATTATATCAAAAAATACAGTACAAGTAAAAAGACAAAAGTCTTGTAATACAAATATAATACTATTTGTATAAAAAATTATACAAAAATAAAATAATATTTTCAATGTTAAGTACAATGATTCAAAAAGTAAAAAATAAATGTAAACTTATTCGGTGGACGAGAGAGTATTTTATAGAAAAAATAATATATTTTTATATGTACTTCAGCCACAATAACTATTTTTTCCTTTTCGTCCATTTCACAATAGATGAACTTTTTTTTTTATATATATTTGGTAAATTTATTAATTTTAAACACACTTAGGGTGTGTTTGTTTGGGGATTTGGATTTTGAATTGGGATTTAAATAGTAAAAATTTTGAATTTGAATAGTTGATGATGTAATATAAATAGGTATTGATGTGATGTTTTGAATGTAAAATTAATTTTTAGTATAATATAAAAAATAAAAAATAAGTGTTTGATTTGATATTTTAGAGGGGGAGGAAATTTTGAATAAATAGTGAAAATTTAATCCAATCTCCCAAACAAACACACCCTTAATAAATACAAATAAATTTAATTAAATTTTTAATATTTTATGCATAGAACTTATTTAATTTTTTTTATTTCTATTTTTTACATAGTTAACAAATATTTTTATCTAAACTTCAAAACTTCTCATTTTTTTTAATAAAACTAATTTATAGTAACGATAAATAAATAAATATATTTTTTATTAAATTTTATTACTGTATAAAATTTTATTGAAATATAACATTAATTTTTTTAAAATAATATCAAAAATACTATTCATATAAAAAAATAATATTATAATTTATTACTTATAACTTACTAATTTATGATGCCTAAAATATTGTATTTTTAACTAAATGGATTATCTGATCAAATACTGTATCCTTAACAAAATGGATTATTTGATCCGGAATAGAGAGAATATTATTTATTTGTATTCCAAAAAAAAAAAAAAAAAAAACACTAAAACAAAGCAAATAGATTAAAGATGTGTCTCTTTATATCCAAATTTTAAATTTATATTATTTGAAATCTATATTTCTAAAAAAATATACATTTTTTTTTTCATAACACATCATATTATATATTGTTTTAATACTTTCCGTCCCAAAAGTATAGTAAAAAGTAAAGATAAATGATTTTTTTTTGCCCTTGTGAGTATATTAGTTTAAAAAGTAGTGGTAATTGTGTAATAATAATGAAAAAGTAATGAATAATTTTACGGTGATATAGTTATTTATGAAAATGAGACTATTATTTTGGAACAGACAAAAATAGTAAATAAGACTATTGTACTAAGACTGAGTCAGTATTACATTTAAACAAAAAAATTTCAAACATACTAAAAAAACAAAATACAAGGAATATTTCGTACAACTAATAAATACTCCCTCCGTCCCACATACAAGCCGTTTCTGTCTGTCTCACATACTATGTCACTTTTTTTTTTTAAATGATTATACACTTTAATCTCATTTTAAACTTTTTAATTTTATTTTTTTAAAAATTTTAATTAAACTAATTAGTTATCTTAATTTTAATTTATAATTATTTATATTATAAGATAATTATTTTTACTAATACATTTTTAATTATCTACTAATTACATCTCTCCTAAAATACTACTGTATAGCAGATATGGTATGTGAGACGGAGATAGTATTATTTAATAATTTACACAAATTTTAAGAAAAAAATATATAAATATTTATTTTTTGGTAAAAGATAATATTCTTTTATTTAGAAAACAAAAATAAATTTAAATAATAGTAAAAAAAATAAATAAATTTAGATGAGCCGGAGTAATACTTTTATAAGTACTTGGTTATAAGACCATATATATAATTGTAATTTTAATCTTTATGTTGTGTATATCTCATCCGAATTGTCCCCCAACGAAATTATAATAGATAAAAAAAAAAAATAAATAAATAAATAATATTATATAATTATATTAGTAGGCGGGTTTAATTAAAACTGAAAGGTTTAAAATACTATTGAATTTCGTATATTAGAATAAAATAATAATGATTTAAATGTGATTTTATTTTTTATATAGTAATGATTTGTAATACTGAATGTAAAAATTATATATCAAATAAACAAAACTCATTTTCATTTTCTTATAATTTTATAGAAAACTAGTGTAACTTTTTCGTCGGGCCTGTTTGCAGGGTATTAGGTTCGATCGTAGATTTACCGAATAGGCATTTTGAGTAGCTGCTGAGTTCCTACATCATAAAAAAAAATACAAATTAGTACTTATTATTATTCGGATCATATAATTTTTTAATAATATAGATATATATTTATAAAATATCACATCAAATTATTATTTTATTATTTAAATGAATAAAGTAAATATATACATATTTTTAAATAAATTTGACTAGTTATTTAATTATCACGTAGATAAATAAATATTATTTCTTTCGTCTATTTTTTATTGTCATGAAGTATATTTATACGGTTTTTTAGGTAATTATCTTAATGAACAAATTTGCCTTTAAGTATATGATAGAAATTAAAAGTAATAAATAAATAATATATTTGAAAAAAAATAGACAATAGTTATTGGACGTTTCAAATAAAAAAGCAAGAGTACTAATTTTTTTTTAGTAACATATGATAATAATAATCAGATATAAACATATGCTTCCAAGCTAAGGTTGGGCTGTCGGTTTTTCCTCTTTCTCGCGCCGCCGCTGAAGAAAGTCTCTGCCCCTTGTCCAGGGTTTTCCGGTCGTCGATTGCTCCGTGAGAATGGTATCGATCTTGTTCTTAATCCATGTTTAACTCTTTCCGTTTATATTGTAATATCGCATTGAATTTACTACCTGTCGTCCCCAGTGATTGTTAGGTTAACTTTGTGGTTTCCTGAATTTTTCGAAAAATTTATGCTCTCTTTTCAATGAAGGCATTTTATTCTGCTTCTGCTTGTTATTTCGATTTTTAAAATAATCGATTAGAGTTTCAGTTACTTTCTGATTTTGCTGGAAGTGTATTGCGTTTTGTCGATGGCGTGTTGTTGGATTGGAGCTTTCGATTAATAGATTCTGTGTTACTCTGTGCATATATAAATGTATATATGTTGAACAAGAAAGGACCAACAATAGTTCTTAGGTTTCTAGGTTTCAGATTATAGTTATTATTTGGTAGGAAAAAATCTGAAGTCTGATATAAGAGGAAGACTCTCAGGACGACACAATCACATTAGATTGAAACAGAAAATAATCAAAGAATAAGAACACCCCAAATTTTCACAAGGCAGCGTCCCAAAATCAAGTATCAAAAAGAGATTACAAGTACAATCAACATTTTAATCTACCCAATTCATATTGATATCACACCAAATAGAGTGCTTCGGGTAATGGCACAGAATCTGTCTAAGATTAATATATGTTTTAAGAATCCCACCTTCAGCGTGGTGTATCTGGGCAAATGGCACCATGTCTTGGACGTTATTTCAACGCCTTTGTTATAAGAATTTAGTTAAGTCTTTATATCTGTCTTGCTATAACAACTGTTGTCACAAGTGATCTTGTTCACGGTTACATTCTTGGCCGTTATTGTGGAAGATGATTTTGGTAGTAGTTCAAGGTTGCATGCTTCGCCACTGTTGCGCCGGATGGTAGTTTTCAGCTCTGCTGTTGGCAACTTCCAATCATTTTGTGAACTTTGTTGAGTGATTTTCTGTGATTGATTTCCTTTTGGCTTGCAGTTTGCTTCTCTTGTTAGGTGTTGTCTCATAAAGCCTTGGATATGTATTACATCTTGATGTTAGTGTGTCCCAATGTATTAGAGCATAATCTAAAGCAATAAGGAATTAATGCAGAGTCTTTTAAATTCTTAGAGATTCTTTTCAGTTACAGGTATTTGATGCCGGTTTCCAGTTTATCATATTGTTTTTTGGTTGCTATGAATATTGTTTTTCTATTATGTAGAATGTACGTAACATTGAACAGCTTGAATTGTGGCAAGGCTTCTGGCTACTATTCAGTTGTGTCCTCTTTCGGTTTCTTATCAGATAATATGGTGCTATGCAGTCTAACAGGCACACTATTATTCTTATGCAAACCTCTCCACACAGAGCAACTCGTACATTCATGGATTATGATTCAATCAGTCAAGCAATGGATGGTTTGTATATGGTTTTTTCTTCTTTTTTTCTTGAATTTTAACATATAGAACTGAAGTTAACTTATGGGGCTTTTCTGCCATAATTTTCACAATCTTCTTATGGTTTTGTTATGATAACTGCTTCTACAATCATTTATCACTTGTAATTTAATAATACCAAACTCTTGTGCTCGCCATTTATTAAAACACGATTTTTTCCTTCATTAGGCCATTATCATTTGGTAGTTGGATTATAATGACACAATTACATATTATTTTTGTTAAGAGGTCAGAAGAACTTTAGAGGGGACAAATATTCTGGCTATTGCATTTAATTAAAAAAAAAAATAACAAAATTCAGAAACAATAGAACTTATGTGTTCTTTCACCCATCTTATCTGATCTATTTCTAATAATAATCTTGCAGGAATTTGTGGACTCTACGAAAGGAAACTGAGAGACATAAATCCTACCATAAGAAACATAACCTACGATATTTCGGATCTCTACAATTTTATAGATGGGCTTGCTGATTTGAGTGCATTAGTGTAATCTCCCTCTCTCTCTTTACATATATAGATATGTATATATAACTGGAGTAATGTGATGTTCTGGCTCAAAATGTTTACACACGTGATAATGCTTTTGCAGCTATGACCACTCGATTCAAGCCTACCTGCCTTATGATCGGCAATGGATCAAACAGAAGACTCTGCAACACTTAAAGAGACTGGCTCAATGAAATCCATCAGCTGCAGACGATCTACAACTGTGTGTTTTAGTGAAACCTAAAGTGCGCATATGGCACTACCTAGCTCAGCGCCAGCTGTTCTAAATTCTGATGTTCGGTATGTATCTCATCTCTTCGCTACTCTGCATACAATGGTAATGCTGTAACAAACTCGCCTTCAGAGAGTTGTATAAAAATTCTATTCTATTGCTGGATTGGTACACTATCTAGTTCCATGCTCTTCTCTGCGGCCCCGTTGATGTTTTCGATATGCTAGCTATTGCCTAAGAAATTCCGGATTGCTTAAGAAATTCTGCTCTATTGATGTCCGAGGGGAGCTTGTGTTGTTTTCCTATGTTGTTTTATTTGGTTCAATTTATTGAATTTATGCATAAGAAATTATGTGTTATTTAGTGAGATTTTGGAGTTTTGGGAAAAAAATTTGATAATAGTAAAAGATGGGTATTGATTAGTCTTATTTTATGTTTATGTTTGGAGTAAAAGTTAATGAATACAATTGCATCCTTAAAATCTCAAAAACATTTCATCTTTCATCAAGAATCCGCAAAGTTCTAACATAAAACCTATCTCCCATCCATGCTGTCTACAAGAGCAACAAGCTCGATGTTCTCCGGCGCTGCCGTCGCTTCTCCGGCATCCAAAACTTCCTCCGAAACCGGAAGGATCGAAGAATTCGGATCAGCTCTCGGCACCAAAAACAGCAGAAACAAGGGGCTTATCCTCAACACATTCCTAACAAAAACCGCGAGCCACATTTTATCAAACTCCGTCCGCGTAACGCTCAACACATGAAGCAACAACCCCCCGAGCCACGACGACGTAAGAAGCCCCACGTTATCAATCGACATCAACAACGCGAAGAACGTCCCCTCCACCCCGGCGGGGCATAGCTTCGAGCTCAGAACAAGAAGCGGCATCCATTTCAATCTCCCGATCATCTGCGACACGCTGGAATCGATCACAACAAAGAAGTAATCGGGTATCCCGACCTTCAAGTTCCACCGCAGCACGAGCACCAAATCCAGCATTCCCGACAGGCAAAACAACGCCTGCGCCCAGAAAAGAATGTCGCGAAACGGATAGTCCTTCAAACCGTATTGATACAATATCGCGCCGAGAAGAGACCCGACTGACCCTATCGCCATAATATACCCGATAGCTTCCTTCGAAAACGACGGACCCGCCTCAGCATCCGTCGCCCAGTAGAACATCCCCTCGGAGATGTTCAAGCTCAACGAGAACGATAAATACATATACAAACACGGCTTCCACACCTCGGGACATTTCAACGTCCGCCACATCGCTTTACCAGCATCGACGAAGCTCCGACTGATCTGATTCAGTTAATGCAAATTACACTCCCGTCGACGACACATAACATTGCAGTCGAACACACAACGTTACCTGCTCGACGGCGAATCCGTCGATCGCCCGTGGCTCCCGTAACAGAACACCAACTGACAGTACGAGCAAAAACGGCGTCGCCAACAAGCCGAATACGCCCTACAGATCAAATCCCCGAAAATCGTAAACAATCAACGATCAAAACTACCGGTGGCGAATGAACGAACACGAACGAACCAACCTGCGGACCGATCAAGTGAACAAAGACACCGCTCAACGAGAATCCAATGAGCGATCCGATCGACGAGCTCAATGCGCATAAGCTCTGCATATCGGCGGCGAGGGAGGGGTGGCTGCCGCTGTTCTGCGCCACGCAGGCGTCCACCGTGACGTCGGCGATCGCCGCGCTAGCGCTCGAAGCCGTCAACGAAAGCAATGCCAACACTATATGCAGCTTAGAGTGCAGTGACAAGAACAGCATTGCTACCATTCCCAGCATACCTTCAACAATTAAAGATCAATCCTTTATTACGTACATCGATCATCCAAGCACAAACTCAGACAAGAACAAAATAAGCAAAGCAATCCATGAAGACCAAAAATTGAATCCATTATTACCTGCAAAAACAAAATAAGGCCGCCTTTGAAATCCCCAAATTGGGACAACATCAGTGAGAAGTCCCCAAAGTGGTTTAACAATCCATGGAATGGATGTGATTCCAGAGTAGACCTGAGCTTCAGAAGGCTGCACTTTCTGCACATCCTTCATGTAATATTCTGTGCCAACTCGAGTGAGAGATCCCCCCAGGCCCTGATTCACACCATAGACAATTATTACCCCAAACACGAAGCTCCAATGCAATTCCTTCGACAGCATTTCCAGCCAATAAATTGGGGCATACACACACCCTCGGATCCCATTCTTTCCCTTCTCTTCTTGCTCCATTTCATCCCCACTGTTTGGGAGCTTTTCTTCCTCCCCCATCAAGAAGAAGGTTTGGAAGATTCTGCCCAGATTCGTGGGAGCCTTAAAAAAAGTCAACTTTGGGATCTGGATTTGGATTAGATTTCTATTAATACCAGAAGTGGATCAGACAATGGGATGATGAATGAAAACTTGCTTCTCGTTATTCAATTTTCGGTTGAATGGTCTCCATAGTTTTTCTAGGTGATATTGTTGACTTCTGGGGAAGTTTTTTCTTTCTCACAGCTGCAAAGAATATGGCCCAAGTGGTTGTTAATTGGTCGTTTTCTTCAAGACACTTCAAATTAATAAATATGAGCCTTTGCCTATAGATTTCTTGATATTTACCATTAAGGGTTTGATCAAGAACAAAGTTAACCAGTGTTAAACCATAGTTCATTGAATTAGGCACATATTGTTCAACTAATTCTAAGAAACGCGACTTTGAAAATCCCTTGAGAAGTCGTGTTTTAGTTTGCTGTAGCGACTTTAACATAAATCTGACGATTTTAATTTCTTGCCATTCCCTAACCCTCTCCAGCGGATCACATCATCACCGCAGCCGCCGTCGAGGGCCGCCGGAAGAGATCTTCTGAAATGGAGGAGAAGCCGTCAACGCTAAGTTCGTCGCCTACGTCCAGCAATTACACCACCAAAACCACACAAGAACTCGCCGTCGAAGGCCAGAAGCATCTGGAAGAAACGATTGAGTCCGCTTTCTTAATCCTCTCCGCCATGAACGATGAGCTTTGCAATCCCTCGCTCTGGTCCAATACTGCTTCGGCTAATCCTCCGAACGCTGCAACTGCGGCGACCGCTGGCAATGTTGGCGGCGGACACACTAGCATGAGCAATGGCCACAACAACGGCGACGTTTTATCTGATTCGTCCTCGTCGGCGTCTTCGTCTGCCTCGGCTTCGGCGTCGCAGTCTCACCCCCACCACCACAATAGCTCTGACGTCGGCGGCGGCGCCCTCGATGAGGCTAGACTTCAGTACAAGTCGTCTGTTGCTGCCCTACGGTCTGTACTAATTGCAATCTCCAGTTCCCAGAAGGTATACTTTTGTTTGTACGTTGTGCTTTCGTTCTTGTACCTGACGATTTGAACTTCTTGATTCTGCTTCTGTAGGTCGGTTATTTGTTTTACATTTGAACCGTTTTATATGAGGAATTGAATGTGTTTCTGAAATTTTGATTTCTTCCTGAACTTTCATAGCATTCCTGTGTTTCTAAATTGTTGTGGTTTGTTTTTGGATGGCTTTAATTGAACTTGCTACAAACTTATGCTAAATTTTTGTGGGAATTTGAGGTATTGAATGGGTTATATGAACTTTCTCAGCTTTCAGTGTTCATAAAACCTTGTGGTTTATTTTGGTTGTGCTTCCAGTGTAAGATGAACATTGCTTGTTTTTTTCATGGATTGTTCAACTTTTAACAATAGGTTTCTAATGTTTATCTTTTCAATTCAAACCTCTTGGCTTGAGATATTGAATTAATTATTCGAACACTTGGGGTGTTTTGGTTTTTGTTTTGTGTCTAAATAGTAGTTTGATGTGATTTTTTTGGTGAAAATTGTATTTTAAAGAAATTGAAAAATCAGATAAAGAGCATAGCCATGGAGTTTTTCTGATTTATTTCTAACATTTCCAGGTTTTTTTTTGTTTTTTGTTTTTTATCCTTGCATGAATGGCATTCCTCAATTGTTTTGTTTTGTTTTTTTATCCTTGCATGAATGGCATTCCTCGATTGTTTTGTTTTGATACCTGAACATTTGAAGTTAGTTATTTTGTTTCGAAGCATTCTCCCTTTCTTTGTGTTCCCTTCCATTGGGGCATCATCAGTTTCGCTTGAGCTGTTGAACTTGTTCAGATGCCTTTTCTAATGTTATTGTTGTTGATCCTCGAAGTGTTTGCTCTCTGACATCTTTGGACTTTGTTTATGTAATGTCTTTTAAGCTTATATTGGCTTTACATATTGGTCAAGTGTGGGACTCATTGATTGGATGAGCTTGTGTTGTTTGGAGAATCGAAACAAACAGCCTCGATGCTAATTCTCTATAAACTGGTTTCAGTGCTGCTTTGTTCACTTTGAACTTGAGCTTATTAACATATTCTTTCTTGGAATTTGATTTATCTGCATGGATGCGGGTTGCGCTGATTTTTTGAAAAAAGAGTTTGATAATTTCATCTGCTTGATTGACGAATTCCTCTATTAATGTAGGCTAAAACATCTGAAGCAGTACCAGCAGGTAGTTCCACGCCTCCGGCAGATCAAACAGAAATTGAGAAACTTGAAGAACAGGCCGCTACTTTAAGAAAGGTATAAATCAGTTTACTTAATTGTACTATAATCCAATTCCGATATTTAGAAAGATAGGAGCTAATTTTATCTATTGGCACCCTTTTCTCCTATTTCATTTTTCGCAATCGTAATAGAGATTAGAATTTGAAAATCTCTGCCTACACATTATTTCTTGAGCTGCGAGCCTGCAATGGCTATACAATGTTTGCTTACAAGTTCCTTATACCAAAATTTTTGTTCCACTTTTGGCAGCCAGATTCAGCTACGATCTTTGGTTACTTCACTCATTGACAGAAACGATTGTTTTTTGTTCAAACATCTGTATGATAGAGTAGCTAATTTTTTTTTATCGGCATATCCCTAATTGTCCGAAATGTCTGGACCAGGAAGTTGCAGACAAGAACAAAAACCTGAAGCTTCTGATAGACCAGCTCCGCAATCTTTTAGCCGATATTTCCACATGGCAAAGTCCTTGTTCTGTATAATTTGTATTCAGATTCTGAAACCACCAGGTATTATTCGATCACTCGACACCCTTCCTCGTCATCATTAATTTCTTTTCCTCAGAAGTCTAAAGCGGTATTTATGTTGTCGAAACAAGTTCTCCATTGAGTAAAGCAGCTTCCGAGGCATCTGACATTGCCCGACTGCTGATCTTCATCGATGTCTGCACAATGTAGGTACGCTGCATTTTTCTGTAAGATTACTATGTTAGTTTCACCCTTTTTTTTTTTTTTTTTTTTTTTTTTTTAATGAAAGTGAATATATTTGAAAATATTGATGACCAGATTTTCTCATTGTTGCTGTTAAATTAGTACCTTCGTGTTATTAAATCTAATTATTCCATACAATTTTTTACATGGTAGGGTTTGTTAGAATACCATATTGAAGGTAAATGTGCACATATATATTGCATTGGGGATTGTTTGAATCCAAAACTACGTTATTCAATCTATATTTTATAAAATAGGCTAGATTGCATAAAAATTCATCAGGGATTTCACGAAATTGCGGCAATACTCAGTCTCTTTATGGTTTCATAAATTATGCGGCTAACTCTCGTCTGTCCTTATCTATTTATTCAACGATGTTTGAGCTGCATGTGTTCAAACTGCGAATAAATTTCAAATAGCCTTCAACCACCTGTTCCATAAGGCGTCTATTTTTTGTTAAGATGCTTTTGAATTTATGTCCAACAGAACTAAATATATAATATGATGTTTTATAAATATAAAAGATTAGTATACTAATAATAGCTAATAGAAAACACAACCAAACATGTTGTTACAAATTATGTAATTATTTATTATGCATACTAATATTAGTAATTTTAAACTATATCTTATATTAAGAAAAAAACTATATCTTATATTCAAAATTTTTATAAAAATTTAATACATTTTCCAATTAATCTAAACTTATTGGATATATTAATATAAGTATAAATATTAAATAGTTAATAGTAACAACATATGATAATTATTCACATAGTATATTTTACCGTATATATATATTATATTTTAGACTAAAGATTATGTGCTAATTTAGCCAAGTCAACATGGCGTTGATTTGATTAGAACAACGTATATTTATACATAGTACTAAGGTAAGTTATAATATAACATATAATAAGATATGTATAAATATATGTTGATTACTGTATAGCCTAGATTGATTCGGTCAAATTAGTGCTATGCTGATATTTTAACATAGTACAATATATAATACTTCATTCGTACGAAATAATAGTCTGAGTTGAGTCCGGTGTGAAATTTAAAAAATAATATCACATTACAAGTGCGTATAAAGTAGATAATAAAACAGTCTAACAAGTGTATTTATATAAAGAAATAGTGATATTTATTTAATAATAATAAAATAATAGTGATAATTTTATGATGATAATATAATTTATAAAAATGAAATCATAGTTTTGAAACAAACAAAAATAAAAAAACAAAAACAAATTTTAAAAAAACGGAGGGAGGAGCATAAATCAATTGTTAATTTGATATATTATACTGGTGATCTATTTCAATATATTTAAAATAATATATATTATATATAAAATTTATGCCCATTTATACGTATTTCAATATATTTAAAATAATATATATTATATATAAAATATTCATTGATTGTCCATATAACATATGTTATAGGCTGATCAGGACAACTAGAGAATCCGCTCTAAGATTCGCAGCGGAGAGGGAGAGAGTATTAAACATACGGCAATAGTACACTAATATTTTAATCTAACTATATACTGTGCGTATTTATTATTATAATCCACGTCTTAATCATTCGGTTTATGTAAATAGTAGTTAAATTATATAAATATCACTCATAAAAATTATTTGAATTCATCAAATATAAAAATTGTGTATTCATCGGTATCTACTGCCTGTCCAGTATCCTATCGTATCATATATATTATTTGTTCATTTATTTATTTTTCTTTTTAATTTTTTTTAATGTGGATGGACTCTACTTGTAATAGTTTTTAGTTTTTGATGTGAACCCCACCTTTAATAATAATAATAATAATAATAATAGTAGCTGGTGACTTTTTCGTCAGATCTGGTTTACAGGGTATTAGGTTCGACCGGGGGTTTACCCAGTGTGCACTTTCGGGTAGCGGCTGCGGGTTCCCACGTTATTAAAATAATAATAATAATAATATACTGACGTACTCCTTCCGTCTCATAACAAAGTATCAATTTACCTTTTGCGTCATTGTATAAAAATATCCTTATATTTGTATAATTTTTTATACAAATGTTATTATATTAGTTTTATAAGACATTAATAGAAATATTTTTGCAATTTTTTCTTGATTTGTAATACGTTTTGATATAATAATTAATATTCAAAGATCAACACGCAAAAAGTAAATGAATACTTAGTTATGGGACGAAGAGAGTATTATTTTTGTTTTTGGTGTGTGGTGTGGTGGGTGTATTTATGATCTAGTCATGGGTTCAAACTCCGACGCCGTGCGTCATTAGAAAATAAGAGTAATAAAAAAATAAAATAATAAAAATAATAATATTCCGATCAATATATATGGGAAGTGAACTTGCGACCCTGAAGTTATGGGTTCAAACTTCGACTTTTTTAGGTTTATTTGTCTTGTCGGATCTAGTTTGCAAGGTTACTAGGTTTGACACGGGTTTACCCAGTGCAAAATTGCGGATAGCAACGGCGGATTCTCACATAATTAAAATAATAATAATAATAATAATAATAATAATAATAATAATAATAATAATATGCATTATTTTAAGTATTTATAGTTGCTATTAAATTATCTTTTTTCTTAAAAATGATAAATATAAATTGATAAAATAATTTTTAAAAACAAAAATTTAATTATTAAAAATAAAATATTTAATTAAATAAATAAATTAAAAATTATAGAGTTTGCAATTATTAAAAAATAAATAATTAAAATTTATTATATTTTGATTTATAAGAGAATAATTAAATTTATTTGATTTTGATTTAAAATTAATTTTTTAAATAGAAATTTAATTTGATATACTATTTCTTTTATAAATGCTTTAAGGGTACATTTGATATAGAGAATCGATAGAAAATAAATATTTTCGTTCATTCATATAGCTGTATTTTTTATTTTTTATTTTTTACATTTTTTAACTGAACTTTTTATCTTACAAATAAGAAAATTAATTTACATTCCCTAATTCATTTTTATTTGCAATTCTACTTCCTACCATTGTTTCTCTGCTATTCAATTCTTTGTACCAATCATCTCCTATGTTTGTTTGGTTGTAGTTTGAAAATTAATTTAAAATAAAAAATTTTGATTTAACTTTTTATTTAAATAGTATTTTGATATTATATTTTAGAAGAAAAAATAATATATTTTTATTAAAAACTATACATAATAATAATATTAATTTTGATTTAAAATGTTAAAATAACAAACCTATAATAGCTGTGCATGAAGAATGTCACTCATTCTTTAGAACATTGTTACAATTAGGGATGAAAATAGGCCAGCTGGCCCGTTAGGGCTACAGTCTGCCTGCATAAGCCTGGTTTGTTTACTAATAAAGTTAAATTCAGATATATTTTTTAATTTTTTAAATAAATAGAATAGACTTAGGCTTTACGAAAAGCCTTTTTGGCTTATCAGGCCGACCTGTTTATATATTTATATAGTATATATATATATATTTTTTATTTAAAATGTATAAATATTATGTTTTAATTGTTTATAATTTATAAAAAATTATATTTGGTGACAATAAAAACTAAAAAATTAATTTATTTTAACTGATTTATTATATATAATAAATAATTGTATATATTTTTCTAAAAATATTAAATTTAAAAAATAAAAAATATTATATAGACTTTTAAATAGGCTCGTAGACCCAGTCAAACTTTAAAGTAGGCCAAACCTAGACCTTAGATATATATTTTAATAGGCCGATATGCCAGACTCAAGTTTTAATTTTATGAAATAGGCCTGGCTTATTTAGCCAAAGCGTAGCCTACCTATTTCCACCTCTTGTTACAATTACTTTTTTCATTATCTCTTATTACCTAATCAATTTTTATTATAAGAAGATTTGTTACATTTGTTAAGAAATACAGTTAACACTTATATACTCCCTCCCTCTCCCTCTGTTCTAATACAATAGTCTTTATTTATTATTTTTGTCTATTTCAAAATAATAATCTTATTTCCATAAATAACCATATCGATATATAACTACACTTACTATTTCATTATTATTACACAATTGCCACTACTTTTTACACTAATACACTCACAAGGACAAAAATGTCTTACCTATACTTTTTACCCACTATTAATATAATATCAATATTCCTTGAATCTCGTGTCCAACACAACCAAGATTATAATTCCGGGATGGAGGGAGTATTATATATCTTTACAAAGAAATCTTATTCTACAAAAATAATAAATAAATAATTATTTAATTAACTATAACCCAAAATCTAAAAATTTAAATTTATCAATAATTTATCTATACAAATACAATCTTAAATTTATTTAAAAAAGATCACGTCATCTACATATTTTTTAATATTCAACATTTATTATTTTTTTTTTTAAAAAAATTATATTCAATCTCTATCCAACTACCTCTTTAAAAAACTATGGAAAATAAAAAATTATTCGGGCAATGTATTAATTCAATTTATTTCGATCATTCAAATTTTCAAATGTCACTAATTTCACACATTCGAATAATTTTAATATTTTATAATACTTCAACAAATTATTCATTTTTTCATTTTGGTATATCCCATAACAAAGTATTAATTTCATTTTTTTTTAGTAACGATAATGTCTACTAACATTACAATACCCTTACACTTACAATATGTTACAAAAATATCATTACTTTTATATTGCACAATAATAATAAAATTATTTTAGTTACTTCTAAATTATTTCTATTACATATCATTATAATACTAATATATTTTAAACTACGTTAAAAAAGGAAACCTATACCTACTTTAGAGGCAGAGGGAGTAATATTTATTTTACACACTCATAAAAAATCAGCAATTTAATACAAAAGATTATTATTGTTTATTTTACCGTTACACTTTCACATATCTAACATATAAACACTTGAAACTAAAAAAATAAACAAATACATCCTAAATAGATTAATTTTAATTAATTAGAATTTTATTGTTATTAGATTTGTTAATTTTTGTTTTGTTTTGTTTTATTTTTTATTTTTTGTGTTTTTTTATTTTTTTTTAGTTGAATGAGACAATATAAAAAATTGACAAAATTGGGTGAAACAAATGAAGCGTTATACTAGATCGGTCCAATTTTAACGTTATATTTACTTTTTACGTGTTGATATTTAAATAAAAATTATTACATCAAAATTTAGTATAATTTAAGAAAAATAACAAAAATATTGTTATTAATATCTTATAATACTAATATAATATTTTTTTGTATGAAACATGTAACTCTCATAAATGTGCAAAGGGAATACAATTTACCTTAATTCTTTAATATGCTAGATACATATGCAAAATGGACGATGTGGTTGTTGGTATAATATAATCTTTGTTCAATTGACAATTATTATTATTTTTTACTATATAATTATTGAGTCCTTTTTTTTAATATCTAAAAATATAATTAATTAAAAATATTATTTTTATTATTTTTGTTTGTTATGATTAAAAGTATTTATTTTATATTACAATAATTAAAATAACAGGCCGCCGATGCTGATTTGATCGGGTCAGTATATTATATAAAAACGATCAACATATATTATATACTATCATAGCATATTTATAATACAATATATGTTATTTTATAACTCAGTATACAATACTGAGTTATATACTCCATCCGTACCATAAATATAATCTTAATTGAGTTGGGTACGAGATTTAAGAAATATTGATATTATATTGGTAGTTGGTAAAAAGTATGGATAAATAATATTTTTGCCCTTGTGAGTGTATTAGTGTAAAAAGTAGTGACAATTGTGTAATAAAAATGAAAAGGTATGAGCAATTTTATAGTGATATGGTTATTTATGGAAATAAGACTATTGTTTTGAAACAGATAAAAATAATAAACAAGACTATTGTATTGGGACGGAGGAAGTATAACACAACATATATTGTGTTATATAAAAATATATATTGTTATTTGATGTTATATGTTGACCGATCAAATCAGCACCTGATCCGCGCCCCTCTATCGGTACCCCGCCCCTCTATCGGTACCCCTCTATATATATATATATGTATGTATCTATGACCAAACCCATTAAGAGTATTATTTCGATCAAAATGGGTTTTGGGGCAACTCTGAAGCTAAACTCTAAGTATATTTCTCCACCATATCTTTTACCCAATTCCACAAGTCTTCGTCGTTCTCCATCTTTCTACTGTAAGTAATATTATTCGAAACATTTTGTATAGTTATAAAATTTTAATAAAATTATATATATATATATATTTTTCAATTAATTAAATTTAATTTCAAGTGGGGTGGTGGGGTGCAGGTGGATCATCATATTCATGGTTGAGCAGTAGACAAAATGCAGCACTGAAATCTCATCAAAACCCTAAACCATATAACCTAATTCTGAGTCGAGGTAACAACCAACCATCATTTAATTTAATCTTAATTAATTTATTGATATATATATATAAATAATGTATGTATGTATTGTTACTGTGACTGATCATTCATTACTTCAATTCTTGGGATAATTAATTCATTATTTTAATTTCCAGCTACGAGCTTCGATGTTTCTGATGAATTGATATATTCCTCAGAAGCCCTTCAACTGGTAAAATTTTTACTCCCTCTGCATCAATATTTTCCATTTTACTTTTGTCATAATTTCTTGCCATTTGGTTTGAAAGATATATATTTTTTGAAATTGTATTTAAAAACATAAGAGATAAAAACGGGTAAAACATCTCAAGTTAGAAATAATAATAAAATTTAGAAAGGCTCCATGCATAGCATATTTCATTATTGACTATTTGGGGAATTTGTGAATTTTTTAATAATAAAATTTTGAGTTGATATAGTTATTTGATACGATATAAATAAGTAGTGATATGGTATTTTAAAATAAAATTAAATAAAAAATATACTCTTGATTTGCTATTTTTTAGAAACAAAATTTTTTAGAAAGAAAAAAATTTGATAAAAAAATATATAACATCATGATAGTGACAAAAGAACCAAAAAAGAAATATAGAAGTTCCACTCTCTAGAAGTCAAAGCAAAATTGTTGGTCGAGATTACAATTTGGTAATTTTATAATAAGTAATTTTAGGGTGTGATTTGTTGGGGGTTTGAATTTTGAATTAAGATTCGAATAGTAAACATTTTGAATTTGAATAGTTGTATTATGTGATATAAATAGGTATTGATGTGACGTTTTGAATGTGAAATTGATTTTTTAGTATAATATAAAAAATAAAAAATATGTATTTGATTTAATATTTTTCGGAAAAAAAAGGATGAATAGTGTATTTAAAATCCTATAGCCAGACAAACACAACTAGGACTCAAATAAGTAAGCAGGTTTGTTCCTTTGATGTTGATTTTAGCTTTATATTATTACTTATAAAACTAAAATTAAACACATCATTTTCATTTAATATATCACAAAAAAATTAGGTTCCATTTAAATAAGACATTTTAGAATTATTTAAAAATAGAGTATTTAATGTGATATGTTTTTTTAAAAAGAAAATATCTATTGATAAATAATATTAAAATTTTTAAAAATATGTATATAAATAAAATCTTAAATTTTCATTTAAAATATAACATAAAATATTTATTTTGATAAAATCAAATATGATTTCAATTTAGTTATTTTACCGAGAATTTCAAATCCAACCATAGGTTTTAAAGAAATACACTCTAGAGAATAAATATAAAATTAGTGGATGGAGATTCTAGGGTTCTTAGCACAAGTTTTGTTGTAATAGATTAATTTGTACATTGATTTATTTTGCAAATTTAGAGTGTTATTTTGCGATTTATTTTATTTTATTTTAATATTATTATCATTCAAAATATCAAATAATATTTAATTATATTATATTAATTTTTTAAAGCTATTACCTTACCAACCAGCTACTCAAATGCAAGTTTTTCAAACACAAATTCAAATTTTAAATATTTCACTTTCTTAATCATAATCTCCCTTTTTTCGATCAATGTATAGAAGATTGATGTTGGAATTAAGGATGGCGTCGAAAACATAAGAACATTGTTAAGGACAATGGACGATGGACGAATAAGTGTGTCGCCTTACGACACCGCATGGGTGGCTCTCATCAAAGATGCCGAGGGACGTGCCCAATTTCCCTCGGCTCTCGACTGGATCGCGCAAAATCAACTCCCCGACGGCTCGTGGGGCGACAAGCAATATTGTGTATCCGATCGCCTAGTAAATACGCTAGCATGCGTAGTCGCATTGAGATCGTGGAATATTCATTCAATCAAAAGCCAACAAGGTTCCGAAAAACATCTGTAGTTTGAAAATTTTGCATATTTCCCCCTCATAATTTAAAAACTGCATAAAACTGCTTTAAGAAATGGTGCACAAAAGTAATTTTTAGGAAGTTTTGTTCGATGTTTTCGAAAAACACAAGAGATCGTAAAAAAATTTAGGCAAAATTGTCCATAACTTCCTTCTGATTTCGAAACTCAATGTAAATTCTCATATACTTTAAAAATTATATAACGTTTCCTTACTATCTTAAGAAACGTTGCATAAATTTATATTTTTTGAATGATGGAGAGATTTCATAAAATATTTTTGAATATATAAGGAGGGGACGTCAATCGCCATATAATTCTTAAAGTACATGGAGATTTACGTTGAATTTCTAAAAATATGGAAGTTATAGACAATTTTGCCAAAAATTTATGTGTAATATTTTCTAAAATACGAGGCTTAATGTAGTTTTTAAATCACATTGGAGCCTTCTGCATAAATTTTAAACTACAAGTGAATTATAAGTATTTTTTTCTTATACAATAAAAGGTATACAAGTTTTTGATCGAATGTTCGACATGTTCACACATCTTAGGAATTTCTTACATCAAAGAAAACGTGTACAAACTTGAGAATGCCGATGCGGAGCACATGATGTGCGGATTCGAAATAGTATTTCCCGCCATTCTTCAACGAGCCCGGGAGCTAGGCATCGAAGGCCTTCCTTACGATGCTCCGGTCATCGCAAAGATTCACAATGCAAGAACACGAAAAATGGAAAGGTAACACATAAATTTAGGACAATATTGTACAACGTTGTCCTGACTGCGACCTCGAACATTCTTGGCAGGATACCGAAGGCGCTGATGCACGAAATCCGAACATCTTTGTTGTATAGCTTGGAAGGACTCGATGATTTGGACTGGAAAAAACTCCTGAAGCTGCAATCTGGCAACGGATCGTTCCTTACATCTCCATCCTCGACTGCGTTCGCTTTCATGGAGACCGGCGACGAAAATTGTCTGAGATTCATCAGTAACACTGTCCAAAAATTCAATGGAGGAGGTGTCCCAACATCTTATCCGGTCGACATCTATGCAAGGCTTTGGGCAGTCGATAGATTACAACGCCTGGGAGTTTCACACCACTTTGAGCCCGAGATTAAGGATATGTTGAGCTATGTCTCGAGGTAAAACGATGCATATTTTTGTAAGAAGATTAAAGAATCTCCGATCATCAGACAACAATTTTTGAGCTGCAGATTTTGGAGTAATAAGGGAGTTTTCAGCTGTCGGGATCTAGAATTTTGCGACATAGACGACACTTCGATGGGATTTCGGCTTCTACGAATGCACGGCTACGATGTCGATCCAAGTATTCATCTGTATATGTCAATTTTCTTGTTTAAGGTTTCGAACAGTGGATTTCATTGTATCGTAAGTCTAAAACCGGAATGTCGATTTTTTCGCAGAAGTTTTCGACAACTTCAGGAGTGGTAATAAGTTTTCTTGCATTGGAGGAGAAGTAAACGAGTCTTCATCTGCAATGTACAATCTTTACAGAGCTTCTCAGCTTCAGTTTCTGGGGGAGAACATTCTAGAAGCTGCTAGAAGCTTCGCCTACAACTTCTTACAAGAAAAGCTCGAGAAAAACCAGATTCTAGATAAATGGATTATATCCAAACACTTACCAGATGAGGTTATTACAACAATCCATAACTACTCTTTTATTCTTCTTTTTTCCCTAATCATAGTGAGAATTGCATAGTAAAAAAGTCGAATTTGTGGTTGTACCTTGATGACGAAAACAGATACGAGCCGGGCTCGAAATGCCGTGGTACGGCACGATGCCTCGGGTGGAGACAAGATACTATCTGCAGCATTACGCTGGTGGGGACGAAGTGTGGCTTGCCAAGACACTCTACAGGTTTATTGCATCAACGTCAAGAAATGTTCATGACTTGCCTACAAATTGATCGGTGTTTGTTATGATCTGTATAGGATGGAAGAAATCAGCAACGACGCGTACCTGGAGCTCGCGAGATTAGATTTCAAGCGATGCCAAGAACAACATCAGATCGAGTGGAGTTCTATGAAGAAGTATGCTCGAGTTCATCATTGATTGATACAACCTTAATCTCTCAAAAGTCAAGACACCAATGACTTGCATATGTTGTCTTGTTTTGACACAGATGGTACGAGAACTCGAATGTCGATGAATTCGGGATAACTAGGAAGGACCTCCTCGTCGCTTACTTCCTAGCAGCCGCGAGCATATTTGAACCCGAGAGGCTGAAGGAAAGAGTCGCGTGGGCCAAATCTCGAATCCTTACGCAGATGGTCTCATCCCTTTCTGGCAAAGAAATCGCATCGTTAGAACAAAAGAATTCATTCATTAACGAATTCGAAAACAGCAATGGTCGACAAAAATTCGAAAGGTACTCACTCTTCACTCGCCTTGATCCTCATACAGTCGCAAATTCATTCGTACTTCTTTTCCATTGCTGATAGCCAAGAAGGACGCGGACATGTTCTTCTGGCAACACTTCATCAATTTCTCGACGAATTCAATGGATGCAGCCACAAGAACCTCAAAAATTATGTATGTATAAGGCCAAATATCAATCTAGTTTCTCAATATGTGCATATAAAATATTTTGTTCATAAAAATGCAATGTGCAGTGGGGTGAATGGCTGATGAAACTACAGCGAGGAGAGGTCGATTTCTGCGACGCCTCGCTCCTTGCGACAACTCTAAACATCTGCGCAAGCCGAATTGGTTTTAAGGAGGATATACTGTCCCACAGTGACTACACATCCCTCGCCAACCTAACAAATAAAATTTGTCGCGAACTTTCTCGCATACAAAGCATGAAGGTGACATAAGCAGATTTTTAATCTTTTTCTGCAGTTTCTTTGCCTAATAAAGAAAATCACATACCATATTTGGACTGCGCACAGGCATCGGATATTGAAGCCTGGAGAATGACCAAATGTAGCATGAAGAGTATGGAAATAGAGCAAGACATGCAAGCATTAGTGAAATTAGTCCTCGAAGAAAGCGGCATTGACAGAAATGTCAAGCAAGCATTTCTGTCCGTTGCCAAGACATATTACTATGGTGCCTATACTGCTGCAGAAACCACCGACAGCCACATATTCAAGGTACTCTTCGAGCCTATTGTATGATTGATGGATTTAAACTTTATGCTACAAAAATGTATGTCTTGTTGTTGTAAGCAAGATAACAAACAAGCTAGCTAATGAGCACCGGAGATTAAAGTTTCTGAGTTGCTTGCAGAAGTCTTCATGTGTTATCTGTAGTTACTAGTTGATGGTAATTTTGCAATACACACTTCCATCCGCAAAAAACAAAAAGAACATAACAATATATTTATTAAAGTACTCTTTACCAAGCTATTTTTGCTCATTGAAATCATCGAAGTTCAAGTGGCCAAATCATGACAGGTATCTGGAACCAAAACCGAAATCAACAGCTTGAACCAATTGAGTAGAAACCGAAATCTACGATTCAAACCATTCAGACAAATTCTAATCACGCTCTTAGAAATAATAGCAGGCACGTATGCTTTTCTGAGGCCATAATGCATTAAACAAAACTATTGAAAATGAAGGGCTTACATTTTCCGAATTGTACAAATGAAAAAATTCTAGACCAGAACATAACTTAAAGTATGTATTCGAATAATTCTTGCCAGCTATAAAAGGACTGAAACATGTAAAACATCAGACAGCAAACTAATTACTCATCTTTCATACGTTTGCTTGAATTTGGCTGCTCTAACTGTCTGAACAGAGGGCAGTAAACATGGCTTCGAATGGCATTCATAATAACAACGGTATTGGCTGCCAAGAATACTAAGCTTGCTATCCAAAGTTGCAAGAATGCATTCTTACCCCGAAATTCGAGCAGGTAACCCCACATCAACCAATGGGTCTGAGCACCGATCCAAAAGAGGATACAAGCAAGGCCTTTCCACTTGAGCTTCATATTGCTCCACGGCAATATTAGAGGTAGCAGGCAGAAAAACCACACAAAGTATTGTGCAGTTATTACCTGCAGAAGAATTAAAAAACATTACATAATGATAACATTGCACATTGCTGAAATTGGATGTAGTGTAGTTGTAACTAACCTTGTTAAATGCTACAAATGCCAATGTCTGCAGGAAGAAACAGAATGGTAAGTCATAGGCGAACCGGAAAATGAGAACTAGCTGGACAGTTAACTGGGGGAGGAAGGATACAAGCTTTTCCAGCATTGAAAACTTGTGTTCGTAATGGAGATATATGTGGTAGAAATATATAGAGAAATTGTGGCGTGGGTCTGTTCGGGTTAGATGGTATAGCAGGGCCTCGTGCAAGAATTCCCATCCATAAAAATAGTAACTTAGTCCGGTTAATATGAAGAAAGTAGATCCGGAGATAATCCCAAACATGACTCTTCTCCAAGTAAATAGGCGTTTGAAGAAGTTCCAGATATACTGGGAATCCGTGATTTTTGAGCTAATTGAGTCCAAGGACGATGACTTTGATCTTCTCCAACCCCAGGTCGCGAGTGTGGGTTTCTCACCAGGTGGGAAATGTAGAGGGTCGAGTAATAAGATGATGGGAAGTGCATATATTATTGGGTATATTCTCATGTGAACGACAAGCCCATACCAAAATGCCGCTTGCAAGGGATTATCTGTGGTACACAATGAGAGAAGACAAATTAAACCTTGAGTTTTAACAACAGTTTTTAGATACAGCTAAACAATGTCAGCATATCAATTAAGTCTTAAGTGCATGCAGGAAGAGAAGTAGGAGAATCCTTAAATAACTTAGTGGTTAGAAATAAGGTATAAGTACTCTCGACTATTTTCAATAATATTAAGACATAACATAAATGAACTTGAATCCATCAAGTCCATTTATCTCCATCACTGACTGTATCGAGCAGCAATTCCTTAAGTCAATTTATATGATATCCGTAATAATAAATCACATGTATGCTCATATACTCATTGCAGGAGTTCCCGTCACCAACATACCTCAAGAATCAAAATAAGAATGATTATTGGATATATTCTACAAGAAAAAAATACGAGCAAACTCCTTCTTGATGGTTTTCCTTTTTTACCACATCATAAACAAAATAATATGCATGCCAAGCAGCCTAAGTAAATATTCTTGAAATCGTAGAAAAGGGAAAAAAAAATTTAATTATTATTCAGAAGTGTACAAGCTATACCATTCATCAAACATAGTATGATCCATAAGATAATTGAGCAGACAATTGGCTCACAGTTCCCTCGTGTTCCGATGGTGAAGGTGAATGGATTAAAAAGCCATACCATTGTGGAATAGGTGCATAGTTTCTTGGAAACCCCACGTAGCTTCAAAATTTTGTGAATAAGCAACCCCACTAGTAGATCTGTCACATGAATTTTCATGTATGAAAAGCAAAGTTGTATATCATACAAAATCTTGTATGAATCATTCGATAAAAATACATTATACACCTAATGCACAATAATATGATTCAATGCATCCACCAACTAACTATTGCTCAACGAAATCCTACAAGAGTGCCTGGCTCATTCATTTTTGGTGCTCTTCTAGAAAACAGAGTGCTTTACCAAGAGTTGTCCAGTAAAGATTTCGGACACTTCAAATTAAGCATCACATAAAAGTATTCATAAAAAGCACAGAACGTTAGTTACAGGCTGGAGTTAAAACCATCAACTATATCAAGCCAATTAAGTCAAGAGATGCTTTGTTCATGTTTAATCCCAATATGCCTCATAAATTATGAATAATAACGTACTTGATCAACAGTAAACAGGAAGAAACATTTCCAGATGTTAATGTAAACAAAAAACTTAATGCTTAACAACATAGTACTAAATTAAATTATTTCTCTTTGATAACAGGCAGTTCAAAATTAAAATAAACAAAGATATATGCATTACTGATTATAAATTCTTGGATGAATGTATACCTGCAGTTGAAAACAGAAATTTTCCCCATGAGTGATGGAGGAATGAATTTGGCATCAAAAGAAACGCTATCAATGGCGAATACCGATAAGTCGACCTTTCATAAGGAGATCGTCCAGATGCCATTAATGCAGCAGCATCAGAAAAGACAAAGTAGTCTATATCTGTGTATCTAACTTCCATATGAGCATCTTGCCACTCCCCATATAATATCAGAAAGAGGCGAAAGAGCGCTGAGAAAAGAAATAGATACTCGAAACTTATTGCTGGCATTGCAAACTTTTCTGTTCAGCACCTCGAATCATGCCGTGTTCTCCATCTATCTACTCAACTGATAACCTATGCATTCCAATGCAGCAGCACAAGAGAAGGACCAAATAACAAACACCACTGTCAACAACATTTTCATTAATGCCAAAAGATATGCAAAAGAAGTAAACAACTAGCCGGTTTTTCGCATAAAACTTGGATAGTGATAATGTAAAACCATGAATCACAGCCAGAGATTAGTTTATAACATAGAAGAAAGAATTGGCTTTGGTAGACATCAAAGCAAGAAACTATTCACTTAAAAAGATCCCCAAAATGCAAAACCAAATTAGTATATTCCACATTCCACAATTCCAATTCATTATTTTAAACGAGATTTTGGTTTAAACACAGATAAACTCTGACAGGACCCGGAAATCATAAATTAGGAAAAATAACAATGAACTGAACCATTTCCATGAGATCTAAAATTCTAAGCTCCCACAAACCAACAGGATAACCGCGGGATCCATTCAAAGAAAACAACGATTAATACCACACATAGATCGAGCAGAAATTACCAAACAGCTGTAGCTTGTAGGATACGAGGCCAACCAGCAACGAACCGCAACGAAGTGGAGAAGACGAGTGGGAGGAAGCCGATATAGTTTACGGGTCAGGTCTTCATAAAAGTGATCCGACCCATGAAGCAAAATTACCCGAAACCCGATCGATAAAATGGGTCGGGTCACTTGGGGGAATACCGCCGCCCTTGTTTGAAACTGCCGTCTGGTTCTTGTTTTGTTAACTAATTAGAAAATTAATTAATAAATTAATTACCATATTATAAAACGGAAATGGCGGAAGGGGAAAGCATTTTTCTGTCGACGTAGTCATGTCAGGTTCTCTGCAGCTCTCCCTAGAGATAGGAATCAGCAAGAACGATTGGCGGAGCAAGCGTTTGCGGGTAAAGTGTTTGTCTCCTGTTTCACCTATTTTAATTTCTCTGAGCTTTATGTAATTAGCGTTTTATTCCAATTTTTCTTTTGACTAATCTAGCAGCTGCATAATTCGAAAACAAGCGGCAAGCTATGCCTCTTGAGAAATAATCTGCCGTCAATTTCACTGGTATGCTTCTGGATTAATCGAATTTCCCATTTTTTTTTGAAACCCTAGGTCAGATAACTGTTCTTTAAAATGGAAAATTTCAGTTTGTCGTTTGCATTGATTTTTTCTTGAACTTTATTATTATTACTTTTCTCGAAGTTTCTTTATCGCTACGCTTCGTTCTAGGGGGTTTTGAAGTTGTATAATTCACGGGATTTTCTGATAATTGTGTGGTTGGAGGTTTACTTAGAATTTGATACTGCTATTTTCTTGACATTCATGCTTGTTTGTATACTAGAAATCGGTATATTCAACTTTAATATTATTGCTTTTCTCGAAGTTTCTTTATCGCCATGCTTGGGTTTTGAAGTTGTATAATTCACGGGATTTTCTGATAGTTTGTGTGGTTGGAGGTTTACTTAGAATTTGATACTGCTATTTTCTTGGCATTCATGCTTGTTTGTATACTAGAAATCGGTATATTCATTGAATGATTATCATAAGTTTGATTAAAACACTGCATGTGTGTTTTCTTACCATTTCTCTTATTGGGAGTTGTAGGCTTCGCTTTTCTTGACGTATCTCATCACTTTTTCTTAAATACGTTTTCAGAAACAGTATTCTTGGAGTTCAGGTTTTCCAAAGAGAATATGGCACAGGACAAGCACCAGTGTTTGTAAAAACCATCAGTTTAGATGTCATTGTTTTTTACAACCAGGCCCGGTTTTGGATCCTAACTATATAAAGAATACAGCTCAAACTTTAGCAAGGTAGTTACTCCTCTTTACTGGTTTGTGTTTGATTATTTTGACATGGCAGACTTTGAATACTTGTAACTGTTCCATACATGACTGATTAATAATGCAGCTGATCAATAATAGTTCTTAGCAATATGGCAAAGCATATGCTAATACATTCAGTATATAACTGTCAGGAGACTCGGTGCTTCTTAAAAGAACCCTTTTTTCTACAAAGGATTTGTTAAAAAAACATTTAGGTCTACCATTTCGTCACCAAGAAGCTTGTGAATTTATAATAAAATAACTTTTGTTGCATTGCCTTTAGTTTCTGCATTTGGTGATTTTCTTTATGATGAGTTTGGACTTTGCAGATCTTTTAATTCAATTCAAGGGAATCCTGTTGTAATAAAATTGGCTTCAGCACTTGGCATTGTTATCTTTGCAATTTGGGGACTTGGTCCTGTTGTGAAGATAAGCAGGAATATTCTTTTGCAAGTATGTGCACTGTACCATTCTAATGGTCTTCCTACTTAAGTCCTTCGGGAATTATGTTGTCAATTCATTATTTCCAAAGGGACTATCTGAAATCAACGAAAGGTCTTTCAGTCGCATTCTAATTTGAGGTACTCCATAATTAACACCTTGCAGAAGAATGATGGGAACTGGAAAAGAAGTTGCGCATATCTGGTAGCAACATCCTATATTCAACCTTTACTACTGTGGATGGGTGCAATCATTATCTGCAGGTTAGTCATGTATGATTGAATGAATGGGAAATCACATAATTCTTAAAATTTACTGAAAGTAAGTGTCTTACAGAACGTTGGACCCAATGTCCCTTCCCACAGAAGGTGGTCAAATTGTTAAACAAAGGCTCCTAACTTTTGTGAGATCATTGTCGACACTGCTGGCATTCGCATATTGTTTGTTAAGGTAAGTATACTTGTCTCTTTATTGGTGTAACCACGTAAGGTTTTCATTTGCATTATGTTAATACTAGCATGAGGTTAGTTTGATATATTTATTTCCAGAAAGCAGCTGGCATCTGGATCTATCCCAATTAGTTATTTTATATTTTAATGTTCTCCCTTATTTTTTTCTTCTTCTTTTTCCGTGCTGGAAGATGCATCATTTGAGAGTTCCATCTAGTGATACCCATTTGTTTGCTACCTTAAGGTGCATCTTTGGAGTTATCCATCATATGCTATCATAATGTGTTGTCACTTATTCGGAGAAGGTAATCTGGCTGGCTGCATTATCTTGAATAGCTGCCAGGCTGATGGCTAATAAACCCATGATTTTGTGTAATTTGATGAATGTAGTTAGTAAATGATGTTAGCTCCTTTGTTTCGTTTTCTTGTTAAGAACCATCTAAATTGATCTTCATGACACATCAAGGTTCTATATACCCAGCAACTGCATGTCTTGTTTCATGCATTGCCATATTCTCCAACCAGAAGTAGATGTTATGTATGCTATACTGATGTAAACTTATATAGCATATCTGGATTAACAAAGTTTTCTTGATTTTTATGCAGTGTCATACAACAACTGCAAACACACTTGATGGTGACTTATGGATCCAGTGATGCTAGAAATGTATGTTCCAACACTTTGTTTCCTTAAGCTGATGTTAGATATAAAATCTAGTTAGTGAAGTATTTTGACTATGACCTTGAATATTGTGCCAGATTTTGCCTCCCAACTACTAAATCACCATGCATCCTAGTGACTGCCATGTAAATAGGTCTAATATCTGAGTTTATATAACTCATAAAATTATTAATGGCTTGAAGGTTGTGATTCAAAGCCTAGAACAAACTTGGAGAAAACATGCAAAACACAAGAAAGGAAACTATTGACTATCATCTGTTTAGAATACTGAGCTTGTTCCGTCAAATATTGTTGACGCAACTATAAATAGCACTCAGTGTCTTTTATGGCTTTTTAACAGATGGGTTTTCAATTTGCTACGAAAGGTGTGTACACAGTTGTGTGGATTGCAGCTGTATCATTGTTTATGGAGCTTTTAGGTTTCTCAACCCAAAGATGGCTCACTGCTGGAGGGCTTGGAACAGTCTTGCTCACACTAGCTGGACGTGAGGTGTAAATAAAATATATAATGCCAACATCTAAATATTTTTCTATATTTTACATTTTTTCCACCTTTCTTAAGAATCATTTACTGCTGATTTTAACTCCTTATAATCCTTTTTGTTATTATTTTCAGATTTTCACAAATTTCCTGTCAAGTGCAATGATTCATGCCACCCGCCCTTTTATTATTAACGAGTGGATTCAAACCAAGATTGAAGGGTATGAAGTGTCTGGGACTGTTGAGGTTCGTATCGGGTCTCTTTCAACTTTAACTACTAAACTGGTAGCTAGTAATGGGCACTGTCGAAACAGTTCGGAAAAGTAGGTTGCAGGTATGCGTACTTAGTATTGCTAAGCGATCAGGATCATAATTTAGGTCTTGCTGACTCTTTTCACTGTGAATTAGTTCTGAATTGTGTATGCATCTATGTTTTTATCAGCATTTGCTCTTATTAGTGTTCGCCCATCATTTGCAGTCTGTAGGATGGTGGGGACCGGCAATAATAAGAGGTGAAGACCGTGAAGCTGTTCATATTCCAAGCCACAAGTTCACTATGAATGTTGTTAGGAATCTCAGTCAGAAAACACATTGGCGAATAAAAAGCTACATAGCCATCAATCACTTAGATGTTCGCAAAATTAACGTGCGTCTCACTAATATACTACTTAAAGAAGTTGGAATTAAGTAAACCAGTTTTTTCTTACACAATTCTTCATATATTTTTGCTGCTCCTCTGTGCAGAACATTGTTGCTGACATGCGCAAAGTCCTGGCAAAGAATCCTCAGGTGGAACACAAGAAGTTGCATAGAAGAGTGTTCTTCGAGAGTATTAATCCCGAAAATCAGGCCCTCACGGTAAGACTTGCAAAATATGTTCATATCAAGATTAAATCTAGTTTTGAATGACACTTTTACTTTTACCTTTTATACTATGTCAGATTACCTTTGTATGTCGTTTTTAATATGATATCAATTTGGCATATGGAAATGTTATACAAGAAGTTTTTAGTGAGTGAAGTTATAGATTATATGTTTTCTTGCACACCAATAAAGGTGAGACTAAGAATGCACATGTTATATGCACACCAATCTAGTTTTCTTGCACATGTTATACTAAAAAGGCCCTTCTTATTTACAAACCTAATGATCAAGGTGAAATTGTCATTGTAATCCTGCTGTATGTAATATAATACCCCACTCGCTCAATGGACGGAATGTGAGTTATTTTGTAGTATGTTTTTTGTAGAGAAGCTATCCTGTCTTCTGAATGTGATTTTTTTTTGCAAGGTTTGATTTGAAATTTATTACTTGAGACTGATATTCCATGATTGCCTCAATTTATAGATATCCAATGCTGAAATTATATGTTATTTTTATTTAATTTTATGTAATCTGTTTCAATTTATGCAGATATTGATTTCCTGCTTCGTGAAGACCTCGCACATGGAAGAATATTTGTGTGTAAAGGTAAGCGCTCCATTTTGGTACTAATTCTCTCTTTAAATTAACAACACATTCAATGAGCAAATTCACACCAAGAAATTTAGACAAGGTAAAAAAACATGTAGCAATGATGCTAATCAGTTCAACGAGAATCTTCCAAGAATTTTTACACATTATTTTTTCATTCGAACATTTTTCTGCTTCTACAGATTTTACTTATCGATTTGCTGCGTACCATTTATACTCTCGCTACATACTTCATGCTTGTTTCTATGTACTGCAAATTGTATCATCCTTTTTTGCTTCAAGAATTCTATCGTTTGTGTTTTTATTGTTGTTTGGAGAACAGGAAGCAATTTTGCTTGATCTTCTCAGAGTTGTTAAGCATCACCAAGCCCGACTAGCCACTCCTATCCGAACAGTTCAGAAAATATTAAATGACACAGAGGTGGACAATGTGCCATTTTCAGATTCTATGTATGACCAGGGGGCGGCGTCGAGCCGTCCTCTTCTACTGATGGAGCCAATCGCTGTTAAAGCCAATGGAGAAGAGAAAACCAAAAGTCAAAGCCGACCGGTGCGTGCAGCTGGTGAAGAAGACAACAAGACTCCCACAAAGTCACCACCACCAGATAATACAGTGAAGGAGATCCAAACACCAGATGCCAAAGTGGAATCCGAGAAAACGGGGGTGTCCAAAATCAAGACAGTGGAGGATTATAAGGTAGCTGCTAAATCTTCTTCATCTCCCGCTCAGTTGTCCAAAATCAAGACAGTGGAGGATTATATAGTAGCTGCTGAATCTTCTTCATCTCCCGCTCAGTTGTCCAAAATCAAGACAGTGGAGGATTATATAGTAGCTGCTGAATTTTCATCATCTACCGAGCTCGGCAACAGCCCCAAAACAGTTGAAAAGGTCGAAGTAGAGTCCATCGAAGAATCATGTTCGAATGTCGGCGTTGCTTCTGGCCCAACCCAGAGTCCTTTCGACAGCAAGAATTCACAAAAGGCTGTCGAAGAAACTGCTACCCAAACAGCTGCATCCTCACCCGACTCAGCAGTCAGAAGATCTACTAACACCTCTTCTGCTTCTTCTCACCCCAAACAGGACGGAAAACAATCAACGGCGATGGGAAGCAAACCTTCTCTTGAAGAGAATATAGTTCTTGGTGTCGCTTTGGAGGGATCAAAGCGAACTCTACCTATCGACGACGAAGAGACCACACTAGCCATCAAGGAAGAAATCGAAGAAGACGGCCACATTGCGAAGCAGCAGTAGTAGCAACAGCCAAGCAGTGGCCAGAAAGGAAAAGGGGAAAAAGTGACGGTAAGAGGTCGTCGAATAGGAGCTTCTTGACTTAGCTATTAGAACAAAGTTGAAGGCATTGTTGAAGATGATTGTGTGCAGATGTAGATATGATTCATTCATGTGTAATTGAAGGAAAAGGTATGTTCTTCACGATCCTTTCTACATACATATTCAGAATTGTTTACGTGATTTTGTTGCATTACACAGCTTGCTTGATGAGGACTTTGTTTGGTCACATGATCATCGATTTGCTGGTTCGTGTAATAAAATGTTTTACCAGCTTGCTGGAAAATGTCTCCTTTAGCTATGCTGTTGGATGAGTCCTGCAGAAATTGCTGCATCCCTTGTCAGACACAAAGGTTTTGTTCTTTTTAGCAGCTCCAATTTTTTATAAATATTATTAAAAAAATATAATATATATATATATTAATAATTCAATACAATATACTCCCTTCATCTCCATCACGTTTTAAGGCTTATTTAGAGAGTTGATTTTTAAATATTAATTATTATATAAAAAATAGTATAATGTATGAAAAAATTATAAAAATACTTTCAATTAATGTCTTGTAATATTAATAGAAGAAAATTTGTACAAAAAATTATACAAATATAAAGATATTTTTCTCAAATACAATGAAGCAAAAAGTTGAAGTAAATATTATTTTTTATATTACTAACATATTTTTTAATATTAATATAAAAAAATACATAATAACACAAAGTGAACATCTCATATAGCTGAAATTTTCCTCGTGTGGAAGATGATTTATTATCTATATTTTGTCTATATAATATATACACTTCGGGTGTGTTTGTTTGGGGGACTGGATTTAATTTTCACTATTTATTCCAATTTTTTTCCCTAAAAAACGTCAAATCAAAAATTTATTTTTCATTTTTTATATCATACTAAAAATCAATTTTCATTCAAAATATCACATCAACATCTATTTATATTACATCGTACAACTATTTAAATTCAAAATTTTTACTATTCAAATCTCATCTCAAAATTCAAATCCCCGATTAAACACACCCGAATTCATCAAGTGAATGGAGACATAACTATTCACATTTAAATTATAAGTGTGTGGAATGGATTTATTGTGTACGGTAAAACAAAATAAAATGATTATAAATATTCAATGAAGTTACATAAATTAGGTTGTAGAGTATTTATTTTGTGGACGGTAAAACAAAATAAATGATTGAAGTTACATAAATTAGCTTGTAGACTCTATTATATATTAATTCATGTATGTAGAGTACCTTAAGATTTGTTTACTTTTGGTTTTCAAATAAAAATTTACACTATTCATTCCACGTGATTTCAATAATAATTTATTATTATTATTATTATTATTATTATTATTATTATTATTATTTTATAAAATATCACGTTAAAAGGGCTATTAAATCAAATTTAAATTAAAAATTGAATTTCAAACCTAAAATAAATGTACCCTTGCATTTTAACTTAATTTTACTTGTGATTTGATTTATATATATATATATATATATATTGTTAGAGAAAGCATTGGGGTATGTATTTGGTTGTGATTTCAAATCTAATATTAATTTTATATTTTTATTTACTTTATATGATTTTTAATATAAAAAAATTAGTAAAATATCACATCAAAATATTATTTTAAACAAAAATTTAAATCAACACATCATTTCTAATCAATTTCAAACTATAGCAAATTCTTTTTTTATAAGAAATTACATGGTTTTTTGGTTACTTTTAAATATATATTTTTTCATTGCTAATTTATAAGATATTTTTTCCTATAAAACACCATCTAAAATATTTATTCTTTATTTTTTTATAGTATTGCATTTAAAATAAATTTTCATTCAAATATTAAATTAAACACCTATTTATATCATATTAAATAAAGTGTTTTGTACTTTATTATTTCTTTGAATTTGAATTAAATAATATTTTGATATGATATTAATATTATTTTTTTAATAAAAACTTGTAAATAATTAATTATTAAAAATTTGAGATAAAATACAAAATAATCACACCTTAACTATATTTTCAAAATATTAAAACATAACCACACAATAATTATATAACAAAAAATACTAAAATCAAAATCCAAGTAGTATCCAATTATAGGGATGGCATACGGTACCGTACCGAAAATACCGGTCAACACCGATATCGTATCGATTTCGGTATAACTAAAATACATACCGGTACCGTACCAAAAGTTTCAATATACTGAATTTCGGTATACCAAAATTTTCGGTACGGTAACGGTATATATCGATTATACCGAAAATATAATTGTAAATTTCAAAATAATTAAAAAAATTAATAAATATCACTATTCTCCACCACAAAAATATTATGAAAAAACCAATAAATTTTCAATAGTTTACATATTTTTTTGTTATAATAAAATATTAATAATTATTATTTATATTAATAATTAAATTGTTTAATAAAAATAATATCAGTACGGTATCATACCGAAATACCGAACTTTTTGAAAATATATACCGATACCGTACCGAAAACTTCGGTACGATATCCATATTGTACCGAAACTTTCGGTATACTGAATTTTTCGATATTTTCGACACATAAGTCGGTATTTCGATATGTTCGATAAATTTATCCTATCCCTATCCAAGTACTTGTGAAATACAATTCTAACACAATTATCAACTAGCCAAAAGTTTGCCCAATAAAAATATCACATTTGCCCATGCTACAATGCATCCATATGCATTATATATAGTGTAGAAACAAATTTGTTACTTCTTTTTTTGTTAATTCTTGTATTTTTATTATTTATTAGATAATCTAAATATAATGTTTTGTATAAAAATAATATATAGTTTATATATATATATATATATCAAGAGAAACGAAATTACATAAATACATTTAAAAACTTATTTTTGTTGAAATAGTCATTCAGAGTATCTGAATTCTTTCCTTAGAATATCTGATGAAAATATTATTTAAAGGTTGTTTAGACAATATACAAAGTTTGTGTATGTATTTTGGGAAAAAAAAAATTATAAATAATTTGAAATCAGACTATTGTTAATTTTGATTTTTTTTAAAAAAATGTTACAAACTCTTTAAAAATGGAAACTATAATGCAAAACATAAACACAAAAAACACTTCCAATAATCCCTTCCGATGCGTTCTTTTGAGGGTTTGGATTTTGTGTTTAAAATTTGAATAAAAAAAATTTTAAATTAAAATAATTATATAATGTACTATAAATAACTATTGATGTAACGTTTTCAATATAAAATTAATTTATAATATAATATAAAAAATGTTTGATTTATATCTTTAGAAAAAAAAGGGGTAAATAGTATTCCTTTCATTCCACTTCCTTAATCTCATTTAATTTTTTTTTTAATTTTTAATTAAGTTAATAAATTATTTTTATCTTAATTTATAATAATTTATATTATAAAATAATAATTTTCATGTGTCTACGGTAATAAAAAAATGCAATGTGAGACGAAATCCTAAGAAAAAAAAGTACGTAATAGTAAGTTAGCAAAATTAATGTGATATGACTTTAGGTTAAAAGTATTTAATAAACTTAATGTGATATGACTTTGGGTAGAAATATTTAATAAAGTTAATGTGATATAATTTTTTTAGGTTCAAGATATTTTTTGGGGTCTGTTGTAAGAGTTATATTTTTTTTTTTTACTGTATTGATTTTTAATATTAATTATTATATCAAAATATATAAATTAAAAAAAATGACTAAAATATTTATATTAATGTTTTATAATATTAATATAATAATATTTGTATAAAAAATATATAAATATAAAAATATTTTTAATATTATAAATATAACTTTTAAAGGTGAACAAATATAATATTTAATAATATTAATGTGATACTCCCTCTGTCCACAAACTAATGTCCTACTTTTCTATTTGGAACGTTCAACAACTATTGTCATATTTTCTTTTTTAAACATAAATTTTATATTTTTACCCTTTATTCATTTATTATTTTTAATTTCTACCATACAATTAAGGGCAAATTTATCAATTTATAAAAAAAAACAATTACCTAAAAAAACAGTGCAAATATACTTTACGATAATAGAAATTGGACAGAGAAAGTATGACTTTTTAGCTTAAAACTACTTAAATAGTATAAAATTATAAATGTATAAAGCATCTATTTTCTTTATAATGGTTGCGATAACTTAATATTTAAAATTTTTTCACAATTTATAATATAAGAAATCCTTATTTTTAAGAACATTTACATGAAAAAAAAAAAAATAAAAAAAAATAGAATTATCATATTGTTCGTTCGTGGTTATATCGAATTCGTGTCGGTGATATTTGTGACGGCGCCGCCTCTCGCTGACCAAATTTGGACATTTGCTCACCTAACATTTTTGTCGTTTTCGAGAATGAGGGGATAAATTTAAATTTCAAATATATATTTATACACTATTGATGCTAAAAGAAAGAAGGGTATATGGAGATAAATACTCTGTCCACTCACAATATTTATATTTACTTCTCACAATATTTATATTTACTTTTGGCACGATATTTAAAAAATAATAGTATTTTAATTATAATAAATAATTAAAAGTAGTATAATGATATTTTTGTCTTTTTTTTTATGTAAAAGTAATGATGTGATGTAAAGTAACAGTATTTGTAATATTGACTTTGTAATTGGACATTCCAAAATAAAAATATGTAAATATTGTAAGTGGACAAATGAAGTATTATTTTTATATTTTTTATATAATTTTTTATATTTAACATAAAAATATTTTATTTTCAACTATTTCACTAAAATAAATACGCTTATGCATAGAAAGGGTGACTAGGAATTAATTTTTGTTTGTGTTTTATTGTTTCCAAAAAGTATCTTAGGAATAATTTACATTTTAATTAAGAAAAATTATTAGGCATAATATTCTAAGTTAGTTATTTTTAATAAAAACAATGCTCCTCATGTTATAAGAATTTTATTTTTTATTTCTCTCTCATTAAAAAATTAAATATTTGTTCTTTTAAGTAAAATATTATACTCTACTACTTTTTAATATTTTTAATTCGTATTTTTATATTTATTAAAAAAACCAAAAATATACACCATGTTAAAATATTAGTCCAAATCAAATAGTTTTATTTTTATGTGAAATATTAGCATTATATTGGGATATAGTAGGAATAAACTAGAAATAACTAAAATAACCTTATTAGTATGTGTGATACAAAGGTAATGATATTTGTGTAATATATTGTAAGTTGTAAGGGTATTTGTAATAATAGATAGATAGTACAATTACTAAAAAAGAAAATGAATACTTTGTTATGGGACGGACTACAGTGAAAAATGAATACTTTGTTATGGGTAGGAAAAAGTATAAAAAAAAATATTTTTTTTATAAAAAAAAAAAGTATACATATTATATATAAAATTCTATTTATATAATGATTATTATAATAGATTTTATATAATAAATTAAATAATTTTAAAATTATGGTTAAATAATATAATATCCATCCAAATAATACACCAAATTAACAAAGAAGAATTCCATTGCATGGTGATATGCCCTTAAAAGTCATCCCACAAAACATATTTCCTTATTTTGGGTTTCTTTTTTTTTTTTTTTGGTAATTTTAAACTGAAATTAAGACTATTTATTATTCACAATTTTTAATAAAAATATATTATTTTATCTTGTAAAATATCATATTAAAACATTAATTGAACAAAAAATTTAAATCAATCTTTCATTTTTAAATAATTTTAAATTACAATCAAACAAATTTTTTTTTTATTCGAAAAATTTCAAATATATTCTTGAAATTTAACGTTGTTTTAACCAACAAAAGAACACATTGGTTTATACACATTGTTCAATTTTGGAAAACACATCTTCCAAATAGATACAGATTCCTTAAAAAAACTTAATATATTACGTACATTTATTTTTTTATATTACTTATACAATTGTTTATATCTCATATAAAAAAAAAAATCTCGTCAAATCAAAATTGATAAAAAAGATATATATAAAGTTATACTATTTTTAAATCAAAGTTACCTTCTTTTTTTTATATATAAAATATAATATTCAATAATTTCTTATTTCAAAAATATTAAAAAAATCCAAACATAAATACAAAACAAAATAATAGAATAATTTTTTATTTTTATTTTTTAATTGAACTCCTTATTTTCCTAATAAAGACAAAAGCCTCAAAAGCATAAAAACCCTAAATTATCACATTCTTAAACTTGATCATATCAATTACACGGGAATGATTGTTGTGTTCGGAGAAAATGTAACGTATGTAGATAAATCACGAAGACAATATATATTGTGTGAAATAAAATGATGTGTTTTTTCTTATTTATACTTGTAGGTATATTATTTATAAGTGTATTATATTTTAAACTCAGTATGCACAATGTGAGACTATGTCATATATTATTAATTTATTTAATGTATTTGTATTATATTAATATAAATAATGTGTGATCTGTAATAATATTACGTAATATCTACTAATATACAATATATAGTCAATATTATACTGAATTTTAAAATTCAACACAATAACAATCGTTCAATTATACGCATTACATTTCTAATAAAAATGTATTGTGTTAAATCAAAATTATATATTGACAATTTGACTTGTACGAACAATTGTCACCTAGTCTCAATTCATATTATATTATACTTCTTTCGTCCACCTCTACTGATCACATTTACATTATATTAATATTAAAAATATTATTATATTTTTATAATTTTTTTTTTACAAATATCCTTTTATTAATATTACAAGATACTATAATAGAAGTATTTTTGTAATTTTCTTTTTAAAATTTGTATTATTTTAATATAATAATTAATATTCAAATATCAAAACACAAAAAGTAAACGAGACCTCAAAACCGGACAAAGGCAGTATTATAGCTAATCGTGTATTGTCTGTCGGTATATTGTGTACTTCATAACTAATGTGCTTATAAATTGAGCCAAGAACCATTGCAGAAGCTGAAGAAAAAACCTCCATGGAAATCCAATGGCTACTCCTTTGCCAATCTCTCTTTTATTTCTTCATCCTCTACTTCTTGTTCAGACAGTTCTGGACATCTGATCATCACAACCTCCCTCCAGGTCCCCGGAAACTTCCCCTCATCGGAAACCTGCACCACCTCTCCGGCGCCCTGCCGCACCACGCCCTCCGAGCCCTCGCCCGCAAACATGGACCCCTCATGTCCCTAAAGCTCGGCGAGCTCCGTACAGTCGTCGTCTCGTCTTCCCAATTAGCCGAGCAGATCACACGAACCAATGACGCCGCGTTCGCCGGCCGCGTCGAGCTCATGCTGCCGAGAATCGTTCTGTACAACTCGTCGGACATGGCGTCGGCGCAGTACGGCGAGTACTGGAGGACAATGCGGAAGCTCTGCATTTTGGAGTTTTTGAATCACCGGAAAATTCGAGGGTTCTTCGGACTTATGCAGACCGAAGTGCTCCGCATGGTGGATCGATTGAACGCCGAGTCGTCGGCGGGGGACCCGGTTAATGTCACCGAGAAGATTTTGTCCGTCGAATGCGGGATCATCTGCCGAGCCACGGTGGGGCGGGTTTGGACGAAGGATCAAGAAACGTCATTGATTCGGATTATTAAAGAAGCCGTGGCGATCGCTGGCGTTTTCAATTTTGTCGACGTGTTCCCGTCGATGAAGCTTCTCCATTTCGTGTCGGTGGGTTCGAGACGGAAGCTGGAGAGGATGCACGAGAGGATTGACGCCGTTCTTGAAGAAATTATCGAACATCACCGAGATAAGAAAATGTGCGTCAATGGCGACGACGTAGAGGAAGACATGATCGACATTTTCTTGCGGGCGAGGGCGAGCAAGCGTCTTCGCATCCCGATAACTCGGGACAACATCAAAGCCAACATCTTTGTAAGGATTTCCATATTAAATGACCATCTCACCTAAAAGTCTAATTATGTTCCTTGTCGTAAACTCACAGGAAATGTTCATAGCCGGGATCGAGACATCGTCGCTGGTGATCGAATGGGGAATGTCCGAAATGATAAAGAACCCGCGAGTTCTGCGTAAGGCGCAACAAGAAGTCAGGCGAGTTCTCGACGGGAAGGAAATATTCGAACAAATGGACATCGAAAAGCTTAGTTACCTGAAAACGGTGATCAAAGAGACGCTTCGATTGCATCCTCCCGGTCCGCTCCTCTGCCCTAGACGTTGCCGGGAGCAATCGAGGATCGACGGATACGACATCCCGGTGAACACGATAGTCATGATCAATGTTTGGGCTATAGGAAGGGATCCCGACATTTGGCTCGACCCGGAGAAATTCATACCCGAAAGATTCGAGCACGCTGACATCGACTACAAAGGGAATCATTTCGAGCTTATACCGTTCGGCGCCGGGAGAAGAATTTGTCCCGGAATATCATTCGGCATCGCCGGCGTCGAGCTAAGCCTCGCCCATTTGTTGTACCACTTCGATTGGGGAGTTCCCGACGACGCCCCCCCGGAGGATTTGGACATGACGGAGAACTTCGGGGCGTCAGCGGGACGGAAGAACAATCTGTGCCTGATTGCTACTCGCCGAGGCGAATCCATTCGATGATTTGGTTCAAATAATGGTTATCGATTATCGAACTTAAATCCCAAACAATGTAGAGCATATTATACAATATACGGTTCGATACAAAACTACCTACGCGTAAAATTCGACGAATCTTCATCTGTTCTTGCGAGAAAACCTGTCGGAGAGATTGGCAAGAATGAATCCTGCAAAGACCTGAAGAACATCGAAAGTTATCGAACGATCCAACGGAAAAACTTACTCGAAAAAAGAAGAATCGAGAGAGACGGCACCTGAACGCAGCCGAGGATGTAAATTGCGGAGTAATGACGACCGTGGACGAACATGTCTGCGACCATTGCTAGGGGGATCGTTAGCGACATCCCGAGCGTAGCGACCAACGGAGTTGTCCATACGACGGACATCGCCCTGTCAGAACAAGCGCGTCGTGTTACACCATGAGTCAACTGATTCGATTCCGTGACCTCAATATGCAGACATTAAACATTTCTTACCAGACGTAATCCGAAAGAACGCTTCCAACGAAGCCATTGAGCAGAACAACTTCGGTAACAGACGATGAACTTGGAAGCTTGAATGAAGGCTCAATCCCGACGGCATTTAGAGGCCATGCTAAAACAAAAAATACATCACAAAAATAAAATCCGATTCACGACATTGTCGAATCGTACGGAGTAAAATACAGCAAGCAAATGATTACTTACCGAGCCACCAGAGACCGAGTAATGTAAAGAGTCCAATATATCCGAAAAACTTCTGCACGTCGACCTTGTCTCCTTCTGATCCGGCCGATCGTTTGAGAAGAACTGCCGGATTACAACAACGATCAAAAATCGAATCTTCGGGTAAAGTAACAGAGCATCTCCATTGATTTCACAGAAGAATACCTGTGAATAAGCCGTAAAATACGGCAGAAAGCAGCCCAAAGACGTCTCCGATGATGGAATGGCTTCTCGTCCTTCACAACACGATGGATATCGAAGAATCGAGTTATATTATGGCATATAAATGAGATGATAAAATTATGCGGTGGACTTACTCGGAGGCGCTAAGAACTTCATCGGGAGCCCATGTTTTTCCAACGGTAGTCAATGCTACGCCGGCCATGCTGATCAAAACAGCTGCGATCTTTGCAGCATTCACCGTCTCCCGTCCGATTAGGGCTCCGAAAATCAGCGTGAACAGCCCCGAAGTTGAAGTCAGGACAGTCGTGCTCGCCACGCTCGTGTATGCCAGAGCAGAGTTCGATAAATACTGCACAAGTAGAAGATCTACGTATCATCGCAAAGCCCAAATTCATCGGCATATTCATTGCGCAAGATTGAATCTTGTTATGACGGATTAGATTTAATGATCGAATAACAAACAGCAAATGTAAAGACGACATAAATTTACGTGGTTCACCAAAAACGCGTTGACTACATCCACGGACAAGAACGGAGAACAGATTTTATTCACCAATACTGCATACCGTCAGCCGGGGCTTGACCCGACCGGGCAGCAAGATGCCCGTGAAAACTCAACGGAGTGGTAAACTAGATTCAAAGCATATCAACAAATCTTTATGTGCAATTTACTTACAAAGGCGCCTAAATACGAAGAAACTAGAAGCTCCTATCTACCTCGGTTAAAAACCATATTACCATATCATCGGAAATCCCAAAGTCATCGACATATTGATCGCGCAAGATTGAATCTTTAAGTGCAATTTACTTACAAATGCCTCTAAATACGAAGAAAATAGAAGCTCCTCGCTACCTTGGTTAAAAACCATATTACCATATCATTCGTCGACATATTGTAAGCACATTATCCACAAAGATGTCCAAACACGAAAAACACTAGAGTCGTCATAGTACCTCGGTGATAAACCATATCGGGGCAAGATAAAGGCTACATTTGATCACTTCGGATGTGCTGTCCCGACATTCATCTTCAACAATCATGAACTCGTCTCCGGGGCTCAACAATGGCACCCCGGCTTCGGTTTCACTTAAACTTACATCTGTCATAAAATAGTTCTTGAGTGCCACTTCCGGATCCTCCCCGGCCCCGGCGACTTTCCGGCGAAAATCTAGCCGGCCTAATGGCCATGAAACTACACCATTGCTACCATGAATCCTTTTAATCCAACTACTGTCCCAAAGCTTATACAACAAATCTCTACAAAATGCTATCGGGATATAAACTACCATTAGAGATATCCACAAATATGTAAGAGCAAAAGGCTGCCTGTATTCCGTGAAAATTTTCTGCACAAATCAAACTTTGTCAATTTTCTTGCAGAGATCACATCCCTTGTAATAATAAAACCCTAATTTTGCCCTAAATCGAAAATCAAACGTTGCAGAAATCGAAGAACTAACCTGTGTGACCTCTGCAGCTGTGACCCATATCAAGACAAAAGCCCCGATCATCCCCAGCCCTGCTCTGTACCTCCAACCCATCATCCAAGAAATCGATCAAAATCCAGCCAAGAACAAGATTTTTTTTTTAGAAGAAGAAAGAAAGGATTAGAGGCCTGCGATAAGAAAGAATATTATTCAACACCCGATCGACGTTCTGGAAGGGGCGTTGAATTTTGGCTCGTTTCCATCGAAAGTTGATTGTTTTTTGCGCAAGTTGCATTTCCAAGAAATGTGAAAGTATCGCTTGAGTTGAATGTTTCTTCATCTTTCTTTTTGCAAAACGAACACGTGCGAGTTAAAAAAACAAAAAACAAGAAAACTATATGCCTTTTAGTTCTAATTCTGTAAGAAGATTACGACTAGAATTCCGTTGACTGCGTAAGAATGTTAGATAAGTAGTCTTAAAATAATTATTATTATTATACTTTTTTACTTAAAATAATCATCGTTGCAGCTGCTGTGACGATGATTCCTAGTTTCCTACGGCTGTATATCAGGGTGTTTTAATTGTCGACGGTTTTTGGTATTTCGGATTTGAAAAAACAAAAAGAGCTAAAATTATTTATTATTTATTATTTTAATTTAATATAAAAACTAAAATTTTAGATTAATTTAATTTTTTAAAAATTTATCGTGTTCGAGTCTAGAGTTTCGGATCTTCAAGTCAAATTTCAGATTCGAGTGACCTAAAACTAATTTTGTGTTACCCATTGCTCGTTGCACGACCCAACACGAACACAGCCTAAAAGCACAGTTGATACCCATATAAAATTTTCAAGAAATTGGAAAGTAAATTATAGTTGTCTGTGGGGGGCACAAAATAAATTGGTTCAAAATTTATTGTCAGTCTTCTAAAACCATCAATCTATCAAAATGAATCATCTTCGAGGATGGCTTAACACGAGGAGTTATGGCAAAAACCTCATACTTTCCCAAGGTATTCCCAGAAAGAACATTCTCTCAACTCTCAAGATAATTTACAGTTTTGATCAAGCCGGGCAATACTGAGGTACGAGGTTTCGTTGTCGCTGCCGGACCAATTCGTCAAGGTCGTGGACAATCTTGAACACGGCGTCGGGTCTGGCCAGCCGCAGCGCGTTCTGGGACATTGCGATCAGCTCGTGTTGCTTCGGGCCAAACCATTCGGAAACAATGTTCGCTATCTCTTTCGGGGACTTTGAGAACTTCCCGCATCCATTTTTTACGACGTATGGGACATTCCCAGCTTCCTAAGAATTCGAAACAACAGAATTGCTGTCTGAACTGGAAATGTATTTTGCTTACAGGCAAAATATATGCAAGGAAATTCGGATACGGTGATTACCTGTCCGGCAATGTAATCGTTTAGGATTATGGGTAGCCCTCGAATCATAGCCTCTGCAATTGTTCCGGGTCCAGCCTGCAGAAACACATAATTATCGAATGTGAGACGGTGATGATTGGTTATTTCCACAACTTACGACAGAAAGATTTAAAAATAACTCTACCTTAGTGATTACACAATCGCAAGCGCCCATCGCATCCTCCATTTTGGTGACGAAACCCTTCACCTATAATTCAAGAACGGGAAAAAATGAATTTTAAAGTTTAATATCGACTTCACCAACCGTAGCTTTTTTCAGAAAAAATCACATCAAATACCCAAATTTAAATGGAGTCTTGGAAATATTACCTCGACAGGGATTTTCCAGTCGACCAACTTCAATTTGTTGACTAGCTTTTTATTTCGGCCACATATCACAAGAATCTGACCGATTGGCTCTCCATGAATTTCATCATAAAGCGCGCCTGCAAGTGCTCTAGCAGTGGCCTCGATTGGGCCCATGCCTTCGCCACCACCCATTAACAAGACGGCAGGCAAGAGTTCATCCATTCCGAGTTCCTTCCTCAATACATCCTACAATATTCAAGAATTGCAGCTCGATATCAACATCCGTGTCTCATTCAAAATGTCTCAAAATGATCAAAAATATGGATTCGAAAAAATCTCCGAATGATAAATATAGACAACACGACAGTCATGTTTGTGAATCAGATCCTCTGGCATACGAAATAGTACTTCACTTCTATCCTCTATCACAAGTCAAGCGCAACAATCTATTTATATTACTTCAATATTTCGAGACAAGTATTAAACTAGTAAGCAAGACCATGAATCCTTTGATAATGGAAGCTCATAATATCTATCGAGTTTTCTGCCATCACTTGTAGCATTCATGCTATTTTCTAGTTAAGCAATTGTGAGATCAAACAAAGCTATCCTTCATGAAAGTGCACAAACACTTGACAATGAACATATGTAATAAAATAAATAAAAAAAAAAGAAAAAAAAACCTTGGGGCGAACGGGCTTCACAAATGATGGCCTCACGGGAAGGCCAAAGACTTTAATCTGAGAACGCTGAAGACCAGCTCTCAGCGCTCGTTTCGACACCTCTTCCGATGGGCAGTAACATCTTGTCACGAGTTTGTGAAACCTACCACGTGACAACAAGCCAATAAATCAACTTTGTATCTATTTCATAGCACACTTAAATTAAACAAAATCGCCGCTACTCATACCATGTTGGATGACAAGTGGACAGGTCGGTAATTACTGTCGTGAAAACAATCTTCTTCAGTAGACCTTTGGACCTCAAAATACGAAGCGGAACATGCTGCATCAGAGGGTGTACACTGATGATAATATCTGGCTGGTATTTCATCAATCCTTTAGCAACCTCACTGAAGAACAAGAGGAAGATTTACACAAGAATCCTAAATCGAAACAGATTAAAATACTACGAGTGCAACACACCATACACAAAAAGAAAAAATAACAGAACTTTTAACCATCTAGAGCTCAGACACCATAAATTACATCCACATACTAGTTACACTAAATCTACAGATTTCGACCTAATTGCCATCCATTACAGGAAAAGTTACTAATTATTGAAGCAGGATGGCGACAATAGCTTTATCAGAGTTGCAAGGAATGACAATCTAAACCAGCTGATATTCGAAACTAAGCTACATTCTCCCACTAAAACTGCAAAGTTTCCCTTAGATAAGTTCGAGACCGACTCACCGAGCAATAAAAGTTGAAGTGGCAGCAAAATTAGTTCCGTGAACGACGCGAGGGGCCGAAGCATAATAAGTCATTTTCCATAGAGTGCCATGTTTCACAAGGAAATTATAGCTCTTTGGTAGTTGATTAAATGGCCAGGGAGTATGATCTGTCCACAAATCAGTGATAAAAACCTGTAAAAGAAACTCTCTACTGCTGAGAACAAATTCAACAATCACACTAAATTTTGCACAAATCCTGATCCAACAAAACTTTGCAATTATGCAACACATAGCCCTAATTCACCATAAAACTTCATTATCGAATCAATATATATATATATATATATACCTGGTAATCATCTCCAAATTCTTCACTGAAAGCTGCTTTAATGGCTTCTGCAGAAGCTCTGTGACCGCCCCCAGTATCACTCATCAGAATCAAAACTTTTTTGGGGGTATCAGAGACAATCCCATTGGTGGGGGCTCCTTTCGATTCCTCCAAAACCCCATTCTCATTACCGCACCCATTGTTCTCGCCAGGATCGACCCCAACAGAAGCGAAACCTAGAGGAATACGCTCGCAGTGGAATCGAATCGCCTGATTGAGTTGATTAAATGCGGTTCTAATGCGAAAGGCTGCGCCCTTTGTGCTGAGGCTCAATGAGGCAACGGTCTTCGGCTTCTTCTTGACGTCCAAGTAGAAAGTGTTCGACGAAAGTATGGAGTTCACATCGGGATTGCGCCTCGAATAGTTCACCACAAAAGAACCCAAGCGGGACACAATCCCTAAAGGGTTTGCGGGTTCTTGACTCACAGTCGACGGCTGCATATTCCAATCGGTCTCTTCCTCTACCGGATGTGACTGACGGCGAAATTAATTGCGCATCGACAAGTTTGGGGTTTTTCGAAAAAGATTGGTCCCAGAAAAAAATAAAAACGAACTAACAATGGCGGAATTGTGGCTGTGGGAGAGGAGAGAGGATTTGTGGCCACAAGTATAGGATTTAATGACCCAATTGTATATATATAATTTATACACAAATATTATCGAAAAACAACACAAGAACACACACTCTCTATCTCTCACAGAGGCTTGTGAATATTCGCAGGGATTTTGAGTAAATCCTCTTTGAGGGAAGCAGCTAAAAAAGGGGTTTAAGAAAATTACCAATTCAGGCAGCAATTTCCATGGAAATTTTAAAGCAAGAATGGAGGTGTTGCAGGGAGTAAATCCCCTTTGCCCCTTTGATGAATTTATAGTTTGTGTATAAAGCTACTATGAGTGTTGAATTGGCGAGTGGACGGTAGAGGAGCGGTGGACGGTGAAAGGTTCGTGGAGGAAGGCGGACGGTGGCCGGTGGTCAGCGGTCAGTGGCGCACGGTGGTGGTTAGCCAATCCACGCATTTTGAGTAGTGGGCTTAGCCCACAACAAATTCTTGATCTCGAACAGGATTATGATCAATTGGGTAAGAAAATGAGTTAAGATTGTTGATCGAGTTCAATGGAGCATTCAATGTAGAGTTAATGGGTTTACACTAATTAGGGTGTATTTGTTTGAGGGAATTGAATTTTTTTTCACTGTTCATCTATTTTTTTTTCAAAAAATATCAAATGAAACACTTATTTTTTATTTTTTATATTATATTAAAAATTAATTTTATATTAAAAACATCACATCAATATCTATTTATATCACGATCATACAACTATTCAAATTCAAAATTTTTACTATTCAAATCCCAACTCAAAATCCAAACCTCCAAATAAACACACCCTAAAATTGAATCTTGTGAACCTTAGTTAATTAGGCAATGTATTTTATTATTTATTTGTACTATACTCTCTTTGTTCATCTTTAAAACAATCAATTCAATGGACACCTCAATCAACTAGAAATTATGGCACAATCTTTTGGGTCGCGTTATGTTTTATTATAGTTAAAACTTGAATTGTTTAACCTTATTTTTGCCCTTGTCCATCTGAATTTGAGCGTTCACGTTTGTTTAGAGAAATTTTCGATCAAATTGACTTTGGTAATATCTTCGTATTTAATCTTATGTTGCTTTCGATTGTCTTCCTCTGTCATAAAATCTTTAAGCTCAATTTGCTTTAGCTCATTATTCAGCTCATATTTGAAATTGCTCCAACTTGGGGTTAATTTTTTTATTATCACACTCGTGATGAATTTTTCGGGCAACGGCATCTTCTTGTCAATAACGGAATGGACTATTTGTTGAATTTTCTTTACTTGTTCAACGATAGACTTGTCGTATACCATTTTATAGTCCATAAATCGGACCACAACAAATAGTTAAATTCAATATTCTCTACATTACATTTTTTTTTTCAAATACATCCCATAATCCTTTGGCAGTCTTTATCTTACAGTATATATAATAGAGAGAATTTGAAAGACTACCTAAGACGATGTTCCTTGCCATGTAGTCAAGTAGGCTCAAAAAGCAAAGTTGGCATGGGTTTGGTAGTCAACAATAGGCTCCGGCGCAGTTGGGCCATCTAGTAGTACAAACATGGCGAACCCAATTGAGGTAAATATCAAACTTTTATAGGTCAAACAATGAGACATCTCTCGTTTGAGAGTCGGATCCCAAATTCGATCTTGGGTGGGTGCGTATGTGCATGTTTAAAACAAAAAAAAAAATTGCATAAAATAATTTGTGTAGAAGATTAACAAGATCTATATCCAATATATATATATAAGTTATAAAGTAATTCAGTTCAAATCCAACACCCATCTTAAATTTGAACATGTAACCAAACGGTAGCTAAATTGTTTTTTATTTTAAATTCAATTCTAAGTACAATTAGTTAGCAAACTAAAGTATAGATTAATTATCTAATAAAATAAATAAATTAAAACTCCTTATTTCGAGAAGTCAAAGGAAACAGAGCCAATAGAACCGGCGGTTCAGCTTTCGCCGGCGACATATGCAAATAAAACCCATTCTCCGCAATGGCCCTCTCCTCCTCAGACGCCGGCGACTCATTCCTTATTACCGCCGACTCACACCCAATCGGCGTCCCCGGCCCGTCCACCGGAGAGTCGGAAAGCTGCCCAATTGTCCGAGCCGGCGAGCAATTTCCGGCCGATATTATCTCGAGATCGCGGACGGAATGCTTCCTCCTGTCTCGAAGCTTGAAGGGCGACTTCCGATGGAGGGCGGCCTTTGGCCGCAGCTTGTGCGGTGATCCGCCGGTGAGTTTCTGAACCAGGTCTTTGAAGGTGGCGACGTCCGCCTGTATGTACGTCATCTGCGTCGGCGGCGCGGCTTGCTTCTCCATGATCAAAAGCTGCCCGGTAAGTGTTTGTGAAAATGCCTGAACGGTTTCCCGACAATATATTACTGATTCTTGACTGCGACTTACATTCCAAACCGTGTGAGATGTTCTTGCGAAGTTATAAAGAATTCGTCGTTTGAAAATGACTTAGAGAGTTGCTGGTGGAAAGAATTTTACGCAGTCAAAGCTTAATGATTCCAAATTAATAGCACTATTATTAGGAATATGTTTCAAGAACATTTCAATAATCATTCAAATGTAAATCAGGATTAGGATTGGGAATAGGTAAGAATGCCCACAAATAGAACTTGACAAAAGGCCTAATTAACCTTTTCCGAATGACTAAGCCAATGCCAAAACTCGACAAAAATTGCACATTTTTGCTTGACTTAGCCTTCCAAGACCAGATCTTGAATAAAATGGGTAGGGTTCGGGTCGACCCAATACAAGATCCGGGTCGGATCCGTTTGGTTGATAAATGAACGCCTTGTCTTGTTCGCGAAGCCGACGGAAGTTTCAGTGCAACAGTTTTCGCCAAGGAGCTTCTGCGTTCTACGACGAGGGACACGGTGAGTGATTTCGTATCAATAGGCCGGAAATCGTCGAAACTTTTTTTCTTTTTTCTTATGAGAAGTTGTGATTTCTATTGTAGCTCGAAGAAAGCATCGGTAAGGATTTCTGATAATGTCGTCCACCTCTTGTTTTGGTGGCGGGATCGTGAGGTTGAATCCTTTCAAAGTGAAATTGACGGCGCCGAGGAGGATTAGTGTGAGAGCTTCGACGGTGGAGTCGTTCGAGAGCTCCGATTTCGCGCAACGCATCGAGCGTGCGTGGTTGATTTCACAGGTTCGTTCCTTGCGTCCTCTCTTTTACCTCATTTTTGGTTCTTCACTAGCTAGTTTCTGAATTATTCCGATGATGATTAGCAGTGGTTGTAGGGCAAAATTGTTCCTGTGAATGATTAAGGATGCTGATTAAATGTGTTCATCAATTTGTATTGTCGATGAAAGCCCTAAAACTATACATTTTAGACATCCAAAATTCTCAACAAACGCTGTTGGAGAATTTGGAGAAATCTGTTGATGCGAGAATCAGAACAGAAACTTCAAGATTTAGATCAGGATTCAGGCTGAGCTAATTAACATTTCCAGGATCCTTATCCATCCAATAACCAATATTTGATAGATTTAGTTACGTTGAATATGCAATATGTTGCAATTACTCTGTATAATCTTCAACCTCTCAAAGGTTCATTAGGGAAAAATCGAGTAGAGGGGAGAGAATTAGTTCAAGAAACTTGCTATACCTATCTCAAACAATCAGTAATAAATTGAATCGAAGCATTATAATTCTTCCGACCTTATTTTCCACTCGAATGCAGCAACCGAGGCCAGTTGCTTGTAGTTCATGCGACTCGAAGGGGCACGTCGAATGCCAATGGTGCAGGGGGACTGGTTTCTTCATTCTCGGTGATAATATGTTGTGCCAAGTTCCTTCTAGAAACAGTACTTGTGTTATATGCAGTGGAAAGGTAAATTTTCGAATTTGAAAGTTGGAACTCATCCAACTGTGGCTATTTGCTTCTGTGATCTGAAATGAATCTTAAGCATGAGTTTCTTGACATATAGAGGGTTTAATTTTAGGGTTCGACGTTCTGTTCTAATTGCAAAGGAACTGGCTATCGGGCAAAGTGGCTGGGCGAGCCACCCCCGACTAAGTAGGAGATCGATCTAACAGAGGTACGCCCATTTTGTTCATGTCCTGAATTTGATTGTCCTAGTTTTCGCAAGTGTGTACAGCTCTTAGAATTATTTTGTGAACTTGATTGTGTCGTATTCTTTATTGCAATGCAATAGTTTGTTGTTACAATCTTAGAATGAGTATGCATTGCTCTCTGGTCGACGATGGCAGAGCCACATAGGGGCTCGGCCGCGTACACCAATTATATTTTTTTACTATATAGATTGTCCATTCAGTAGGATTCGGATAAGTCTGATATTTTTATATTGATTGAATACATCAATATTTATTTTGTTACTATCAATTTTACTAAAAATGATACAAATATTTAAATTTTCAACCTCAACAAAACCGTTTAGCCCTTTCGGCAGCTGTTCAGCCCCTCGGCGGGGTAAGTCTAGCTCCGCTGTTGAAGGTGATCACTCACACAGGAAACCATTTAGGATTACTAAATGGTAATTTTATATCACTCTTGTTAAAAATCAGAACAATAATACTCTATTCTTCATTCAAATCTATGTTCATTTTTTATTGGATCATCATTGACAAATATTCTCGTTTTGTTTTCAAGTAAAAAATTATACATTTTTGTACTTTTTCTTTTACTATAAAAGAAAAAAATAATTATTATTACTTACTTTTATTAATTATTTTCTAAAATTATCAATTTAATCGGATTTAGAACGAGATTTTTGAGCAAATTCGTTATCTGCTCTGAATCTCCTGGCCCATTAACACGGGGACAAAGATCACCCCAATAGTGGTTTCTAAAAGCATATACAACAAAAAAATTGGTTGTAGAATCAATGCTCTTTTTTTTTTTTTTTTTTTAAATAAAGATATGAGAATTTGAAGACGCTATTTGAAGATGTAATCTTCGATCGAACATAATATTTGCAAACTAGACTCGATGAGACAAGTTTGTGGATCGCTGAACTCAATAAGTTAGAAACAAGACATACATGTGGAAATGTATTATTTGATGGTTGCCGACTTGAACTAGTGCTTGCCCCACACGTCTCTCCAAACAAAATTACTACTAGTCAAAAAAAAAAACAAAAAAGTTTACTACTAATCACTCAATCACATATAACAGAAAGTATAAAAGTAGCTATTCCTAATATAACAAACACTACTCAAATTACTAATGAAACTACAAAATAAATTTAACAAATAATAAAGTAAAAACAAGAAATAAAAACCACGAAGTGTGTACGTGTATGCATCTGGGCCACAATATGTACTTCATCTGAAACTAAAACTCCTTCCAGACAGCCTCAAGACCCATCCATGGCGATCGCACAACTACAGCCATTTCTGGCCGATCTGTCCCTCCCAAAGGCTCCCACTTTCTCACAATTCCAAAACCCCCAGAGAAAACCCAAATCCCAACATCCTATCCGAACATCGAACCAAAATAATCTTCGAAAGTTAAGGGCAATTACAGAAGATTTTAGGGCTGCAGGAGGAGAGGATAAGATTGTAATCGAAGAAGACGAGTCCGTACAGAATGACGTGGCGAGCTACGATTGGACCGAAGAGTGGTATCCACTCTACCTGACCGAGAACGTGCCCGACGATGCCCCGCTCGGCCTCACCGTTTTCGACAAACAGATCGTGCTGTACAGAGATGGCTCTGGCGAGCTTAGGTGTCACGAAGATCGATGCCCCCACAGGTCAGATTCTTAATTTCTTCGATATCGTGGGTTTTCTCGAAATCCCAATTCTTGAAATGGATTTTCTTGATTTCAGGCTTGCGAAGCTTTCTGAGGGCCAATTGTTCGAAGGAAGATTAGAATGTTTGTACCACGGCTGGCAATTCGAGGGATCTGGAAAATGTGTAAAAATCCCACAGGTTTGTTCTTTCGATACGTACGAGTAGAGCTGTTAACTTAGTAGAGCCGAATTTTAACTGTTCATATTCGTTCATTAACATTCGCTTTATCGCCACGCTTTTGAGCTCGTTAGTAGCGTACGAGGGTTCGAGTTTGGTTAGCAAAGAATTTTTAATTGTTTGAGTGAGTATTCAGCTAGTTATTCGTTCGATTTCGTTTTTTCTCACGTTTTTTTTAAATTTATATATAATTAAAAAGAAAATTTTAAATTATTTTATGTATTTATTATAAATTTATAAATTTATATATATAATATTTATACTAAATACTCACATCATCCGGCTCTAAATGTTATATTTACTTTTTGCGTCAGCATAGTTAATATTAAAATATTTTTATATTTGTGTAACTTTTTAAAGAAATGTCATTATAATGATATTATATTTGTATTACGTTTTTATATAATAATTAATGCTCCCTCTGTCCCATAAAGAAATATCCATTTATTTTTTGCACGTAATTTTAAAAATATTAGTATTATATTGAGATATAGTATGAATAAAATAGAAATGACTAAAATAATCTTATTAATATGTGTGATATATAATATATTGTAAGTGGTAAGAGTATTTGTAATATTAAGTAGACAGTACAGTTACTAAAAAAAAATGAAATGAATATTTTGTTATGAGACGGACTAAAATGAAAAAATGGATACTTTGTTATGGGACGGAGGAAGTATTTAAATATCTAATAGTCAAAAAGTAAATGAGATGTTAGAGTCGGACGAATGTAGTATATTATTTTAACGAATGTTCGAGCCTGTTTATACTATTTAGCTCGATTCGTTAACATTTGCAAATGAGTTTTAACCGAACCGAATTGATTCGAATCCAACCGAGTCGAGTTCACGAACGACTCTATTCGTTTAAGAGCTCAAAACACGAGTTTTAGTTGTACTAAGATTCTCTAAGATTCCTTAACTTACGCTAACTAAAATCCCACAGCTTCCGACAGGTGCGAAGATCCCAAAATCAGCTTGTCTAAAAACATACGAGATTCGAGAATCTCAAGGGGTAGTTTGGATTTGGATGTCTCACAAAACCCCTCCAAATCTCGACAAACTTCCATGGTTCGAAAACTTGGATCGACCAGGCTGTCGAGACGTTTCTACAATCCACGAACTCCCCTACGACCATTCCATCCTTTTAGAAAACCTCATGGATCCCGCCCACGTCCCGATTTCGCATGATCGAACCGATTTCACGGCAAAAAGAGAAGAAGCCGGCGCTCTGTTCTTCGAAGTTACCGAAAGAACTAACCGCGGCTTCGCCGGCATTTGGGGCCGCGAAAAAGACAAGTCGACGCCGAACTATTCCCCTAACTTTTTACGTTTCGAAGCGCCATGCATTCTCCAAAACAATCGCGAAATTGTCGACAAAAATTATGAGAAAAACTATTTTTCCGGATTGTTCCTTTGCCGCCCCTCCGGACAGGGGAAGTCGATGCTCATCGTAAGGTTCGCGTCTACGGCAAAGCCACCGTTGATTGTGAAGATGCTCCCGAATTGGTTCTTGCACCAGAATTCAAGCAAAGTTTTCGAGCAAGACATGGGGTTCCTATCTTCGCAAAACGAGATTTTGATTAAGGAAAAAATGGCGACGAAAAGGCTTTACATTAATCTTAGTTCGTCGGACGTTTGGGTCGCCGAGTATCGGAAATGGATGGACAAAGTTGGGCACGGAATGCCGTACCATTTCGGGCACGCCACGGTTTCTCCGCCGCTAATTCCGGCGGTTTTCGAGCACGCTCCCGCCGGGTTCGTCGCCAGCCTGGCTGCTTCGCAGCCGGCTAAGGGCGGGAGCGGCGCAATGCACGTGCCGAATCCGGCGAATAGATACTTCCGGCACGTGATCCATTGTAAGGAATGTTCGCGAGTTGTGAAAGGTTTTGGGGTTTGGAGAAATGCTCTCTCCGCCGCCGCTGTTATCTCGACGGCGGTGGCAATTCTAATCGCCGGTAGGCAGTGGAAGAGCCTATTCCTCCTTACAACCGCCGTATGCTCCGCCGGAATATTCCTTTGCTCGACTGCCATTGCTATGAACACTACGAACTTCATCAGGACACATCGAAGGTTGTAATTATACATATATATATATATATATAAATATATGTATAATGTATCTATAGCATTAAATCTGCTATATTTCTGCAGTCAAATTAATTAAATTTGTGTGTTAGATCTTGATGAATTTATGATGTCCAACTCCCACCCACCACAATTCTTGCAGTTCGATTCTTTACCAAATATTAAAACTTTTGTGAAGCTGCCAAAAATAAATGCAGATTTGCAGAATCTATACATTACATTGCTAAGATCGATCGATTATCACATCCATTCCTGCCAACATCATAAATGGGATTCTTGAGGTTCCATGTCCTGTTTCTCCTCGTATTCTTCGAATCTTTTCTTCCGTTGTTTTCCTCTTCCTCCCTTCTTTCTTTCGGGTTTTATTCAGACACTTGCCCGGCTGCGGAGACAATGGTGAAAGAAACGGTAAGATCAGCTGCGGCCTTGGATCCAACCGTTCCCGGGAAGCTCCTCCGCTTGCTTTTCCACGACTGCTTTGTCGAGGTTGTCGTCTTTTTCAAGTTTCTTGTAATGATTTTGATCCTCGTTTACCTCTGATCATGTAATGTCGACAGGGCTGCGATGCTTCGATACTATTACAAGGGAATGGAACAGAACGTGGCGATCCGGCGAATAAGTCGCTGGGAGGATTTTCAGTGATCGACTCGGCTAAAAGACTGCTCGAAATCTTCTGCCCGAGGACAGTCTCTTGCGCGGACATTCTTGCATTGGCTGCAAGAGATGCAGTCGAATTCGTAATTAAAAATTCTTACACACCATTGTCGTCTTCATTAATTAGTTCGATTGTTGTCTTTGTAACGAACTCATTTATTAGTTGTTCGTCATTGCAGTCGGGAGGGCCGAATGTTCAGATTCCGACAGGAAGGAGAGACGGCAATATTTCGTTGGCGGCGAATGTCCGGCCCAACATTGTCGACACGAGCTTCACATTGGAGGAGATGGTGAAGATCTTCTCTTCCAAGGGGTTATCCATGGAGGATCTTGTTACACTCTCAGGTTCGAATTTTTGATTTCTTGTTTGGTCTGAGAATCGAAAGATCGATGAAGGAGTAAATGTGCTACCTAGTTCAACATCTTTAGTCGCCCTTTAGATTGCAGCATTTAAGACATCAACGACCTCTTTGTGTGAGTAATCAAGGATGTCATAAAATCAATTAATAAGATATGTGTACTCCCACTCTTGATTGATTTTATTATCTTTTAATTTAATAAATCATAATTTTATTATTTTTATTTATCTTACTATTTCTTTTTTAAAATAATTCTAATTTTTCATAATATGCTAACTTTTTTTAAAAAAACTTTATTAATGTCTCCCATTCTTGATTTTATTATCTTTTAATTTAATAAATAATAATCTTTTTTATTTTTATATTTATCTTACTATTTCTTTTTTTTTTAATAATTCTAATTTTTCATAATATGCTATTTTTTTAATTTTTTTTAACTTTATTAATGTATCTCGAACAGATATAGTATTATACTTTCTCCGTCCACCGCCAATCTATCCATTTTATCATTTTAGTATATCCATCGCAAATGTATCTATTTTTTATTTTAATAAATGTATCTCCCACTAAAATATAAAATTACCTCACCATTTATATAATAGTACACAAATGTCATCAAATAACACCACTTAATACCATACCATAAATGTTAAGGGATATAATAGTCTTTATGTATATCAATTGTACAACATATTAATATAATACTAAGTGAGTATAATACTTCCTCCGTTCTCGTCTAACGGTCACATTTATTTTTTTGCTTCATTGTACATAACATTAAAAATATTCTTATATTTATATAATTTTGTTCAAATGTCCTATTAGTATTATAAGATGAAGTATTTTTACATTTTTTTTAAAAATTTATACTGCGTTTTAATATAATTATTAATATTTAAATATCAATATGAAATCGTTAGAGTCGCGCGAAAGTAGTACTATTTTGTGGTAACATATAGTATCTGCAGAGATTAAAGTAGTACTATAAGTTCATATGCTATAAATTTATAATTTTAACACATTTTGTGTGCTATCTATTTATTTGTTATGTATTATCCGTACGCATGCAATGTGCTATAAATAGGGTGTCAATTAGCATTGTAATAGCCGTCGATCTCTAATCCAATGCTTTTAAATAAAAAATTGAATACTTAATTAATTTCATAATTTAAAAAATGTATATATATATGGTGCTAGGGATATAATATTATTCGTATTAAAAAATATATATTTGATTTGATAATTTAAAAAAAATATATATATAGAGTGCAAGACAAAAACCAGACCTTAAAATAAACAAATCCTTTTGGTTCCGCAGGAGCTCACACGATCGGCACGGCTCATTGCAGCGCATTCGACGCAAGGTTCAAAGTCGACTCGAACGGAAGCCTTATGTTCATCGATTCATCTTTGGATCGACAATATGCAGCCTATCTAACAAAAATGTGCCCTCCGAGTGCTGCTATCGGCGATTCGATGACTGTTAGTAATGACCCCGCCACGCCATTTCTATTCGACAATCAGTACTATAAAGCTTTGCTGGATCACAAGGGGCTGTTCCAGTCCGACTCTGCTCTGCTGAACGACGCCCGGATGAAGAATCGGGTGCTCGAATTTGCCGGGAATCCTGACAGGTTCTTTGAGAGCTGGGCTGTGTCCTTTACAAGACTTACCAGCATTGGCGTAAAGACCGACAATCACGGCGAAATTCGACAATTTTGTACCACGACTAATGACTGAGACTTAGAGTTGGGATGAATTAATCTTGTTTAACTTAGGATTAGGGTGTGTTTCTTTTGATGAATTTGAAAAAAAATTGGTTTGAATTTGGTATGAAAATAATGTTTAATGAGATGTTTTGTGAGTTAAAATTGAAGAAAATTCGACTAAAGAATTGCACTGTTAAGTACTAATAGAAAAAATATTTTTTTATAGTATTATTTGAAGGATATGTAAAATTGAGTTTTTAGAATAAGCTAAAAAATAATTCAACCAATTTGGCAATTTTTGCTATTTTTGCCAAACATAAAAAGTACTCTACTTGGAGTCTTAAAGGGCCGGGCCGGGCCGAGATACAAAATAGAATACTTGTGTCGTTTGATTCGCTTCGTCCTCTGATTTTACTTCGGCGAAGCTGTCGATCGCCGATCGCCGTTCCGCCTATAGTTGTTGGCGGAGTTATTGTTAACGTCGCCAATTAGTGTTTCCGATTGAAGGACTAAGGTTGTCGGCTACAAGTTGTTGCTTCCCGCCGTCGTGCCCTAATCTCGCGGTAATTATTTCCTTGGATCCTGGCTTCTTTTATTAGTTGTAATTCACCAATTCTGGTTTAGTGTCCTAATTAGTAGTAAAATTACAAGTTTTGGTGGTGGATTGAAATTCCAGTCCTGAATGATTGACTGCTTAGATTAATAAGTGTTAAAATTGAACTCGCTGCGTATGAGTTATGAAAAACCTGCCGGTAATTTATTGAAAATTAATCTCTTGGAAGTCGGAAATGGATTCAGCGTTGCTTCAAGTCTCATTAGCACAAATTAATCGCTGCGTATGACTGTGGATTTGCTTTCACCTTTTGGGATGTGGTTTTTGCAGTTTTATTCAATATGATATGAATCTTGTGCACGAGTTTCAGATTGTAAGTTCTGATATTCTGGAAGAAAATCGCCTTTAATAGTAATAATATAAGATTTTGATGATTAAGAATTCCATGGTTGTTTGATTCTGTGATTCATGATACTGCAGGTTTGTCTTTTAAGTTTGGATTCGAAGCAAATGTAGTGAAATGTTTGACATTTAAGAGTTTCTTTATGATCTTATTCATTCTTGTTCTTACATTTAGAGCATATTTTCTTCCAATGATTTGATATGGAGAAGCATTACTTTTTGTTACAGATTTGAAAATGGCAGACCCCAATCAGAAAGAGCAGACTATTGAGGCAAAGTTGGAGGACAAGTATGAAGCTCCAATGCCGAGTGAAACAAGATCAGGTAAGAGAACAAGTCTGAAGATGGATGCAAATTTATTATTTTACATTTGATTTTGTGCATTTACTTGTGTTTAAACAAATTTTAAATTGTGTAAATAGTTGTGTACTGTTTATAAATCTCGGAAATTATATTTCGAATCACTAGGACAATGCATGCATCACTTGTCAAGCAATTTTTGATTTTTTAGGTGAAAAATTATGACTATATCTCTATGGATCAACTAAAAAAATTAGGAGAAACAATATCTTATAAACCTTGTGTACAGAGCACAAATTGTTGTTTCTTTTTTATATATACGGATGTATATATATATATATATATATTACTCGCCACAGAAAGTTTTGCTACAAAGTTAGCTACGGGAAAAGATCTGTGTCGATTCTTTGTGGCAAATTATGTGATAAGAAAGCTTACAGTGCTATGCTACTTATTATTCTTGTTGGATGAATATAAATATATTTCTCCATTTTAGTCGAATTATTTTATGAATTATGATGGCCGTGCATATATATATATATATATTGATTCATCGTTTTTCATATTATGAACGGTTAGCAGAAGCTGAGAAAAGCCAAGCTTCTACAGAGAGGCTTCATATGCAGACCTTTGATATAAGCTCTCTCCAGCCGATCAGCCATGAGATCTTGGCTCGTGACAAGGCCAGGGTCCATTACATCCAAGAGAAGTCCAAACTCGAATCCATTACCAAGAAAATACCGGACATGAATGAAGGAGATGGTCAAGGGGGTAGCAACACACAGTAGAGGAAGACCTTGGAGGAGGTGTATGACTATGCTTGAGCAAATGTGGGAGGCGGTCGATGATTTTAGTATCTACCGGATCAGGACAACAGCACCCGCGCCTCCCCGGTCGAGCCCGGCGACCTCTTTGTGTGCACTATGTTGTCTGATTCTTGAACAATGCAATGAGGTACTTTTGTGACTTATGGATTATGGTTGTTGTGTTCAATAATTGTGTGTGCATAAATTTTATCTCCATTTTCACCCTTTTAAGTTTTTTGAGTTTTGGAATTTTGAAAACTTAAATATAAGGAAATGATGAGTATTTGATACTCCTTTTCTTCATTTTAAAAACAATATGAATTTAGAAAGAATATAATTAGTAAATAATTAAAAAATTATATATTAATAAGAATAATTATTGTAAAATTGAAAATTTATAAGGTATGAAAATAATTAATTGATTTAGTACTTTTGAATCTATAATTTTATAGTCATGAGTATCCACTAAATTATTTCTGCCACTAAATTATTTCTAGTAGCCACTCTTTTGAGTGGCTATTCTTTTGTACATTTTTTTGAACTTTTATAGTTGTATAATAAAATATACAAATGTTTTTAAAATTTTTTTGATTTATTTGCGAAAAAAAATTTCAAAAATCTCATAATGTAATTGTAATTAACCAATCATGGCACAACAATTGAATAAATGGCAAAAGTTCCTTTAATACTTATTATTTTTTTTTTTCAGAATTTATGAATATTATATTTTAATAATAGTTAGGTGTGTATTTTTATAATAAACACTGTTAATATGTAAATTAATACTCCTCTCTCTCTTAACAATCTATTTATTTTTTTCATTTTCGTCTTTTTTAGTAACTGTAGTATCAATTAACATTTCAAATGCCTTTTCAATTTACAATATATTATACAAATGTCATTACTTTTATATCATACAATACTAATAAAGGCAATTTAATCTTTTTATTTTTATTTCTACTTTATCCAAATATAATACTAATATTTTTAAAATTCCATACAAAAAGTAAATAGATATATAAATATGTGACGGAGGGAGTATAATGAATATTAAAATCTTTATCATATTTAGAAAAAAAAACACACCCTTTGTCTTGGACATATTATCCTTGCCAAAAGCCAGTCTTGCCTGCAAAGAACGGCGTTATGGTTGTATAATATGGTCAACTAAGTCAACATCTGTTAAGGTCCCACAAATATATTGAAGAATCGAATTGTGTATTGAGCTCGATTAAACTTATTAATTCATTTCTGTTACTATGTAAATTTAATAATATGTTAAAAATAAAACAAAATTGTTAAACCATAATATAAACATATATTAATCATTCATCTGTCTATCACGAAAATATAAAATACATAAAATGACTAATATTCGTGTGTATATACATATATATATATATATAAATTCCGCTCTACCAGTATTTTTAAATAAATTAATCTTTATCTTAACAAATACTTATGTTCATTCGTCCACAACCACAAAGTAAACATTTATTTTTGACACAGTATTTAGGAAATAATAATATTTTAATTATAATAGACGGTTAAATGTAATTTAGTGATATTTTTGCTTTTACTTTTTTGGTGTAAAAGTAATGATGTCATGTAAAATAAAAATATTTGTGAAAAAAATTAAGTATTTAATGAAATATTTAGTTTATTGAACGTTCCAAAATAGTATACTTTCTGACCGGACGGAAAGAGTATATTGGATGAATTTTCGGGCCCGGAATGCTACCCCTTGCCCTAATGTAAATCCACTCATAGTTGTCTATAATGTAGGTATTGAATAGACACGAGTCCAAATCATCTAACTTTTGAAGTATTGAGTTAACACCACCCTCTTATCGAGTTGTGGTGTAAGGTCTTTCTTTCAAACCCAAGATGGCGACGGTCAACGACGACTCAAAACTCTCTCCATATCTATATCTATAACAATGATATCATGAAAAGATTGCCAAAACACAAACCCCTGTATTCAGATTTTGAGTAGTGATGAACATGGCGAGTTCCAAAGTGTTGTTCATCATCAAATCCAAGTCCAAACTCCAATTCCAATTCCTAATCCTTCATTCTTGCCTCTTATTATCACTATCATACACCACCAACAATGGCTTCCACTCCATAGATCTCGAATCTCTCTCTCACTCCTCCTCCTGCAACCACCACCCCTCCACCGGAAAACCATCAAAACCACCCACACCATCCACCATCCAAGTCTACACCCCCTGCCCTCCCCTCCCCCTTACCGCCGACGACGCCCGCGTCCGCTCGATCCAAGCCAAGGTCCGCCGTGCCACCACCTCCGACGCCTTCAACGACGTCAAAGCCACCCTCCCCGCCCACCTCGGCATCGGCAATTACGCCGTCACCGTCAGCCTGGGGACACCCCCCAAGTCCCTATCCCTCAATTTCGACACCGGCAGCGACCTCACATGGACGCAATGCCAGCCCTGTTCCGGATCATGCTACCCGCAAGACGATCCGATATTCGACCCCTCCTCCTCGACTACATATTCCAAAATACAATGCGCCGCGCCGCAATGCTCCACACTCCGATTATCCCCCGGCGTTTTTGCGACGTGCGCCGTCACCGACTGCAACTATAGGCTGCAGTACGGCGACCGGTCCACCTCGGCCGGGGAGTTCAGTAAAGACACACTCACTCTGACACCAGATGATACCGTCCCCGACTTCCTGTTCGGGTGCGGCCAAGAAAACCGCGGCTTGTTTGTCAAGAGCGCCGGATTGTTAGGCCTCGGTCGAGATGCTATCTCGATCGTGTCCCAAACGGAGAAGAAATACGGCAAATACTTCTCGTACTGCCTTCCGTCGACGCCATCCTCAACCGGGCACTTGACCTTCGGGAAAACGGGTTCGCCGTCGTCCGGTGTGGCATTCGCCCCTTTCGCTAACTCACGCGGGACATCGTTCTACTTCCTCGACATCACCGGGATTAGCGTAGCAGGGCAGGAACTATCGATCGACCGGACAATCTTCACGACTGCCGGAAATTTGATAGATTCCGGCACGGTGATCACGCGCCTCCCTGCTACAGCTTACGGCGCGCTGAGTCAAGCATTCCAGGAGGGGATGACAAGTTATCCGCGCGCACCGCCTACAACTTTACTGGACACTTGCTACGACTTGAGCAATTTTACAACGGTCACACTTCCTCGGATAGCCTTCACCTTTGCAGGCAATCTGAAGGTAAATTTAGATTTCTACCAGATGCTATCTATCCATAGTATACAGCAGGTGTGCCTTGCTTTCGCAGCGAATCAAAACGACCAAGACGTGGGGATCTTCGGCAACATCCAGCAGAGGGGGTTGGAGGTGGTGTACGATGTTGCCGGAGGGAATATCGGGTTAGGCCCGGGAGGATGCTAGGCGATCAATGTGTCTAAGACACACCGGACCGGAGAATCTAATGTTCGAATTTGAGGTTGCAAAGAAACAAGAACGGAGATATGTCTAACTATTGCAATGATCAAAGTATGAATGAATTACTGAGTCACATCCCAACTTCAAGTTCATCTATATTCGCACAAACATAAAGATAAACATCAAAATGCGCAGCCCAAAAAGTTCATTTGAAAGATTCAAGAATACATACAAAACACACTTGATGTGAATATAATACAAGCAAATTGATGTTATAATAGGTTTAAAAATAAAACAATCCAAGGAAAAATGATAACAATCAAAAGAGGACAACTAAAAATCCTATTCCAGATCAACCCAAAGAGCTGAAAATCAGAAATTTGCAAAAATGGGTAACAACATATGGTTTTCAATCATTCATCATGTACATAATGGATTACAGTTCAGATATAGATATACTATTGTTCTTTCTCTTCGAGCCACATTCCAAGAACTCTATTCCAAGAACAAGACACTTGAGTACATGTCCGTACAATCACTAAAGAATCGAAAAACCTAATTAGGGGTGGTGTGGAAAAAAAGAAATCTTAATCAATCCAACGCTAAAATCCATAAAAGCAATCAATTATATATATCCCTTTGTGCAGTCTCTACTCACAAGTCACAACCAAACACCAATAACAAACAAATTTGCTCACGATTCAAGAAAATAAACGATCCCCACATACATACAGCTTTAAATTTTAATTTACAGGAAGCCCATCACTGTGATAAATGCATGCAAATGTTGACTCTCCTTTCCACTTACAATCTCCCATCAAGAAATGACATCCACCTTTTACATAGTAAAATGTACCCTTAGTACTAACCATTGAATAATCCAAAGTTAGGCACTGATAAAGTATGTTGGAAATTAGATGGTGCAAAACAAAACCAAACCGACATAATTGTCTAGAGTGACATCATCAAGAAGACAAATTTGAATGCCAAAACAGAGGATCAAGAAATAAATTTACAGATCAAAGAGGAATTAGTAGAGAGAGCATCATAATGTCTATTTTCAGCAGCAAGTGGATCCTGAAAATGGCAGAATTGAATGCCCAATCGTAGAGGGCCATAACGTCTACTGACAATTCTACAGTCTAACATCAACAATATCTTGTCGTTTGGAGCAACACAACATCAATTTTCATGGCTAGTTAAACTAACATAGAAGTTTAGCAAAGGGTTGTCCTGATCTTGAATTTTGTAAGAACTTGATTACAATCACCATTTATATATTTGAAAATATATATAGATTTATCATATGCATTGAGAATTGACAACTGATATAATCTACAAACATCACATACTCATTCGATAGAGGAATTCATTGTTATGAAATTAACCACAGTAATGAAAATTGAAAATATGTAAATACCTTGAAGCGCCATTAATCTTCCTCTGTTTCTGTATCGCCGCCGCTGCTCATCGGTAAAACTTTACTCGTCGGAGTGGCGCTGTCAACAAACGTCGCCGAACTCATCTCCATTTGGCAAATCCTAACAGCACCGAATATCTTTTCCGGTAACTCTTCCTCCTTCTGCGCCTCCACCAGAAACCCCATGTCAACCGTCACGGCGGTTACAGAACCTAAAGCCAGCCGCAAAATCGCGCTGGCTATAGCCGAGCTACCGATATCGACATCAATTTCCAAATAATTTGGCCCCCGATGGTAGTAGCAATTCAGCGCCTTCCCTAACAAACACGCGGAGTAATTCCCCACCGCAGTTCTCAAAATCCACGGTCCTTTAACGATTTTGCTCACGATTTTGAATCGACTGCTGCGGAAAGCATCCGAATCATTGATGAACTCATGGAGCAAAGGATTTGAGTTAATCGGTTGGTCGATTTTGCTAGAGAAGTAGAATACCGCCGAATAATGGTCGCGTCCGGGAACTTGAAGATTCACAGCAACAATAAAAGTTTTCGACGACTTCTCACGATTCTCCGAGGCACGTAATGCGTTCATAACACGATTATCAGGTCGCGCGAGAACGTGATCGAGCTTAGCGTTGGATCTAAGCCAATCAACTCCAGCAGGATTCAATAACCACTCACCGGCAGGGTTTTTCACTTTTCTGGAGAAGTAATTCGGTCCGCGGAGGAGGAACAATTCACCAGGCGGCGACGCCCAACCATTGGATCCTGTATGGAGGTCCACTTGCTTCAATGATCCACCGTTAATTGCCTCCTCTCGCCAGTCTTCCGCCGAGTTCGTGCGGTTGTTACAGTTCTGATGGAGGTGACTCTTTTTGTGCTTCGTCGGGCACATTTCCGGCGGCGGTGGAAACTCTCTCGAGAAGGAAGCTCCGCCGTGAGATGACACGCCGGCAAAACTGGACACTGCCAAAAAATTATTCAACTTTGGGGTCAAAATTTGAAGGACAGTTGGGCGTGGGCAGACTCTGAAATTACCTGAAAACCCTCATAGTTTCGTAAATTAATATTGAACCATTTATGCATTTAATTCCTCCTCAATCCTCATCGATAATTAATTACAACGTGCGGGTGGTAATTAGCATTTATTGAGAAAGTTCAACATATTAGCAAGGTAAATGTATATTTACCTAAATAAATCAATAAATAAATTATATCATATAGTAATTTCTTTAACGTATTGATGGCAAGTATATTTAAGTAGGGTTACTTTAGTAATTTCAGAAAATCACACTGCCCATCCTACCTGCTATTTTTATTCATTGACCAATGCCACGTTGCACACATTTCTTGCCTTTCACATCGATGGATTTATTTTACTCCTCCTCACGTTCGCAATTTTTCATTTTCGTCTTATTCGAAACAAGGTTACTATTTCCTAATTTAATAATTCACTATCTACCTAATGTAATAAATATCCTTTCAACTTACACTATATTACACAAATATTATTATTTTTATATTATACAATACTAATAGGGGTATTTTTATTTTTTTCACTACAATCCATTATAATACTAATATTCAAAAATTTACGCGCAAAAAGCAAATACCACCCTTATTCCGGGACAGAGGGAGTATTTTATTTTTTTTTATATATTGTATGAAAAATTGGATTAGTAATATAAAAAGTATTACCTCCGTCCCACATATCGTGTCTGCTACACTGTAGACACGGTACTTTAGGAGGAATTTAACTAGTAGATAACTAAGAATGTATTAGTGAAAATAATTATTCTAAATATAAATAATTATAAATTAAAATTGAGATAACTAATTAGTTTAATTAAAATTTTAAAAAAATTAAAAAGTTTATAATGAGATTAAAGTGTGTAATATTTTTTTTAAAAAAAATGACATGGTATATGAAACGGATAGAAACAATAACGTGGATATAGTACGTGAGACGGAGGGAGTAATAATATATATATAACTCGTTAAATTTTTTTTTAAGCATGTATATATATATATACTATTGTGTAGGCTCTTAGAGGTGACAATTTGGGTTCACTTTTTTTGGAACCGAACTAGCCTGGTCCATTTCAAATTTGAGTAGGCCTGAAAACACAGGTTGCAGTTCAAACCATACTGGGCCAGCTCACTTCATTTTTTTTTTTAATTAATAATTAAGAAATTAAATCTTAAATATATAATTAATTTTTATTTTGTTATATATTTATCAATATACTTAAAAATTATTTAAACGTAATTTATTTATTTTGTATTCTATATGATAATCCTTTTACTATCTAAATAGAATCTGAAACCTTTTCCTATTTGTATAAAAAAGAGAAGAAATAGGATCAGTGCCTCATAATTTTTTCATTAGTTGATACGGGGCAAAGATATTTGTACAGTTTGTGAGCTCTTGAAAAGCCGCTAAAACAGAAACACGCTTTCCTCATTTTGAGAAATGCGATTTTTCCATTGAGTCACATGACGCGGGTACAATGTTCAACAAGATCATTTGGCATCAATGGCAGGTTAATTGATCAATCAAAAGGAAGAAACAAGCAATGCAATGAAATCTGTTAGAAAAAACTAAAACGACACAACAGCCAATTATCATGTAATAAATCATAAAAAAAATAAAATAATGTACACAAGAATTCGATGAAGATTGGGAGAGTTCATCTACCTGCAAAGAGTCGAACAATAGCTCTCCAGCCACGACGACGCAGATTTCAGAACACGAAGCTCGCCGCTAAGGAGATCTCGGGCTAATCGTCTCCTTAAAAGGTAGGGAGGAGCATCCATCAGAGGTTCGACGTATTTGCTATGCACTTCGATCAATCGTTGTATTTCCGACAGCAAAAATTGATGCGCGGAAACCTCCCGGTTCTTGTCCCCTAAAGGATGCCGAGCCAATCGACCATCACATTTTGCAGCTTGTCGCGCTAAAACAATCAATTCTTCCTCTGAATCACAAGTCATCACCCGAGCAAATGCTCGCAGTGATTGCGGGATTCCCTTCCCCTTTTTACTTCCACGTCGCACTTCCTTGATCGTGAAAGAATTCAATAAACCCGAAAACTCATTGACATCGTTAGGAGTACGCGTACGATGATTATCAAGAAGTTCCAACTTCTGCGCATACAATGCATCATGCTCGGGTATGGTAAGCTCGAGCCGGGCCTGATCATACTTGTTGCAGGAAACCGTAAAACCAAAATCGAGCAGTAGAGTAGCGTTGGAGAATTTCCCGTATCTTATCATGACCTCGTCGCCACGAGCAATTTCTTGATCAGCTATAACCTCCGAATGCAGTTTGCTTTCATTACTCAAAACATAAGCCTCTGAATCACCATCGTGATTAAGAAAATCCGCAAACGGGATCAGCGACACACCCTTAGAGCTTTCCCACGCACGCGACGTAACTAAACCGTATGCGTAGCTGAACTCCTCAATCGTCATGGTTTTAAACAGATCAGGGACCTGATCAACAGCCTGCTTTACATTCTTGAAATTATTTTCGATTTCAGCCTTTTGCCGGAGAGTTTCTTTGTACAGAGCACTCGGTCGAATCATCTCCAGTTCATCGTCACTCCAGAATATTGTGCTGTGCAGATCATTGCGACGAGGAAGACGACTTATGTAAGGTGCCCATTCGGAACTTCGCCCCAACCTTTTTTCCTGCAGAATTAGTATAGCAACTTTTGCTACATTGCCGATTTCATCTCCTAACAAAGATGCCACTTCGGATCGGAGATTTTCGGGGCTTAGCTGCACAGTATAGGGCACCTTCAACAAGCATTCTCCTGGTTGTATTTGCTTGGAAGCATGTAATGTCCTTCCATGGCAGGATTTTCCAATTGAGAGTACAGAGGAAATTTCTGACCCAGCCTTGTGCTCCAGCCATGGGAGAAAATCTATGCAATCTTCATCCAAGGATTTGAGCGAAGAAACTGAATTGAGCTGGTCAGATGATACAGACGAACAATAGAACAAAGCAGAGAGAATTGGCTTTCGAATCGGCGCCCACCATCTGTTCGCTGAAATGCCAGAGTGAAGAAGCATATCTCCCCTTCCCTGCACGACGAAAAATCATGGATACAAGCAAAGCGTAGAGCGATTCAAGGTTATTGTGGAATGAAATGATGAATCGACAGCTTGGAAAAATGGCAGAATCGAACAATTTATAGGTAAGGATTGTGGAAACTCTTCGATCCGTTTTTACCTCTTTTTTAGGGTTTTTTTTGTTTCGTCTCTCTGCTACTGCTTCTTCGTCCTCAGAGGATTCTTCTCAGTTGCTAATCTGTAAATCAAGTAACCCTAGCAGAAGAACAGAAATCAAAATCGCATTCAAACAGAGATCCAAATTCGGGCAAACGAAAGGCGTATGTATTCGCGACTGACCAGAGCGACGACGTGGGCGACGATGAGAATGACGACCCAGAGAGGCATCAGCTCAATAACCCACTGCAGAATCGACGCAGGTGGAGAAATCGCCATGGCTGTCTTCCTCCCAAGCTCGAAATCATATAACTGTTCGACGGTTTTCAGATTTGTTCAGTTCCCCACTCTGCCCTTTTACCCCAATTTTATTTACAATCCAGCCCCCCAATCTCTCAATATTTTCATTTCAGTCCAATCCATTAAAACCCTAACTCCATGGCCATCTTCTTCAACAACGTTTAATTCTGAATCACAGAGCGCTTTGGGGATTTCCTTGAATTGAACAAATACAGAAAATGAAAACTAAAGGCGATCAAACACAGATAAAAAAATTTAACGTTGAGGTAAAAGGTAAAATCAGTAATGGCGATTCTTAGTGGGCTCCATTGACGTCGACAAAAGAAGGTGGAAGGTGGACCCCGAAACAATCAATGGTAGTTCCGAGGTCCAGGACCTCGATCCAGAGCTGCAGCTCCAGCTGCAGCTGCATTCCCGAGGACTGTAAAGTGTAGTGGTGAAAGAAGACCAATTTCAGTTTCAGACAATCGATCATGATGCAGAATTCAGATTCAACCTGGAAGTCCCATGGGGAACTGAAATCCATTGTCAGCCATTTTTGAAGAGCAGCAGCAGCAGCAGCAGTAGTCGTGTCGCCGCGATGCGATGCCTTTTTCTTACATGGGATCCGATGTTCAGTGCTTCACACGTAGATGTTCAACCACTGCTACCCACCAATCGTCTTCCCCCACCTTCCTCCCCATTACTGAACTCCATTTGCGTTACGTCACCCCTCTCTCTCTGTCTCTATCTCATTCATGATTCAGACTTCCATTGCCAGATATGCATCATCAGGTGAAAATTCGCAGTCTTGAAGCTTATCAGAAATTATCAAATTAATGTGTTTTCAGACATTATTTTCCGGCCGGTGACTGCTTCTCCGGCGGATCGGAAATTTACGAAGATTTGCATATCTGTGATAATACTAATTAATTAATCACGAAGAACATATGCTTTCATCATTTTCTTTACTTTGTTCTCTCCAAAAAGCCATTTTAGTGCTTTGTGACGATAGGGTTCTTTATTTTATTGTGATTTTTTTTTTTTTGGGAAATAATTAGTCACAATTTCAAGAATTGTTTTTTTTTTTTTTTTTTGGTCTGAAACTAAAATGCATGGAGTCTAAAAGCTATTCGATATTTCGATTTATCTCAGAAGCAAATTTACATTATCCCGGATCACAAAATTGGACAAAATCATATATCAAAACCGACCAAAATTTATGCTGCAAATTGGAGTTCTTCTTCTTCTTTCAATGGATTTATTTAATTGGTTTATTGAGCAGGAGATTCCTCATTATCCGACGTCGTTTCGTCTCTCTTCTTCAGGGTTTCTTCCTTGTCGTCTGTAATTTTTTCACTACTTTCCTTTTCTTCATTAAAAGAAGAGTTTTTGCTCGTCATCGGGGTAGCTAAGAAAGTAGGCTTCACTTCACCTGCCATGATCACCAGAATCTTCTCCTCGAACACCGGCGTCGCCTTGGCGTCTCCGCCGCTCTCCCCTTTCTCCGCCGCGCCGCTCTCCATATCGCTTCTCCGATCGTCGTCGTCTCCGCCGCCGCCGACGGAGCGCCTCCAGTACGAGCAGGCGAGGACGAGGAGAGCGAATGCTATTAACCCCAGCATCGCCGCCAGGCCGCCGAACAGGTACGGCACCGGCGAGTGCCACGGCGAGCGGTGGACCGCCGCCGCAGCCGGCGGCGCGAACGTCGCTTTTGCGACGGTGGTGGCTCCGACAGCAGTCATTCTCGACACGGAATTGATCGACGATCTCGGGCCGGTTCTCATTTGATCAAAATTAGGGTTTGATTGCAATTCAGGAATTGGAAAAATTTGGAAATGGTGATTTGGGAATCGAGCTGTGAAGAACTAAGGAAGATATCGAACTCTGAAGAATCTGTAAATGGAAGTGCTGAATAGCGCAGAAGAGTGTCGACGAACATTTATAGACGAAACGACGTCCGTTTGGGCCCACCCACCAATGTTCTTTTAACATGCACCCAGATGCATCCACACCGTTTATCCGCACGATGAACGGTGTAGATCGATCTGGTTTCGGGAGTCCCGGGATCTCGACATTTTTACGATTAAAAAAATGGAAATTTGAGTAATCCCAAAATTAAACTGGCACTAATAGCTAATATTAGTTTTTGTGGGGGGTAAAAAACAAAACCAAAAAAGAAGAAAAAAAAGCTTTGCCTGCCACTATCCATAAACAAATTCTTTTATTATTATTATCAATAATAATTTAAATCCAAACTTTGAAGTTTGTAATCTTTTATTTATTTATTTTTACAGACATAATTAAGGTAATTGGAATTGAAACTTCAAGGAAAAAACTACTTATTAAAATATTATTACAATGTTAAACGTGATGGATTAAAGATCATTATTAATAATTAAATAAACAAAAATTCGAAGAGAAGATGGGATTGTCAAATACTATGATAATCATTGAATTTTAATATATGATTCAAATTATTCAAATTTCACACTACACGAATCGTGACATCCCTTACTTGGATCGACTATTAAAATTACGACTATTGTTTATATAAAATATTATATTTATTTATATAAAAAATAGTCGTAATTTTAATAGTAGTTTGAACCCATGGCCTCATGGTTATGATTCTAACCCCTACACCACCACGCCATCTTTTACGGGACCAATATATCGATATATTCTTCTGATACATAAAATGTCACAAGCAAATGACCATTTCATTATTTAGTACACACTCTTTCCATCCCTTAACAATCTATCCATTTTTTTTATTTTGATCCGTCCTATAACAAATATTCATTTTCTTTTTTAGTAATTGTATTGTCTACTTAACGTTAGAAATACCCTTCTAATTTATAATATATTACACAAATGTCATTACCTTTATATTATACAATACTAACAGGGTTAATTTAGTCTTTTTACCTTTATTACTACTTTATCCCAATATAATACTAATATTTTTAAAATTTTATGCAAAAAAGCAAATTGATATATAGATATGAGACGGAAGGAATATAGGCTATAATATTAATAAAATATTCAAAGAAATAAAGAGTTTTGAGTGGTCCTATCTGATATACTATGTTAGATAGAGAATTTTAGAGAATTTTGGAATTTTAGAAGTTTGAAAAAAAAATGAAAAAATTAGTATTTGATTTGATATTTTATGAAAGAAAAAATATGTTTGATGTAATATTTTTTTAAAAAAATGAGTAGTATCAAATAAATAAAATTAAGTTGTGTAAACAGAGCCATTGTGTTATATAATTAATCAAGTTGATTTATATTTATTAAGTATATTTTGATTTAGTAAATTTTATTCGAAATAAAAAAAATAATTATCGTGAGACAAACAACAATAGAAAATGTATCAATTAAGATGAGACATAATAAATATTTATTTTTCTATTTTAAAAATATTATATTAAAAATAATTATACAAAAATCATACTAAATAATTACTCTCTCCGTCTCAGCTAAATTGTCCTATTTAGCTTAGATATAGAATTTTAGGTATTATGTAATTAATAAATAATTAAAAAGTATATTAGTGAAGATAATTATAATTTAATAAAAATAATTATAAATTAAGATTAAAATGACTAAATAATTTAATTAAAATGAAAAAATAATAAAATGTGAATTTTAAAATATGATTAAAACGTGTAATTATATTTTTTTTAAAAAAAAAAAGAACAAATTTTGCAAAACAAGATAAAAATGAAAGTAGGAGACAAATTAAATAAAATGAAATATATATATATATTTTTATTTTATTTATAAAAATTACTTACAAAATCTATTTATATACTGGAATGGGTCCATTACATTTTAGTTACAGACACATTAATTTGAGTGGATAATATTTGTGCACATACGTATGTATGATTTGATCTGATTTTAGGTACGTACGTGGGGCTGAAAGTGACGTGTCAATGCCAATGCCATATCATATATAGTTACTATTTTGTAAGAATAAGAATATATATTGAGATGTCTTTTTTATTTTTTATTTTCAAATATTATTTGCATGAAATGAAATTGAAGAATCCCATAAATATATACATATTCAGCTCAGCTCAGCTTTGCATTTTCAAAAAGTCAGCCAATTATCCCGTAAGGATAGACTACTAAGGATGTCTCACCGCTTGATCTACAAGGGCTTGCTGAGTTTTAGAAATATTAATATTATATTGGAATTTTATATGAATAAAGTAGAAATTACTAAAATAACCTTATTAGTATTGTGTGGTATAAATATAATGATATTTGTGTAATATATTGTAAGTTGTAAGAATATTTGTAACGTTAGGTAGATACTTCACTTACTAAAAAAATGAAATGAATAAAATATTTTAGTTTGAAATTTTTTTATTTTTTTTATTTTTTATATAAGATATGTAAAATTACGTAATTAATATAAAAAAATAATATTTTATTTTGAATGGACGAGAGAATAAAATAAAATAAAATATATATTTTGCGTTGAAAGGAGAAAGCCTTAATTTAATTATATATGTTGGTATATAATATTATCAATAATGTAAAATTTTAAAATATATATTAATTTGAAGTTAGTGAGTGAGCCACTTGAAAATTGATATTGAATGGTCACATCAGTAAATGTTTTTCAGCCTCAGCAGCGCATTAAGATTATTGGCATGTTTATTATATATATATATTCTTATCCCTCTCTCTCAACTTCAACTTTGGATATTATTTTTCACCAAACAGAGAATGCTGATGTAATTAAAATATATATATATAATAGTATTAAGGTTATGTGTGTTTTTTTGATTTGGATGGAGAATATTTGGGTTAGATTTTATATTAAAGTAATATTTTATGTAATATTTTATGAGAATAAAAAAATATATTTTTTAAACAAATAAAATTTAAGAAGAAAAAATCAAAGAGACAAATTCTAGTTGTATAAATATTTTAATTATAATTAAAAAAATAATAATAAATCACTAGTAAGTAAAAATATCCTTATTATTTTGTTAAGATTTTATTTAACTATATTATTCCTCTAATAAGTATGGAATATGTTAATCAAGAGTAGTCATATATCTATATATATATAACTTTTAAATTTTTATTAAAGTACAACAACAAGAATAACAACAACAATAATAATAATACTCTCTCCGTCCCATAACAAAATATTTATTTTTCTATTTTAGTATGTGCCATAACAAAATATCTATTTTCATTTTTAGTAATTGTACTATCTACCTAACATTACAAATACTCTTAAAACTTACAATATATTACACAAATGTCATTACCTTTATATCACACATACTAATAAGGTTATTTTAATCATTTCTACTTTATTCCTACTATATCCCAATATAATACAAATATTTTTAAAACTACGTGCAAAAAACAAATGGATATTTAATTCCGGGACGGAGGGAGTAATAATAATAATAATAATAATAATAATAATAATAATAATAATTGGTATTTGTTCCAATGAAATGGATATGGAATCACACATATATGTTTTCATGTTAATTAAAGGGACCCCATTTTCTACTTCTTCCCTTGGCCCCCAAGCAAAATTGGAATAATATATATATATATATATATATATTTGATGGAGTGAGTTTGGATAACATGGAATTTACTTTAAAATTGTGTATAATAAATTATTCCCTTCTCATGCTACTTTGTATAGATATGAAAACTAAAAGAAAATACTTCTGGACCAGTAATTTCATTACAGTTATATCTAGATTTAAAAAATAATGTTATTAAATTGAAAGTTAATATAAAATAGATAGTAGTAATATACTAAAATGTCTTTGTGTAAAAAAATAATAACATTTATATAATAACGAAAAAAAATAAAGATAATTTTAAAATAATATAGTGAGACAAATAAAAAACTTAATTTAAAATATTACCAATCATACACACACATACTGTTAAATTGTTGAATTATTATGACTTTATTAATATCATATAATATATCTACGGTATGTGTTGTGAGCTATATTATAGATATATTAATTAAATAGGTACGAATTTTAATAAAAGTGAGTAATAATTGTTACTTTTTCCTTTTATAGTAAAAAAAGTACAAAAGTGTAATAATTTTTTACTTAAAAATGAAACAAAAATATTTTTTTTATGACAACCCAAAAAAGAAAATAAACATAGATTTGAACGACGGGGGAAGGGAAGTATAAGTTTGTTGATTAAACAACAAAAATAATTATGTTGAACATCACATATAAATAGTGTGTGTTAGATATCAAAATACTTTAGAATTTTATTGGATCTGTAGATGGATTCAAAAACTTAGACCCGCAGACAAACCCAAAAAGGGGTGGGCTTCCCACATATCAATTAAGGGAATCAATCAACCAGTCGGTAGGTAGTCTGTCTGGTCGGCTGGTCGATTGGTGGCATCAGTAAAAACCGTTGTAACCGCAAGACGGTTCTTCAGGGCAGTTGCAATCGACTAATAATCCGGCGCACACGATCCAATAACCAACTTGGAAGATATATAACGGGCATCTCGCACCTGACAAAAGGTATCTTCAATCAGCACCAATTTTAGAGAAATTCTCAGTGTGTTGTTTTGTGTTTTGATTTAAATGAATTTTTATATTAATTTTTTTTTTGAAAAAATATGTAAAAACAAATTTACAAAAACACAAACCCTTAGGACTGCATAAATAATAATAATAATAATAATAATAATAATTTTTTATTATTTTTATTATTATTATTTTTTATAATGTGTTAGAGTTTGATCAATATAATTAAAATGCGGAAAAAAATTTGTAAAACTATATATAGAAACAAATGTTCCCTGTTCTTTGGATATTGATTTTTATCACTCTTTCAATCTCATGACTAAATATTCATTTGTTTTTTGCACGTAGTTTTATAAATATAGTAAGAATAAAATAGAATTGACTAAAATAACTTTATTAGTATGGTGTGGTATTTGTAATGTTAGGTAGATAGTATAGTTACTAAAAAAAATAAAATGAATACTTTGTTATGGGACAGACTAAAATGAATCCTTTATTATGGGATATTATTATTTATGCTCTTAATCGATAGCATTCCCAAACTGATGATTTATTAGAAATTTTTGGAAGACTTGTGTATGTCATCTTGGGACTCATTCGTGACATTTGACATTCTGCAACAAATAAAGATGATTCATTAACATTTAGTATAACTTAACTTTTAATTAAATTATCTTAAATTTAATTGGCTAAAAATTGTTTGATCACAAACTTGTTAAAATTTAGAAATAATTACTTTCTGGTAAGATGATTGTTGTCACAAAATTCAACACACACAATATATATATATATATATATAACATTAAAATTTATGCCCACAAAATAAAGAATAAAATGAAAAAGAATATACATGGAATTCGTGCATATAAATCAAATTGGCCGTACATCAACTGAAAGGACAGCCACTGAGATACATATATGTTATGCCCTTTAAATAATATATATTAATATTGGGGTTATATTTATTTTTTGCATTATTATTTTTAATATTTAAAATATTTTTATATTTATGTATTTTTTTTATCATTCTATCAGACATTATTAATTGAAATTTTTTTATAAATTTTTTTAATTTATACTGTTTTTAATATAATAATTAATATTAAAAAATTAAATAAATAAGGTATTTAAAATTGAACGAATATAATATAATATTTTATTAATAAAAAAATGCATTTTGGTGTATAATAATAATAATAATAATAATAAAATTGGTGTAAAATATATGTAACCTGAGTGGATGAGGCAATTGTGCATTATAATATAATATAATATAATATAACAGGGGAATAGTGGTTAATGTGTATTATAATATAATATAATATAATATAACAGGGGAATAGTGGTTAATGTGTAACTGAGAAACGATGAAAATTAATAAATAGTTAGCGTGCAAATTAATCAAATCAAAATGATTTCTCTAAATGATGCTTAGAATCTCATATCATCAAATATGTCAATTCTCACAAATCATAATAATATACTCCATCCCTTCTATTTATTATTTTTGTCCGTCTTGTCATAAATAATTATATAATTATAAATTTATTATTATTTTTTCATTATTATTACTCAATTGTCACTACTTTTTATACTAAGTACACTCACAAATATTTTTTTACATATTATCAATATAATATCAATATTTTTTAAATTTCGTAACAAATATAGCTCAAACTATAATTCTGGATGAAAAGAGTATATAATTAAAGAATGTGGAGCATTAACATTTTATTTTGTTCCCCAAATAGGCTGCATGCATCTGTCACACCAACTATTATTATTATTATTATTATTATTGTTTTCTTATGTCAGCTTATGAGCATCTGTATATATTGGGTGTGTTTGTTTGGAGGTTTGAATTTTGAGTTGGGATTTGAATAGTAAAAATTTTGAATTTGAATAGTTGTATGATGTGATATAAATAGGGTTTGATGTGATGTTTTGAATGTAAAATTGATTTTTAGTATAATATAAAAAATGAAAAATAGGTGTTTGATTTAATGTTTTTGGGGGAAAAAATTGGATGAACAGTGGAAATCCACCAAAATCCTTCAAACAAACACACCAATATATTATTATTCCCTTTCCTTCTAGATAAGATTTATGCACTAAAAGTTTAAAACCATATAGTCTCTCTGTTCCTAATTATATATTCGTTTGTTTTTCATGAAATTTTAAAAATATTAATATTATATTAAAATATAATAGAAATAAAGTAAAAATTAATTAAAATAATTTTATTAATATTATGTGATATAAATATAATGACATTTATATAATATATTATAAATTATAAGGTATTTGTAATTAGGTAGATAGTACAATTTATTAAAAAAAGAAAATAAATACTTTGTTACGAGACAAACTAAAATAAAAAAAATGAATAATTTGTTATGAGATGAAGGGAGTATTATATTAATCATTTCCTTTTTTTTTTTTTTAGAATAATCATAAAGATATATTTAGAAATATTTCTTTGTTGATCAAAGCTAATTAGCAGTGTATTTATTAATCTCAATAAACGTAGTATTGAGTTTGTTTAGCTGTGGTTTGAAATTGATCGAAATTTTTATTTAAATTATATATTGATATGATGTAATATTTTGTAAAATATATATATTTTTATTGAAAACTATTTCAAGCAAATAATATTTATTTTAATTTAAAATATTAAAAGAAAAAACTCATAAACAAATAGATAACATAAGGTCTAATCCCACGCTTGTGTCGTATGCAAACTTAGTGGGCCGTCGTAAACTGTAATTATGTTCCGTGGGTGATGGGCTTAAGTAATGTAATTATGCAAACTTAGTGGGCCGTCGTAAACTGTAAGCCTTACAATTATTTTGGCTCTAAATGGCCCAAATTGTTAGTATGTCAGACTTGGGCCCCCAACCATTTTCTAAAGATTAAAAAAAATTCAAAATAGTAACAATCTATAGAACACCACCTTTGTTTTCTTGAAAAAAACTATACAATATCCATAAATTTTCGAATCCTTCACTAAACTTAGAGCTGGCAAATATTGACCCAACACGACAATTCGATACGAAATAATTAGATTTGGGTCAAAAATTTCAATCCGATTATATATACGGATTTATACGAACCCGACACGATAATAAACGAGTCGGATTAGGATTGAAACTCTCAACTCGAACTCGACACGACAATCCGATTTTAATATATTAATATTAAATAATATATTTATTATATATGTAAAAAAATCATAAATTTATTAATTTTCTCATAAATTAATTTTAACTAAGTTCAATTTTAAATAATTCAACATAATTTTTTGTTCAAACCAATAAAAAGTAACATACAACCCAACAAAAAATTATTTAATTTGAATTAAAAAATTCGACTTAATTATGTATACGGATCAACAGGAGTCAACCCGAACCCGAAACGATAATAAACGGGTCAATACAAATCCGACACGACACGATAACAAACGGGTTAAGATAGGGTTGAATAATTTAACCCATCTAAAGTATTCAACTCCACGCCAACCTAACACGAATTGAGAACTCTAACTAAACCATACAAAGCATCATTTCTGAGTCGTTGTAAATCCTCATTCATTTCAAATCGCAGCCCCCAAAATATCATCACATATATATATATATACATACATATAGAGTGAGAGTAGAGTGAGAGAGTCAGAAGAAGAAGAAGAAGAAGAAGAAGAAAACGAGAAAGAACAACTGAGAAGAAAAATTGCAGAGAAAGAAAGAAGCTGAAAATCCATAGCTGCCATGGGGCAGATTATGCCCAAACCAGAATCTGAATCAGAACCAGAATCAGAACTCGAACTCAAACGACAGTCACACGATCAATCAGATTCCACATCGACCGACGATCAGTATCACACGCCTCCATCTACAGACCAAGAATCACAACCCCAACAAGATCCAAAACCACAACCACCCTCGACTTCAAGAAACCAAGACCCACCAACACCACCCACAGCCACGACCACCATTGTCAATCCCCAAGGTAAAGAATTAAAATAAATAAATTAATTTCAAGAAATTCAAGAATCACATTCTGAAAAAACCCCTCTTTCTACAGCGAATTTCTACAGAGACATCGCAGGTTACAGAATCGACCCATCAATCTCGGGCCCCATAGCTTTCTCCTACAATCAGCTCGCAAGAGCCACCAACAATTTCGATCCTATATCCATTCTTGGCGAAGGTGGATTTGGCCGTGTCTACAAGGGGGTGCTCGAATCTGGACAGGCCAGTTCATCTCCTTAATTTCCTCAAACCCTAATTCAATCCCTCAAAAACCCTAATTCAATCCAACAATTTATTAATCAATTAAATTCTGTGATGTTGCAGACAGTCGCAATCAAGCACATGGCGAGCTACAGCTACCAAGGCCCTCGAGAATTCCTAACAGAAGTTCTAACCCTTTCGTTCCTACGTCATCCCAACGTCATCACCATGATCGGCTACTGTTACGACATTCGAACCAGCCATCATTACATTGTCTACGAATTCATGCCGTCGGGCGATTTGAAGCGCTATTTCCACAAGTCTGATCGGAAAGATCGGCTTGTGGATTGGAACACGAGGATGCAGATTGCGATCGGGGTTGCCAAGGGGATGAATTATCTTCACGTCGAAGCTGCGCCGACTGTGATTTTCAGGGACTTGAAGCTGTCGAATATCTTGTTGTCTAAAGATCTCAATCCGAAGATTTCGGATTTCGGGATTTCACTCCTTTGCCAGAATCTGAGGAACCAGGTGTACTTCGACATGGTGGCTGTCGGAACTGATGGATACTGCTCGCCGGAATATGCTCGCTCCGGTCGGGCTTCGACCGCCTCCGATGTGTTTAGCTTCGGCGTCGTGTTGCTCGAGCTCATCACCGGCCGGAGGGCGATGTACAATGTTCCCGGTGACGGCGAAGGCCGGACACTTGTGAGTTGGGTACGTATCCATGTATGTATAATTTGATTTGAATTATAACAATTAAATTATAATTCAAGATTTTATTTTATATGAAATAGGACAAACGCTGGTTTTGGGTTTTTGAATTTGGATTTTTAATAGTAAAAAATTGAATTTAAATAATTGTTTGATAGGATATATACACTCAAAAAATATATGATTTATTTTTTTTTGGAACATGTGATATATGGAGACATAAATAGACGTACAAAGAAAAAGAAAAGTAGTTGTATCGTTTGATATTTTTTTTTTAAAAAAAAAGTCAAACTACTAAAAATCTGTAGTAAAATTAAAAAAAAAATACAATATTTACAAATTATTATCAATTAGAATCGATAAACTAATATTATTCATCGCATTGTTGCATCAATGGATGAAATTGGTCGATATTGTTGTTGTTGTATAGGTTATGGCTAGACTTAGTGACGGGTGCCGGGAGCATATGCTGGAAGCCGGGCTGCGAGGCGAAGTCCCGGTGCAGGCGATCCACACGGCGTTGGATATAGCAGTCCAATGCGTCGCCGACAATCCGGAAAACCGGCCTAATATGACCAATGTGACAAAAGTATTGGAAGACTGTTTAATAGCGTTGGCGCCAGAGGCGCCAATGCCACCGAGGAAGAAGAAGAAAGAAGATAAAAAGGAAAAAGGTGTGTTAACTACAGTTGAGGAGGTCGGCAAGGTAAGTACCTTGCCGACATTATTGACGTCGAAACAAATAAAGAAAGGGCTGTCCGGGTTCGAGGAAGGCGAAAGTAGTAGGGCCGCGGCAAAAAGAAAGCTCCGGAGAAACGACGAAAGTGAAGATGAATGTACTAGTTGCGACGATAGTAGTGTGTTTTCTTGGTGCGACGACGATGCTAGTTTCCACTAGCCATCAGCCCGAAGATATTACAAAGATATAAAATCATACTAATTGTGTATGAAGATGCCAAAGATTGAGTTTTTCCTAGCTCCATTGCCAAATATTCATGGATGAAGATGACATTGCAATATAAAATCATACTAATTGTTAAGAAAAGATTAGGGGGGCAATGAAGCATGAAGAATTACAGTAATGATTTAAAAAGACATCACTGTATTCACACTTTGCCATTGTTAAACACCAATTTGCTCATTGTTGATTTATCTCTGCATAGCCTGGTGAACTCTGATATGATCCACCATGTTGATCATCAGCCCTTTCCAGATCTGGTGATTGAATCTGATCATGATAAACTAAATCGGTTGCGAAATCAGCAGGGCTTGAAGGGTAGGTAGTGTATCTGGAAGTTGGAATTTGGCAGTTAGGACATAAAGAATCACAGCCATAGACACAAGCTCTGTCTTCTTTCATGGTGGTTTTCTTGGAAGCATGACTGTTGCTGTAATCTTCTTCCTTGAAGATCTGTAGCAATTCCGCCATCTTGCTCCGTTTACTCGATGTTTTTTCGATGACATGCCAATTTTTCCAGAGAAACTGAATGACATAGATGATCAAGGTCACCATTCCAGCTACTGCAACAATTAAGAAAAGTCCCCAAAAGCTTTCTAGCCCAAGATTTCTTTGTGGAGATGATAAACTGGTGGATTCTTGTTTGGTGATATCAGACAGCCACTTCTTCTCAATTTCGACTAGTTTCTGTGCTTCGGTGACATGTAAAATTGCTCTAGAAACATCCGGCGCTAAAGGCGAACCTTTTGGAAACACCTGCATAGTTTGTCGACAGAATTTAAAAGGAATATAATTAGTCGTTATTCATAAACAAAAATGTTTTTACTTACAAAGCCAAAACCTTCAGTTTTGTAAATAGGTCCAACTCTCGCGTACTTCGAACCATATTTGCTCAAGAAAATCTTAATATATGGGTCCTCGTGAAAAGCTGCAGCTATGCCGCCATTTCTAGTCCCTTTCGAGAGAAGTTCATCCATTTCCTCGGCTGTTCGGTATGGCATTAGCCGGGATTCATCGAAGTTCATCTTTCTTAGAAGTTCATAAACAAATGATCCATCTGCGTAGCCCACCATTTGCTTACTTCTGATAAGGTCATTAACATCTTCGACAATGGGAGTCAGCTTCTTCACTGTTAGCATCGATGCAAGACTTGCAGTGTAGCTTTGAGTGAGTATAAGTACCACCAAGAACCATAGTATCAACACAAACCTTGTTAAGTTGCTCATAACCCTTTCCTCTGTAAAAGAAAAAAGAATCGAAAAAGGTTAGGAAACTTAATCTTCCATGTCCGATTGTATGATTACAAATTTACAATGATATATAGATGTCTTACTGTGAGCAAAAACCATTGTTGAGAAGGCAAACCAGAAGATCATTCCAACTTGATGCCAAAATGATCCCCTGAATTCCTCATTTATTCGATGTTCGAATATCCAAATCAAGAACCCGATGAAGATGATCGTGCAATAGCTTGTCAGCCATAGCTCCCAAGTCAGGGGCTCAAGAAACACCCACGCTGTTTCGCTCCTGTCGTCTTTATAAGGAACAACCATCGAAACTCCAGACTGTGCATAATGTAGAGTGAAGTCGACGCATTCTGATCTGTTAGCCGTTAGTGTTACATCTCCGGCAACAGCATCATAGATCTGTTCATACACAAATTCAAGATTTTCAAAATTTTCAGCAAAGATGAACATACTTATAACTTATACTTACCCCAATATAAACTTGATAAGTCAAGTCATTGTAGCTTCCAGCCATCGTGCGCTCGGGTGTTGCGAAAGGGATGTATTCGTAGGCCACACCGTATGGAAGTGCATTCATCGCTGCATCAAAAAGATCGATACTGTAACCTTCCACATTTGTAGAATTGTCGGGATTCCAAGTTACGCGCACAAAGTTAGTGAAGCCAGGCCTTACAGGGACTCCCACTTTCAGCTTCTTACCATTTGTGGGAATCACCCAACCTTTAGGTATATGTGATGTATCACCAGGCCATATAATGGTTCCGAATTCTGTTTCTTGACTACTTAAGTTTAGTTCCTTGACAATTTGATTCTCTTTCGTCCAGTATCCGATGGCACGAGCACTTTGTCCAACCATGTTGATTATCTGAAAAGGAGGTGCTTGTAGCTGGCCAGAAACTAAGTGGAAATCACCAGCAAGGCCTGTGAATCTCGTCGATAATAATTCATCCTTAAGCTTTAGTCCATGTTCTGATACTCCAATGGCTTCAAGATCTGTAGAATGCCGAGTATTGTTTGGTTTATTATACTGTGGATTTGTTAGATTTGCTTTCTCTGCAGCCATGGCTAGTGCAACAACTGCGTCGTGCGCCATTAGAAAGAATTCGCCGACAATAGCTTCTGGATTTTCCTGCCGAGCCTTTTTCCTCAATCGACTAGAAAAGTCATCCACCTCTTTCGTGTGTTGAACATGAGGCTTTACTCCTATGACTCCCAGCATCGACTCTTTTGTCTTTCGATCCATTGTCTCGAATTCATATCCAATGCTGTCTGTAACTAGCCATGCATACTCCTTACTCATCATTCCTACTTCTTTCGCTTTGTCGAACAGTTTAGACGAGAGCGGGTTCAGCATGTGGACGACAAACACTCTGCTCTGCATAGTCATCAGCTTGAAAAGCTCTGCGGCAATTTCACTATCCGACGCTTGTTGCGACACGACACTTCTGTAAGGGACACGAGCATTCACCTTTTCTAAAGCGTCGGTCATGTAAGGTACGAATGCTTCTCCAAAGTCACTGTCCTCGTAGATGATCACAACTTCTCGCCATCCGAATGCTTTGACAATTGCAGCTACGGCAGTTACTTGTGAGGAGTCGCTTACTGTCGCTTGAATGAAATACGGCTTACCTATCGATGAAAGTGACGGCCTTGAGGCTGAAAATGTTATGATCGGGACATGAGCTTCGTTTCCGAGATGAATCATGAAGTTGGCTTGATATGAGTACATTGGACCGATGATCGCTTGCACTCGAACGTTCTTTATCAGGTCCAAGGCTGGATGTATATCAAATGTAAGAAAAAAAATCAGTTCTTGCAAGTTTAGATATATATCGATCACTAGCTAATATATATGTATATATATATATATATACCTGCTGCAGCTGCTCCGACAGCGGAATTTTTGGAATCCCTGTTAATGAGAGTAAGCCTTGTCTTGTACTGGACATTTCTAGAGTAGAAATCGGACAGAGCAATCGATAAGCTGTTCATTGCTGCTTTGCCGAAGTCATCCATGTCGAGCACTACCCCGACTTTTATTGAGACAACCTGTGCAGAGGCCATTGATTCTGTGTTGAAGATGAAGTATATGAGGGGGTAGAACATCAAAGCTGTGTTCTTCTTCATGTTGATATTTACTTAGATCGAGCAATACCAAATTAACATATATATATATGGAAGGGAAGGCTCGAATTCAATAGAAATCTGAGGATTTTGTGAGTTGAAAAGGTCTTTCGTTGAACTTGTCATTTATGTTCTAGACTTTCCATGGCAATGACTTTCACTAACCTAGCATACATTGTGTTCTTGTTGTAGTGCAAATGCAATTTCCTGAAATCTGGTTGTTTTATCTGATGATAGCAACTCTCCTGTCTGATGTAAGATTTTTCTACAAGAATCGAATTTCGGCGAAGGAACTCAAAGGGATAGTAGATCAAGGCTTCTATGCCAGCTAATCCTACAGTTAAGAAAAGTCCACAAAGGTTTGGTAGCCTTAAATGGTTAGCTGTTGATTCCACTTGATTTTAATTTATCGACTTTTTGTCTTATGTGAGACAATGGGATCAAGAACCGACATTCTTTATAAGGTTCAAAGATAGATCTTCCCTGCAATCATGTTTTATTAAATGACCCTTGCTTTGTAACACCTCTTTTGGGACGGATTAGGGTTAAGGATCGAATAACAAACAAAAAAATTTAAAGATGACACAGATTTACGTGGTTCACTAACAACGTGTTGGCTACTTCCACGGGCACGAACTGAAAACACAGATTTCGAATTCCTCAGTCTATTTAAATAAATTAAGAGAATATATCAGACGGGTTCAACCCAATACCAATTTCAAAGTCCAATACTGTATACAGTCGGCCGGAGACCACTCAGCAAAATCCCGTGAAAATTCAGCGAAGTGATAAATTAGATTCAAAGACATAATCAACAGACTGTTTGTAGACTAGAAATCCAGTAGAACCATTAATAAAATTCATTTATTGTGCAAAAATGTTAAGTAGTTTATTAAAAAGGTGTACAAAAATAAAATCTTTATGCTACTTTCCACTTTTTCAGAATACATATATATTTATAAAATTGTCTACAAAAATCATACAAAATTTTTTAAATAAGACAAATATCATAAATATAATCAGGGCCGTCTCGAACTTTTTTGGGGCATGAGAAAAATAAATTATAGGCCCTTATAAACGCATAATTCAAATATATTTTCAAAATAATATCACTTATTGGCGTCGATTAGACAAAAGGTTGAACATGACAGTCTGGACAATATCAATTTGAGAAAAGAAAATACAAAATGATCTGTCCGAAAGTTCGAAAAATGAGAAAGACTGAAGGAAAAACGAAAGAGATAAAATAGAATGTGAGACGAGTATGGTATAAGTTGGTGAGCGAAATGCAACAGGACATGAGTAAAGAAATATAGAAAAAAATTAAATTTGAAAAGATAAAACAAGACATAGTTAAAAAAAAAAAAAAAAAAAAAAAAAAAGATAAAAAAATATATAATTAAAGTTTAAAATTTAAATTTAAAAATTAAATTAGATAATTATGAATATATATATAAACTAAAAAGTTAAAATTTTAAAATTTAATAATATAAATTTATTACTTGTAAATATATTTTAATATATATATATATATATTTATATATATATGCGCGCAGGGCCTTCAGGTCGAAGAGTGAGAGTCTGACAATGACCGTTAGTGATTTCATTTGAACCTCATAATTTAGTCATGCTTGCTCTGCTCTGGGAAGAAAACAAAGAAGAACGCGGAAGTAAGAGGCATTGAACTTTACATCAACTTTAATTGTAATATACTATTAATTCTATATAATTACTTCCACCTTTCCACGTTTAATAAAAAAAATTTATTATTTTATAAAATTAATTATATAGTAATATTAAAATAATATTAAAAAGGATCGGAAATTTCAACCATGACATTGGTATCATGAATTCACTGGACCATCCTTTATATACAAAGTAAGTCATGACAGTTTTTTTATAATAAGTTTCCAATTATTCAACGTCTTTTTCTCATATAAAATTATTATTTTCTTTTAATATTTATTTTTTATTTTATAAATTAAGTGGTTTATTAAAAACATGTCATTAAGGTATATTTGTTGTATGAAATTTAAATTTAAAGTTTAAAATAATAATATTATTATTATTTCATTGTAGTTTTATTTATTTTTAAGTTTTTTTCCATCCTTTATAGCTTCCGGCGAATCTGTATGCGGAAGCAACTCGAGAATTTTCTATGGATGCACCAAAGAATGTACGACCAGCCAGACGGAAGAAGTCTGTTCGATGGTCGCCTGAAAGGCAGATAATTGGTAAGCTGAAATTCAGTTTCGCCCATTCGTCTATTTTTGTTGTTTAGCGGAATTCGCGTTGTTAGAACTATTCTGATTCCGAATTGATTCGCGACTTCAATTCGTCAATTTTGTTTTCTTGCGTCGATTGCTGTGATGATGTAATCGTTCCGCGACTCGGTCTCTGTAGAACCCTAGACCTCCATACGGTGTCGTATTACATTACATCGTAGTTTGACTGATAGCATTTTCTTCATTAGATGTATACATTTCAAATATGGATGATGCAATTGTGATTAGGGTTTTGTGATTAGGGTTACGGATGACACAATCAAAATCTGAAGCTTTTAATTGGACGATAGTTTCAATTCTTAACAAACTGCAAACTGTTCTAGAGCTGAAATCCAGCTTAAACAATGTTTGATTAGAACAAGGAAATATGAACTTTAGGAAAAGAAAAGTAAGGATAATCAAGCAAGAACACACCAACTAAACTTTTTCTTTCTCTGAATTAACACTCTCTGAATCCCATTGTTCAGGTTCTGTTTAACAGTCAAATTACAAAGCTCTATCCCTCTGAGGGCAATTTACTCTGTTTGCTGATTCGTAGGATGTTTAGGTGATATCAGTTCATCATCGTTAGTCCCTCGGGGGCTTGAGAAACCAGGACTTGGGAAAGTGCTAGCATATCTAGACGTTGGTGTTAATTGAACTTGGCAAGATGGACATGAAGCTCTTTCTTTCCTGATTGTATAACTGTACGGATCTTCTTTGTCGAAAATTCGTAGCAACTCTATGAACTTGTCCCGGACAGAGGCATTTTCTTCAATGGCATGCCAATGTTCGTGTAGAAACATAGCAACATAGCTTACAAAAGCTATTAATCCGGCTATTCCGACGATCAAGAACAGCCCCCAAAAGCTTCCTAGTCCTAGATTTCTTGGCGCAGTCGATAAGGTGTTGCAGTCCGGACGTTTTGTAGGATCGCCTAACCATTTTCTCTCAATGTCCGCCATTCTTGGACCTTCGGTGACATTTAGAATCGCTCTAGAAACATCGGGTACTAGAGGCGAACCTTTTGGGAATACGAAGCCAAATCCATCAGCCTTGTAAAGGGGTCCGACCATAGTGTACTTCGAACCATATTTCGTTAGGAAAACCTTTAGGTAAGGATCCTCGTGAAAAGCTGCTGCTACACCTCCGTTATCCGGTCCCTTTGAGAGAAGTTCGTCCATTTCTTCAGGAGTTAGGAATGGCTTAAGCCGGGATTCATCGAAATTCATCTTTCTAAGAAGCCCGTACACGAATGATCCGTATTTGTAGCCTACTGGCTCCTTACTTCTAATAAGATCGTTAACATCTTCGACTGAGGGAGTCAGCTTTTGAACTGTTAGCATCGACGCAAGACTGGCCGTGTAGCTTTGAGTTAGTATAAGTACCACCAAGAACCATATGATCATCACGAACCTCGCTAAGTTGCTTATCACCCTTTCCTCTGATAAGAAAGAACGTATCGTCACGATTTATATAATTCGTCGTATTTTACTAGAAAGAACGTAAGATTATAGTTGGCTTACTGTGAGCAAAGACCATTGTTGAGAAAGCAAACCAGAAAATCATCCCCACTTGGTACCAAAAAGGTCCTCTGAAATCGTCGTTGATTCGATGTTCAAGGATCCAAATCAAAAACCCGATGAACACGAACGAGCAAAAGCTTGCCAGCCATAGCTCCCAAGTCAGGGGTTTTAGAAACACCCATGCAGTTGAAATCTTGTCGTCTTTGAAAGGTACGACCATCGAAACACCGGATTGTGTATAAGGCAGTGTGAAGTCGACGAACTGTGCTCTGTCTGCTATAATTGTTACGTCTCCGGCCACAGCGTCGTATTTCTGTTCATTCAGCACACAAAGGTTAGGATCGATTTTATGTTTTTCGAATTCCTAGCAGTGATGTAGATGCTTACTCCTAGATATACTTGATACGTCAACTCATTGTAACTTCCAGCCATCTTGTGGTTGGGCGTTGCAAACGGGATGTACTCGTATGGCACGCCGTATGGAAGTGCTGCCATCACTGCGTCGAAAACTTCTATACTGAATCCTTCGACTACTGTAGAGTTGTCGGGATTCCAAGTTACGCGCACAAAGTCCGTGAATCCCGACTTCACAGGCACTCCCACGCGCAGTTTCTTTCCGTTTGTAGGAATCACCCAACCTTTCGGGGGAGATGAGCTATCCCCGGGCCAGATAATCGTCCCAAAATTGGATTGGAGAGTCGAGTTCGTGTCTTTCATCGGATTATTGTTGTTTAGTTCCTTAACGATTCCGTCTTCGTTTGTCCAGTATCCTACGCCTCGAGCGCCTGGACCGACGATGTTAATTATCTGAAACGGAGGCGCTTGGAGCTGGCCATCGACTAAGTTGAAATCTCCGGCGAGGCCTTTGAACGTCGTGGTCGATAGAGCCTGGATGAGTTTCGGTCCGGCGTCTGAAACCCCCAATGCTTCCAGGTCAGTGAAATTTCTCGAACTGTTCGTCTCAATGAATTTTGGAGTCGTTAACTTTGCTTGCTCTGCTGCCATGGCGAGCGCGATGACTGAGTCGTAAGCCCATAAGATGAAATGATCAAGCTGCGGCTCGGTGTTCGTCGGATTGTTCTGCCGAACTTTTGTCTTAAACCGAACTTCGAAGTCATCCAACTCGGGCGTACTCGGGATGTAAGGCCTTACGCCTATCACTCCCAGCATTGAATTTACGACCTTCGGGTCCATCGCGTTTATACCGTACGTAATCCCATCTGTGACGATCCACACGTAGTCCCGGCTCATCATGTCCATTTCTTTCGCTTTGGTGAACAGTCGAGACGCGACGGGATCCAACATGTGGACGACGAAAACTCTCGTCTGCATCGTCATCAGCTTGTAGAGCTCCGCGACGATTTGATCGTCCGTCGCGAGCGTCGAAATGACGCTTCTGTAAGGTACTCGCGCGTTTACACGTTCCAATGCGTCGGTTAGATACGGTACGATCCCTTCCCCAAAACCGGTGTCCTCGTAGATCGGCACAACCTCTCGCCATCCGAAGGCCTTAACGATCGCCCCGATTGCGTCGACTTGGGAAGAGTCGTTTAGCGTAGCGCGCACAAAATAGGGAGTCGGCGACGACGAAAGATACGGCGCCGTCGCCGAGAAAGTTACGACGGGGACATGAGCTACGTCGGCGAGAGATATAAGGAAGCTCGCCTGTGATGAGTAGACCGGGCCGATGATGGCTTGGACTTCGACGTTCTTTATCAGATCAATAGCTGAATGTGTGTAAAAATATTGATCTTCAGTTCTTGAAAAAACATCAAATTGTATAGTATATTGTGTTATGTGTAATATATCATGATTATGTGTGTGAATCATGATATATTTTGTGTTTTATTCCTACAAGATTTATTTCTAAAAAAAAAATTCAAAAAATATATACATATAAAAATAAATATCAATAAATTAAACAAAAGCATTATTACCACTAGTACTCTTATGATTTGTCATTGTAACAAAAATATTTAAAACTATAAACACTATAACAACCTTTTTCTAAAATTATTATTCTTGATACTTATATATAAGAAAAATATTATAATCAACTAGTAGAGTATTTATCACATATACATGTAGGGGTGATCATTCGGATTTTCGGTCCGATCCGAAAATTCGAAATTTTTTAAAAAATTAATCCGAACCGAACCGAAATAACCGAAATTTGAACTAAAAAATTCGAACCAAACCAAAAAATCCGAAATCTTAATATTTTTATTATTATTTTTTAATTTTTAAATTTCTTTTATATTTTATTATTATTTTATAATATTAAATATATATATATATATAATATATAAAAATTAAATATATTAAAATATAATTAATAAATTTGAGTTTTTATATTAAAATATAATATTTTCTAATAAAATATTAAATATGTATAATAAAAAAATATATTAAAATATTATATTTCGAATTTCGAATTGAATTGGATTTTAATTTTTGTTAAAAATTCAATTCGATCAAATCCGAAAATCTGAAAAATCCGAACCAAATCTTAAATTTCGGATTGGATTTTCGGATTTCGAATATTTTGCTCACCCTGTATACATGTACATTTAACACATACATACAAATCAGTACACCGAAACACAAGTAAACAATTATCATGCTTTAGTTTGTAGTATAGTCTGTTCTTTTCAGGCTTTTAAGTAACATTTGCAATATTTGGTGATTTTTTAAAAATTGTTTGAATATTATAGAAAATCATGAGAGTTGAATAATAATAAAAAAATAATAATGATAATAATAATTGCTAAATAAACAAAGTTGTGATTTTTTATTTTTAGATCGAAATATGGTCATGCAAAATTGTAACAATGATCGTATGTATATATAACTCAAATCATATAAAATCATTTTATTGTTAAATTAAATAAAAAGCTAAATTATACACAATATATTATGGTTACTCAATGATTTAAATCAGTCTTCTGATATCAAACATTTGTAAATTGTAATTTTTTTTTTGATCCCTCAAACTTTTATTTATATATATATTTTTTCCTAACTTTCAAGTTTTGTATTTCGACAAAACTTATAATGAGTATTATTTGTAATCTTATATATAATTATCATTTCTGTTATTTAATGTTGTAATATAGTATTTTAATCTCATATTAATTACATAAAATATAAGATAATAAATTAAATATATTGGATATAGTTATATAGTCTATAACAGTAACATAATATGAATTTTTACAGAAGAAAATTCAAAATAAACAATTTTTATTAGTGTTTTCAATTTTATTTTCATATTATTTATAAAACAATTATCTAGAAAATATCGCATTCATCAATACGTATATTCTTTATTTAAAAATTGCATATGCAATATTGAATTTTTAACTATTCAAAAAGTTAAATTGATTCCATGCATGCAATGTTGTTTTCCTATACATACTTTACTTTTCATTGTTCAATCTATAATTTTAATTATTAAACAAAATTATATTACATCTGTCATATTATAATGACATTTATGCAAAAAAAAAAAAAAATTATACAAATATAAGGATATTTTTAATGTTAAGTACAATGACGCAAACGATAAATGAAACTCTTAGAATCGAACAGAGGGAATATTACAGGTTCATTTATTTTAATTCAAAATACTACAATTAAGCCAATTTCATAAATATATATATATATGCACAAAACAAAAATAAAAAATTCAAATCTTCGCGCATGCGTACATTTCTAATTAAAACTCGATGAAATAAAATAAAATAATAATAATAATAATAATAATAACACGCGGATTTACCTGCAGCTGCTGCCCCAACGACGGTCCCTTTAGAATTCCTATTTATAAGAGTAAGCCTCGTCGTGTAATATGCATGTGTAGCGTAGAAATCCGAGACCGCCATGGATAAGGCCGTGAGGACCTTCTCCCCATAGTCATCGATCATGTCCACCACAACCCCAACTTTTATCGGGATTTCCTGCGCGCCGCTCGCCGGAAATTCGATAAAAATCCTCAGCAAGATTAAGCACAGAATGAGAGTCTTCTTCCCCATTCTTAAACACACTTCTTGCATAGATCACACAACAATGGTTATTATTAAGTAGTAATATTTTTAGGATATATATATATATATATATTGTTAAGAGGCCAGTGATTATTTGTTAAATTAATTAGACTTTTTCAAGTCAATGTAGTGTCACATACAACACTAATTTTAACATTGCAACTTGGATTGGACAGGACAGGCAGAAATTAATTAAAATTAAATGAGATGAAGTATTATTATTATTATTATTATTATTATTGTATTATATATTTTATCACTAAGGGTGTGTCCAGTATGTATTTGCATTTTATATTTAAATAATGATACGACGAACTCACTCTGTCCCGAATATTTTGTGCGTATTAGACACGAGAATTTAGGAAAAGTATATTTAGTAAATAATTAAAAATATATTAGTGAAAATAATTATCGTATAATAAAAATAATTATAGATTAAGATTAAGATAATTGATTAGTATAATTAAAATTTTAAAAAAAAATTATAAATTAAATTTTTAAAAATAAGATTAAAGTGTATAATTATTTTTTTAAAAAAAAGTGATAAAATAAGTGGGAGTGACGGAAATAGAAAAGTGGACATGAGAAACGGGACGGAGGGAGCAGTATTTTGTAAAATAAAATAAAATTTTCTTTATCTACTAAATATATGCATATTTTTTTTATTTATTATTTATCTAAAAAAATATGCAATTTATATTTATAGAAAAAATATTCTTTAATATTATATTTATTTACAAATACACCACAATTATTTATATATTCAATTTATTTAAAATTTTCTCTTGTTTTATTAATTTAATTATTTACTTCACAAAAAATTCATATTTTATGTAACAATAAACTAATATCTAAGCCAAATTTCTAATACTATAATAGTATTATATTCATCAAAATTATGTTCAACTTATATGAGCATAAATTTTGTGGACATATGAAAGTAAATTTTTATTGAGAATTTCGAGAATATATTGCATGATAAAAAAATTAAAAAATAAAAATATAATTGGCTAGAGCATAAAGATCAATAACAAATCATTTATAGAAGGTTATATATATATATATATAATTAAGATAATATCTGTACGTATTTTATTTCATAATTCATTCTCAGATTAGAAAATTGTGTGCTCTGATTTGTACTAAAATTTTATGTACAAATATAAATGTTTATTCATAGTTTGATTAGTATAAAGACTTTGTTTGGTTGTGTTTTGAAATTGATTTAAGTTTTTTTTTTTTAATTTTCTTATAAAATATGCATTTTTTTATAGTAAATAATTTTTAGGTTTTTTAAAATTTATATAATTCAATATTATACTTATTATTATAACTACACAAACGTTTAATTTATCAAAGGGTAAATTATTTTTTTAGTCTCGTAACTGAACCTTCTTATCATTTTAGTCCCATAAGTTGACCCTGTCGCAAACTAGTCTCGTAAGTGCAAATTTTTCGCTGTTTTAGTCCTCCGGCGCCGGAGACGCCCGCGTGGCTCGCCGGAGGCTACGTGACCTGGCGGACACGTAGATTTTATTATTTTTTTCATTTTTATTATTTTTTTCATTTTTTAAATTTTATTTGCCTTTTTTAATTTTTTTTATTTGATCCAATAAAAAAATAAAATAATAAAATAAAATCTACGTGTCCGTCAGGTGTCGCTGACCTGGCGGGACACCTAGCGGACACGTGGCTTCCGGCGACCCACGTGGGCGTCTCCGGCGCCGGAGGACTAAAACAACGAACACTAAAATGATAAGGGAGTCCAATTACGGGACTTAAAAAAAACAGTTTAGGGTTTATCAAAAGTTTTATTTGATATATTATTAATTCATTCATATGTTTTTTAAAATATTTTTATTTGATATTATAATTAACCAATAAAATAACATATTCAATAAAGTTTGTACCCAATTCAAAACCGAGAGAATACATGATTTTATTTGTTTATATTTGAAGTCAGATCCATCATCATTGGCACTGATACATACAGCTAGATTATTTATTTATTTATTTATTTCAATTTTAGAATTTTTGACCCCTTCAATAGATTATATAATTAATATATTTATGTGTTGGTTTTGAAAAAATATTTTAAGAAGTAAACTTGATAATGTTGAAAATAGGGAGTGTATGTAATGTAAGTGTGACTTTGTTATTTTAATTGTAGCTACTTGATACTTGTTTATACTTATTTCCTTTTTCTTTTTTGATTCTCTTTTTATTATAATTTGATGAAAATACATACATATATATATATATATATACAACTTCATCTCCCGATAGACGGTTAAGATCGATTTGATCCAATGGCTACAATTGGCTTCGGAATATTCTAAGTATGTACAAGTTGTAATTTTATCCATAAGTTTCCGAAGTGTTCTCCAAAGTTCCGGAGAATTCTTTTAGTCGTCGGGTTTTGACACATTCTTCCGGTCACAAACTTATTTCAAGACATTGTATATGTCGAATATTGTTGCAAGCAAATGAAGTAATGCTTACCACCACACAGTTGACATCAAGAGTCAAACTTCGATATAGTTGACATCAAGAAGTCAGTCGTTTAATTTCATGCCTTAATTCTTCCTATCCTGTTTGATACAATCGTTTGAAATAATCCTTACGGAGAAGGTAAATTACATTTGTATTATCCGTATTTTTACGTAATTATAAAAATAGTGTAAATTTTATTATATTTATTATTTATGATCGTATTATTTGCAAGAGTGGACGATAATGATAAGGAGTTTGAAACTCATTATTCCTTGGGACAATTTACACTAACAATTTGAATAAACGCAAACTAGATGTCCATTTCATTTCTTTCGAAAATAAATCTTTGATGTGATATTTATGAAAAAATATATATATATATATTCAAATAGTTTTTTAAAAAATTTACTATTTATGGACAGTAGTATGAAACTTCCAGGGTCTCTTTCTTTGGTTTGGTTTGAAAATATTTAATTTAGATTTGATATTTAAATATTATTTTATGAGATATTTTGTAAAAAAAATATATTAGAAAATACAGAATTCAAATAGTAAAATTTCGAAAAATTTTATCAAAGAAATACATCGTAGATTTCCTTGAAACTTCAACTTTTAATTACTATACGCGAGTGAAATTTTATTAGAAAAATTTTAAGATTTTGTGTACACAACGAACGACCTTTCGAGTGTTACAATAATAAGAAATTCGATGGTTGTGATATGACTATCATTTATGATATATGCTATAGTATATGATAAAAAAAAATAATAATAATATATATTTTATTTATCTATAATATTTTGTAACAAGTAGACTTCGTTTTTTCAAGATTATAATTATTTATAAAAATTCCGACGTTATTTACTTACAATCTATAATATGATTTGACATTTATGATATATATGTCGTAGTATATTATAATAATATTACATTTTTTTATATCGAGATCATACGTAATAAATGGACATCGCTTTTTTGGATAATAAAAATAATAATATTAATTACTTACGAAATATACGAAACTCATCGACTATAAAAAGGGCACCATCCGGTCGATTGTTGTCTTGTATTAGAATTAAAATAGAGTTTCATTTGCCAACCTATCGATAAAGATTAATTGTATTCTTTTATTTGATTTATCGAGTATCAAAATATTTTGTTGAGTTTTGTATTAGCAAATTGCAACGGTGTGACTCAATAATCATCGGTGAGTTTTAATAATATTTGTAAGTTTTTAAATTTTCTATTATTTCTTTATCATTTATGATATTTTGATCTATTCTAAAGTTCATTGTGATATATAAAATTATTATTATAATTTGTTTATACAATACATATATTATTTGATTATGATTCATTATTATTATATATGATTAAAAATACAAAATTATGTTAATAGGTTATCATGAAAAAAAAAAAAAAGTGAAAAAAATGAGGAGAGGAGGAGAAGGAAAAAGTATATATGTTTGTTAATTATATATATTGTCAATATAATATAATAATCTAAATTTAAATTTTCAATTTTTCAATATATTTAATTTTATATATGTTTGAAATTGTAAATTGTAAACTTGTTTTTTTTTTTTTTAAAGAAGGGTTTGTTTGGTTTTGATTTAAAATTTTTATATGAATTTTAGTTTAAATAATAGTATTTTAATATGATATATAAAAAAATAATATATTTTTATTAGAAATTATGTTAAATATTGTTAGCTTTTTTTAAGTTAAAACCAAACAAACCCTTAAGTTTTATTACAAGTATATTTTATTTTAAAGTTCATTTCTTTTATTTCTTAGTGAGGATATCTACAATATTCTATTCTATTTATTTTAAGCCAAAATTAAACAAATTTTAGGTTGTGTTCCTTTGTGGGTTTTAGCTCAGTTTTTATTATTCAAATTCTTTTTTTTCTCTAAAAATATTACATCAAACAATTATTTTTTTTATATTATACTACAAAATTATTTTACATTTAAAATATTACATCAATATCTATTTATATTACATAGAACAACTATCCAGATTCAATTTTTTTACTATTAAAAAATTCAAATAAAAAAACTAAAATCCACAAACAAACACACCTTTAATTTCATTACAAGTATATTTTATTTTCAAGTTCAGTTTTTCTTTTTTTTTTTTTCTTGGTGAGGCTATCTACAATATTCTATGCTATTTACTTTAATTCACTAAAAATAAATCAGTGTATTTGTTTTAATTTTATCAATCTGGCTTACTATATAAGAAGATAATTTGTAATATGCTACTAATTTTTTTAAGTTTAGAAAATTTATTCTAAGATTTTGTAAAATAATTATTGCAATATTTCATTAATATCAATCAATATTATACTTAAAAATGATAAGTGAGAAAATAAGAGTTAGATATAGATAATTATTTTTTAATTTAAATAATTTTATTATAAGATTTCGTACAACAATATATTGCAATATGTCATTAATAATTGCAATATTTCGTCAATATCAATTAAAGTTTCCTTACTTATTTACTTGCATTGCAAAAAAATATTTACTTTTTATAGCCATTATTTTTTTTTCATTTTCCTATAAATTGGGGTGAAAATTCAATCCAAATCATCAACCAAACAATTATACAATTCCTTATACCAAAATATCCCTATTTAAGTCTGTCGAAATGACATTTGTTTAAAAGCAAGTGAAGCCGCCACTCTCTGTATAATCGACATTGGCATGATTTCTTATGCAAATTACCCTCGCTCGTGTTCTTATTCGTGCATGAAATCTGTGGTAAAATATGTTGAGTACTCTAACCAACCAATATTGGAAATCGGTGGTAGAGTACTACAAGTATTTTTAACCACGATATTGCGACTATGCACGATTCACCACTTTTACTCCTACACCTATTCGTGCATGAAATCTGTGGTAAAATACGTCGAGTACTCAGACCAGCCAATATTGGAAATCGGTGGTAGAGTACTACACGTATTTTTAACCACTATTGTGCGAGTATGTATGAGTCACCGCTCTTACTCCTATCTCTATTCGTACATGAAATATGTGGTAAAACACGTTGAGTACTCAGACCAACTGATATTAGAAATCGGTGGTAGAGTACTTCGAGTATTTTTAACCACTGTTTCGCAATCATGCACGATTCACCACTCTTGCTCCTATCTCTATTCGTGCATGGAATATGTGGTAAACTACGATGAATATTCTAACCACCCAATGTTAGAAATCGGTGGTAGAGTATTCTCGAAGTTTGTAATACACAATCTCTTTCTAAAATGTACCTACTACCGAGCGACCACGCATGATTCACCAATGCCGGACTCATATCTATGTTCGTGCATGAAATCTGTGGTAAAATACGATGAGTACTCTGACCAACCAATATTAGAAATCGGTGGTAGAGTACTACAAGTATTAAAACCACTAGCTACTAATGCACGATCTAGCTACCAATGCATTGCTCGTGTGATCATATGGTATGAAATCGGTGGTAGAGTATAACTACAACGATTCTCGCCAATCAGTGGAATGAAATTGGTGGTAGAGTATAACTACAAAGATTCTCGCCAATCAATGGAATGAAATCGGTGGTAGAGTATTACAAGATCGAATTTTAATTACTATTGAGCATTTGTATACTATTCACGAATATATATTGTATCGATATTTAAAATAGCTTGCTCCACTTTGTATTAACAGATGTATTATTGTAATGGCTCAATCTTCATCCATGAATTTTGAGTACATCTCTTATTAATGAAAGAAATTTTTTTTTTTTGCCTTTGTCTCATCTTTTATATTATAGATCTGATCAATATAATAGTTTGTGTTTGATACATTACTTAAAAATATGTGTAGTTTGATTGTGGAAATAAAAGAATTGTTTACTGTATATATATATATATTCTTAATGATTTTAATATATTGATTTCATTAAAATTTTGGATGTAATAATTATTTCACCTAAAATTTTCTATTACTATTTATCTATTTTTTTAAATTAAAAAATCAATCAATTTGTTTTTATGTTTGTTAATTTGTGAATTTATGTTACTAATTATTGGAGACTGAGAATTATAATATCTTCAATCATAAACTAACTATGAGATGTCCCCAATAATAATTGATATACTAAAATTGAAGTCACAATCTTGCTATGACTAACTAATTCGCCATAAGTTTTAAGTAATTTTGTTAGTTTTTTTATATTTTTTCGAATGATTTAAAGAACATATAGCATTTTAACTAGAGAATTATTAATAATTAAAATTTTATAATCACGACACAAATATAAAGTGGTGGAAACGCATATTAAAATAAAGCAAATATAATATATGAATTGACAACACATATGATAATAGTTTATACAATACATGCTACAATTGATTTCAACACAAAATGTATATTAACATAATACATATCTGTTACATAAACTTACAACACAAAATATAACAATCTATATAACACATGATATTTTAATTCAAACCACGCTAAGAAATAGTCACACAGAGATCATTAGTCCCGACCAAATCTAATAAAAATCAAGAGTATTTGCATTCTTTCCCACAAGTCCCGCTATCAAAACCCTAACCCACCATCGAGCGATCATGCATGATTTGTAGATGCCCTAGGGGACAAATCAATAGCCTTACCGATAAACTATTCGAACTTGATAAGGCGACATGAGAATCGAGAGAATATATAATTGGACGAAATCCACAAAGATAAATCTAAGAAATTGGCGGGAAGAATGAAATCCCGCATTGAAAATCTAAGCTCGGAGGACGTCCAAGAGTGGATAGAATGGTTCGAGACCTTTCTAGCCATAGCCTTTGCCCGACAACGTGATTTTTGAAATGGCAAGTCGAGAGCTTCAATGTTACAAGGGATCATTGTTCGAAATGACCCTAATATGCCAAAAAAAATTACTATTTATTTCGTACTTTTTATTAAAATTACATAATACTTTTTTCTCACAAAATATCATATCAAAATATATATTATATAAACTAAAAATCATATATTATATATATAATTAAAACCAAACAAACCCTTGAATTTGAGAATTTGAGATCATTTACTTAGTAGGCCTTAAATATTTCATTGTATTCTATAATTGGGCAATTAAAATTATTCAACTTTCTCAATTTTGGACTTTGGCTTACCAAAATTTTGTGAAAATAAGAAAGGAATGTTATTAATTTATATATTATTAATGATTTTAGTTAATTTATTTATATTTAAAGTGTTCCCTAATATGTGAAATTAATTCACCTACTATTTAATCTATTATACTTTTTTTATCAGTCAAATTTATTACTAATTTTGATAAAATCAAAAAAATAAATATTTAATTATTATTTTCATTCAGCAAATATCACTAACTTTATAGATTATTTCTTCATTTACTTTAATTTTAACTAATTTTTCAAAAATATTCTCAAATACCTATCACTTATTCAATAAAATTTTTTTTTTTTTACTGTCTGTGTCGAATCCAAGTTGGCTAATTTTAATAGACGGGATGGAGTATTTATTTGTTTTAAAATTCAAAAAAAAAAATCTATTTATTGAACCTTATCAATTTATGACGTTAGGTTACTAATTTTTATAAAGTAAAATTCTATATGTAATTTTAATTGTAGAAAAAGAAGAAAATATTATAATATATTAAATATTGTAATATATTTATTTGCATTCAAAGTATCCCTTAAAAAAAAGATATTATAAATTTTTTATTACTTACGAGAAAATCACAAATTGTTATTATTTTGAGTGTGCACTGAATAAACTACGATTAAGTCAAATATTTTGGAGATTACACTCGCAAAGGAAGTCACGTTTTAATATTATATTCTATTTATTCTATACTATTTACTTAATTTTCAATTTAAATAATAAAAATAAAAATATTGTACCATATGTTAGTGTTATTTTGTTCCTGTGTTATTATATTTAATTAATAAATCATATTTGACTCAATAAACATCTTTATATATTCATGCTAAAAGAAAGTGAAGATTGTTCTATAACTATAGCTATTATTGGTAATAAAATAATTTATTTGAAACTTAAGAAAGGTAGTATAATAAGCCAATAAGAATGCCATGGAAGGAATATATCTCAATTGTGAAGTATAAGACACCCAAAAAAAATTATTCAAATACAATCGTTGTCACAAAACAATAAAGCCCAAAATTATTTGGGCCCATATTTGATGGGCCACTTATGATCCAATTCTAAAAATCGTAACTACTAATCCTAAATCCATATTTATTTTTATGGATTTTTCGCTACAAAATTGATCTCACTGATACTGACTCACAACCTGTTCGACAAAATGCCCAAACCAAATTAATTCTGAAGCAGAGCTACAACCAACGACGCCACAGCAGCGGCGCCGGAAACCACCTGTTTCGCGGCGGAGCTACCTTGATCGGCCGGAGAATCATTACCGGAAGGAGCATCAGCGGCGCCTGGACCATCGGCCGGCGACGGTGCCGGAGCCGAGCCCGGAGCCGCCGCCGCTGCCGGGGATTTGGCGGCGGGGCTAGCAGCCGGCGCCGGCGCGGCTGCACCACTGTCGGAAGCGGCGGGAGCATCGGAGACGGTTTTTCCAGTGCTTGGCGCCGGCGATTTGGCGGCGGGAGCGGGAGGCGCCGCCGTCCAGTTGCCGTCGATTCCGTTGGCCATAATCGGGTGAGAAATGTGGAGTACGGAAATGTTGTACGGCTGCGCTGCTACGACGCCCAACAATTTGGCGTCGACCGGAGAGCCGGCGGCGGCGGAGCCGAATGCGACGGCGCCGGTGGCGTCGTGGCCGACGGTGATGAAACCCTGCCGGTTCTGGGCGGCGCCGGTGGTCTGGAACAGCGTTGTGATCACCGTGCCGTTATCTTTGATCCCGTTCAGCTTCATCGCGTCGAAGTAATCGAGCGCCACGTGCGTGCTGAGAATCCTCTTCTGAACCTCCGCCGCCTTCGACGAGATCTCGCCGGCGGCGTCGTTGCCGACGGCGAGGACGGTGATCGTCTGCCGGCTGTTGATTTCGCCGGCGACGCCAGTTTTGGATAGCAGATCGTTGAATTGACTGTATTCCGGGTGCTGCCCAAGGATCTGAGTGACATTGAACGCGGCGGCGGATGAAGAAAGAACAGCCCAGAGAATCACGGCGGCGGCGGCGGTGCTGCTGGCAGGAACCATCTTCGCCAAAATTGAAGAAAATCGACAATGGCGGATTGAAGAGCGCCAACACAAAACGACGTCGCTTGGCACTGAGTTTCAGTTGAGTGAGTTTGTACAGTCCCGCCGCTCGTATTTATACGCCGGCAGCGTTGCTGAAACTGCGGAGCGAAGAATTCTCGCCACCGCTACCATTGCAGGGTGACCCAACCTTGCAGGTGAACACGTGGCATCATATAATAGGCCAGTTCTCAAATGGGCCGACAATGTAGTAACCATAAAGCCCATATTATATTTTGGGTTTTAAATTTCTTACAAGGCCCAATTTCAGCCAGTTATAAGTTTCTCTCACGAAGATGTAGGAACAAAAATAGATTTTTATTTGTACGACAAAAATTTGTAGTAATAAAATCGAATGTACTAATTGAGAGACAATAGTGTATTGCATCTAAAAAGAAGACAGCTAAGTTGTGTTATTTAATTTCAATTCCACTTTACAAATAAATAAATTAATAAATAGATAAATATTATAAGGCACTCAGCATATGCCATTATGGCGGTAGGGAAGAAGAAAAAAAAGATACTCTCCCTTGAACCACTGTCGGTGCATCGCTATTTATTATTATTATTATTATTATATTATTTTCACATTGCCAAAATTCAATAAATCTCCGATTTCAATATAAATAATAGTAATTGATTAATTAATTAAACAAAGTACCAAAAATTATATATATATCTTAAATTATTTTTTTAAAAAAATAAATAAATAAATAATAGTGATTTGCCCCATTTCACGTGCAAGCTATTAATTCACAACTCATCAAGGCCAAAACTAAAAATCTTATGTACATATAATTTATTTATTTGTTTTGTATATATATTGCACAAAAAGATGGAGAAACAAAATAAATAAATAAATAACTTGATTAGAGGTGGTGTAAAGTTTGCATCTTTGATGTCACTAATAAATGCTTAGTTAATTAATTAAATTAAACCAACAAAATGGCTCATAAAAGTGTGACAATTGTTAAGTGGTCCTTACACACAAACAATAAATAATCAAAACAAAGTTAGTTTTAGTAAAGAACAACTAACATGCGGCAGTGAATTTGTGACCGTACTCGAAAAATAAATTTTTTATATATTAAAGATTTAAAATTAAATTAGTTTAAATGTAATTCAACAAATTATTTGAGTATGCTTAAAAAATTATCCTTATTCCGTATATATAATTTTATTATATTTTTTACAAAATATTAAATCAAATCGAACCTTTAATTTCAAATCAAAAGTAGACAAATCAGCATCTAGTTTAATTGCACCAACAAACAACAAAAAAGTTATGCCTTTATATTTCTTGTAATAACAAATTCAATTATAAATATATATATATGTATGTGACGTTGCTTTATTTTTATTATTATTATTATTAATATTAAAAACAAGAATCGTTGGTTAATCCCCTCAAGCAAATTATAGTTATTATATAATTATATAAAGTAAACAAGGTGGGAATGTGTACATATAATGATTGATTTACAACCGTTGGATCGTTTGGCATGTCAATGACACTTCAACTTCTCATTGACTCTTCCAATATTACACAATATTTTTAGAATTTTACAACTCCCTCCGTCCCAAATACTATGCAATATTTCTTTTTTCGAATGTCTCAAATACGCTGCAATATTTTCAAAATAGAAAATAATTAATTATACTTAATTTCTACCCCACATTTTATCCCCTCACATAATCCAAATAAAAAAATAAAATATATATTTCTCTCTCCATCGTATCACCTAATTTCTAAATTATCCTACTTAATACTACCCACACCTGCCAAAAATAAATATTATATCTTGTTTGGAACGGATGGAGTACTATTTAATTTTTTAAGAAATATCACATAAAATTTATTTCATTTTTTTATAATTGTGAATTCCAATTTTCTTCATAAAATATTATTATTATTATTATTATTATGAGCTTGCTTGTTTGTGGTTATTATACTATGTAAATCTTGGATAAAAACACAAATAAATGAACTTATATATTTCATAGTAGTTACTATTTATTATTTGGTGGTAGAAATTTTTAAATAGTAATTTTCTTATTCAATTAAAAGGCTTAACTACTCTTTTTTTATTTATTAATATTTTTAACCATAATCATTCACTATATACATATAAGAAATTGATCTATTGTGGTTTTCATTATTGCCAACTTTTACTGCAAAGACATACATAAAATGATTCCCAAAATAGCTTCTCATGCCTTGATCTCTCATTTCATATATATTATAAGTAAAATTTATTTTCACATTTTTTTTAATTCTGCTAATTAAATTTATTAATTTTTTAATAAAATATTACATCTGTTGGACTATAATGATTTTATTTACTTCTTGAATATTAATATTTGAATATTAATTATTATATAAAAATATAATACAAATTAAAAAAAATTATAAAAAAAAATATTTTCAATGCTAAATACACTAACATAAAAAAAAAATAATAATAATAAATGTGACTAGCTGGAATATTTATTTTTTATTAATTTTCTTGCCAAATCAATTTGTGCTAAACACTCAACAGTAAGCATAGCATTTGGATTCACAGGCTTTCCTTTTCTGGGCTGCCCCTTTCCGACTCCATTATTGATTTCGTAATTTCTTCACCAAAATTTCACCATGAACAAAAACTCACAGCCAAAGTGATTCTTTTAATGGCAGAAAGGTCGTTTCTTTATTAGAGAATAAACTTCTTTTCCCCATTGAGAGGTTTTCATTCATATGGATCATCGCCATCCGCACTTCACTGTAAATGTTCCCAGCTAAAAAACAAAATGTATTTAATTCTGGTCGTGAAATTGAGGGATCAACTACTGCAATTTTTTTAGAGTTTTTTTGTTTGTTTGTTTCATCTCCATTTTTACTGGTTCAGTAAAGCTTGAGCTGTATGTATATAATATTTGTAAGAGGAAGGAAGTTTTGTTTATGGCATATACCTTTCTCTTTCCCTGTAATGGTGCTTTGCTTGCAATGCTTCCTCCGGTAGCGTTTGAGATTGCGCAAAGAATATTGTAAAAGGATTTTTTTATGTAAATTTTCTTTCTTAATTCTTCCCCTTTTTCAATTTTGTTCTTCTGCTGTTTGCTGGAGCTCATCCATGGCGGAACTAGGAGCTATTTAACCATTTTTGTTCAGCAATGTTGAGATCTAAGGCGTAGAAATTTAGGGGAAAAGGATTTAATTTAGGGTTGCAGGAAAATGGCTTCAAGATTGAATCTGTTCAATTGGTGGGGGAGAGACGGCGGGCCGAAGGGGACGCCGGTGATTGTGAAAATGGAAAACCCTAATTTCTCGATCGTGGAAATCGACGGTCCAGATTCAGCGTTCAAGCCGGTGGAAAAGAGCCGGCTCAGGAACGCCAAGCAAGTGCGGTGGATTCTGCAGCTCAAGGCGAACCGCGCCGTCGGCTGTCTGGCTTGGCTCGGCGCCATTCTCTGGGCTCTCCTCCGGAGCATCAAGCGGCGGCTAATTCTCCGGCAAGGCGTCGCCGTCGCCAGCGAGCGGCTCGGCAACGGCCGGCTAATGCTGAAGCTCATCAAAGCCCTGCTGGCGGCTTCTTTAGCAGTGCTGGCTTTCGAAACGGCGGCGTACGTCAAAGGGCTGCATTACTTCGACGGCGCTGCCGCCGACGTCCGGGGACTCTTCCACTCCGCCTACGCTGCCTGGGTGGCGCTCCGCCGCCACCACATCGCGCCGGCGGTTCAGTCTTTATCCACCTTCTGTGTAGCTCTGTTTATAATCCAGTCTTTGGACCGGCTCGCGCTTTGCCTCGGCTGCGCCTACATCAAGCTGAAGAAAATCAAGCCGGAAATCAACGGCGGAGATCCATTCCAGCCGGAGGATCCCGAACAAGGACAGCCGTACGATTTCCCCATGGTTCTTGTACAAATTCCCATGTGTAATGAGCGCGAGGTATCATCGTCTTCACCTAAACTCCGACCAAATTCCGGCAATGTATCTGATTATTTCGATTTTCTCAGGTCTACGAGCTTTCGATCTCCGCCGTCTGTCAGCTCGACTGGCCGAAGGACCGCCTGCTGATCCAAATCCTCGACGATTCCGACGACGACAGCATCCAGTGTCTGATCAAGACAGAGGTCTCGAAATGGAGCCAAAAGGGAGTTAACATAATCTACCGCCACCGGAAAGTTCGAACCGGCTACAAAGCCGGCAATCTCAAATCGGCGATGAGCTGCGGCTACGTCAAGAATTACGAATTCGTCGCCATATTCGATGCAGATTTCCAGCCGACGCCGGATTTCCTCAAGAAAACCGTGCCATACTTCAAGGTATACACGGATACTTCAATGTTGTCTGATATGGTCGTCATCATCGGCGTTTTGTTGTCTCCGGCAGGACAATCCGGAGCTCGGACTGGTTCAGACACGGTGGTCGTTCGTGAACAAGGACGAAAACTTGCTCACCCGACTCCAAAACATCAACTTATGCTTTCACTTCGAGGTCGAACAGCAGGTCAATGGCGCGTTCCTCAACTTCTTTGGCTTCAACGGCACCGCTGGCGTTTGGAGGATCAAAGCGTTGGAAGATTCCGGCGGATGGCTCGAACGAACAACCGTCGAAGACATGGACATCGCCGTGCGCGCACATCTCAAGGGCTGGAAGTTCGTGTTCCTAAACAACGTCAAGGTAAAAGGCGCTGCCGTCGCAATTCATATCTTACATGCAAGATTCGTATGTGACGTAAATTCACCTCAGAGAGCTGGTTGGTTGACTATATGATAATTAATGTTGCATATCCTTTTAAGCTTAAACTTTTAGGTGGGATGATTGGTTAACAATTTCGTCCTGATTTCTACGACAGGTCGTATGCGAAGTTCCTGAGTCGTTCGAAGCTTACCGGAAGCAGCAGCACCGGTGGCATTCGGGCCCAATGCAGCTCTTCCGGCTATGCCTACCCGCCGTAATCGCGTCAAAGGTACACCTGACGTCCACGCAAACGCTTTATCGATACAAAAATTATTCATTACGCTGATATTCAACTATTTGTCGCTTTTCAGATATCGATATGGAAAAAGGCGAACTTGATCTTCCTCTTCTTCCTACTACGAAAACTCATCCTCCCCTTCTATTCATTCACATTGTTCTGCGTCGTTCTTCCGCTAACGATGTTCATCCCCGAAGTCGAGCTCCCGATGTGGGTTCTCTGCTACATTCCGGCATTCATGACGCTCCTAAATATCCTCCCGGCGCCAAAATCGATCCCCTTCGTTGCGCCGTATCTTCTCTTCGAAAACACAATGTCCGTCACCAAATTCAACGCGATGGTCTCGGGGCTTTTCCAGCTCGGCAGCTCGTACGAATGGATCGTCACGAAGAAATCCGGGAGATCGTCCGAATCCGACCTGATATCCGCGGCCGAGAGTGACATTACGCCGTTGAACCAACACGTCGTCCGCGGAGCCTCCGAAAACGATCTTCCCGACGTCGTTCAATCGAAGGATCAAAAGCGTCGAGTTCCCGCCGAGAAAAAATCAAACAAGATTTATCGAAAGGAGCTCGCCCTCGCCTTCCTGCTGCTAACGGCGTCGATTCGAAGCCTTCTGTCGGCGCACGGGTTGCACTTCTACTTCCTCCTGTTTCAAGGCGTCACATTCGTCCTTGTCGGTCTCGACTTGATTGGCGAGCAAATTATCGAATGATCCGAGACGAAACGACAAATGCCGTCGAACAAATCACGCGAGGCAGCCGGCGCCATTTTTGTCGCCATCGCCGTCATTTTTCCGATCGAATAAGACCACCCGTCTCCTCCTCCCGCCGCCGCCGTCGTCGCCGCTGCCGATTTTCCGGCGCCGGTAGGATTAGCAGTGAAAATAGAGTCTCCATTTTTACTGAATAGCACAGTACAGAGATAGAGGAAAATCTGAATTCCAGAATTCCTCCAAAGCTTTTTTTAAGTTTTTGTGTGTGTATTTGTGATTGATTGTTGTATAGATTGTTCCAGTGGTTATGATTTTTAATTTTAAAGATTAATTTATTTTTTTTTATTTCAATTAGTTCTCTATGTAAATTTTATGATTTTCTATAAAAATAAAATTCAAAAGTTTGTTATAAGTGTCGGCAGGAAGATGGAACATGATTAGTGGGAAATAACAAAGAGGTTTGGTTGAACCAATGAACAGAAAATGGAAGGGTCCACAAAATATTTCGTGGCCTTTACACCGATTTTTTAATTTATTTTTATTAAAGGTGTATTTATGTAATAAAAAAATTCGATTCATATTATAAAGAAAATACTCCCAAAGTATTTCTATTTTAATCTGTTTCATAATAAAGTATCTATTTCTTTTTTTTTTTTTTTTAAGTAACTGTACTATTTATCTAACGTTACAAATATCCTTACAACTTACAATATATTACAGAAATGTCATTACTTTATATCACACATATATTTTCAGTTAATTCTACTTTATTCCTACTATATTCTAATATAATAATAATATTTTTAAAACTACGTAAAAAAAACAAATGGATACTTACTTTTGAGACGGAGGGAGTATAATATATATAAAGTAGAAATCTGCCGTCGCCGTTATCCGAAAGTACGTCCTTCAATTGGGTAATTATTTTTTGCAAAAGAATAATTCAATTTGTTCACACAGTATTTTTCAATAGAACAATTTTTTATAAATATTATTTAAAAATACAATATAAACACATTAATATATAATATATATTATCTGTTCATAAAAGTCAACCAACACAAAATATTACTTTTTATTTTACCAAGACAATTTTATAGTACAACAAACAAAAACTTCATTCATCTAAACGCTGAGTGAATTGATTAATTCATATTTTTTTATAAAACATTATATTAAAACAATATTAAAAAAAAAAAAAAAAACTAAATTCCAAGACAACATACATAATTGTTATATTTAATTAATGTATCTATTTTGTTATTTTGAGTTCTTTATGATTATTTTTCAATTTAATAAAATCTGATCTTATACAATAATAAGATATTTTTATATTTCACTTAAATTATTTTACTTTATAATTTCTCAATTGTATTATAAAGATGCTTTATACTATTATGTGTATCCATTATACATAAAATATTTGTAATAATTTTTAAAAAATTTATCATAACAAAAATAAATAAATAAATAAATATATTGATAATGGGTGGATATAGTATATATAGCAAAGTGTTTATTGTTTAGGACCAAGTTGTAGGCTTTTGTCTTCCTATTGATTGACCACTTTCAATTAGTTTGGACTTTGTTTTCTTTATATTCTTTTAACATTTCTTTTTATTATTTAATTTTTATTTCTAATATATATATATATATACATATAAAGTATTAAATTTAATAACTATGTCATCTAGAAAATGAAAGGAAAAAAAATTTTAAAAAAAAATAGCAAACCCTTGATTTCAACTCATTTTTGTGTGGGCTATAGTTTGCCATCAAATATTTATTTATAATACAAACTATTTTTATTTTTTATTTTTTATTTTTCAAAAGCTTATTACAAACTCTCGACAAAATGTAAGAAAGAAAAAAATGTTGGAGGGAACAAAATATATATATATATGTAAATAATTATCAATTAAACATTTTGTAAATTAAAACTTATTTATAATAATTTATTATTATTATTATTATTATTATTATTTATATTAAAAATGATCCAACAAACAAAAATGACGAGCAACTGTCACTGGATTTAGACAGACCACCTGTATATTTATTTATTTATGGGGTTTTTATTACTTCCTCCCTCCGTCTCACATACCATCTTCACGTTGTCATTTCTGTCCGTTCTACATACATATCACTTTTTTTTTTTGGAAAATGATTACACACTTTAATCTAATTTTAAATTTTTAAATTTTTTTTAATTTTAATTAAACTAATTAGTTATTTTAATCTTAATATATAATTATTTATATTATAAGATAATTATTTTTATTAATATATTTTTAATTATCTACTAATTATATCCCTCCTAAAATATTGTATTTACAGTATAATAGACACGGTATGTGGGACGGAGGGAGTAATAAAAACATTGAAAAATATAAATGTTAGTATTGGAAGAAAAATCATTTTCAAAGAGTTGGCACACACACGTGTACGGACGGGCTTCATTGTTTGGTTGATGTCAATTTGGACAAGTGGATCCAATCCAATCCCATTCTATATCTCGCACATGGTTTATGATGCATTTCCTTGTATTTATATTATTTTATTATACTTACACCGTCCAATTTCTATTATTCTAAAATATATTTATACGGTTTTTTAGTTGATTGTCTTTTTATTATAAATGGACAAATTTATCCTTAAGTGTATGGTAGAGATTAAAATTAATAAATGAATGAAGGGTAAAAATGTAAAAAATTTGTGTAAAAAAGAAAATAGGACAATAGTTATTGGACGTCTCAAATAAAAAAAGAAGACATTAGTTTGTGGACGGGGGAGTAATAGATATATTTATTATTTAGGATATTCACAAATAATATACTATTTGTTTCATTTAATTTTTACTTGTTATTTTTTAATATTAGTTATTATATCAAAACATAATACAAATTAACAAAAAATTGCTTAGTGTCATATAATACTAATAGAAAGACATTTGTACAAATATAAGGATATTTTTAATGTTAAGTACAATGATGCAAAATGTATATGTGACCCTTCGAGGCTGACGGATGGAATATATATTAGTAAATATAGGGTGGGTTTATTTTGTAAAATAATTTGAAGAATTTTTTTTTTATATGAAATACGAAAAAATTGTGTATTAAATATAAAAATAATAAATGTGTGATATATTAATATTTTTTTAAAAAAAAAAAACACATTCATAGACTTAAAATAAGATATTTTAAAAAATATGTGAATAAATTAATAATGTGAAAAAAAAAAAGATAAATTAAATATAAAAATAATTATGACATTTTAATAAATAAGTACAATATTGAATATTATAAATCAATAAATATGTAAGACCTTTTTTTGCTATAAATAAAAAGTATATAGATTTTGGGGAAAATATATATAGAGAGAGAATTAGCAGACCGATGAGTATTAAAATATTAAAATATTATGACAACATGCACTCATTATTTGTTGAGAAATTTTACTGTTCAAAAATATTTTACCTTTTACGTATTAAAAATTTTATCAATAAAATATAAAATACTATTTTCTTTGTCCCAAAGTTATAGTTTTGGCTGTGTTTGGTACGAAATTTAAGAAATATTGATATTATATTAATAGTGGATAAAAATTACGGATAAAATACTTATTTTTCCTTATGAGTGTATTAGTGTAAAAAAATAATGACAATTGTGTAATAATAAAAAAAATTTCCTTATGAGTGTATTAGTGTAAAAAATAATGACAATTGTGTAATAATAAAAAAAAATAAGAGTAGTTTTATAGTGATATGGTTATTTATGAAAATGAGATTATTGTTTTGGGACGGACAAAAATAGTAAACAAGATTAAGATTATTGTATTATGAGGTACAATGTATTTTCTTAATCTGATATGCAGACAACAAAATATATTCATATCCTAATTCAGAAATACACAGATGGAGTATATAAATCATTTTATCTCTTTGAAATGGTAGTTGGTAAATATATATCACACACTAATAAAAATAATATAATATTTTATCATAAAAAGTTAATGAATGCATACATTTGGAACCGATAAACATAATTTTATATAAATGAAAAATAAAAAATAAAAATAAAAATTAATTGATTTGCTTGTTTTAATTTAAATTTAACCTAAACTTATATAGTGTATTGATACAAAATTGTAAGAAGAAAACAAATGCAAAAAAACAAATGTTTGAGTTTGAAATAAAACAAACAAACAAAACAAATGTTTTTTGAGGTAAAATTCTACAAAATAAAATACTAAATATATTATTTTCAGAATAAAAAATAAATTGGAATAATAAACAAATTAGAAAAAACATGCAAAAATAAACTACAAATTGGATAATACTCTGTTCGTCTCATAACAAAGTATTCATTTTTTTTTTTTTTAGTAACTATACTATCTATCTAACGTTACAAATACTCTTACAACTTACAATATATTACACAAATGTCATTACTTTTATATCACACATACTAATAAGATTATTTTAGACATTTCTATTTTATTTTTACTATATCCCAATATAATACTAATATTTTTAAAACTAAGTGCAAAAAGTAAATGAATATCTAGGACGGAAAAATATAAAATAAAATAAAATAAAATTTAATATGACCATGGAATGGAATTTGGTGGTTAGTGAATGAGTCAATAATTAGTAGAGAGAAATTCCAAGAATTAGGGACAAACTATTTCTATTTTTTGGTTAATGGAAGAATCTTTCACAACATTCAACATAATTTTTCTTTTTTTTTTTAATTTCTTCATTAATTTTTGTCATTTCATTCTAATTGTTTGTTGGTTTAATTATTAATTAATTTATGAATAGAACAAAAATCCCATTTAAGTTGACATATAAATTTAATTTGCAATAGAAGCATTATCTATCAAGCTATATATCTATCAATTAGTGTGAATGTGACTATTTGATGGCACTAAATTTATTTACAATTAATTTATAATAAATAATTTTATTATTCATATTTTTTAATGAATAATATTTAATTTACTATTAATTTTTCTACTTATCATAGTATACTATATATTGTTTTAATACGTATATATTATCTTTTCTAATTCTCTCGGTCATCTAATTGTATATTCATTAGATTAAACACAAGTTTTTTAAAAAAATAGAATAAATTTAAATAACATAGAAAGTAATGTTTACAATAATTCGTATAGGAGGTTCATAGCAATCAACCTCTATTTTTGCATGAAAAAATAATCAAAAATAAAAATAAAAATTATATTGATATGCATAAATATAATATAAATAATATAATATCCTCTGTTCCAAGTTTATATAACGTCCCAACAATCAGTCGCTCAATAGTAAATAAAGTTCGATCCTTTTTAACTTAAGGTTGTAATTATCCAACAAAAAGCTTAGGACAAGAAACATAAAAATGGAATAGAGGAGAGGAAACGAGAGGATCAAACCTGTCTTCTTCCTATCTACCTTCTCGATTTTAATTTCGATTTCGATTTCGATTTCGATTTCGATCGTGAAGCGCTAGTCGTTGTCGGGATCAGCCGAGAAGTCCGGCTCTTCGGGCTTCTGCAGCTTCGGAAGCTTCACATTCTTACTCCTCCGCGCGCCTTTCCTCGTATTAGCGGCGAATCTCGACGCCAGGACCGTAACTCCCAACCCCTGCCTCGCCCGGGTTCTCGACTCCTCGTCGTCGTTGCATTCGACGAGCTCCTCGCTGTTATACGAGTTGAACGATTCCATCATACTCAAGCTTTTCGACATCATCCTCTTCTTGTGCCTCCGCCACGCCGCCTGAATAAATGTCGCCGCCCACGTCCGCCAATGGTGCGAGTAGTACCGGAAAGTGTGCTGCAGTTTCTTGCTGTGCAGCCGCCGGAATTGGTTTGCGACGTATTTCAGGTCCTCGGCGGTGAGCGCGAACGCTTCGACTTCGCTGAGGGCTTTCACCGTTCTCGTCGACGACGGCAAATTGAGCGTCGATTTCGGAAGCAAGGCCCAGGCGAGAAGCTCCTCGCCGCAGAAATCGCCAGGTCTCAACGCCGTTAAATTGAAGAATCCGGCCCGGCCTCCGTTCGTCGTCGAGCTGTCCAAAGTCCCTCGAATGATAAATAGCATCTCGGTGACGGGATCGCCCTCGCGGACGATGTAAGTCCCCTCGGTGCTCAACGAGGAGACAAGGCGCGCGCATATTGCGTCAAGGAGTTGGTCGTCCATCTGAGAGAAAAACGGAACCTGACGAAAAGAAACGAAAGCCATCCGTCACCAATCGATTTAATCGTTCGCTAATCTTGGTTCGAGTCGAAAAAACTTACGCGGCGAACAAGATCTAAACAGAGGTGTCGCTGAATGTCGCGACTTAGATCGCCGGGCAAGGCGCGCAGGATGATTTCTTCGTTGACGCCTCGAGTCGTTAGCCATTTGTACTGCGTAAAACGTCTAACTCGTTGCTGCAAAGCTTCCGGAAGCTGTCGATGCCTCATCCATTCTTCGGTGTCGCGTTGCTTCAGGCGCCACTCCTCGAGCCTCACCGTAAGGGATTGCAGATACGTCTGCCTTGACATTACAAACACCGTCAAACTTGAAAAATCGAACGAAATGTAAACCTAATTCAAATTGATCTTTAACGAACGAAAAATGAATCGAAAAGAACGCGACAAAAAAAAGGATGCTCGGGCTACCTGCATATTCCCAATCAAATGCGCGAACAGGATGAGCCCCAAAATCGCGATGAGTATCGCGAACAAAGTCTCGCCAATAAACGTGCTAGTCGACAACGTCTGGCCATAAGAACTGTTGCATCGAATCAACTACGTATTTCATAAGCATAACCACGACAATCTCGGCAACATAAACTACAACCGCATCGATCGATTCGGATGATCATACCTTAAGTTTTGCAAGCCCCACCACAAGCAGTAGAAGAACTTCTCCAGGAACTTAGACGAGACGACGTTGTTCGCAACAGCATTTCCGAATATCCCATAATTGAAAAACGTTGTATTATCAGGTCTGCACCTAGCGAAAACAAGTGTATTCTTTATCCATTCTGTTCGATCCTGGCGAGATAACGCACCACAATCCATAAAACTAGGGGAGCATCGAGTCGAATTAAATTCAGTCCTGCAAGCCGATTTCCAACAAGTTGCGTGTCTTTCAATCGATAATAAGTACCACGAAGCCCCCAACACCTAACAAGATACAACTTTAGCATTTCGCGACAAGAACAATTGAATTAAACGAAACAGTCGACGCGATTAGATTGAAATATTTACATACGTGGCTCGCTAACATGTAAAGTAGCAAATTGTACGCCGCACCAGCCCAGGCGGTCTTAGTGACGACTCCGGTAGCTTTAATGATCCGACTACTCAGAGGGAAAATAAGATACAACCTCGGGATATACTGCAACAAAATGACAAGTAAAAGCGCGCTGTTGGTATGATCCGAGCTGGAGCTTCTAATCGCCGGCAATATTGACCATATAACAATCTGCGGGGCGCAAAGCAAATATAACTCAATAATTTCTCAAACAGAGATGCAAAATGAATCTAATCATCGAAAAAAAAAGTTGAGATCACCTGAGGAAGAGGCAGCATTGCAATGAAATCAATGAAGAATTCGGATTTCAAATACTGCGCCGCGATCATATCTAAATCAACAACAAGTTCTCCTTTGCCGAATACTCTCGAGCTAGGAGATACATAAGCAGTCCTGAACTTTATGATCACATGAAACAGGTAGAAAACATCGGCAACCGTGCGAAAAAAGGTGACGACGATCGCTAAATTCAAATCGACACGCATACAAGAAGCATTGCCATGATTCCTCACCGAAGGCAGGTAGAAAAAAAGAGGATCCACAAAGAGTGCAACCAAACAAGAGAACATAAACATTCGATTCCATTTCAGGACAGTCTCACTTCCAGGATCCAGCACTGTTTTTTTCCCAGGCTCTTGGCCTTCGGGGAATACCTTAGACCTACCAATTTTGGAAATCTTGTCGGCAATATATCCACCTTCCGAATTCCTCAGAATGGCTGGGGATTTATATAGAGGCAGTTTCTTTTCGTGGCGTCGTTCATCGGTCTCGCAAAAATCCTCAAAATTTTGTGTCGCCTCCTGAAACCTGATTTTTCAGTCAGTACTTTCGTCGAACATCTTGCGAGTGCAAAACGGCGACAATAAAAACAAAAGCAAAAGTTAATAATTGCTTACCTGACTTGCCTCGGCATCTCCTTCTTGAACTCCATAACCTATTCCTGGAACGATTTACCGAAATGCATTCGATCAATGGTCAAGATTGGATGCCAAATTGAATAAGTGCATTTAGGGGAGAAACAAATCAACAATGGAAGCCGGAAGCCGGAAGACGACAAAGATGAATATGCCCGTCGAATAAAATACAGACACGGACACGCTGCAGCATTAACGAGCGAGAAAAACTTCCTGGAATCAAAACTGTGCCCAGATTTCAACTCAGCATTAAATTAATTCTTTTGTAACAGTTGGTGTTAGTGGGAGATTAGGGTTTGTTTATTAGAGTTAATCAGTGAAGAATACAGTTGGACACTCACATGATGATGATTCGCCATTGGAATGCTCGTATCATAATTGATTATGCGAGTCTCCTCTCTCTCGGATTCTCTCAGCTTCAGAAGAATCCGTAAATCAACTTTTAGTTTTGGGATTCCATTATGTATTTCTTTTGCTGTATTATCCTATTTGTAAATTTGAGTTTATACAAAATGTGCTGAAAACCACAATATGAAGCCCGATTTTTTTTAATTATTATTATTATTTAATGTTTTCCTTTTAAATAAAATATATCAATTTTATACACAAAACTTAACCATATCATATAAATTATATTTTTTCATATCACAAAATATCACACTAAATACTTATTATTTATTATTTTTAAAACTTTTATAATTCCAAAATTCATATTTAACCAATATATATTATATAAATATTATCCCCCAACAACTATCTTATCTAAGAAACAGACAAAATAAAAAAATCAAACCACAAAAATAACAATATCTCATATGTAACTAAAAAAAAATTCAACAATATAATATAATTTGAAATCATTATTAAATAATTTTTTAATATACACAATAATTTTAAAATAATAGTAATAAATAATAATAATAATAATAATAATAATAATAATAATAATAATAAGAATCTGGTAGGTTTCCAATAATATTATTGAAGAAAATTAACATTATTGCAGAAGCAAGTTGGGCATAGGATTGGTTTCGTTAGCCTCTCTTATTGGCTTGCCCAGCCCTACAAATCTTTCTCCACAATTATGTTGGTGCCATATCAAAATTTACAACAATAACCACCAATAATTCACATAATAACAAGCCAACCTAACCTAACCGAACCTAACACATCATTTTCATTGGATATATATAACAGCAAAATCACAATACATGAACTCATCACTTCATTTGCTATCAACATGAATAATTTTATTCTACATCTTCGTTCATTAAAATATTAGTGGGCACATACACTCCTCTAACAGTACCCAGTACACAAACTAAAATGTGATGCAGGGATCCAAGACTTGTAGTTTTTTTCTTAATCAATAAATAATACATAGATACCTTAAGCACAAGAGGTATGGAATACATACATATCATAAAAACTGCTAAGATGTTGGCGCCAAAACCGCGCCTTTCACATTCACACAACGTGACAAGTAATTCATTTTGCATAAAATAAACGATAAACAACAACACATATTGCAGATCCCAAGAGCCACTCTAAAATAACAATTCCATTTTCACCAATACACCCAAAAAAAATTTAAAAAAAATAAAAAATCCAATGAATGAATCCAAACACAAAGTATAAAGTTGGAGGGTGGGGTGGGGTAGGGGGGGTAAAGAAGGTGTGCTAAGTTATAGGGCAAATCTTGGCATTTTCATGTTTGTGCAAGGGTGTGGTTTTTGCCACTCTAAACCTGCCTCTAGTTCAGAATAGATAGCCGGGAAAGATCCGATTTTTTTTTTTAAGAAAAACATGACAACCTAAAAGGGTGAGTTAATCAATGGCTGCAAGCAAGCACAGGCGGAGACTATATGCCGGCGAGAAGTGTGCAAAGCATTTATCTCTTCATCTTTAGTCCTAATCGAAAAACTCAATTTGAAGAGAGCAGAGCAGAGCACGCAACAAACATGGCATCTAGCAGTGTAGCCAGCTGGGATCCACAATCTATCGAATTGAAGATCCCACGCACAAGTGCAGACAGATGCAGAAAACCAATGAAGCAGTGCCGTGCAGAGACCTCCACACAAAAACAAAATAAGTGAGGTTTAGAAGAAAACGGATTAAGATCCATATCATATGCAGCACGACTGTAAGGTTTAATGCATTTTACTTCTATGAAGAAAAAAAGCGCGGACAGATAAGGTAAGGATAGAGTGTGACAACCTCAGAACTGAAGTAGAGTAAAGACAAGCAAATCCCGAGTTGAAGCTGAGGGCGTGGCCCTGCTTACATAGGGCTAGTTAAGTCCAAGCACAGTAAACACACAGTTCAAAGAACCCTCTGTATAGATTCGAAACTACTAATAAATTTTCAAAGTTCAGCTTCTGCTCCGGCTCCTGGTTCTGCGCCTTTCCCTAACATCGTCTCTGCATAGTAGAAACAAATGGAAACATAAATGGAGTGCTAATAACATAATCATGGATGCATCAAATATAATGACAGTTCAGAACAAAGCTACTGATTTTTATGCAACTCCAGATTGAAGTCCATTACATACAGGTACATGTGCTAATATTACACAATTAAAAAATCAGTATTCGAACCATCCCTTAATATTCAAGAATAAAAATTAGTAAATGCTTGAACATTTTATCCGATCATCATCACTTGCAACTTAATCCCGTGAACGACAATCTATATGGATCACACCCATTGCATTCAAACAAAACATGTTCATCAAGATGACAAAGTTATCACCAAAGAAAAAGTATAAAAGGGATGAAAGAAGACTTAACCCATTGGCATATGGCACTTCATCTCGTCCACGATAAGGAGGGGACCTGCTATAGGCAGGACCTCTGGGAGATAAACTGCGGCGTCGAGGAGAACGATCACGAGGACTGTAACTCCTGAGTCAAAAGACCAGCAATCAAGACAAGTGTACATAGAACCTACCTAGTCAGAGCTAAATACAGTCCATAGTAAACTTTTTATATCATTTTAAAATCTCAAACTGCTGCCATGGTATTCAATTAAGAGGATTTGCCAGTATCAATATTTTGACTGATTTAAATTAATTACCTCCGACCATAACTTGGGCTACGGCGATATCTAGGGGGGGTGCGACTCCTGCGCCTTCCAGAACCACCCCTATTTCGGCACTCACGAGCAAAATGGCCAGGCTCACCACATTCATAGCATTTGGAATCAGAACCAGAACGCCCACGACCCCCACCTCGACCACCACCGCCTCCACCTCTGGAGTTGTGGGAAAGCTCCACTCTCCAACCATTTTTACCTATTCCAAAACAAAAAATGTATAGCTTCCTTATACTGTTCAAAGCCAGAATCAAGACTAACAAACAAGATCAATCAAATCATGATGTAATGAAAGCAAATGTGAAATCATTCAATAATAATTCCATAGCCAAATTCAAACAGGAAATCTGAATAGAGATAAACTGAAGTAAAACAAGTGGTAAAAGATGACAACTAGCACCAGAAGAATTCAATATCTTGAATTTGATGGAATTATATAGCATGACTACGAAAACAAATACCATGGCTCACCATCAACTTCCCTTATGGCATCTTGCGCATCCCTTGGATCATCAAAATCAATGAAAGCATAACCAGGAGGTCTTCTGGCAACCCAGACACTGCACGAGAGATTCCATAAGAAGACAAATACTCCCAACCAAGTAGAAAAACATGTCTAACCCGTGGAGGATGATAATTTACTAGTTCTACTAAAAGATTATAAACAAAACCTAAATTCAATTTGAATAAACAAACACAAAACAGCAAATAACCATATTCTGGTCGCACAAGTATTAAAATATCACGAACCAAAACTCATCCTCGAAATTGTACCTTCTTATAACCCCAAAAACGCGAAACTCGTCCTCGAGATCGCGTTCAGATACCCGTGGATCCAGATTTCCAATATACACCCGAGACATCTCCAATCAAAGTTTCGAATAAATTACCTGAAGCGTTGATACAATTTCACATCACACAAAAAAAAAAAAAAAAATTCCAATCACGCGCCTTAATTCGTCGCAAACCAAACCCCAAAAAATAAAAAATGGTTCAACAAAAACGGGCAAACAACTACCGGACCAAAAAACACATAAATAAGGAGCGGTAACTTTACATAATTTACAGATCCATAGAAAACTAGAACAATAGAGCAAAGCAGCAAGTAGTCGAGCAAAAACCTGGAAACCCTGCGGAGATTTTGGGTTAAAAAAACCCTAGGAACTGGCGAGAAGAGACGATTCTGCCGTTTCCTTTTTATTCTAAATAAACAGTCCAACACGCATTTCATCCTACTGGTGGGCTTATTGGGCCTAATTGGGCCCATGATGATGGCTCATAATATTTTATTGGGCCTAAAACTAATTTTGATTCTAAGCTTGTGGGCCATATATGTTGTAATAGCAAGCCCAATAAGGTAATTATGATCAACCATACAGGAGACTTCTATGCCCATTTATAAGTTTATTTTAAATTTTAGATTTATTTGTCCACAAATTTTTTTTTCTGATACAATTATCAATATATTGTATATATATTTTATTCTTGTACAAATAAATAAATAAATAGTCAAAACACTAAATAAACAAATCCTTTTATTTGCCCAATTTATTTTTTTTTTACTTTTAAAATATATTTTATTATTTTATAAAAATAAATATTCTAAAATATTATTTTTTATATTATAATTCTCTATAACCCACGTTAATATATAAAATATTTTGAATAAGATAAAAACATGATTCACGTTGATGACACATCTCCACATATGCATCGCGGAGATAATATCTAATAAATACTAATGGAAAATGCAAAAAAGGACAAAATAACAGTATTAAATTTTTTTATTATAACAAAAATAATAATATATTAATACTAAAAAAATTAATTTTGATATAAATTACAAACAAGCTAATATAGATATAATTAGTTTATATCTAAAATACAAAAAAAATAATAATAAAATAAAATTAAAATCTATCATAAATATTTTTATTTAATTAATAAAATATTATTATAATTTTGTTGGATTGAGACAAAGAGAGTATATCATAAAATTCTTTTATAATAGACTAATAAAAATAATATTATCTCCGTTCACCACCAATTTATCCATTTGCATTTGGCGTCATTATTTTTAACATTAAAAATATCCTTATATTTGTATAATTTTTTGTACAAATTATATTTCATTAGTATTATAAAACAGCAATAAAAATATTTGTCGTTTTTCTTTAATTTGTACTATATTTAGATATAATAATTAATATTTAAAGATCAACATGCAAAAAATAAATGAATAGATTGACAGTGGACGAAAGTAGTACTCATTTTGTCTATTTGGTAAATATATAGTTTGTCATTTTTTTCATACTCTAAACACAGTATTATATATGGATCTCACTGCAAAATTACAAATATATTTACATTTATACTTATTTATATTTATATTTTCACATTAATTTTACACTTTATAAGAATAAAATACTTCCTCTGTCCCATATACTATGTCTACATTGCTGTTTCTGTCCGTCCTCCGTACCATGTCACTTTACTTTTTTGGAAAATGATTATATACTTTAATCTTATTTTAAACTTTTTGCTTTTATTTTTTAAAATTTTAATTAAACTAATTAGTTATTTTTTTCTTAATTTATAATTATTTATATTATAAGATAATTATTTTCACTAATACATTCTTAATTATCTACTAATTACACCCCTCCTAAAATATCGTGTCTACAGTGTACGGACGGAGGGAGTAGTAAATATACTAAAAAAATTAGTTACTTTTATCGGGTTGTAAGAGTTTATTTTTACTATTTTTTTAGGCTAAATATAAGAAAAATAAGTATATTTGTAATTTTAGGGATTTAGAAATTGAAATTAACATTTAGGTCAAATATTTTTAAATAAAAACAGCCGATGGATTAAAAGCAGAATTTATGAAAGTTTGATGCAATTTTAAATAAGAGAAATTTGTGGCGCAATTTCGTAAAATGCGTAGAATTTGTGGAGTTTAGCATAGATATTTTAATAAAATATAATATTTTTCTAAAATATTATAGATCCTTCTAAAATATCGTGTCTACAGTATAGCAGACACGGTATGGGGGACGGAGGGAGTAATATTTACCGTACCAAAATTATCATCAATCATCGTGATTTCTTAAATACATTATGGGTGTGTTTGTTTGGGGGATTGGATTTTAAATCCACTATTCATTCTATTTTTTCTCCTAAAAAATATCAAATCAAACACCTATTATTAATATTTAATGTGCTATTCTTTTATTTAAAAATATATAAAAAAAACATCCGAGAAAAAATAAAAAATAAAAAATAAAAAAAAACTCTATTTAGTTCTATATTGGAATCCAACTCATTATATAATATACATGTATATTTTTTATAATAAAGATGTCATAAGATAATATTTAATTAAATATGTATAAAATGGCCGACCATGCAATAATAAGGGTGTCTTTGTTCATATTCCTTCTTGTCTTTCTATTACTATATATTATTTTAATTTATCAAGATATCTTTAAATAATAATAATAATAATAATAATATTATTATTATTATTATTATTATTATTTACGTAAATATATTTTAAAATGTAAAAATGTCATTTTGTATGTATATAGTATAACTTTTACGTTCTCACTAAAAAAATTTATCGTTGCAATTATATTAAAAGTAATCGTATTTAAATACAAAAATACTTTTAATTTTTATAAAATATTTATTTCTTTTGTATTTCAAGGAAAATATATCAAAATTATCTTTAATATTTTTACTCATTAATAAAATAATATTATTTTTTAGATAATTAAATATATATATTGAATTAGACGGTAAAATATTTACAAATTATCTTTGTTCTTACATACTCTTATATTTTTCGAGATTTTAGTAATTATAAACAATTTTTTTTAAAAAAAAATAAAATAAAATCACATTAAATATTTATTATTTTTTATTAAATATTATTTTTTATTCTAAATCTTAAAGGCAATTAAAAATATTTTACCCAACAAAGACACGTTGGTGATGTGATGGGAGTGAAATAAATTAATTAACGAAGTACAGAATATAATAATGCATTCAGATCTGTTTGATTAAATTGTGTACTTTTGTAAGTGTTTAGGCTTCTTTTATGATTTCAAACTTCACTTCACATAAATATAGTGTTAATTGGATTGAACACGGTATTTAAAAAATATTGATATTATATTGATAATTGTTAAAATGTATAGGTAAAAGATTTTTTTGTCTTGCAGGTGTATTAGTGTAAAAAATAGTAATAATTATATAATAAAAATAAAAAAGTAGATGTAGTTTTATGGTGATATGATTATTTATGAAACAAGATTATTGTTTTAGGACGGACAAAAATGGTAAACAAGACTATTGTATTGGATCGGAAGGAGTAGTATTTGCATTGTTTATTTTGCATCATTTTTAATAAAATACAGTACTATCTCCGTCCGGCTCTAAGCTCTCATTTACTTTCTGTGTATTGATTTTTTAATATTAATTATTATATAAAAATATAGTACAAATCAAAACTACTTCTATTAATGTCTTATAATATTATTATAATGATATTTTTGCAAAAAAATTATGCAAATATAAAGACATGATTGAGAGAGTATTATTTGTTTTATATAATATTATATTAAAAATACTATTTAAATAAAATCTTAAATCGATATAAAAAAAACATCCTTAATACTATAGTAATAAGTTTTCAAAAAAAAAAATATATAAGAAACATGTACGATTTGTTCTTTTGCGATTCCAAATCAAAATTAACATTATTTATTTAACACGATTTCTAATAAAAATATACTATTTTTTATCACAAAACATCACATTTAAAATTTAAATAAATTTTCAAATCGTTTTTTCATTTTAAATCAATTTTAAATTATAAAAAAACAACGTCATATAAAAATATAATTTTGTTTGCCCACAAATTTATTTGTGACATAATTCTCAATATATATATATATATTATCATCTCACAAAAATCAACATTCAACATAATATTTTTTATTACTTTTTTATATTATCAACAACCTCGCAGCAAAATGATTATTCAAATCAAAACAATAAACAAACAAACTCAATATTGATAGCACATTTATTGCTTAATATATAACACACAATATTACTACAGATAACACGTCATATATATTAATAGATTATAAATACAATATATAATATAATTTCACTTATAATAGATATAATAGTTGATTTTAGCTCACACCCTTATATTAAATTTTACTCCCTCTGTTCAATTTCTATTGTCCTAAAGTATATTTGCACGGTTTTTTTATGTGATTGTCTTTTTGTTATGAATTGACAAATTTATCCTTAATTGTATGGTAGAGATTAAAAATAATAAATGAACGAAGGATAAAAATATAAAATTTGTGTTTAAAAAAAATATAAGACAATAGTTGTTAGACATTTCAAATAAAAAAATAGAACATTAGTTTGTGGACGGAGGTGAGTATTCTTTTTTTATTACTTTTAAAATTTTATGATCTTAAGAAAGTACATCTAATCAAAGACTTTCAGGTCAAGACAGAATTTTTTTAATTTTTTTAAGTGATAAAAAAAACTAATATTTGATATTATATTTTATAAAAAAATATATATATTTAATGTAATATTTAATAATAATAATAAAAAAAGTACCCCAAATGAAACAAAACCAAAAGTTTTAAAATATTAGGTTTATTTGTTTTTTATTTGAATTAGAGTTTTCTATTTAAAATATAATTTAAATAATTTGTTAATATATTTTTATTAAAAATTATAATAATAAATACTGCATAATTTACAATGGAAACTAACCAAACAAATAATTAGAATAAACGTTTATTTAAGTGCATCCATAACGTAGTGGAAGTGGATCTGTTGATATGCTTTTCTATATTTTAATTTAATAATTAAGCTATAATTTTTTAAATACTTTTTCGGAAGTTTATATTTTATAGTAATATTCATTAATTTGATTTCTAAATTTATAAATAAAAAATATGAGTATACGTATTCATTTTGGGCTGTGGCTGTCTATTCAATTTTAGTAATATACTCCAAATTCTATATTACTAAAATTAAAAATTAAAAATAAAAAAAAATAAATTTAAAAGTGCACATGACTTACCACACACCAGATCGAACCCCCACCATTCAATTTTCCCTCACCCCCTCATCTCCTTCCTCGCCGCCGCCGATGGCTAATTCCGGCCAAAAGTTCGACGTAATTGTCGTCGGAGCAGGCGTCATGGGAAGCGCCATCGCTTACCAGACCTCCAAGCGCGGCCTCAAAACCCTCCTCCTCGAACAATTCGACTTCCTCCACCACCGCGGCTCCTCCCACGGCGAGTCCCGGACCATCCGCGCCACCTACCCGGAGGACTACTACCCCGCCATGGCTCTAGAAGCTTCCCGCCTCTGGGAGGAAGCCGAAGCCGAAGCCGGTTACAAAGTCTACTTCAGAACCAAGCACCTGGACTTCGGTCCCAACGACAACAAAGCTCTCCTCGCCGTCGTCGACAGCTGCACCAAAAATTCAATTCCTTACCGTCTCCTGAATCCGGCGGAGGTCCTCCAGGAGTTCGCCGGACTCTTCCGCCTGCCGGAGGATTGGATCGGCGTCGTCACCGACGAAGGCGGAGTAATCAAGCCGACCAAAGCCGTCGCAATGCTCCAAACCTTAGCTCTCCAAAACGGCGCCGTTTTGAGGGATAATGCAGAAGTAATTGAAATCAATAGAGACGGAGGAACAAACGAGATCGTCGTTTCCACGGCGGCCGGCGGGGAATTCCGCGCCGGAAAATGCGCAATCTCGGCGGGGCCGTGGACGCGCCGCCTCGTTAAAAAAGTGAAAGGATTGGTCCTCCCAATCCAGCCATTAGAGACTTCCGTCCATTACTGGAAGATCTCTAAAGGCCACGAATTCAAATTCACAATCGCCGCCGGTTTCCCAACGTTCGCCTGCTACGGCGTGCCGTACATCTACGGCACACCGTCGCTCGAGTTCCCGGGGCTGATCAAGGTGCCATTGCACGCCGGCCGCCTCTGCGAGCCGGAGGACCGGACATGGGCGGCATCGCCTGCGGCGACTGCCGCCCTCCGCGACTGGATTGCGGCGCGGTTCGGGGATGCAATCGACGCCGCCGCCGGAAGCCCGGCGATCACGCAATCTTGCATGTACTCGATGACTCCCGACGAGGATTACGTGATCGATTTCCTCGGCGGCGAGTTCAGGGAGGATGTTGTGGTGTGCGGCGGATTCTCCGGCCACGGGTTCAAAATGGCGCCAGCGGTGGGGCGAATTGTGGCGGACATGGTGGGAGGAGGAGGTGGCGGCGATCGGACGGAGGACGATTTCTGGCTGGCGCGCTTCCGCGCCGGAAGATTCCACGGCGAGTGTAAGGGAAACGAGAAGCTTTTCGAGGAACAAGTGAAGAATTCAAATTGAAGCAGAATTGCAGCCATTGAAGTCCCTGTCGTCTTCAAGATCAAGAATTGCCAATTCAATAAATAAATCAGTCAATAATAATATTTGGGAATTTCTACTACCCATTTTCAAAAAACAAAAGAAGTAGAGAGATATAGAGAATTGCTTGTCTTGCAACAAACTAGGGCTATATTTCTACAGCTTAAATTTCTACTGTATTGTGTGTGTATATACTTAAACTATTTGACAAATCTTGTTCCTCTTATTGGACAAACACCAAGCAATCTGTGATTTGTCGTATAAAAAATATAGAGGAAATCACAGTTTTCCTGGTTACATGAATAACAAATGAATAAACCAAACCAAATCGAATCGAACTTCCTAAGTGTGAGATGCTGCTGAAGCCAGTCTGTATAATCTATCTTCATGTAAAACTGTGATCTCTAGCCCAGATCATCGAAAACCTGCAGAACTGCAAAAAGATTTTACAGTAGAAATATGAATGTGGAATCGAATACACAAGGGAAGACTGCGACGGCATTGTATCTTAAAACGGATTAAGGAAATGCAAAAAATCAAATAAGTATGCGGCGCATCAAATTTTGAAATAAATATGCCGACCTTGAATCACTAGTGAATGAAAAAATATATACACACGCATCTGCAGCGCAAACGGAAGGGGCGAATCTAACCAGATCTCAGACTACAAAAGTTGCGAGGAGTGCATGGAGCACGGCCCAATACAGCATTACAGTGAGTCGCAGAGCAGGCTGTCGCATTAGTGCTCGATCACAGGACACCCTATCAGATACATAAATAAAGATAAGTTCTTGACGATATAAAAATATAGATAAACCGGCATAGTGCAGTTGATATATGCATACCACAGGCCGTCGACTAGGTCTGACACAGGTCTTGTAAATCTTGGGACAAACTTGGATGTCGTGAGTGATTTGAACCCGTGAGCTGAAATTTGGGCGGGGTAGAAACAATGTTTTTAATACTATTGCTTTGAATTCGAACCGTAACTATAGGAAACTAAAATGTTTTGTTCTATAAGCAGATTACCTTTATCATCATCATCCTCCAACTGGGTATTACTTTGATCCACATCTATTGCGATTGCAACTTGATCATTATTTGTTTTCCGCAGACTACGAACTTGTGGTGCAATGGTTCCTGAGGAAGCCCATTTGTTTGGCTGCATAAAGGCAAAAATGAAGTACCAAAGCAAATCACCAGGAGGAAAATAAACATGAAAAAAGATGAAAAAAAGAGGACAAGAAATTAATGAACACAGTTGCGATAATAACGACATAATATCCACATAGTCAGCAATATTCCATGCAAATGCATTTTTATGTATTCCCTAAATTACAGGTATCCACGAATATTAGCAGGTAATCTCCCTTTTAATTCTTGATAAATTAGAAAACAATACCAGAACCATCAACAACGGTAGTTTCAAAAGCATCGTTACAGCATGCAAAATCTATATAGTGAGTATCATTGTTAACTAAGGTGTCAAACAGTAACTCAAAATGCATATAATGCTTCCATCACTAGATGTTCTCAATTTTCTGAGGAAATTATTACCAAATCTACAAAAACAATATATTGAATATTAACACATGGCCGAGACCAAAGAAGTTTAAAGTAACCTATTATGGGAAAGTGTTATTCTTTGACCTTCAATAATGACAAAAACAATATATGTAGTGTATGAAATTAGGGACAAACATCAAGAATTATGATAAGTAAGCAACATACCTTGGCATCAACCTCCACAATCTCTGAAGGAGACTTTGTAGATTTTGAAGAATCTCCGGTTTCTTTAAGCTTTACTAGTTGAGATTCTTTCTCATCTAGAGAATTTATAAGATACTGTTCCTTTTGAGTTAAATCTTCCACTTTACTTCTCTCCTTTTGCAATAGAATATCACTTTTCTGGGCATCCAAGCGAAGATTTTCTAATTCAGATATCAAGTCCAGAATCTTTTTCTCCAATGCCGCCTTATATTCAACAACTGGAAAACGTTTTGGATCATCAGCAATAATATCCTGCATCTGTCCCTTAGACATCGTAGAATCTAACCAAGACAGCAAGTTACGAATCTCATCTGAACTACTCTTCTGCAGCTCAGTAATAGTCAATGCGTCATTTGTGCACCTAGTAACCTCTTGCCTGAGGAAAGAAACTTCTGAATCTCGCTCTTGTAGTTGGGATTGGAGTTTCTCAACTTCTGATAGAAGACTTTCAGAGAAATGATGAAGCTCATCAAACTTGCCTACAGTAACAGAAAGCTTCTTCAATGCCTTGGCACGTGAAGTTTCAAGATTCTCCAGGTCTTTGTTCTTTTGTTGCAGTTCATTCTCCAGACCCGCAACCTTGTCTGTAAGGTCCTCCATTTCTGCCTCCTGTGCGTCAAGGGCTTGCATCAAAGCCTCATTCTCTGAAAAAAAAAAAAAATGTAAGATGAATTTATATAAGAATTAGAATAGCCTCTCCAGCAAAGACAACAAATAGTCTGGGATGAATCTTAAAAATAGCATACAACTGACCTTGCACTTTTGCAGCTAATGCCTCCGTCAGTGAGTTAACTTTCTGCCGCAGATCATTGGAATCAGTTTCCTGATCCTTTAGTTCTTTAATTGTCTGATCCAAAACTTTATGCTCCTCTTCCATTGCATTCAATTTTCTCTGTGCATCATGCAGCTGCATTTTTACTTGCTGCAGTTCGTGCAAATGGTTCTTTGCATTAGTTTCAGCTTCCTTTATCTGATTAACAAGCTCAGTACAAACCCTGTCTCTTTGGATGTCTTTCTCCTGTAGCTCTTTCTGTAGATTCGATATGGTACGCTTCATCTCATCCTGGCCAGATTCCACAAGGTCATTTTGCATGTGTATGATGTCCCTTACCACCAATAACAGGTTGTCTCGTATGCTCCTGATGCCTTCCTCATTGATGATGGGAATGCCATTTGCGGAGTTATTCAATCCTTCACCAGGTATTTGAGACTTACTCCTTGCTGGAGATCTTGAAGCCATTGCATTTCCGGCCACATGCTTCAAATTTTCAATTTCAGAAATTGCACTCCCACAAGTTTCATAAAGCAATGAAATGTTCCCTTGCAAAATATGTAGTTCAGACTCCTTCTCTTTCACGATTGATTCCAGCTTCTGAACATCTTTCTTCATAGATTCACATATCCCTTTATGAGAATTATATCCTCTATGAACATTCTCCACCACTTCAAATAATTGGGAAGCCTCTTGTTGCAATGAATGTGAATGGTTGTAAATTAGCTCCCTTAGGGAATCAATTTCATTCATAAAAACCTGTGGAAAACAAGACATTATATTCGATACAATAAGAACAAATTCCACAGCAACAAGGCCCATATGATTCGCCATCTAACTCTAGAGTATCAAGCCTACAACACACAGACTACTTGCCAAAAAAAATGAAGGGTTATAATCAGTCAAAATCAAAATGGACATAAGATCGTATGAATGTGCATACCAGCATAGCCAAAGCCAATATAATTCTTTTGAAATCAAGTCTTTCTTAAGGCTATACCACACAGCTAAAAAGTTGAATTGCATATCATTTTGTGATATTCAAATTGGTAAAATCCCGCTAACGATCGGATGATGAAATATTCTTCGGTTGTGTTTGTTAGGGGGATTGGATTTAAAATACACTATTCATCCCATTTTTTCCCCAAAAAACATCAAATCAAACACCTATTTTTCATTTTTTATATTATACTAAAAATCAATTTTACATTCAAAACATCACATCAATACCTATTTATATTACATCATACAACTATTCAAATTCAAAATTTTACTATTCAAATCCCAACTCAAAATCCAAACCCCCAAACAAACACACCCTTCAAGTATTGAAAAAATAACACTGAAAATTACTTTTACCTTATTTTCTGATTTCCTTGGCATGGCTCCATGGTGGAAGCTACCAGAAAATAGAGTGTCAAAGTCAGAGGTAACACCTGATTCAAACAATGATTTCAACACAGCCTTCAAGTTCTGCAGAACTTCAAAATCGCTGAAGAGTACCCCATTCAGCTCTCTTTCAATGGAGGATATGTCCTCTCTCAAGCTGTCCACACTAGATCTCAACACCATAGTTTCAGACAAATGTCTGTCCTTCTCCTCAGAATGTGAGAGATAAAGATTCTCAATCTTTGCAAAAGCTTCTCTTTTAGCTTTTTCTGCTAAATCTTTTTCCCTAGAAAGTTCTGAAAACTCATAACCTGCTTTCGCTAGCTCGTCTTGAAGGTTATCATTTCTTTCTTGAACTTCATTCAACTCCGTGAGTAGTAATTCAGCTGCTCTTTTCGATTTTCTTGTTTCTTGCTCAAGGGAATCCATGCGAGTATGTAGATCAGTCAAATGTGCTCCTACATACTTTATCTTCTCATAAGGATTTCCAGAATTTAGTTCATTACCAAGATCAATATGTTCCAGAGCATCCACAATACTGTTCCATCTATAATCTTTTTCCTGCAAACTGCGCTCAAATTCTTCCACACGAGACCTAAGAACAGCTGTTTCAGATTCCATAACTCGTAACCTTTCCTGGGCAGTTAGCAAGTTCTTGGTCTGTTCTTCGTACTCGGAAACAGATTTTGCGCTATGCTGAGACTCTGATCTGAGGCGCTCAAGTTCAGCATTTTGCTCTTCCATTACTTGGTTCATTCTATCTCGTTGCTGCACCAAAGACTTCCCCTTCCGAACAGCTACATTTAACTTCTCTCTCAAAGAACTTGATTTCTGTTCCTCCTGATTAAGTAGCTCCTGCAATTCTTTCCTCTTCACTTCCAGTTCTTCAACTGTACGGACTAAGGTCTGATTGTTCTGGACAAGATTCTCTTTCTCGCCTTTCAGAAGTATCAGTTCGCCCATAGAGTCTTGCACAGTTTGCAGGGTCTCCTGCAATTCTTTCTTTTTCAGTTCCAGTTCTTCAACTGTACGGACTAAGGCCTGATTGTTCTGGACAAGATTCTCTTTCTCGCCTTTCAGATTCATCAGATCACCCATAGAGTCTTGCACGTTTTGCAGGGTCTCTGCCAAAGAAGCCGATTTCCTTTCCTCCTGATTGAGTAGCTCTTGCAATTCTTTACTTCTCATTTCCAGTTCTTCGACTTCATGCAGTAAGGATTGATTGATTTGCACAAGACTCTCTTTCTCCTCCTTCAGAATCATTACTACACTTGTAGTATCTTGCACCTTTTGGCTCACAGTAGCTGATTTCAATTCCTCCTGGCTCAGTAACTCTTGCAATTCTCTCTTTTCCAATCCCAATGCTTCAACTTCATGCTGTAGGGTTTGATTGGATAGCATATATTTGTCCTTCCCCTCCTTCAAAATTGTCAATTCGCCAATATAATCTTCCAGCTTTTTGGTCAGGGTCTCTCTCAAAGAAACAGAGTTCAGTTCCTCCTTGCTAAGTAGTTCTTGCAAGGAAGACGACTTCAGCTTCTCTTGATGAAGTAGATCTTCCAACTCTTTTCTTTTCATTTCCAATTCTTGGACTTCATGGAGGAAGGATTGATTGTTTATAACATATCTATCTCTCTCCTCCTTCAAAACAGATAATTCACCCATAGAATCTTCAAGCTTCTTGTTCAGGGTATCCCTCAGAGATGCTGATCTCAGTTCCTCCTGGTTAAGTAGCTCTTTCAAATCTTTGCTTTTCATTTCCAGATCTTCAATTTGACAAAGCAATGATTGATTGCTGATTTCATCTCTCTCTTTCTCCTCTTTCAAAATCCTCAATTCATTTTCACAACTTTCCAGTTTTTTGCTCAGGTTCTCTGTCAAAGAAGCTGATTTCAATTCCTCCTGGTTGAGTAGTTCATGCAATTCTTTCTTTTTGATTTCCAATTCTTCAACTTCATGGAGCAAAGACTGATTTTTCAGCATGTATCCATCTCTCTCCTCCTTCAATATCATATATTCAGCGGCGGAATCTTCCAACTCTTTTCTGAGGGACTCTACATCCTGCTCGTCAAATGCCCTTGAAGTGTAAGACATTTCTTCCTTTTCAGCAGCATGCACGTCGATAGGTTCATTACTAACAGGATTCCAAGTGGATGTATTATATTTTTCTACAAGTTTCCTCAACATTTCCTCTAAACAAATAACACCTTCCCGACCGTGTAATGTGCCTTCTGTACAAGGCTCCTGAAGAGCATCACATACTAATTCACTCACTCTTCTAATTGCATCATTGGTGTGATGAGCATCTTCTGCAAGCCGAATCTTGTCTTCTTGAAACATACTCACTTCATACTGAAGATTCTCATTTCTAACTTCCAAATTAGCAATCTTCTTTGAGATCTCCTCATTTTCATGACTCAGGATCTCCAAGTCCAGTAATGTGATTTCTTTCTCTACACAGACCAGCTGAAATGCTGCAACAAGCTCAGATGTTCTCCTTTGAGAATCTTCCGCATCTACAGCTAGTGATTCACAAAAACTCTCCAAGCCATGAACCCTCTTCTGCAGAGAATAACAATGGTTCTGGGCTGCTGAAAACGCATTTTCCAACCATTGAATTTTATCTTCAGGCTCCATGGACCGCAATTGAGAAGGCATATCAACTCTGTCCAAAATTCCTTCCCACTGATGTAAAAGGTTGTTCATATCTATTAATGATTGTTCAAGCATCTCATTCTGCTCAGCTATCCCATAATATTTGTTTTCCAACTCATCATATCTTCTCCTCAAGTCATCAATGGAATCAAGGTTCGGCTGCATGGAGTCCTTCAAGGCTTCTGCACCAACAAGTCCAGTATCGGAATATGAAGCTCCCCCCATCGAACTTCTTTGTTCCCAGTCACCTATTGGTTGAGAATTTCCTCCAGTAGATTTAGCAAGCCATTCGACCTTCTCGATTGTACTTTTCAAATGGAAATGCTCCGGCAGCTCTATATCTTCTAGAATCTCTTCTATTCTCTGCAGGACAGAGTCTTTCAGCAGAAATGATTCTCGTAAAGCAGTGGCTGAGTTGCGGATGTATGAAAGCTCAGATTCCAAAGCTTCCATGCGCTCACCTGCCTCAGAGTAGACTCTTAACTTTGTTTCAAGTTCATGGAGCTTAGCATCTTTAGATGATAGCTCCTGCGTGCATTTATCCAATTCTTTGGATGTCTCAGCCAAAGACTGCTCGAGACTATCGCGCTTTGAAATAAGACCTTTCCCCTTTGTAACAGCTCTGCTCAGCTTCTCTCTAACGGACAAAACCCGTTGCTCTGACTGTTCAAGTTCAGCAATTTTTTCCTTTAGTTTAGTATTAAGATCAACAATATCCATCCCAGTACTCTTCAAACTGTCCTTCAAAACAAGATTTTCATTTTCATATTGAACAAGAACAAGATGCAATTGATCCACTTGTCCCTGAAGACCACTAAATTGCATTTCCAGAGATTTTGATAAGCTCAGATGCTTATCAGCTTCTTTATACTTCTGTGCAAGCAAAAGGATCAGAGTCTCCAGGCGTGAGAAAGGATCGTCTGTGTTAGTCCCTGTCACTCCAAGCATAACTGAATGCTCAATCTCTTCAACCAACTTCATGATAGTATCTGATTTAAGACATCTTTTATCCAGATCATCAATTTGTCCTAACTTGGCAACCAACTCTGCATTGAGTCGGTGATTTTCAGACTCAAGCTGCAATCTCTCGCCTAAAAGTTCCTTTAACTGATTCAAGATCATACTGGAAACATTGTCATGTAAAAGATCTGGCACGTTGTCTGCCACCAAACTCTGTGTTTTATCTTGGTGGGTTCTGAATGTTATCACAAGTTCACTGAGTTCATCGTATAAGTTATGCAATGCATTTAAGGTCATATTACTTCTATCCAAGATCTCTTTTCGGTCACTGAGAGCAGATTCAAGTTGTCCACGCAGATCTTCAATCATTTTGCAGGCACCACGAACAGAAGCAGCAACATAGCCCACAATATCATTGCTACCATCTCCAGGAGCGAGCGTGTTGGAAACTGTCTCAACAGTAGAATATAGCTCACCAACTCTATCGATAACCTGAGCAGAAACTGATCTCCATTGTTCTTCAAGAATCAATTCCCTGTGAGCCACCTCTGCCTTAAGAGTTTGCATTTCATCAGAGATAGAGGCAACCTTCTCGTCTGCATCTCTGCTCACTAGATCCAACTGACTCTGCAGCTCATGAATTTTGATTTCAAATTCCTCCACCTTCTCTCTAAGTTGATTTTTCTCAGATGCCAGAGTAAGCTCTTGCTTCTGCAGGGCATTGCATAAACTGAGAAGTTCATTCTCTCTTTCCGCAGCATCACATCCATGTAGTCTCATAACTTCAGACAGAACCATAAGCTCTATATTTGCTCTTTCAACCTGATCGGTGTCCTCTCTCAGTGTAGTATACTTGCTCCTGTCCAAGTTAGTAGCCTCAGTACATAGTGTATTCTGAATTAATCTACAGACTTCACTCGCATTCTCTGCATCATCTACCAACTCCTCCAGTAAAACTCTCAGGTTATCTGTGAACATTTTGGCCCTCAAGTATAGATCTTCAGTGGATTGGTTTTCGAATGACGAATTTTTTTCTGGATCTTGCTCATCCACATGGTTTTTCGTCTCAAAAGCATGAATCAACCTCGATACCTTAGGAGAAGAAACTTTAGTAGCTGCCTTACTCAGTGAATACGAACGCAAGTGCATTCCTTCAATTGCATTCTCAAGTTTCCGCATCATCATTTCTGCATTTCCCAAGTTTCTTTTTAAAGCAAAAAATCCAAAGGCATCATCATAAGCCTTAGCTTTCAGCTGCTCCAGAGATGACCAGTCAGCTTCATCAATGTCATTTCCAGCCCCTTTACTTCCAACTGTGGCAAACCTCTTTTGATTAAGATCATCGAGTTTGCCCTTGAGAAACTCTAAATCAGCATTGAGAGCATCTTTCTCTTTGGTTAATTGATCAATGCAAATTGTTGCTTCTTTTAAGTCATCCAGGGCTTTATTGTGTTCTGCTTGCAAACGTTCCGATTCCACAGAGACATTGGACTGAGCTAGTTCTCCTGACAATTTTTCTTTTTCAAGCGAAATAAATCTATTCTCCTCTAAAAGCTTCTCCTTCTCTTCAGCCATCCGTTTTAAACTCCCATTTAAGTTTTCATTTTCTGTCTGCAAGTATCCCACCAAACTTCTGCAGTCAAGAAGCTCAGAGGATAGGCTAGAGATTTCCCCCTGTGCCATTTCGAGTTTATTTTGCAATTCATTCACTTTAGCAGTAAGATCCTCAACACCAGTTTTTGAAAAGTTATGCTGCTTCTGAAGCTCTTCCCTCTCTAAAGCAACCTCTTGAAGTTCCCTCCTACACGTGGTAATATCTTCATTAAATGCCTCATTCTTCTCCTGACCTTCAATCTGTGAAGCATTGGCTGCACAAAGTTTATCAACCAACTTTTGCTGTTCACAAAGCTGTAACTGCATTGCATCTTTCGAAAAGCTTGTAACATATAACTGTTCTTGGAGCCTCTCAAATGTGTCATGAAAAACAGATGCATTGACTTTAATCTCAGGGTTATCCCTATATTTTTCCAATGATGACGCAAACAAGAACCTGAATTCATCTTCATCAAGTACTTGCAAAATTTTGGAAAGCTGAGAAAGTTGGATCGTACTTCCATGTAAAACTGGTGACAGATCTACCTTCCTATATCCAAAAGATTCTGCAGTGTTAGTAGTTTTGACATCAGAACTTTCTGCATCCGGGAACTCGCCTTCAGTGCGAATGTTAACATGACTGCCTGATGTATTGAGCGCTTCAGTATTCTTGCCATTTGGAGAATCGCCCAATCTCCTTTCAGCTTGCTGAAAGTCAACATCAGAACTTTCAGAAGGATCAATGAGGACCAAAAGCCCTTGCCTCTTCTGACTTTTTCTGAGATCCTTGGCATAATCACCAGTCGATAAAGTGCTATCAGAACTAGTAGAATGTGCAGCAACATTGATTTCCTCCTCTTTGGGAACAGTGCCTGAATCAGGGTTCCCACTGAAACCACTTGAAGGAAGAGTACCGCCTTCTTCGAAATTCTTCACCGTGCCTTTATCACTTTGGCTCCCACCGGTACGTTCAACATCCTGCATTGCCCCTATCCACAAACATATTATCACATCAAACTCCAGCTAGGATCGAGACAGGAGAGGGGAAAAAAATATGCAGGAAGAAAGAGTCATGAGTGGAAGGCACAAACCTACATCTGTTACCTGCTCTCCCCCATCCTGCCTGTCAGATGAAAACTCAACAGGTAAAGCTGTACCCGAATCCGGTAGCTGTTCATTTAGACTTGTCGGATCTGAATTGCTTTTCTTGCTGTCTTTGGTGTCCTCGGGTGCCAAAGCAGATGATCTTCCATCCATGGGGACCCCAGAATCAACATCTTGTCCATCTTTTCCACTTTGATTCAATTTAGCCTGATCTATTCCAGAACCCTCTGATGGAAATCCAGGAGCCGCTGCATCCCCAATACCTCCCTTTGCTGAAATTTCATCACCGGCGGCAGCAACATCAGTTGCCATTGAATCCACTGTGTCGGTAGACTCTGAAATTGCAACAGCAGTTTCCACCTCATTCTTGGATGTTTCTCCGTCTCCAGCTTGCGGCTGTGCGTCATGCCCAGATTTACCAGCTTTACCTGAAGATTTACTGTTACTTCCTTTATTATCCTTCTTTTGCCTGAACTGTTGAAGCTGATGGAAGACGAACCATTTCAGCATAAATACATTTGAAGATGGCTTACAAATGATAAAATCTCCTAACACATTAATCGTCAGACTATAAAATTTAGCACTCAAATCAAATTTTATTACTCAACATATGTTCAAATCCCTCTCTGAACTCCATGCTAATCTGAGTTAGAATGTATCTCCATTGTGTTTATTTCTGTACAATAAAGAATCCATAACTGGAAAAAATTCATCATTATCCTTTATCTCAATTTTATTTATTTCTGAGCATAACCATTGTGTTATTAAAGCGGTGGCATATTCGATCTCCATCATTCAAATACAAATCCTTCAAAAAACATGTTCATATCAAACCTTAACAACTAAAACCTTAACATTCACAAGGAATCATTTCTGTCATTTAGGTCATTTACACACACAAAGTACTTATAAAATGGAAATCGCAAATAAGAATCGCATCAAAATCGAAACTAAAAATACAAACTTCGCCACAAACAAAACAAACTCATACAGCGCACAAATGGACGCCAACACTTCACAAACCAATACCTTTTTCCGGCCAGCCGCAAGCAGATCGGTACGGTTCTTGTTTTTGTCCATTCAATTCGATCCAATCCACCGACGACAGCTCTATACAACCATTAGGTCCAACAGATCGCGGCTCTAAATCCCCCAAAATTTAAAAAGGAATAAGACGAAAAGCAAATAACCGACGATAACAAACTGCAGCAAACCAAAATTATCAGGTCCCGAGGAAATCGAGCGCCAAAATTATCCCAAGAACAAAATCGAAAGGAGAGAATCGACACCTGATTGGAGGGTAACTAAGATTGGTATTGTAGCGGGAGTGGAATCGACGACACGACGATTGTCTCTCCTAGATCTAAAGCAACGTCTTGGTCCCTTGTAGTTGTTCTTCTTCTTCTTCTTCTTCTTTCCGTTCGGTTCTTGGCCCACCCTGCATTTCTCATACCTACATTTTCTTTTTTAATTAATAATTAATAAATTAAACTAACGTGTTAATTGAAATGTTATTTACCTTTTTTTTTTTCAAATTTTTATTATTTAATTCCGCTATTTTTAACAAAATTATAGGAATATTATTTTATACTATTAATAAACAAATTATATTAATATAATATTAAATTTAAATTTAAATTTAAATTCAAAATAAACACACTATAAATTTTTTTGTATTAAAAAGAAGAATTATTATAATATTTCTAAAAAAAAAAATGTTTGTTTAGTGAGATAATTTAAAAGAATATTTTTTTAAAATAAAATATAAAAAATTAGATAAAAAAATATAAGAATAATGAATTGTGTGATATATTAATTTAAAAAAAAATTATATGTAAAAAAAGTATAAAAAAAACACACGTAATTGAAAAAAAATTAATTAATTAAATGTTGCCTTAAAAAAATATTCCATCCGTTCCTTACTAATTTATTCAATTTTTTCATTTTGATCGGTAATAATTGTATTATGTACTTAATATTACAAATTTCCTTCTAATTTATAATATATTACACAACATTTATATCATAAGATTAATTTACTCTTTTTACCTTTATTTATACCCAATATAATCTTAATATTTTTAAAACTTTATGTAAAAAACAAATTGATATATAGATATGAGACGTAGGAAATATTGCTTAAAAAAAAAAATTAATTAATAGGGTTCAATTATAGTCGTGTTAAGCCTGTGGATAGATTATGTCGGCTCGGTTTTCGGCTGGGCTAAACTTAAATGAGTTTGTTTGATTTGTATTATAAATAATATCTTAATTTAATACTATTATTTAGAGAAAATAGGTATCTTTATGGTAATAGTATTAATTTGGAACAAAAATCAAATAAATAATAATGTATAAAAATATATAAATATAAAATATAATATAATATAAAAAACGAGTTTGATTGATTCCAAATTGAAATAAACTATAAGCCGTTCTTAATAGATGGGCCCAGACAGTCTGAGCGTAGTTATTTGGGCCTTTGGCAATATTCAAAATGGTAATTTTAGAGCTTTCATTTGAATGGTTACATTTGAAAGGCTTTATTTTCAATGGTATATTAAATTTTGACCAAAAATTATTTTTGGTCTCATTCAATATTAAAATTATCAATTTTGGTCTCATTAAAAAAAATTATCAATTTTAGTCTCATTCAAATAAAAATTTATCAATTTTAGTCCCAAAATGGTTGAATGGGACTGAACACGGTTGTATTGGATGATTCAGAAGGTGACTGGGCGTTCCAGTCAGCCAACACAGCCTTGTTGGTCTCAACACGGCCGTGTTGATTACCCTGCACTTTTGAACACTGCCGTGTTCCTGCCCGTGTTCTGAACATTCCTGCTCATGTTTTCAATATAGCCATGTTCTAGGTCATGCCTGCCAATGTTCTCAACACAGCCATGTTGTAGGTCATGTTCACGATCATGTTTTCAATACAATCATACTGTAGATCATATTTATTATTTTTTTTCACTTTTTGGTTAAAATTATTTGATATATATTTATAATTTAATAAAAATATTTTTTACTATTATTTTATAATATAAAAAATAATCAATTTTTAATATTTTTAAAATATATACAAATAATAATATTTTAAAATAATACTCCCCCGTCCCACGTTGGATATCTGGGTCACTGTAGACACGAGAATTTAGGATAAATATAATTAATAGATAATTAAGAATGTATTAGTAAAAATAATTATCATATAATATAAATAATTATAAATTAAGATTAAAATAACTCATTAGTTTAATTAAAATTAAAATTAAATTAAAAAATAATTTGTAATTTTTTTCCAAAAAAAGAAAAGTGACATGAGATGTGAGACATATATAAACGGCAATGTGGACATGGTAAGTGGGACGGAGGGAGTATTATTAAAAAATATATTAATATATTATTATTTTTATATATTTTAAAAATATTAAAAATTGATTATCTTCTATATTATAAAATAATTGTAAAAAATATTTTTGTTAAATTATAAATATATATATATCAAATAATTTTAACCAAAAAGTAAAAATAATAATAAATATGATCTACAATATGATTATATTGAAAACATGGTCGTGAACATAGCCTAGAATATGATTGTGTTGAGAACATGGGCAAGAACATGGTTGTGTTCAGAACACGAGTAGGAACACGGCCGTGTTCAGAAGTACAGGGTAGTCAACACGGCAGTGTTGAGACCAACACGGCCGTGTTGGCTGCCTAGGACGTCCAGTCACCTTATGAGTCATCCAACACGGTCGTGTTCAAGACAACACGGTCGTGTTCAGTCCCAATCAACCATTTTGGGACTAAAATTGATCATTTTTTTTAATATGACCAAAATTGATAATTTTGATATTGAATGAGACAAAAAAAATAATTTTTACTCTTAAATTTTGGAAAAGTAATCATATATTTATAATAAAATACAATTTTATTGTTATATAAATTACAAATTTACGATTATACTTACAATTAATTTATATGAAATTCATTTTGCACATTTCAATTAATTAATAAAATGTTATTTTCTTCGTTCTATGTCAAAGTATCATACTCAATTTTTTTTATATATCTTTTTATTTTTTATCTTTTTTATATTTCAAGTATAGTTCATTCACTGTACATTTAGATAAAAATATCTCATATGTAGTGGATTTAAAATTGATGTAAATGTTGGATTCGGTGTGAGATAGAAGAAATAATTCCTTAATATAAAATATTATTTTTTATATTATCAATAATTTTTTTATATTTAATATAAAAAAATGTCTTATATTAAAACACAAAATCAATATAAAATGAAATGTTAATAATTGATAATTTTTTTAAAAAAAAATTGTAAATCGCTAGTAAACTAACGTAATTAACACGTTGGTAATTGCATATGGTAGCGTTAGTTGACTTCCCAACCCAATTCCAAATTTAAAAAAAAAAATAAAAGAAAAAAAAAGTCAAATCAACATTAATTTCTCGTGTAAAATAACCGTGTTGTTTACTTCAACTATGTTTCTTACATTATTCCTCGGATTTTGGATTTTAAATTTAAATAATTTTATAATATAGTCGATTCGTTTTAAAATAATATGAACATTTAAAATTGATACGAGAATTAAAAAATAACAATATTATATTGAAAGTAGGTGTAAAAATATTTCTAAAAAATAAAAATATCCCTATTTTATGTAATTATTGTGAAAAAATAAGGATAATTTTGTAAAAAAAAATTGAGAACTTATTACAAAAATAAAAATAAAACTATTTTTTTGGGACGAACGAAAATGACAAAATAAGACTATTGTTTTGATTAAATAATAAAAATTTGATAAAAAAAAACACCCCCTTATATATGTTCGGGAATAAAATTTTTTCAAAAATAATAAAAAAAAAATGCTACTTCCTTCGTTCGAAATATGATGTCCTAATTACAGTAAACAAAAAAAAATTTATAAAAAATTATATAATTATTAAATAATTACAAATATATTACTAGAAGTAATTACATTAGAATACAAATAATTATAAATAAAAAAATTAATTAGTATACTTGAAATAAATAATAATAATAATAATAATAATAATAATAATAATAATAATTAATGTGTAATCATTTAAACCAAAAACATGATATAATTTAAATTTATATATCATACATATAATATAAATATAAAATAATTGAATTCACATGTAACGACGTCAAGGTTGATTTGAATCAAATTAATTATCTGAGTAGAAATAGGATGGACTTTAAAAATAATTATTTTGTTTTATATATTTTCCAATATAACACTTGATCAGGATGCAGTAGATGTGTACGGTTGACTTTTTTTAATTTAAGTTTATATTATCTTTTTTTATTTTTTATTCTAAATATATTTTTAAAAAATAAAATAAAATCTACTATAATCTTCTTAAATAAATAAATATATATTCAAAATCTATAAATTTCAATAATATATTACTTGTGTTAATTATGTACTCTAAATCTATATTATTACTTTTTAATTGTAATAAAAAATAATCTTATATATCTTTTTAAAGGACATATGAGGTATATATTATTTTTACTATTATTTATAAAATAATATACATGCTTAATATATTTTATTAAAATATAAATTTAATATCTTGGATTTATAAATTAAACAACATCCCAAAATTTCAATTCGATCAAATTTAAAACTATAATATCATTGCATATAATCTCTCCGTCCCGTAACAAAGTATTCATTTTTTCATTTTAGTCCGTCCCATAACAAAGTATTCATTTTTCCATTTTAGTATGTATCTAACATTACAAATACCCTTACAACGTACTAATAAGATTATTTTAGTCATTTCTATATTATTCTACTATATCTTAATATAATATTAATATTTTTAAAATTACGTGGAAAAAGCAAATGAATACATAGTTTCGGGACGAAGTGAGTATTAATGTGTAAAACTGACCGGGTCTTGACTCAGTTAGTCAACTTACAAAAAAATTACGTTCCACGTGGCAACATATCACAGGCGATTCCGACAAAGTCATCGTCAACCCTCTCAAGGAAATCGTGACCGTCGATGAAGGCCAGGATGATCATGCGGCTGAAAATGAATACCGGCTACCGAAGGTTTTGTAGGTAAAAATAATCAAGAGTTGGTCAACCGTTTCCCATGTGATACGTGTCCCCAGTTTACATAGTCAGCTTTCTTTAATATTTCGACTTTTTATTTATTTATTTATTTATTTTATATTATTTATATATATATATATATATATTTTGTGGTTGAATTTTGAAAGTTGAAAAAATGCAAATCACTTGTATATTATTCAAAAATAGGTCATTCCGTCATTGCACCAATACTTTTGTCAAATTACTTATACTAACTTTCTTAATTTCCATTTGGCACCCCTCAAATTATAGAAATGATACTATGGTATGATGTCCAAATATATTTT